ATTCGGAGAGAAATGTGATTGAACGAGCTAACAACACGAAGATGGGGCTTGGAGCGTCGGTGTGGTCTAACAACCTGGAAGAAGCTACTCACATTGCACGCCAGTTAGAAGCCGGCAGTGTATGGATCAATGCCCATCAAGAAGGAGACCCAATGGCGCCATTTGGTGGGCACAAGGAAAGCGGGTTGGGTTATGAATGGGGACTTGGAGGTTTGAAGTCATACTGTAACGCTCAGAGCCTGTTTTTGAAGACACGGGTGGACGGGTAGAAAGCTGAGTCAATCACGACATATACTATAGAAGGAAAGCTTGTTACAGTATAATTATGTAACCACTGCAAAGCCCTCACTGACTCGTGAACCCTTTCATAACTAAACTCAGATGGAACTCATTAATATTAAGGGTTGAGCACAAGAGAGGTAATCCCATTCACGCCACAGACTCGTCAAAGCGTAGAATTAGTCAAGGAATGATCACAATCGTGACGTCGTCATTCTCATCATCAAGGATTCGATACGGCTTCGTCAAATTCTTTCTTCGATGCACCTGACTTCGGCTTGCGTAGCTCAAAGTTAAGAATGGTCGATTGGCGACGGCCCCACTCCGATATCTATTGTATAGACATAAAGTGGTTTCTGTATGTAGTTTGAGCCGTTATTGAAAGGGATCCCTCGGTTGAGCTGTGCTGCTGGCATCCATAGTTTTCCATTCGTGTCGATCCACATTGCGTCTATCCATAGGAGTCGAGAGTCCTGGATGACTGGAGGTAGGATGATGTTAGCTATCGAGTGGCACGAGATGGGAGGAAGAGGAATAACTAACGAATTGTCGAGGTGCCATTTGGTGCTATCTTGATAATCGCCTGCCGATTCGTATCGCTGTTGTAGATATTTCCTTCGGCGTCAATGGCTGTACCTCCTGTGGACGGGGTCAGAGCGTACGCCTCGGGATATTGAGAAAGCACACTGGCGAGAGTGGAATTGTAGAACGCGTCATTGAGGTAATGTGTCTCAATCCGTGACATGCCTCCTTCACAAGGCTGGTAGTAGTAGTGATTCCCATCTGGAGAGACCTCGTGCTGGTCTGCATAGACATAGAGATATCCACCAGTTGGTCCGTTGACTAGCTTGCCCTCGGCCGAAACAGGCATAAAGCCTTTGGTGGTAGGATCGTCTTCCAGGACTCGCCTGGCTTCACCACTGTCGAGATCAAGAACGATGAGAGCTGGTGCGCCGGCATCAGTGATGTACGCAAACCCGGCAGAGGGATTGAAGCGTATGTCGTCGATTAGACTCGTGGCAAGAGAGACATCTGTAATTACATATCGTCAGTGTCCAGAAGCAGCCACATTTACCTCTACACATTCACGAGGAGGGCTTTGACTTTCGGCAGCGATTTCCAAGTCACCAGGCACAAAGGACTCGTTGGAAGCCGAGCACTCACTCCCAAGATTGTAAACTCTGGCCACGGTGTTTGTGGTCAGATTGACCTGGACAAGCTTCGGGCCATCAGGCAAGATGACGGGCTCCCCAAAGCCAGGTGAACCGGTATCTACCAACCACAAGGTTCCATCTGGACCAATACGCTGAGAATTGGTCCGGATTAGATGTGTTGCCGGATCTTTTCCAGCGGCGTAAGAGTTCCATTCGGCGTTGGGATACGGTGTCGGGTCGCTGTTGTTGTGCCATTCGGCGACCTGGGGCCCAGTCGAGCCATCAATTCGAGCATACAGAAGGAAGAGACGACCGTCAGGAGTGGTGCTGACGCCATTGACGGGATGCTGAAGTGTCAGTGCAACGTTCAGCCTTGGATCTTGTGCGACACAGCCTGTAAAGGCGAGTCCGAGAGAAATATAAGCACTGAGCGGTAGTGACTTCATTCCGTTGTATGGTGATTCCGGGGGGCTTGTCACTTACTACCGGTAGAGTCAGAACTGGTGATGTTCCTCCTTATATCGACCGCAGTCGCGAGCATCAAGCAACGACTACCGAATGACGCCATGTGAATCCATGCAGTACCCCGCACAAAAGAAGGCAGGGGTAGACCGGCTATGAAGCGGAGTTGTGACACGTCGTAGCGGAACATTGGCCGTTTAATGGGATGATTTCCTTCATTGTATCATGAATTGGGAAGTAGCGAGCGATTAGCCTGGACGCGCGTGGGCTAACGAGGAAGCCGGGAGTTTGACCGTATGTGCACCGGCGGGCATGGATTGACCTCCCCGTCGACCCCTCGACTAAAAGGTGTCGGGGATAGTGCCTCAATACTTGCTTATTCATCCAAAAGACAGTATAACTCACCATTCCTAGGCAAATACGAGGCACTATAGGAGAATAGGGTAACTGTCAAGAGGTTCCTGATAGAAGGAGACTACCCCCTCGGCGCCAGTCGGCATATTTAAATATTTATAATGCCGGCCGGCTATCAATCGGGTACAGCAATCTCCACCTCCACATGATTGTAATGTGCATTTGTCATAATACTAGGTTCATAGTAACTCTTTTGAGATGTTATGTCCAATTCCTGTGGGGTATAAGACTGGACATGTATTCCTACGTCACCTTTGGGGGCATCACTCCGCCGGCACAACATAGCCTTTGCAAGTCCTTCTACATCTCAACAACATCATGTCAAGTCTCCCATCCAAGACCAGGAGCTGGATCCTGACCAACAAACCAAAAGGACTCCCAACGATCTCAGGCGACGCCCCAACCTTCACTCTGCAAACCAGGGACATTCCACCCTTGAAGGACAACCAAGTGCTAGTCAGGGTTCTCTACTACAGCAACGACCCGGCTCAACGAGGCTGGATCAGCCCAGATGTCCCAAGAGACAGACTGTACGTTCCACCGGTCGAGGTTGGTGAGCCGATGCGATCCCTCGGTCTGTGCGAGGTACTCGACAGCAAATCCGAGTCTTTACCCCGAGGCACCATTGTCACCGGCGTACCAGGGTGGAATGAGTACACAGTCCTGGATGCAGCCACCCTCACTCCCGTGCAACCACTTCCCAAAGGATTGGGGTTGACACACTACCTCGGGGCCTTAGGCGGTCCAGGGTTGACTGCTTACTATGGCTTGGTTGTCGTATGTGAGGCCAAGAAGGGCGATAAGATGGTGGTGTCCGGTGCGGCCGGTGCAACTGGGAGCATGGTGGTCCAGATTGCAAAGCACATCGTCGGTGCCAGCAACGTCATTGGCATTGCTGGCAATGAGGACAAATGCCGCTGGGTCGAGAGTTTAGGGGCCGATAAATGTGAGTGAGCATCTCAAAGGGCCCAGGACAAAGTTGCTAACGATCTAACAATCCAACAGGCCTGGACTACAAATCTCCGTCGTTCGCAGAAGACCTCAAAAAGGCCACCAATGACGGTGTCGACGTTTATTTCGACAACGTGGGCGGCGAAATTCTTGACTTGATGCTCGGACGTCTGTCCATGTATGGTCGTGTCGCGGCATGTGGTGCAATCTCGCAGTACAACTCTTCGGAGCCGCTGGTGCTGAAGAATTACTTGCAAGTCATCACGATGAGACTTCAGATCCGAGGATTTATCATCTTCGACTACAAAGAGCGCGCCGAGGCACTGAAGATCTTCAGACAAGCTATCGAGGAGGGTAAACTGAAGATTGGAGACGAGAACGAGACTGTTGTACCAACGAGATTTGAGGATGTGCCCAAGACATGGTTGAAGCTGTTCTCAGGGGGAAATACGGGCAAACTAGTTACAAAGCTCGAGGCATAATTTATTCATGGACAGAGACCAATAGCAGTCAACAAATAAACACAGTCGTACCCGCGTCTTTGGTTTGTGGCATTTCTGCATCATGGCGGTGTGCCAGGTCCGCGCAGTAGCTTCACTGGCATACAGCCTGTGGAGGCCCCCAGACCAGGATCCCATAGCATCTCAAACGGGTCCCATCGTCTAAAGTTGACGAAAGTTGGTGTTAGGAATGAAGAGGAAGAAAGACCCAAAGGCTCAGGCAGCAACAGGTGAGCCGAGAGTGAGCAAAGCGGCGAGCGGCTAATCGCAATGGGACGAGGGAGGATAGTTTTTCGCAAGAGTGTACCTATGTAGGCACTAGGCGCATGAACGTACGTGACTGTATAGCTGCGTAGTACCGATGTACATCGTCCGGATCCCCTTCAAAGGTACTGAGTACCGTTACCGTGCGCTATGTACACACACGCGAGCTCCACCACGACTACTCGACCTCGTACCGAGTGCCCGTGCGAGGTATTTCGACACGCCACAGTGGGGCCGTCAGGTGTTGAAAAGGGGCAAGGCGAGTTGTCACGACTGTCCTGGTCACGGGGAGAGTAGGGGGGTATATCCACACTGAAGGCGAGGGACCCTTCCCGATGCGGAATAACATGACATTCCCGAAACCGAAAGCGGTGCCAGCGAAACAAAAAGACAAGGATTCCCCTTCAAAACGCCCAAGGGGATTGATTGATTCATGGCACCGTCAATGATTATTACCATTATTAGCTCCAAAGTCTCCAGGGACCCATACCGTGCCCGCTGAAAACAAGAAGGAACAACAAAGGGGAAATAAGCGGCTCGGACTAAACCTACAAGGGACACACATCCGTGGAGGAGACAAAAGTCCTTTTGTCCTCTGGTCTCTGCGTGCAATGCAATGAAGTGCCGTGCAGAGGGTGGAACGCCAGAATAGAGCGAAAATCCGCAGACGTGCCTGTGCCCGTCCCCGTTCCCAGAGCCAAAGGTCGCTTCGTTGCGACCAGAGAATCTCTGTGCCGTCGTTTACGGTGATTTGAAACCCCGGCGTGCGAACGTCCAGAATTGTTCCCGTGTATAACAAAGAGGCGTGAGGCTAGCCAAAGATTAATGGGAATATCCACCGTCTGTCTGCAGAATAGGGCTTTGTCTCTCGCCACAGTCAAGCGACGCTGTTGATGCCAAAGCAAGGAGACGAAGGGCACGAGGACTGAGGTCTTGTTACTGCTCGAGAGGGTGGAATCAATGCCCCTGGTTAGCCCCGAGATTGTCAAAGCTAGGCACAAGCATGCTCAAATAATGGTCATAGCAGGCAACCCAAAGAACAATTGACTCGCGAGCTGTCTTCTCCCTACCACCATGGAAGCCGACCACTTTGCACCAACAACTATCCATTAACCCTCGACTACACTTGATGTGGTTTGATCCGAAAGCGCCAGGCAATTGCTTTCAAGGAAATTTGCTGCTCAACCGCTAGATAACGTAAAGAGGAAACTCCACTGCGCTCGTGACAGCTACGAACTGGAATCATTCCATGGGTTTGTGGAAGCCTTGTCAAAGAGTATGGTATGCGTTTGTTTCAAGACTGGGACTCGGCGGCACAGGTTGGATTCCGTGATGGACTCTAAGCCAAAGAAATGGCAAGAGGCCCCGTAAGCAGTTGCGAGCATCTTGAGGTAGCGCACCAACCCTGAGGTGCCCGCTTGTCCCGGCCGTTGATGAAAGAAGGGTATGAGGACTCCATGCTTTGAAACGTTGCAGGACGGTGGAGAACAACTGCTTGAAGATCATGCTGGTGTGGCCGTCGTGCAATGGGAGTGCAGGCACGACGTGGTTCCGATGTATAGGCACAAATTTCGCGTAGCTGACAGCCCATGCTGCATGATCAACTTTCTGCGCCGCTTCCAGAGAGTAGTCGCCGGTGAACACCAGCGTGGTCGACATTCGCAGGCGACCAATCCCAGAGACCACAATCGTTCCATGGTTGCTCAGTAAGGCTGAATGTTGGCCATGCAAGGTTTGTCATCCTCTGCCCACAGTCACTCAAAAAGGTTAGTATCCGGGACCAGCTCTTGCAGAAGAGCATTGGTTTCTTCGTTTCCCATCTCAATGTCAACATCGTCGGAAGCACACAGGAAAACGCTCATCTCAAGATCCGTCCAACGGGGGATCAGATGTCTTTTGGCCACCCATTCTTGAGCATAAACGAACCGTTCCACGACATTGTGCAGGACTTTGGGTCCATCCTTCAGTTCATCCCACTTTTGGACGTCGTCAATTGCCTTGTCAATGAACTCTTGATATCGAGTGGCAAGCTCGGTTGCAAAACAGTTTCGCCCTTTGCCCACGGACATGCCGACCAGTAGCAACCACAGAAACAAGTCGCGTCGGTAGCGCCACAAGTCGGTGCCCAGACTCTTATCGAGATGCGCCAGGAGCTTCTCTGCCAGTCTCAGCGGAACAAAAGCGCTAGTCCACGTTTGGATGCTTGTCATGTAACAAACAATGTATACTGCCAACCGACAGCACTCTGCTATCGGCCCAATTTTCTTGCAACTTTCCTCGTGGAAGACAAGCCGAGACTGGATGGATGTTTGTAGGTCGGTAATCTTCTCCCGATCGGTGGTACCCGTCGCCACGAGCTCTTGGAGGTAAAGGAGGCTGCGAATACAAAGCAGGACATCGCCGCTAATGACTTGTTCGTGTAGAACGAATCCAAGCGGTAGGGCAGGCAGCGAGGCGGTAGGAAATTCTTCGGACCGGCCAAGAAGACCTCGAAAGTCTGGTTGCTGGAAGCGATCTTGATTGCACACAAGCGCGGTACCTAGAAGGTGCTGCCTGTCACGAAGTATCAATAAGTCCATTCGAACCCAATATCTTTAGATGACGAACCAAAAGACTGCGTGTAGTACTTCGGATCGTAGTTGCGTCCCATCTGCATGGCAATGCTCGAGAAGTTTATAGAGACCCTCTGAATGTGCCGAAGACTCAGCAAGGTCACCGCAATGATGCTACTGTCTGATTAGCCCTCATCGCGCAGACGTTTAGGCCGTTGGCATACCGCAACACAGGACAGAAGCAGGATTGTTCCAATTGACAGAGCTCGGATATTGGGATCGTCCTTGTGCAAGTCTTCCCTCAGACATTCGATGGCTTTTGTCTTGAGCAGGAGTGATTCGTTTGTTGTGTTGCAGGAATTATGGATATGAAGTATAGAATAGAGAAGGGCGTACAGAAATGCCGAGTTAGTCAAGCACTCCGGAAATAGGGAGAGCGCCGTCAAGTCCCCGTCAACAGGGCCTGAAACGAGCAGTGGCTCAGCCGCCACTTGAAAGGCACCTAACGGGGGGTCAACATCAGCTTTCTCTCTGCAGAGGATAAGGCACGTACAACTCCTGAGAAGATAATCGATTCGTGTTTCGTCAAGATCGATAGCTTTTGAAATTTGCGACGCGTAGGGGTGGCTTTCATCGTTGGAGGACGATGCACCAACAACCGGGATTCGACCCGAGCTCGGCAATTTTGGATTGGGTGGCTTCGCGCGACTCCTCGCACAGGTGCATCGTCTCGGAGGACCATCGCCAGCCGCTGACGACAGGAATTGAAAGGCGGTTGTGGGAATATCAGCACCACTGGGATTCAGGGGGCATTGTTGTGAGGCACCTTCTCGTGATGGAAGGTCTTCAATTTCCGGTTCAAGACTTTGACGGTTATCCTCGTTTGGGGGTTGTTTCCGCTTGCCGCTTTTCACTTTGCCTCCCTCTGAGAAATCTGTAATGGTCAAGGAACGAAAATTCTCTAGCCGCCGGGTGCTCTTCTGGTTTGACCTTTCGAGATTGACTTTCCGAACGTGTGACCGAAGAGCACGTACTTGACTCGAATCCAATGAAGACCCTGGCTTGGTCTCATGCACAAAATGAATTGGTTGCGACATGATACGGGTCTGAGGGACGGGAGGCTGTCTCGGTGCGAGATTTCTTCTGCGGCAGAGGCGAATGATTAATTATCCCAATGATATAGATATAAGAGAATAGACCCGTAGGAATGTGATAAGGGCAGTACCGTAGAGGCTCCTAAAGGGCCCGTTAGCAAAGTACCGTAGCGTAAAGCATCCAGGATGCCAAAAGTCCACTTGTCACGGCCAATTTCCTCCAATGTGAAAGTCACGAATGCCTTGATATCCCCCATAAATATGACTAAGGGAACTTGCCTATGGCACAGCCTGGACCCGTCGCTTTGGTAATGTTCGATCTTCTGCAGGCGAACTCGATTATGGCATCTCGCGTGTGGCTAACGCCCTGTAGCTTGCCCTGCTGGCGTGCAGGACTGATGTGGTACGAACGAAGGGGCACCGTTGTGCATTTCCGATTGGAGAACTCCTTCCAAACTCTGCAGCGTGGAATAGCGTTAGGTGCCTGGGGAGGGATGCAGGCGGGCGGCAGAAGATCAGTGGTGGCCCCGACGGTTCCGTCTTATGCTTCAAATGGCCATAAGAAGTCGCGACTCTCCACCTTGTCTTCTATTCTCTCATCTCTCATGTGCAGCTTCAGTCTCTGACTAGGGCTGTATTGCAACTTCGAAGTGGCAAGAGCGGTCAGGCTCCTCCTTTTAGGCCGGTGAGTCTGAACCTTGCACGAGCTATCCAGGACCGTTGCGACCGAGCGAGAGTGGTCAAGAGGGAGAAAATGCGCCACAACCAGACGATCCCGCCGACTCTAACCCGTCAACGCGAAGCAAACCTTTGCGCCGCCCGGCACGCCTTGGCCTGACGTCTGATACATGAGGGAAAACGAGCTTCACACACCAATCGCCGCGGAGCGAATCTGACAGATAGCTCGATCAAGAGCAGGGCGCAAGAAGAAGGGGCGTCGAGTTTCTCCACGGGAGGCGAGTTGCGCAAGTTCATCATCGTCGATGTATCCGACCACGCGGTTGAGGACGGGAACCACCATCGGTAGGACATCAAGGCAAGCAATCGCAGCCTTCGGCAAGTAATTTTCCTTCTCCTTTGTCATTCGTCATCGACCGCGCCCGCCCCGAAGCTCACCGCGCCGGCGTATGGCTGATATAATGGAGACCGGGATTTAGCGTCGTCAAACACGCAGCAAGCGAGTTCTCACCCTGTCGGCTGCGCAGGAGAGAAGTTTGCACCAGCAAAAGCGGCGAGAGGATTCCCCACCAATCAAGGCTTCTTTCCGCATTAGTGGCTTGGCGCCGTCCAACGTCCAGCCTGGCCTTCTCCAACCCCATCCCCAGACTTGTTATCGAACACTACTAAACAATATCCCTCACGGGCAAGTTCTCTGGAAAAGGAACTGTCCACGAGAACCGCACTTTGACATCATGTCCCGATAGCTCGCCACCTCCACCCTGACACCGTCGAGTTTGCCTCGACGCCAGCCGACGCACCATGTCACCACCCTCTCCTGGCTTCTCCGAAATCCAGAAGCCGCTTCACTCCCCGGGTAGAGATTCTCTCGAACTTGCCTCTCTGGCCGACTCCGAGCACGATGAGCTGCCCACGTCCGAGGAGTCCTCGCGTTCCGGCATTTCCTCCTCCCGACGACTCTCCCTCGAGAATGAGGATCCTTTGGACAGTGCCAACCCACTATCGGCTCGCAGCAACGCTCATGGGCGCTCCTACTCCGTCTCATCCGCCTTTGACTTCACCCCTGCGCTGTTTCCGCTCTCTTCGACTGCAGGAGGAGGATACACCGCGCTGGGGAATCCGTCAGCCGTGTCGCTGTCTCTCGAAAGACGTGGGGCGTTACAAAACCTGGAAAAGAACAAAACTTTGACTTACCTCAATGGGCTCTCGCTAGTGGTCGGATTGATCATAGGCTCTGGGATATTTTCTTCGCCAGCACAAGTAAATTCACATGTGGGGTCTCCGGGCGCAGCGCTGCTGGTGTGGACAATTTCTGGCCTGCTGGCATGGACAGGCGCAGCGTCGTACGCCGAACTTGGGGGTGCTATACCACTCAATGGAGGTGCGCAGGTCTATCTAGCTAAGATCTTTGGCGAGGTGGTGGGATTTTTGTTCACTTGGTCAGCTATCCTCGTCCTCAAACCCGGCGGAGCGGCCATCATCGCCATCATATTCGGCGAATATGTTGTCCGAGCAGCAATTGGCGCAGAAGTCGAAGATGTCAATCCGTGGATCAACAAAATCCCCGCCCTGGCAGCCCTGGCGCTGGTCACCCTCTTCAACTGTGTTTCGACGCGTTTCGCTGCCCGTTTGGGGGATCTATTCATGTTCTTCAAATTCGTTGCACTCGTGGCAGTCACCATCATCGGCATCATTGTAGCAGTGACCGGCCTCTCTTTCAACGGCCCTGCCAACAAGGACTGGCGCGACCACAACTGGTTTGAAAACACGTCGACCGACATTTCCAGTTGGGCCGTGGCACTGTACGCAGGGCTCTGGGCGTTTGACGGGTGGGATAACACGAACTACGTTACTGGCGAGTTTAAAAACCCAGCACGCGATCTTCCCAGAGTACTCCATACAGCCATGCCTGCTGTCATCGTATGCTATCTCCTTGCCAATGTTGCATACATCTTCGTCCTGCCTCTGGAGACAATCAACAAATCCAACACTGTTGCTGTGCAGTTTGGAAGCAAGGTCTTTGGTCCCATCGGGGCGCTCATCCTGGCGCTGATCGTGGGCGCATCCTGCTTCGGGGCATTGAACGCCACAACCTTCACGTCTGGCCGCTTGGTCTATGTGGCTGGACGAGAAGGATACCTCCCTGCTATGTTCGGGAAGATTGGATTGGGGTCCTCCTCTGGTCCCGAGACGCCGGTGTCGTTGACCAAAACCCGCAAAAGATCATGGCTCTCGAAAAGCCTTGCTCGCATATTCGGAGATGAATCCATCGGCCTGGGATATACGCCGGTCAACGCCATGCTGCTGAATATGCTCCTCTGTATGATATACATTATTCTCGGCGAGTTCAAAACACTCCTTACATTCTACGGCGTCGCTGGATACACCTTCTACTTTCTGACCGTCCTCGGCCTCATCGTTCTGCGGATACGCGAGCCCCGATTGGAAAGACCATATCGCACATTCATCACTACGCCCATCATCTTCTGCTGCGTGTCTTTGTTCCTGGTCAGTCGGGCTGTTGTGGCGCAGCCCGTGCAGACGGTAATTGTCATTGTATTTGTGGTCAGCGGTTTACCTGTGTACTATTGGCGGGTGGCGAGGAGAGAAGAGTCGGGAAGGCAAGGACACCGGGGCATGGGCAAAAGGGAAGGACGGTTCTGGCGGAGATGGGGTCGATCGTGATTTCTTGCTGCGATGGACCAGGCAACATTGCTTCTTGGTTTTGACCACCATTGTTACAACAAGATTGACTGTAGTGGTCCTTGGCAATGGTTTAGGACTGGGCTCCCAAGGCTTTGAGGCGTTTGAAAGCGATTGGATAGTTAGAGCAGCATTGTCAATAAGATGGAACAGGATATTGCACATGTCGAGTATCAAACCTTGTTTTGAAGTCCCAAAGGGTGCACACATTCCCATTTCGACAGCCGTTTGGCGCCACAGGGCTGCCTTGGAAACAACCACGACGTTCTAGTCCGAAGCATGGGGCGTTGTGGTGGTTTGCTTCCGGAGGGAACTCGGGACGCTGGTGACCATACCTATTGCAGGCATACGAACCCTTGTCAAAAGGCCAAGGGGAATGCTAACCGGTTCTGGGGGGACGTACCCTGGTCGATCACCGAATTGGCATGGAGCACGATATGATATGATATGATATGTAAGGTAGGTTATGCATGTATGTACGAGGGCCGCCTACTGTAGCACACGCGACGACGACTCGGGGTGGGGGTTTGGTGCGGATGGATGGGTGGGTAGGTGGGTGAGTAAGTTTACCGCATACTAGGCAAGGCACTTACTTGTAGTAGGGATGTCCTAATAATCTGATCTGATATGTGGGCACAGTGGGGGGGTTGTCTGCGGTAGGGTATTAGCGAGGGTGAGCCACGCACCAATTCTGTACTCTGCACAAAGGACCCGGATGAACGAAGAAGCGACAGGACGGATTTCTAGACTCGTTGTTGCGCGCGGCGAGGCTGATCCGGGACTCACGGGAAGAGTGTGCTTTTGCTTTTTGACTTTTGGGGGGGGTGTTACATATTTTCCTCGATGACTTCCACCACGCTAGACTAAATCTGCACCTCCAAACTGCACTACGCAGGTGGATTTTCGATGTACATACTTACATACATTACACACAACGAACGTACATGCACCCAACAGTGCTCGGTCCGATGGCCACATATACTTTTGGGAATCACCTAGCGAGCCAGGTAGGAAGGCGTTCTAACCCGACTTTCTCCTGATAGTTCTCCGCGGTCGTGTCCTGGTGACGAAGAGTGAGTGAGTGAGTGAGTTTCATTTCTCGAGATGATCGAAATATCCGCCCCCAAATAAACTATACCATGCCTATTTTGAGCACATTGACTGCTTTGGGCCTAGTACGTTTTCAACCACGCTAGTGCCGCATTCAGCCACAACTGCCCCGCTGGGGTCTCGGTCCGTGTTAAAAGGGCCAGAGAAGGTGGATTACTAATGGACAAACGGCAACAGAGCATCAGAGCGGGAGAGTCGATGACGACGGCGCCTTGGGCTCGGGCTCGGCCTCTAGAGTCCAAGGACGGGCGGTAAGTACCGAGTACGAGGGATGGAACGAAGGGAGCTACCCACGCTGCTGTACCACTAGGTCGCTGGCCCAACTCCCCCATCTCCAGGACCCAAACTAACTGACCAGGGTAGTTTGATCTGGTTCTGGCCTATCTTCCTCTTCCTAGCCCATTGCCCGATCGAGCGTGAGGGTCCGCACGACGACGACCAACTCTGGCCCTCTTCCCATCAAACCACGTTTTCCATTCCCTCTCTCACATTCTTCTCGTATCTCTCTCTCTCGTTCTCGTCGATCGTCTCGGCGACGAAAATCATTCCTCGATTCACAGAAATTCCCTGATTTCGACAGAGAAGAAAAGAATTGCAAAAATTGCAAAATACCTCGTTGAAGGCTGGACATATCCGGAAACTGCGACCAAATAGTTAGGACTTCCTAAAAGCCGCACAAGTGGTGTGAGTGAGCGAGTGAGTGAGCGCGCGCTGTCTGCACCGAAGCGCACTTCCTCTTCTGTGCATTCTGATCGACTCTCCCACCTTATCGTCTTCAACTCGCGGTCCACGGTCTGGCTTGCTACCGGGTCGACCTACCAAGGATCTAGGATCTAGCGTCTAGGGATGTGCACAAACCGGATTGGAAAACGGGGACCTTTGTAAGATATCTGACGGGAAAGGGGAAAAAAAGCAAGAGGATTGCCGGCGCGCAGGTGGTTTGCATTGTCTCCACCGAACTACGACGACCGTCCCTTTCTCCACAAGGGAACTCAGTCACGCCGGTAAGGGATGTGGAACTTGGTCTTCGCTGGCATGATTCTCGATTGAAGGAGAAAGGCACCGCATTGTGGTCAGGCTGGAAGTGCGATGCAGGAGGACAGGAGGTCCAAAGTTCGAGAGACGAGGAATGACTGACGGCAATGCATCCACTGTTGCCACCTCTTAGTTTCTTCATCTCCAGCATCACCCTTCCTGTGACCTTGACTTTGGTCTCGAGTGATTCTCGCTCTTCTCGCCTCGAGCTCCGACTGTTTCCTTGCGCTTTGCCTCCAGTGCTAGTTCGAAGGCCCTGGACATGATGGTTTGACTCTTTGCCCTCCCCTTCTGGTCTCTTCCATTGCCGTCACTTGTCTGCGTCCACGACTGCGTTCAAGAAACCAGCCTGGTCTTTAACCACAAGGTCGAAATTCTGGACTCCTGATGTCGTCCCTGTCTCTCCTTCCTCCTCGTCCTCCTGCCTTTGCTGGCCTCCCTGCTCCTTCCGACGAGTCGCCTGTGGCTGCAGTGCTCTTCAATTTCAAGAACGGTCGTTTCCTTTTCCCGCCCCCCGCTGTGTCTGTTGCTTCCATCGCTCTCCCATTGGCATTCCTTGTCCAAAATTTGGTATCTGCGGCTTAAGGGGGGCAGACAGATTCGCACAGCGTAGACGTGGCTTTGGTGGAACAATGACACTCTGGACTGGCTTGGAAGGGGCCAAGGATTGCTCTGCGTTCCTCGTGCCAGGGGACATCCTCTTTGATATTGTCGAAGAGGCACGGAATTTCTTTTGTGAAGGGCGTACAGTGAGGTCGTGTGGCGGCCTATGCACACCGTGGGTTGATCGTGGCAGGTGCTGCACCGTATCAGCAGCTTTCTGTTTTGCAACAGCCGTGTGCGTACCGTCCGAAACAACGGTACGGGTCTGGGGCCGTCGAATATGGTGGAGCGCTTCCGACCTGGATTCCCAGATCGGCGAGGCAGCATTGATTTTGTGACCATGAGCGTGCGCTGCAGCTTTCACACCAGGCTCGACGTTCTCCTGCACTTCACTCTGGGGAACATTCTCCTCGTGCTTCCACTTTCGCCAAAAGTCGAGTAGTTCAACATCTCTCGGGCGCAGGGGAAGCTTGGCATCGTCAGAAATAGCAAGAATTTCAGTAGCGACCAAACGCATTCCCATATACCGCTGAATTGTATCCAATCTCTCGTTAAAAGTCGTGAACAAGCAGTATGCGGTCAACTTTCTAATGGCCTTTTCTCGTTTGACCTTCTGTTCTCGCCTAGAAAGCTTTTTGAAATCCTTTGTGTGTACTCTTGCCCAGAAGATCGCCGTAGCCCAGTGTTCTGCAATGCTGGCCAGATGAAGCAGTCGTTGGCGAGGCAGCCATCGTTGTCTGGGCAAACCATCATCGTTTAACCCCGATTGCCTGTAGACCAGGACAGGACCAAATGAAGGCTCATCGACGTTCGAATGGACCAACGAGCTGGATGTTGGTTTGAATTTCCCATCGGCAGCCGCTCGGTATAGTCGCAATGCGGCGTAGGCGCGCGAGGCAAGATCTGGTAACCATTGTTAGTGGCATACACTTCGAAAAAGTTTGTAACCCACGTGTAAGAAGATGGAGGGGCTCGATTGATCCAACCCTCCTAATAGCACGAAATTCTGTTCCGAGAAGCAAGTCTCGGAGCGCTCGTGGAAGGTCGACTGCTGGTAAGGGAGAACCAAAGACTTGGGCAGCCATTGATGATATAATACTCCCAGGCCGGTCTTTCGAGGATGTTGCACTAGGGGGTACATCACAGCTGAGAGAATCACAGAGCTCGACAGCACCTTCTAATTCGATCGAGGGACCGTCCGCCAATAGTTGTCCCTGGGACTCGACATCAACACCAACCTTCAAGATCGAAGCATTTTGCATGATATCAACGAAAGGCTCCTTCGAAATGAGGGTCAACTGATTCATCAAAGCTATATGGATAATTGCCACCTCGTGGTCACTTGCAAGAATGAGAAACTCGACCAAGCGATTCCCCTGGGTTTTGGCTGTGTGGATCGTGTCGAAGCCGAGGACCTTGCAGCTACTGAACCGTGGCAACACCATCCGGAGCCCTGAATACGTAATGACATAGTGGATCGGAATTGCCGTACCGAGAGGATAGAGGGACGTAGGAGTCTGCCATGGCACAACGTGCGTAACAGCAGGTGCTAGCTGCTCGGTATTGTAGCGAGGCACAGACGAAGTTGCCAGAGAAGAATCAACATTTGGTGATGGCACATGGCGATCTCCGTTTCCGCTCGGACTACCCAAGCATATCTTGCGTACTCCAGACCAAAGCATAACGAACTCAGTCAAAAGCAGAATGTCTCGCTGAGTATCGGAGAGGTGGTCGTGCGCTTCTTCAATCTTTGTCATCAGTCGAGTCGGTGGAGAACGAGAGGGGATCTTGAAGAGAGTCAGCAGGTTGGCGTAAGAGTTTTGCAGGCCCACGAAATCCCGATTGTGAGCAATCAGTGGTCGAAGGTTCGAAAACAGGTCTCTCTGAACGGCGGTCCTAGCAAGTCCTTCAAGTTTCTGCCGCACATCACGGATTGCTATTCTGCTCAACCAGCGCACCTTCGCACCGTGGAAGAGAAATGCGCTTTCGTAAAACAGCGTCGTCAACCGTTGCGATGAAGGGGCGTAGTAGAGTCCCGACATGTGTCTGAGATGGAAGTAGTCGGTCATGATGCGCTCCGCGTTCAGAGTTATCGCATTAACTAGTAGCTGAAGTGGGTAGATGAGCTTGAGGTGGCCATAGATTTCCGCAGAGCACAGAACTTGAGCCTTTAGCCTTCGTATTTGTCGAAGATCGTGCAATGTCATTGAAATCACATAGGCAGTGTCAATTATGTGGTAGCGCAGCCACAAGATCCCGTACAACCGGAGCCTGATCCGCGTCGGCAAGGACGTCCCAGGCTTCTCATCTTTGACAATATCTGGATTGCGCAAGTAGGCCCAGTAACGATCAGTGTCGTTCAGCTCTTTCAGGATCGGCGCGAGATTTTCATCACTGAGTGCATCCCTCGTGTCGAAATAAATCGAGTTGCCAATGCCTCTTGTCTGCTCGTTAAGACCTCCGTCACTGTACCACTCGGTAAGTTGGGACTCTAGGTGCTTTGCTCTTTCGAGTAATCGATACCGTTGCAGGTAACGATCGATGCTGGCCTTGTTACCCAACGGAAACACCTCAGTGTGCTTGGCAATGTCTTGAACCCTGCGAAACCTGAGCATCCACTCCTCTCGTTTGCGTACAATGACTTCCTCTCTTGCTCTTTCGGCTGCTTGTTTCTGCACCTTTCGTTCCTCTGCCCTGGCATCCAGCAGCTCCTGCTCTCTTCGACTCTTCTCTTCCTTCTGCCGTGCGAGTTCTAGCTGTCTTGCCGCCTCTCGCCTCTGACGCTCTTTCTCAAGCTCTCGTTCTTGGACTGGGCTGTTGGGCAGTGATATATCCGGACCCGCACCCTTTGCAGTTCGTGTTCCGTCCGCAGAGAGTGGGCCAACGCTGACATAAGGAGGGTATGGCAAGTTTGTTCGCTTTGGAAGGATGGGGTGCGTCAGGAGAGGAGTGGCTGGCTGTGACAGTGGCGGAGGCTTTTTGGGAAGAGTTGGAATAGGCCCACATTCTCTGGTAGAGTTCTTGAACGACGACCCTGAGTGGGTGTGGAAAGGGTGCTTTCCAATACTCAAGTTGCGCCGTAGGCCACGATCTGAGGCTCGATATGATCCTGGGAACCAGCGGCTGGGTGCGCTCTGCGCGGTTCTCAAGGAACCCTCAGGTGCATTGCGCAGTGAGGGGGCCCCAGGCACATTTTCAGCCTCTGAAACGCAACAACATTTCGAGTCTGCTATTCGATACCTCTCCAAGCGTACGATATGGCTGATGGAGACCTCGATTTGGCAACAAGTCGTGCGGAAAGTCAGGGTTGGGGAGACCAAGCTGGAGCCAACCGAGCCGCAGAGCAGTCGGTTGTATCCATTGGACATGGAAATTGAGGGCCCAACAGGCCGCCTTTCACAATACCACAGGTAAAAATGGAGGACGTGGTCCTGAATCCTAATAGTATCGCCCACCAAGAATGTTGGAAAATGCCCTCGACGAACCTTCTCCATTGAGATATTGCTGCGGAAATGGAACGTCTGCGGGGGCCATGCTTCACCGTGGCGCAGCCTCGCAGCCTCGCAGCTTTACTCGGTGCCAGGAATGCGAAGCATTTACAAACCGCCAGATATTTCAAAAGCACCTTCTGTTACCCTTGCAATGCACTTAAGGCTATCTCATCCGTTTACGGTTGTCTCGGTGCTGCCAATCCGCCCATGAATACTCTCAGACAGACAAAGTCCTTCCCTGTTGTGAGCTTTCACGAGCGAGTTCGACCAGCCTGATGACCCCCACAGCCTGCTCAGGAGGCACTGGGACCTGAGAAACATCCCCGTCCAGCGCAGCAGCGAGACGTCGGTAGTACTCCGTGTACGTCGCAGGCTCCACGGTTGGGGCCACTTCACTGGAAATCTTGCCATCTCTGTAAAGATTCAATGTCCCATACTTGTCCTCGCTCTCGATCCCATAGCCTTTATCCCCTGGTCTCAGACCTTCCTTCCGAAGCTGATCCTCCTGCGGATCAAGGTGAAACTTCTTGAAAGATCCTTTGTCTCCGCGAACCCAGTATCTCAGTTGACTCACCTCCGGGCTGACAACTCCCGCTTTGACCGTGACCAACATCTTCGGGCTAGCGTAATGTAGCAGCACCGTACAGGAGTCCTCCAACCCGGTGGTATTTACCTCTCGCTGTGAACCGACGAACCCGGTGACCTTCTCCGGCATACCGAACAAGCTGACGACTTGATCCATCAGATGAGTGCCCAGGTCATACACCGCACCAGTCCCGGGAGCGTGGTGTGCCTTCCAGTTGTCGGCTGGCGGCTCCGGTCGATGCCGATCGAAGTGAGTCTCGAACTCGACTATCCGGCCCAACGCACCGTCCTTGATATACTTCTTCAATGTCAGAAAGTCCGAATCCCACCGTCGGTTCTGGTAGACGGTGAGAATCCTATTTTGGGACTTGGCCAGATCGACGAGCTCCTGTGCCTCAGCCGATGTGGGTGTAAAGGGTTTCTCCACGACAACTTTGAACAATCAATTAGTCCATGGCATCCTGTCGAGAGGGGAGAGCAGCGGGGGGATGGATACCATGCTTGTTCGCCAACAGCGCCGCCTTTGCCAGTTGAAGATGCGATACCGGTGCCGTCGTCACAACGACGACATGGACCTGATCATCCCCCATCATTTCCTCCGTAGATCGATAAGCCTTGGTCTTGGGCCAGTCCTTGCTTGCATCGTCGTCTGGTTTCGGGCTTCTCTGTACAATGGCATAGAGATTGAAATCCGGGACCGCATTCACAAAGGGGATATGGAAGGTCTTAGCACTCAAGCCATAGCCAATGATGCCGACATTGTATTTGCCTGCCGCCATTTTTGTGAAGGTGTCTTCGTGAGTTTCCTTGCAGCCGACACTTCAAGCGCTGCTAGAGAGCTGATAATAGACGCTGGGCTCCAACCACGAATATTAATGCTTCGCTTTCTCATCGACACGCAATCATTAAAAACTTGCACATGCAAAATACTGAAAGGGAAAGCTACCCGTGAGCGGTGGTAGATCACTAAGAAATATGTCACCAATGCAACACCAGAAATTTCCCCATAGTGGGACAGACGGCGCTGAAAATTCCGATCAAATCATGAGGGCAGTGAGGAGAATTACCTCTTTCGCCTCAATAAAGGGGTGTATGGACCACACAAGCGGCATGAGATTGCCAAATAGACCCAATCAGGAAATAATGCATCATCTCTCAGACGTTGCCAAAGGTGATATCGGCTACAACAGCAACCTTCGTGAGACAAACACGTCGGTAGCATCAAATACATAGCTTCCTGTGCCCTCGCAGCGTCGAGCATCCGTCAGCACGAAACAGCACAGCTTTTCACTCGAGATCATATAACAAGCAGGAGTCGGTGCAAGAAGAAGATAAGCGCCTGGTTAATTATTTGCACACCAGTTGTGGCAGCGACCTTTAATATCAGTATCATGTCTGAACCGTCAACCCTTGATATCCTTCAACTCAGGCCCAAACACATCTCCATCCCTTTCCAGCCTTTCCCTCTCCAGTTTACGCTTCTTGAGGGCCTTGTCTGTATCTGTCCCTTCTGCACCCTCCCTCTTTGCCGCCGCCTTCGCCCTCGCTACTGCCACGATATCCATTTTCTCCGGGTTCTGACACACCGTCAATTTCTTGCCGATGCGTCTCATTTCCTTGCGCTGGGCGGCGTCGTCTTCGGAACTTCGATAGGACTCGAGAAGAGTAGCGCAAGAAGATATCGTCACCATCAGCTTTTGCTTAAACTTTTCAGCTATGGTATCCGAGTCATCGGCTGTAGGTGGCAGCGCATCGAGTTTGGCGCTGATGTACGCCTCCACGAGTTCTCGATCAGCTATCATGACCGCAGCGAGCCAGATTTGGCTGGGCGTGTAGAGGAAATACGCATCCGTCATCTGTGCCGCCGTAGCGAGGAGCTTCTTCGCTTTGTCCGCGGCGACGCCGACTCTTTTCTCACTCCCGCTAGCCTTGGTGATGCTGCCGCCCAACCTTCCTTCCTCTGCTAAGACGTTCATCTCCACATGACCTCCCTGAAGACCCTTCATTGGATGCCGCACGTCCAAGGTAAATCTTAGCCCTTGTAGGAGTAAGAATTCAGGGGCTTTCACGTCGTCTTCGCTGACATTGTTAAGTTCAGCGACGAATCGTGACAGCGAGATGTAGAAATGGTCGGCTTTGGTAGCGAGATATAAAGCGCACATCATGATTTGTTTTGGATGGTAGGTCATCGGAGAGTTGGTGAGGTAGAACCGGCGGAGGTATTGGATGGCTGTAGCCTAGATACGACACTGTCAGAGACAGGGCTTCCATGTCCAAAGCCCAGAATTGTATGTTTGTAGGAGGGCGACATAGCCAATGTACACAATTCCTCGAGCCTCTGAATCGCGGAGGAAATTGTCGACGCGTTCTTATCAAAATGCATCGTGCGCTCAAGAGAAAAGTCATGGGAAAGAGGGTCCTCAACATACCACCACATGTGACGGTATCCTTGGGTTCATGGCCTCGCCCATGTCCATAATCTTAGAACATCCCCATTCCACAATCTTCAACTCCTCATCCACCGTCAGAGTCTCGATCTCGACATGATCGGCTCCCGCTCCTTCGCTGTGTTGTGTGCCATCGTTGTGATGGTCTCCATTTTGAGACGATTTGTTGGCAGCATGTACGCGTCGAAACGCAGCCTTCACCCGTTGGGACGCGAGCTTGTTAGTCTCCTCTCTTATTCGAGCCAACGATTCTCTGGTGTAGGACCAGTAACGGTACTGAGATGAGGCTCGGTAGATGTCGTCTTCGATCATGGTGGCATGCGACAACTTGACATCTTCTGCAGCCAAGAGTTGAAATATTCAGCCTTTCCGGCGCGGCGACCGGCTATTAGTTGTGTGTGGTTTTTTGAAGTGGTGTGGCAGGCACATGGATATGTGTACGAGGATGAAGCTGGGAACAAGTCTCCGACTGTCTCACTTCCGAAATTTATCCAAAACGATAATGACGGGCAATTTGGAAGAACAAGTCGGATTTTGACCACCGTCTCAGCCTGGCCATCGGAAGCTTTTAGCATTTTGATACATTATTGGGAGTTGAACGAGTGGGCCAGCATCAAGGCCTGCAGATGATCACCCAAGCAACATCCTTTTATCAGAGCAGCATATGGTTCATGATTCTCGTGATGTACATCCCGCCGAAGGCACCGTAAGGGCCGCCGCCGCACCCTACCATATCAACACCAGCGCTTTTATGCATTCAGTCAACCGGGAAGCTCCGAGACACTTCAGCGCTTCTAGGGCTCGCCCAACAGTCTAGCCGTAATATCACCCATGTACGCCTCTTCTAGCTCATAGTCCTGACCACCGTTTCGATCAATCCCGACGTAGTTGAATGCCTCCACCACACGTTCGACATCGAAGCCCATCATGACGAATCGGTCGATCAGGTCCTTGTTGTAGCCGTCGTACACTGCGATGTTGGCTTGAGCTTCTCTCTCCTGACTTTCTTTTTCTGCAGCCTCGATGTCCTTGTCGGTAGCTCCACCGCTGCTTTCGCCGATAGAAGACCTGGGGGCTCCAGCGTATTTTACTGCCCACTCTCGTGCCTGCCTCTCGAATTCTTTGGGATTTTTGATGAGCTGATTCGCGACGACCGCATCTTGAGGATCTTTGGGTTCGGGCGAGCTCAGCAGCGACTGCAAGGAGATCATGGCAGATTTGATTGTTAGAACGGGTGACCAGCCAGTGCTCAGTGTGTCTAGGCAAATGGCGCCCTATAGAAACTGTCAGTCTCCTCTTTCAGTGGCGGCCACTTCCATGGACGAACATACAGTCTGACTGGAAATATTGGGATGCCAGATCCTTGTTATAAACTTCATAACTGGCGGCTTGAAAGGGTATTCGTTAGGTATCTTGATCGAGACCTCGTATGTACCACCCTCATACGGTGTCCCAGTTGGGCCTTTGAAAGATCCTCTCAAATCTGTAATGCTATCCGCAACGGGCTCTGCAAAGATTTGAGACGTTGAGTCCGCACGGATATCCGCCAAATCCTTAGCTATCCTTCTTGCCTTGTGGCCTGCCATTTTGTCCGTCTGAGTCAAGAAAGGGAAAAGAGAAGCGGAGGGTCGTAACGGTCGTCGGAGAGTGATGACTGGACGTCGCTCGGTGGGATGATATTGGAGCAGATGAAACAGGCGTGAGATAAGGCTGAATGATTCTAGCGGTATGGACAAGTTCCGAAGAAGATTGGATATCGTCGAGGGTTAAAACGGAGACAAGAACGAACGAGGCTGTGAGCTAGAATCACGTCGAAGAATAGATCATGAGCGGTTGAAGGGGAAGGGTGTGTGGTTTGAACTAAGTGGATGGGGTATGCGAACTCTGAAAAGTCTGGGCCAACGAGTTGAGATGCTCGAGATGACAGTTATCAATACAATGACAAGAGTTGGTTGGTGTGTCACACAGCCACCATGGACGTGTTGCCTGCTCTGTGGCCTACGACGAGATGAATGCAGCCTCACTTTCATAAGCATGAGGCAGCTGGTGGGCGGAAATCGGAGAAGGTCTAAGGCGGCTCTCTCCCCATCGGCGAATCGGCGAAACAGCCACTAGGTCCTCAGCCACTACCTGCACTAGCCACATCTTGGCGCCGCAACAGGCGCGACGAGGCAGCGTCACGCATCTCTCCAAGTTGCTGTAATCAACTGCAAACCTACAATCTCGCCATTTCCCATCTCAACCCTTTCGCCCTTTCAAAGTCCCTTTCCCAGTGGTATCGCAGTCCTTCGGAATACCCTTTCTATCGTTTGCGTCATGGTAAGAGATGAATGGCCCATCTGCCATGTCTGCTGCTCTACTGACCATCTCCGCAGGGGAACCAGCAATCATCACAGCAGGGAGGCGGCCCTGGTCAAGGCGGGAAAGACGACAAGGATAAGAAGGTAATGTATATTCCCAGACTCGAGGGATCTGACACTGACACTCTCTAGAAGGAAAAGCCCAAGTATGAGCCTCCTCCACAACCCACTACCAGAATCGGCCGCAAGAAGCGCAAGCAAGCAGGCCCGAGTGCTGCCGCTAAGTTGCCTACCATTTACCCAACCGCCCGTTGCAAACTACGATATCTTCGAATGCAGAGGGTTCACGATCATCTATTGCTAGAAGAGGAATATGTCGAAAATCAAGAACAGATCCGGAAAACCAAAGCTGCTCAGACACAAGCTCCCGCCGCTGCCACGGAAGGCGAACCCCTAGATCGCAACTCTGATGAGAGAAGTAAGGTCGACGACATGCGAGGCAGTCCAATGGGGGTCGGCAATCTGGAAGAACTCATTGATGACGATCACGCTATTGTCTCCTCCGCGACTGGCCCTGAGTATTACGTCTCCATTATGTCTTTCGTTGACAAGGATCTTCTTGAGCCTGGTGCTTCGATCCTCCTTCATCACAAATCGGTCTCCGTCGTTGGTGTGCTTACAGACGACGCCGATCCTTTGGTATCTGTGATGAAATTGGACAAAGCACCCACGGAATCCTACGCTGATATCGGTGGATTGGAATCCCAAATACAAGAGGTGCGGGAAGCCGTTGAGCTCCCCTTACTACATCCAGAGCTGTATGAAGAAATGGGTATAAAACCTCCTAAGGGTGTCATTCTCTACGGAGCACCCGGAACAGGCAAGACCCTCCTGGCCAAGGCCGTCGCAAACCAAACATCCGCCACCTTCCTCCGCATCGTCGGCTCTGAGTTAATCCAAAAATACCTCGGCGATGGTCCCCGTCTGGTACGCCAGTTATTCCAGGTCGCCGCCGAAAACGCCCCTTCGATCGTGTTCATCGACGAAATCGACGCCATCGGCACGAAACGTTATGAATCAACATCCGGAGGTGAGCGGGAAATCCAGCGCACCATGTTGGAACTGCTCAATCAGCTCGATGGATTTGACGACCGTGGCGACGTGAAGGTAATCATGGCGACCAACAAGATTGAGACACTAGACCCGGCTTTGATCCGGCCAGGGCGTATTGATCGAAAAATCCTTTTCGAGAACCCCGATACGGCGACCAAGAAGAAGATTTTCACCCTGCACACCAGCAAAATGTCACTCGCCGAAGACGTCGATCTCGACGAGTTCATTGCCCAGAAAGATGACTTGAGTGGGGCGGATATCAAGGCGATCTGTTCCGAAGCTGGGCTGAGAGCGCTGAGGGAGAGGAGAATGAGAGTCAACATGGCGGATTTTAGGAGTGCGAGGGACAGTGTAATGAAGACCAAGAATGAGGGAGAGCCGGAGGGTCTATATTTGTAAAACCACAGCATTCGGCGCGAACTTGATGGACTGGCCACTCGAAAGAGGAGAGGCCGATTGAGGAGAGCTGGGGGGGGGGGGGGGAGCTGAAGGTGAGGCAGAGGAGAGAGACCTGTACGTTTAGGACCGTCGTGGCAGATAGAGTCAAATCCGGGAATCATTTCTGGCATAGAAAACCGACGGCGATAATCTGTACCTCGTATTGTGGTGGTTCAACAAGGAAGTCGCGACAATCTTTTCTCCCTGTCACAATCATTCCATCGAGCAAATCAAGTGCGAATTAACAGGCCTTCTTCACGCCTGCGGTGAACGGGAGGCAAGACCTCGTCTCGACTCTCGCGGTGTCATTAGACCGTCCATCTATGTCGCTGCTATCTAGGTTGTATCCGCGAGGTGCGCAGAAGCCGTCTATGTGTGTAGTCTCAGCACTTCCCGCGCCATACATATGCATGGCCCATGGGGACAGGTTGCTCTATGGATGTACTGCGTAGTAAGTACAGTACAGTAGTTCAGTAGGTACGCGCCCGCTGGGTTCCTCTCTAGGTAGCCTGTGTGGTATCGGTGCTGGTCTTGCTCGAACGTCGTCGACCCAGTCCCAGGTCAACATATCTCGCTCGCGCTCTGCTCTTGCATTCCGCGAGGAGATGTCGACAGGGTTCTGTTCAAACATGATTTTCTAAGGACACAGCTGCGGAGCTACCGAGCACCAAAATGACAGCAAAGGTCCCCGAAACACAGATGATCGGTGGACAAGCCCAAAGAATGGCTGGGACACGGGCACAGGCCTGCCTTGTGTACACACGCTCAAAGTGTGTTGCCTGTCATACCTCTTCACGACCAAAATCATGCTCAATCTGACGTAGAGCCCTTATCACAGCCGATCCGGCCAAGCAGCTCCTTGCGATCACTGCTACCTCCAAGCAGGTTGACACCGGAGGAATGGCCAGATTCGTGCTTCGGTTTCCTCCTCCCGCCACTGCTCGAACCCGCAGTTGACGACTCCGGTGTTGATCGTCTGCCTCCCGACGAGGACGAAGGCGATGTGGACTTGGACTTGGACCTCGATTTTGTCCGGGGTTTGGAAGATTTCGAAAGAGAGAAGTTAGGATCCGTGCTCAGAACTTCTGTCTCTAGGTACTGTTCGTGTGGTTCCACGCAGAGTTTGACTTTGTCGACATAGTCTCTTGATGACTTCTCGCTCGATATCTCTTCCTCCTCGTCCTCGTCTTCATCGTCCGAGCGCACATCTTCTGCTCCATTGCCAGTAACCACTTTGTAGGCAACCCGCACGATCATGCCAAACCAGAGGAGCAGCATCACCTGGAGTGCGAGGAGCATGGTCAAGAACGTCCATTTGATGCTATTGTTCCAACAGACAAGTCCAACAGGGTTCTTGAATGGTTGGATGAGATGATCCCAGTCGTTGGGCGTAGGGAATGGACCTTCAAGATCCTGTACGCTGCCCCTATAACATCCGTATGCGATTTCCTCCGGGATGTGGGCATAGATGCTGTACCAGACAGTCATGTATAGAATATGCCTAGCCAGGAGCCAGGAGACCATGAAAACACCAAATGCAATGTCGCATGCAAGCTCGAAATGGAGGTACTTGAGAATCTTGGCCAGCGGGAGGATGATGTCCGCCAAGTCCATGAGACAGAGAATTAGCGTCCCGACACGATATTGATGATAGCCGTAAGACGTGAAGATGAGTGAACAGGTCACAATATGGTGGGTGAACATCTGCCAGTGGTCCTTCCGGCGCTCCTCAATGTTCACCACCACTATCTGTTGCAGCCAGAAGCCGAATTGGACCAGATAGTACCACTTCGCCAGACCCTCCATTTCACGGTCGGGCCACGTCCTCCAAAGAGCCCGGAGGTCGAGCCAATAGTCAGAGTTGTACATAATGTACATACCCGTACACCATGAGGCCGTGTAGTAGCAGAGGATCCAGGCCTGCTCCGCGAATCGCACCTTGGGCTTCCGTTTCCGAATGCCGCAAGAAGCGGCCAAGGGACCGAGGAGATAGTCCATGGTAGCACAGCGCAGGCCGGTGAAGACAATGATCCAGTAAAAGACAAAGAATATGTCATCCCAACCCAGGGCGAAGTTGCCCGTTGCAGGGTTGTAGTAGGAAATTCGGAAGAATTTCTGGGTGTGATGTCTTGTCGAAGGGAAGAGGATGTGTATGAAGAAGAGCATAGATATGAGGTTGACCGATATGCCTGTGAGAGGGATCAGTATGGCCGATTTCATGACATGCTCCTGTTGCGGATGTTCTTACTGATCTGGTGATCCACAACCCATGTACATGCGCGGGCAACGGTGCTTTTCTCCTTACCCTTGCGCTCCCACCGAGGCCAGGCTGTTTTCTGGGACGGCGACTGACTGTGTTGGCGGTGCTCCATGGTCAAGTGGCTAAATTGTTCGAGTTTCTCTTGATCTGGTAGACTAGTCCGATCCATCTTCTTATGAGCCGGCGGTGAGGACATGAGGGAGCTCGTTGCAGTTCGAATAGGAAACTGAGCTCGAGACCGTGGCCTCCTGTTCGGGGGAGAGAGAGACTGTTCGATGCCAATGACAGCGCGGGGGTATATCAATCCGAGGGGACAATATGCGGCGAGGGCTAAGGGTGGGCGACCAGCGCAGCCAATGTGTGGTGTGTGTTGACAATGGAGGAGGGAGGACCGAGGGGGAGAGGCAAGCGAATGACAGGTCTGGCTGATGGCACACGCGTGCGTACAACTTTCCTCGCTAAGCCCGAATGCCAGACGAACGATCGGAACGCATTGGGATAGGAAACCAGACAGTGCGAGGAAAAAAGGCCAGAAGGGTAATGGTGGAGTGATATGGGATATGTGCTGCAGGGCATTGGGTGGAGGGGATGGGGGATTGGATGGCTACAGCTATTTCCCGACAGCTGTCGGAGTCTCTCTTTTAGTGGTGCTTGGTGCCTCCCTCCCCCCCGGTTCCAGTAGCCTAGCAGTAAGCCCTCGGTGGCTGCTACTGGCCGCGACGGAGTGGACATGGTACCTAGAGGTAGAGGAACTGGCGGTGTCGGTGTGAGATGTCGGCTTCGGCGGCCCCTGTCATTGGCAGCTGAACCCCGCCGCCCCCCCGGGAGCTGCAGCGTCCTTTCCCTTTCTTGCCAGGACACTGCTTCATCAAGGTCAGAACCACTGCAGCAAGCAAGTACGGGAAAACGCAGTGATATCGTCACACAGTCTTGGACGATTTCTGGTCATCTCATCTACTTATGCTTGAGCTTGCGTTCAAGCTTTCCGTTACCCCCTGGCCCAAATCCCCCGGTTCCTGCATGCACACGGTTCATACGGCGGAAGCTCATTGCTCGCTGGTATCGTTCCGGACTTGGGACACACCCAAAGAGCTTCCCCAAATACCCAATAGCACGTACTTCCGGTCCACCAATTCTGCTTGGTGCCTGAACATCAGCCGCAGTCAAGCCGCCGCGTTATGTCATTCCGGCGCCATGGACCCTTCTGATCCTCGCAAGTGAATATCCTGGACAGCCCACGTATGAACATCGCGTTCCACATCTCTAGCCGGCTGAGTGTTGGAGCACCTACGCTGTTTCTTCGGTATCGTGCTGTTGTGGGAGGTGGATGGCCGAGTCTTTCACATAGACTTGCGACGGTACTAGGTTACGCCGGAGCTTGGTTCTGGTGGTGTTGTTGCATTTGGCTCAGCGCCAGAGACCATATGGCTCTTTGCAAGCCTTCCACAACTTGATTGTCCCATCTTCGCTTCCGGTCGCATAGATCTTGCCGTCAGGAGAGAATGCAGTTGTCCAAATTGGACCGTGGTGGCCCTTGAGAACCTCTGCGATAGGAGTTAGTAGCAAGCGCAGTACACGGAGACCGCCGAAGCTCACCAAGTTCTTTTTCCTGCGCAAAATCCCATACCCGGACCCACGTGTCCTTCCCGCCGCCGGTCACAAAGCGACCGGTTGCAGGGTTGATGGCCACACTGGCAACTTCATGGTCGAAATTAACTTGCTTGATAAGCTCGCCCGGTCTGCCGGCGTCAAAAAAGAGACACGACTGTCCAGCTGCCACGCTAAGAATTCCAGGATTGCTGTCTTCCGCTTTGTTGGTGGAGAGCTCGCATGAAGTGATGTCCCGCTCTGTCTTGACACTTGCAATCATGCGTTGGACCCTCAAGTCCCACCAACGAAGAGTCTTGTCTTCGCAGGCAGTGGTGAGAATATTGTAGTCAACATTCCAAGCAATGGATTTGATGCTGCCCCCATGTTGGCCTGCTCCAATCTCATGCCCTTCCGAAGTGGTGGTCGGGGTGATTGGGGAGGTACCATTGACCTGGTCGGGTGTAGCAGCGCTACCACCGCGACTGAGATCAAAGATCTTAAGGGTTTTGTCTTGCGTGCCGGTAGCCACACACTGCGGGTTAGTCTGAATCGGAAATGCGACGGCTCGAACAATGTGGTTGTGAGTCAAGATGTACTGACATTCTCCGGTCTGGGGATCCCAAATTCTCCTGGGTCTTGTCAGCGTGAAACGACCAGAATATGTGTTGTTCCAATCTTACGCGCTGAAATCTGCAGATCCGGTGGCGGCGATCTTAGCATCCGAAGACAATCTTGACGACCAAACCGCTCCTTTGTGTCCAATGAATGTTCCAATCCTGTGCCAAGTCAGCCAGGGTACGCAGAAGCCCCATATAGCCATACCAGTCTCCTGTCATGCCATCTCTCAGCATAGGATTGTTGTCTAGCAAATATCAGTGATAACTTGAGCGAAGGCGTGTGGGATCTTACCTTTACAGGCCGATATCAGGTAGTATTGATCATCATCCACGATGGAGGAAAAGCTCAAATGTGTAATCGGCCGCGAGTGGCCATGACAAGTCAGGGGGACGATGCGTGGCGTCTCTGAGTAGAAGATGTTAGACCATTCTGCTCCGAAGTCTCTGACAGATGCCTTTGTCATACCTGCAGACATGGCAACAATGTCAAGACTGATTTAATGCACGACAAGCGGGGCCAAGTGTGCGGAAATTTAGGCGATGAGATGGATAGCGGCAGCGGCGTTCCAGATCGTAGTGAACTCCGAAGGGGCTTGACCGACTTCTTGCGCCGAGTTCTTGATAGCGTCCGTGGAAGAAGAATAAAGGCCACGGAGCTGGCCAAAGAGAAAGAAATCGAGTGTGAAAATGTGGCGAGTTGTGACCTTTCGTTCGAGTGAGAAACTTCCAACTTCTCACCAAGTGAAGCCAAGGTCACCGAGGTACAAAAAATTACAGGTATGGGAAGTGAAAGAACGCGGAAAAATGATAAGAAGATAGGTCTTCGAATACTTGGTTTTGCGCAAGCATGGATGTACTCCAGATGAACATGGGCGAACACATGCGTTCGATGGATATTGTTTGTAGTGTTTGGCCCAAGTGGCTCGGTGGATCGTTCTTCCTTCCGCTTGGGAGGTCAGAGTGACGCTATACTTCCTTTGGAATAGTCTCACTCTGAGCATCCATATCAACACTGCTACGCAGCCACAGCCTTGTCTCCTTTACTCCTTTACTCCTTTGTATTGCATCGGCATCTTGTAAATAGTCACGACACACATGGACCGCTGCAAGCTCTCAATGGCTAGACAGGTCGCCTTACAACCAGGTTGATCTTTTTGATCTACACTCATTCGGTCCGACAGCGGGGCCATGTATCGACCGCATCCGCACTCCAATGTCAATTGTATAGATCGACAGCAGCCCACAAACTCCTTTGTCGATCCAAAGGCTTTGTAGCATTTCCTTTGTTGGATCACTGTGTTTCTGCCTTCGGCACAGTTGCCCCTTGCTGACAGACCAGGCCGTTCGCCTCTCTATGTTTTAAACGTCTATGTCTTAACTAGTGTTTCTCCCATGTCTGAGCTGAGCACAAAGAAGTTCTCTCCCTGGGCTTCACTGCCTCAGCTGAGATCCAAGCGTCTCCAGCTCTATTCTTTATATATCTATGCTATGAACTGCCCTATTTGGACAATCAGGCCTAGGATATTGCTTTGTTCTTGCCGCGGTTTGGTCAGGAACCATACTAATGTCTCGGCGTGTTGTTCGACTTTGCCGCCCGCGCTGTCTCATCGACTCTTTCTCGCGGACAAGGAGCATGGATCTCGGCGGCCATAAATATGTCTTTCTCCTCCCTTCTGTTCTCACTTCCCGCAAGACAATACAGGAACACCAAATCACTGGTCGCTTCGTCAACAAAACGTTGAGCAAACACAACCAGAAAGCCAGCGACTTACTTCACTACAACGAATCCTCCACCACACTACATTCACATCAGTAAGTGTACGCTCTCCTGGCAAGATGAGGAAGGCAAAGGAATACTTTAAGGGTGCGAAGACAAAGCTAACGACTGCTTTTCACATGTTTAAGCGCGGACACCCATTTCAACACCACGGAGCCGACATCTTCAGATTTTCTGTGCACCAAGAAACAGAAGTCGCTTCCGACGATTCTGGCACTGAGCAAGTCGTGCAGCAAAATGCTGCTCTTGGTTCCGATCGACATCGATCGATGCTGAGGTACGTGATCACAAATTACATGGATGGATCGAGCCAGGCTGACTGTGACTCGAACTTATATTCTGCTGGACAACAGCCTGAAGAAGGACACACACGCGCTGATGACAACCCTGCGTTTCACCCACTCAAGTCGAAAGTGACCTTTAGTAGGCTATCTGACGTTCCGGACTCAGAGGACTGGGCAACCACTTCGGGCGCGGCAAATACAAACACTCCGGCGTACATTCCGGAAGCCCCTGAAATGGGCGGCCAGGGAGCCAACGCTTCAGGCTGGACCCGACTGCCACAACAGAGTCTCCGACACAGACGCCGTCGTTCCCTCTCCGACTGGCTTGAAACCCAAGTGCTCGGGCGACGCCCTACTCACTCTTACGAAGGCCGGACCGTTTCCATTTCAGACGCCGTACCGTCACCTCGACATCTCTCCTCCGGCAATTCCAGCGAAGACACCTTTGGACGCTGGAGAAATCGTCGGCCAAACGATGGGCTTAACCCTAACGGCGCGTCTGACCCGTTTTTGAACCGCCAGCCGGCATCTGAACAGAGAGAACCGGTTCCCATGACTCTGGATGACCTCGACAAAGACACTCCTGCCCGCTGGTCGGCGGACTATGACAAGTTCTCGTCGGACGGCAAGCAACCCAAAGCGGAGGAGACTGTCCCCCGAGACTCCTCCCTCCATCCTCGAGAATACCGCCTCAAAACCCCGCCCCAACGACCTTGTCCCGAAAGATTGAATGTCCGCAAGCGTCGTAAGGGAATTCAATCCGCAGCAGCCAACGCCGGAGTGCCAGAGAAAGCCCCGACTGTAGCTGCCGAGAATGCCGTGGCCCATGATCCAGAAGCTGATCACTACGCGGGAGCTCAGGAGGATGCAGGTGCCCACGAAGGCAATCCCAGGTCGGCCCAGCCTACTCCCTTTCAACCAGGAGGAGCAGGTCGCCATGTTCAGGCCGCCATGGAAACCATGCATCGATCTTTCTGGCAGCTGGATGCGACTATCCGCCAACTTGATCTCGAAAATCTAGCGCACCGGCAGAATGTGAGGGCTCTGATGGACCGAAATCGGGACCTGGAGCAAGAACTTGAGAGAGCATGGGGAGCAGTCAGAGAGCGGGATGCGGAGCTCGAGCGATGGCGCGGAGCGGTCGACATCGCAACCCAGGCCCTGCGCAGCGCTCAACTTCAACACCAAAACCAGCAGAACGGCGAGGCTGGCAACGCCCCTCCTCCATCAACACCACAATCTACTCCACCGCGGACGCCAGGGCAGCACATGCTACCAAACTACGCTGAAGGGTATCCGATGCCGCCACTGTCAGCGGGCTCCGTAGACGCAGGGGCCTCTTCCCCGAATCAGGGTTCTAGTGATGACATGGGAAGCGTGGTTCATCACCAGGTGGGAGAGCAAGCATATGGCTTCGATACGTTTGGTGAGGAAAGTGAGACCTCCGACATGTACGGCGGCGATGACTGCGGCGGCGACAATGAAGGGTTAGACGACGAAGAGGGTGATGAGGAAGATGAAGGCGAGGATGGAGAAGATGGGGCCACCGGTACTCCTCTCAGCTCTGCTGAACGAGCCGACCCTCTGGAATATCGAACAGCCGCCTCAGACAGCACTGTTGAAAACTTCGAGTTGAGGGCCCCTTCTCAGTCCCGCCCCTGAAGCTGGTGAACGGACAGATGCCTCAGCTGTCAAGAAGACCGGGGCTTGCCGGTAGGTCGGTACAGAGAGGTTGGGGAGGGAATCTTGCACTTGGGACATGGACTTTACGTGCATCATATTGGGTAATTAGGCAAAGGACAGGGATGGACATATTCAGAGACAGGCTCAGGCAGTCTATCAGCCTCTGAGATAGGCCTCCATCTAATCAATACACTGTTGGAAAACATGACGACCCCAAGAGCCTCTTTCATGAATGAGACATGGGTACGAGCACAATGCTCTTTACAATTTTTTTTGGCCTTCGTGTGTATCTTCTTTATTTCTCGTCACGGTTGCTTGACACTTGAGAAGGTCGCGGCGCAGGGGTCAAATGGTCTCCCCACGTAATTGGCAGCAGCGGCACCATACGGGCGTAAGACGAGCCAGCCTTGCGTGCTCTTCGATTGCTCTCGTCCTCCAGAGAGAGTGTATAGCATACATTTCTTACCCTTGCAAGCCTCGCAAGTCGACATCAGCCAGCCGGGTCGCTTGGATATTATGGTCTTGTGGCATTCCCCCACGTCAAAAACTGGGATATACACCCTCATAGCTCACGTTCTCAACACTTTCCTACCATCGTTCACTTTCCTTCTCCGTCTGTCCCATCTTCTTCGAATTCTACAAGGGCAACGCCGCTAGCGACCACCTCGCCCTCCCCGTGCACTATTCTCTGCACCTTAGCCCCTTCCATCGGGCTTCTTATAACCGTCTCCATCTTCATGCTCTCAATAACGATCAGCGGCTGCTCCTTCTTCACCACATCCCCCGGCGATACGAGTACGCGGAGGATCTTAGCCGGCATAGGGGAGAGCAATGAATTGGGTTTCTCGGTCACACCCAGGGCTTTCTGGAGCCATGAAGGTGAAGGTGAGTAGAGAAGGAAGGAGCCATGTGGTGTGAAGAGATGGATGATTTCTGGGTTCGACCCGGAGCCTGACGAGGCTGAAGGAGGAGAGAATATGATGTGTGAGGTATGGCGTGTATGAGGAAAGTAAGTTGTTAGTGTATTTGATTCGGGGTCGAAGGACGATGAAATCGAAATTGGGTCCGAATTTGGAGTTGACACGGAGAATGTGCCCGGACTTGTCTGTCGAAGTTCCACGGCAAGGATTTCAGACTGTTTTCCAGGTTCGGGTTCGAAATTTGCGGTCGTGAATTGGAAGGTCCGTGGCTGGAAGTCGGATGATGTATTGAGCCACGAAGGGGGAGATACTTGCCAGGCCGAAGTCGATGCAGGTGAGTTGTGAGCATTTGAATGGCGAAGGAACGAAGCAATCGCAGCCTGAGCAAGGACTTCTGAGGTGGCACTTATCTGCGGGAAGAGTTCCTCATGGTGTTTTCCAATATACCCCGTCTCGACCTTGCCAGCAACGAAGTCAGGGGATTTGCATATTCGTTTGAGAAAATCGATGTTTGTTACTGGTCCAGCCACCTCGTAGTCTTGCAATGCTGCAACCATTTTGCGTAGAGCGTCTTCTCGAGTCCCGCCCCTGACAATCAGCTTGGCGATCATGGGGTCATAGTGGCTTGAGACTTCGTCGCCTTGCACAAATCCGCTATCTATCCGCACGTCTGCGCTTTCTTTCGGGAGCTGAACGTGCAAAAGTTTGCCAGAGTCGGGTATGAATCCCTTGTCTGGGTTCTCGGCGTAGATTCGAGCTTCGATGGCATGTCCACGTCGAGAGATCTGCTCTTCCACCTGTTCCTGGGTGAGAGGGAGTGGTTTGCCTTCTGCGACCAAGATCTGCCAGTGGACAAGATCAAGACCGGTTACCATTTCAGTGACCGGATGCTCCACTTGGAGTCTAGTATTCATTTCCATGAAGTAGAATTCACCCGTGTCGTTGTCAAAAATGAACTCGACGGTACCGGCTCCTTCGTACTTGACAGCAAGTGCAGCCGCTCGTGCCTTGTCCCACAGATCTTTCCGGATCGAGTCGTCCAGGTTCGGAGCTGGAGACTCCTCGAGGATTTTCTGATGACGGCGTTGAATGGAACAATCTCGTTCACCAAGGGCAACACAGTTTCCGTGCTTGTCGGCAAATACTTGAACTTCAATGTGACGTGGGGTGGTGATGTATTTTTCGACGAGGACTTCATCGTTGCCAAATGAATTCCTGGCCTCACTCTTTGCGCTTTCAAGCATGTCTGGGAAGTCATTGGCAGTTTTTGCGATTCGCATTCCCTTGCCGCCTCCGCCCCGAACAGCTTTAATCAGGACAGGATATCCAATCTTGTCCGCCTCTTGTGCAAGTGTCTCAGGTGCCTGGTCAGATCCGTGGTAGCCAGGTACACAAGGAACACCGGCCGCGTTCATGATCTCTTTGCTCCTAGCTTTGTCGCCCATATCCTCAATGGCACTTGCTGGAGGGCCGATGAAAGTAACACCCTCTTCCGCACATCTCTTTGCAAACTCTGCATTCTCAGAGAGGAAGCCGTAGCCAGGATGAATAGCTTGACAGCCCTCTTGTTTCGCTATTCGGAGGATTTTCTCCTGGTCCAAATAAGCGGCTGTCGCGCCGAGGTTGAAGGAGAAGGGGGAGGAAAGAGCGTGCTGTGAATGAGCATCTGGATTCGTGTACAGAGTAGTGGTGCGGATGCCGTGCTGAGCGGCAGTGCGATTAACCCTCAGAGCAATTTCTCCTCGATTTGCAATGAGGATTGAGTCGATGCTCTTGGTCGAGTACGAGCGAAGGGGACGGGTAGCTCTCGGTCGCAAGGCTACTGCGGCCCAAGAAAAGGGGTATTGGGACATTGTGAAGTTAGAGAGGAGGACTGATTACATTTTCGACACGCACTGAGACCGAGTGAATGGCAATTTATCTGACAATAAAGAGGGAAATGGGTATGTTTGAGGGCCTCCCAGGATCTCGGCTGTCCTCGCATGGCGTCGGAAATGGCAGCATCTCAGTTCTGCGGGCAACTAGGCGGGGATCGAGACGCGTGCGGGTTCTCCAAAAATGCCTGCCCGAGCATCGTCACACTGGATTCCATTTGTCCCCGTCCTGCACCACGCCGTCCTTGGTTGCATGATTGCTCAGGCGACGTTTAGGGAGTCCTTCGAGTTGAATAACAAAGGGGGAAAAAGTCTCAACTCGACTCAAATGATGAACTTATGACCGTTGCCTTCCAATAACCCTCGGATTCACTTTACACTCTTTGCACCACCTCCTGCTGATGAAACTCCCCGTGTTTTCTTGAAAAGCAACCGGATGTGATCAAAAGGTCCCCCTACTCGAGATGTCCGATATCGAAGACTATACCTATTCCCCCTATGACGACCTTGAGGACATCCTGTGGGACGCAGATCCAACTCCAGAGTTGGCTGACGATTTAGCCGAACATGCCGTACACAGTCCCGTGTACCAAGAGGAAGATGCTGTTAAGAACGAGATGAGTGAATATTATAGCGACTGGGAATACTACTCGGATGACTATATGGACGATGATCCAACGTTGTTGAGAACACATGCTCAAGTTGGGCCCCCAGCAAAATACTCTCGCCTGGTTGGCCAGGACTCTAGAAGGGGCAAGAAGAGGAAGCTGATCGAGACAATCGACATCCCTCCTTCGGGGTTGGACGAGGTGAAACTGTTGACTAGCGGCATCAAGGGCACAATTTGGGCCCAGCCGAAAGGGCGAAAGACTCCGGCGTACAAAGATGGTCAGGAGGAGAAGGTGGCTCTCATGAAGAATTGGAAGGACATTTTCGCCATCACGGACAATGGCTGGAATCAATCCCAAAAGCAAGCAGAAGACGACGAGAGTTGGGCAAACGACATGAGTCTAGCAGATATGGGTCTCAGGCATGTGCAACGGCAGCCATCTTTTGATCCCACCACTCAAGATGCTGCAACTGAAATTGAAGAGGACGAGGATCTTGCAGAAAGCGTTGCAGAAGAAGAGCATGATAAACAGATCATGGATTCGAAGGAAGGACCTCGACCAAATACCACCAACCCTCGCCATGCTGGTGTGGGCCAAGCATATGACGAAGGGGGCGGAGGGCTCTCTCAAGCCGGCCAGGATAGTCTCAGATCAGAGGGTATGCTGTCGCAGTCGGCGGTGTTGGGCCAAGATGATATACCCCGGAAACGGAGACGGGTCAAGGCAGACCTCCCATCCCCACCGGACTCCAGTGAAACTGCGGTTGTCGACGCGGACGAACCTAAAGTCTTGTCTAGACCTGCGGCATGTCAGAAAAGAGATGGACACGAAAAGAGCGGCACTTCTATGGTCAATGGCATGGGCCCTTCACACGTCCAACCACCAGAGGTCCCCGCATCGGACTCTCGGAGGGAGAACAAAAGGAAGGCAACGGAGGAGCTTGACGAGTTTGACGCTACCAAATCATCTGCCAGCAGCCGAGCAAAGAGGGTCGCCTCAAAGGGTACAAGAAATTCTTAAAACAGCGCCGCCACCACGCACTCGACACATTAATCAGAGGAGGAGGAATTATCTTTTTGGGGCATAGCAAGGATAAATTGCAACGACCGGCCATCCACTCAACGATTAGCGATCACTTAAGCCTAAGATATTAGACGATGACTGGCTCTCAGACTTGAAATTGAAGCGCACCCTAGCGCCACTATGATATAATTTCATGAACGTAACGATGACAAGAAGAGATTTGGTCCAAGATGGCAAATGAATAAAACGTGGATCCTTTAGCTTAGAAACCCCCTATTGTGATAATAATGGAAGCGAACAAAAACGTCCCCGAGACATTGTTTGAGAGGAGGGATGGGATGAGACGAGGCTCCAACTCGGCTGCCCTGGGCTTGGCAACCGATATCGAACGGAGTCGAAGTGCACCTCCATCTGCCATCTGCTTCTGCTGGTGCAAGCTATCGTTGAACAGTCTGGACAACCACTAGAATTTTCACTTTACGATTGTGTCCATTCCGCTGGACGCTGCATCCTCCATCTTTCCTACCCAATAGTCCGCTTGGATATCTGTTTGACAAAGACGAGTCTCTGCTCCATGAGAAACCTCGACTACTCATCATACTTGGCTGAATAATTCGGTTTCGCTGGTACGTCCACGCATTTCTATACTCCCAATATCAGGGCACTCAAACATCACTCAACACCCCGATCAAGAAGTGTCATCTTTGTCGAACGTGGCTAACTTTGTGTGCAGTGTCAGGATTCGACATCAACTCCGCAGAGAACGAGTGGATGGGGCAGAGAAAATCTTTGTTGGCTCGGGCTCAATAAAAGGAGGAAAGACAGCTGAAGATGGCATACAGTATGTCTCTCCAAGACGGTCTCAGACACCCACTCCAATCCACTGCCAGCAATAATTAATACCGGGGATATAGACACTTCATACCTCTCGTCCCCTGACACTCCCTCCACCGTCTTCCCCGAGCGACTGATTCGTCCACTTCCCAAACGGTCCATCAAGTCTCGGTTGTCCCAAGAGGCCGCTGAGGCCATCACATATCCTCCTTCGCTGCCCTCGACCAGCTTACCAGCCTACACCCACTATGGGGAGAATGGCGAATATCCAAACGACAGCAAAGTTTTAGTCCACCAACACAGTGACGGATACGATCAAGATCACGACCACGACCATGACGACGATCATGAGTGTCCTCACCACCACCATCATTGCCACCATGATGAATACGAAGATGACCTAGACTCTCAAGACGAACGCATGGTTCCTGTCCGTCACTACTTTGTGTCTTCTCCTCGTTCTCCCCGTTCTGCGCGCCACAGATACTCTTCCAAGGGCACCGTTTCTGGGTCGGACGGATATGAAGCATTTGAAAACACCAATAACAAGAAAAAGCGAAAAATCCCCACCTCTGGCAGTTTGAGTCTTCATCATTCATCCGTGACGGACCAGTTAGCGCACATGGGCATCAGCGGAACCAGAGATGGCTCAGCGGACGATTCTTATTCCACAATTGCTCACACTGGAAGCCCTACAGGCCTTGGTGTCCAAGGAGCTGGGAGAGGGCGTAGCACGAGAAAGCTACCGGGTCGAAACCCCCTTGGTATATCGGTTAATGGGTCCAACGCTCGAAGCAGTACATCCAAATATGATCAGAATATGTCTGCTAACGCCAAAGGTAAGGAACGAGCACCGAAGACAAGAGCGCAAGTGTGACTAATGATTTTCAAAGCCGAAGAATCTAAAGACCAGGGTATCATATCTGCCGCCATTGCCAATGCCACTGCACTGCTTCGGAAGCCACTCGGTAAAGGCCAAGAGAATGTGGGTGTCCTAGATCAGCAAGTCAAACAAGCCCATACCAGTTCGCAGTTTACCTTTACATGCGAGAGCGAGGCCAAAGGAGTGACCTTCCCCGAGCAGAGCTTATACTCGCCGGGTTACACCCAGCGGAACAATTTGGCTCCGCCGCCTCAGGGCACCACACACCAGAAAGTATCAACCCAAGCGACCCAGACCAGCCCGGGTGTAGCCCAACCAAACACTCAACCTGCACCCGCGGCCCCCGCCGCCGCAAACACGAATGCCCAAGGCAAGAAGCCTCGCCGAAGGAGAGGAGACGTCTATGCGTTGGCTGCCCGACAAAGAAGACTTCAACAAGAATACAACAATCTGCAGCATCCGCCAGCGCCAGAGGACATCTGGATCTGCGAATTCTGCGAGTACGAGAGTATCTTCGGGCAACCTCCCCATGCGTTGATTCGTCAATACGAGATCAAGGACCGCAAGGAACGGCGCCGACTGGCGGAGAAGAGGCGGTTGTTGGAGAAAGCCAAACTCAAGGGCAGGAAGGGGAAGAAACAGACCAAAGGGACGCCCAAAGCCTCGAACTACAGTGGCCCAATCCTGCCTCCACAGGCATATGAGAATCAGCCACTGGACCAGCTTGGCGACGACGATTTAGACTACGGCTACGATGACCCAGTCCCAATGCCGGCGCCGCCAGCAGCCAATGCTCCGAGCAAGACTGCTACTGGGCCAACGAGTGCGACCACAGACAAGGCTGGAGGGACAAATGGAGGCGGAGGGACACGATGACAGTTGAGCTTTTCCCAGCTCGGTCCGTGTTTCCTATCCGTCCTTTTGTTCTGCTTTTCGTCTTGCTTCGGTATCTCGTTCTCATTGCATTGGACTTTAGTCTGGTCACTCGTTTGGTTGGCGTCGGTTTCGTTCCCCTTGGCATTTTGAAATCTTCTCTGTATCTACACAGCTGCCTTTATCCCCATTACTCCTGGCCCTCCTGGCAATCCCTCGGTAGCCTGCACATACTCCTCTCCCCCCAAAAAGACTAAATTAGTATTCCATTTCTATTGATCCGGTGTGGCGATGATCGAGGGAAGCGACTCCCTGGCTTTGGACGACGTTTGTTCGAACGCGAGAGTTGGACATGATGGATTGCGTGTGCATTGACGTGGAACAAGGCAGGTTGGCGGCGTCGACAGGGATCATGGCTTTGGCTTGATGAGCAGGGTAGATCCGAAGGGCCATTCTACCAGGATGTGTTGATGCCCAACGCCTCACGCCAATGGCAGTAATTATCAAGACCGACACAGCCCCTTTGGCTCGCTACAAGGTCACCAGCCACTGATGCTCATCCATTGCCCGCTGGTCAAGCCACCCACGCCACATCCCCCGCAATTCCAAGGCACATTCTTGATTCTTCGCCAATGACGCACATGCAACGACTGGCATCTCCCATTTCCAGATTCAGCTGCTTTTCAAACAAGCTGCCCGTCACTTAATCAAGAATCTTTCCGGCCATTCATCTATTTTGCGTTCCTTCGCTTTTAGTACCTCTTGTGGCTCAACAACATGCCCGACGGAGGGCATGGAGTGGTAATACTTGTCCGTGATACAAGCGTGCTTGAATAGAACCTCGTCCCCTCTGTCCACCACGTGGATTCATCGCTCGAACATTCACTCGCGGCACAAAGGCACAGCATTGTCGCCCACACTAAGCCACATAAAGAACGAACAAGGCCGCCTTGTGAAGTCACCGCCGTTGAAGTTCACTCGGTAACAAACACCCATTGAAGTGATTAGACAAGGCGCGGGACGCTTTTGTTTGACTGCCCAAGGTATTTGCGCTGAGCAGTCCGCCAAACCGCCTGGCCTCCTGACAAATCTGCCTTTTCTGACACAAACAGCTCTTTATAACTCTCTTCCTCTTGCTGGACATTACAGACTCCATCACTCAATCCTGCAACGCTCGTAAGTTCTCCAGAAAAAAACCATCCCCAAAGCGACCACCCGTTGAACCATACATCGCCATCCAGGCACAACCAACCAGTCCATCTCACCAACATCAACAACCATGGGTTTCTTTTCGGTCTTCACCCACTTCCGCAAATCCAACATCTTCAACCTCGTCCTCCGCTCCCTGCAGCTCATCGACGCCCTCGTGGTGATTGGCATGTACGCGGTGGACCTCAACAACGCGAACAAGGAGGACAAGTACGCCGACTCCAAATGGGTACGTACGACGGACCCCAAGACCAACGCGCTCCACTCCCTCCCGCCCGAGTTCGTCAGGGTACTAATCGCGCTCAAGGTCTTCGCCGTCACCGTGGGCTCGCTCGCGGCCGTCACGGCGCTCGTCTTCTCGCTCGCCAGCGTCTTCTTCCAGTACCGCACGGTCGCCCTGCTGTTCGCGTGGGACTGGGTCCTCACCATCCTCTTCGCGACGCTGTCCGGCATCTTCGGCTCCATGTACATCGGCGAGCGGGTCGAGTACGAGAGCGGCATCCACCGCATGAAGGTCGCCGTCGGCTTCGACCTGACCGGGCTGGTCCTGTGGTTTGTCACGGCGGCCTTTGGCACCTGGTGGTTTGTCATGGAGAGGAAGGAGGAGAGACGGGGACGGGGCACCAAGGCTTAAAGGAGAGGAGCTGGCCAGGAGGGAGGAGCCGGGGGGGGTTTTCAGAGCACAGTGGCTGTTCGACACTCAGGGCCTGAGGACTCCCCCTCGCAAGAACCATAGACTGTGAAGAGCAGATGTCGACATTTTGAAATGCTTCAGCCGGGGGGCCCAGATATTGTCGGTCGGGCGTCGTGGCAGTGCAACAAACCGGCGAGACATGCATCCTAGATGGCTATTGTGCCGTTCGCAAAACCGCGAGGCCACCGGTCTTGGGCAGAGGCTCACTGCCTGTGGGTGTTTGCTGTCGGATGGGCGTACCTTTTTCCCAGACCAAGCAGCACAGGTCAGCCTAGATACCCCAGAATTTGAGTTTTTGCTTCCATACTACTACTTATCCTACCCATTCACCTGTCTACCTGTCTACCTGTCCACCTAAGTACCATAATAGCACACGACAAAGCCAAGTCCGTTTCCCCCTCGACAGGTTCCCATTGCATCGATTGTAGATTCCCAGCCGCCAACCTGCTTCTATTTGTAGGGCATAATACGACGCAGCCCGTGCGTACGCGGTCCATACCCCCGCATGGAAGTGGTAGGTAGGATGCCTGCCCCGCGGAAGGAGACTCTAACGGCTACGGCGGCTGTGCTGGTGGGTGATGCGTAGTGTTGGTAGTGGTGGTTAGAATAGGGAAGCGATGCTCACCGAGCGCCCCGAATCGAAGATGAAGCGCACAAGGACGAGGACGAGGACGAGAAATGGATTGCGTAGCTGAGAAACGTTGCTTCGAGGCAGCGATAGCCGACGAGGGATGGGCATGGTGGCATCGACCTGGGCTGGCGGGCGATTTGCTCTGCGGCTAGTAGTGGTAGTAGGAGGAGTGAGGCTGATCGCTAAGGATAGCAGAGTTCGAAACACCCCCGGGCCGGTTTCCTAAATGCATTGGTTCGATCCACCTCTCTAGCGAGCTGTAGTATCAGGTATCTCGTTCCTACCTACCTTCCTTCTACTTGGTAGATAGGTCCCTACTCGACTACCCTGGGCCAGAGCCACATCCACAGTCCGTACTCGCAGCTACGTGTCCCTTGGTGGGATGCATCTACTCGGCACATACCTAGATACGGATCCAAAAGAACCCAAGCACCAGCACAAGAACAGAGCCAGTCGTAGAATGGTCACCGCCGGTGCGTCACTCCTGCTCGGAACCCTCTCCGGCCGGAGAGCCCTGGAACTGCAGGGGACGCAACGATCTACAGTAGCACCACAGGCACCAATCTGCAAAGCTACCGATGCCTAGCTAGGTATTGGGCATGTCAAATATCTATTAGTGACGGTAGGTACCGAATGCAGCCAATCTCCTGTGTTGCTAGGGTTGTTGGGGGGTGAGGTAACTCGTTAGTTTTGCTCCACAGGAGTGACGAATGCCCGCCCAACGTTGTGTGAGAGCTGGAGCTTCAAGGCGCAGGGCCAGGGAGGAGCTTCGGGGGAGGGACCCAGGGACCCAGGGACCCTCAATAATGACATATGACATAACCCCCCTCACTCTCACCTTGACGACCACCACAAACCAAAAAAAAATCCCCTGGGGAGAGCTACCTTCCCGCTCTTATACACGTACACACACGTACCTAGCTGGTGAAACTTCTTCTTGTCCTTCACTTGTTTTCATTTCACTATACCTCTGCTCTCACACCGTTTGTTTTCTTACGCAGTAATCCTTCCCAGGTGAAAAGTCACAGATTCTAGGGTTCCATTGATTGAAATCGTCCCACGCCGCGTCAAACAATTTGGCCAAGAAAGTCTGTTAGAAGACACAGGACAAAGGAGACAGAACAAGACAACTGGGGACAAAACCAAGGTATACTTTGCCTTCTGTACGCTGCTGGCACCGAGTGCCGGGTGAGCTGTCGAGTGCCAGGGAAGAACATTGCTCTTGTCCTTTCGACCTTCCGGCCCACCATCAGAGGCGAAGCTGTTACAGAACAGCGAAACCGCGTAGGAGGGAATTCAAAATGAATACGTCCAGCACCCTCCGCCTGCTCCGGCAAATTCCTCGTCTCAACAGCCTCCGCTCCGCTCCCTCAAGTATCGCCTCATATCCATCACTCGTCCGACCTTTGTCCTCCACGTCCTCCCGTTCCCTAAGAGTCACGCCTTCCCAATGGGAAAAAGACGAACAAGATCCATATCATAAAGTCTCCACCGAAGCCACGGGCACCTCGGCCGGCCCCCATGAAGGCTCAGCCGCTCGAACCGATCGAGATATCGTGGTCGAATACCCAGCAGAAGAGGAATTTCCTCGGGACAGGCCATTGCGCGGGAGAGGGGGCATCCAATATGTTAGGACGTTGCCGACGTTCAGTCTCGAGGGGAGGACGGCCGTCGTGACGGGGGGTGCGCGAGGGCTTGGATTGGTCATGGGCCAAGGCCTGGTTCAGTCAGGTGCAGATCTGGCGATTGTCGATTTGAATAGTAAGCTTTCCCAAACCCCATTCAACACTTTCTCTTCGATCCAGGAGAATCCTAGCACGTGCGAGTCAGTGGGTTGGATGACACCGAGATTTCCTACACCATAGACTTTGTCGGGACAGGAGGAGTCTCCCGCACTCTCACGGCTGTTTGGTGATACTTGGAGAGATTGCTGTGTTAATTCCTCGATCGAGTTCCGAGCAGCACCCCGGAGGGACCGGCATGCTAACCCATCTTATTCCAAATAGAGGAGGAAGGCGAAAAACAAGCCGCAGAACTGATGTCGATGATGTCCAAGGAGAACACAGACAGCGGCTCCGACGACTATATCCCCAAGGTGACTGCACACTATGCCGATGTATCTGACCCAGAATCCGTGAATGCGTGCATCGCCGAGATTCTCAAAGAGCACGGCAAAATCGACCACCTGGTGACCTCGGCAGGATTCACCGAGAACTTCTCTGCTGAAACTTACCCATATGAGCGCATAAAGAAACTTTGGGGCGTGAACGTCGACGGAACATATCTGTTCAGCACCGCCGTAGGAAGGCATTTGATGGAACGCAACATCACCCACGGGAGCATTGTCATGATCGGGAGCATGTCTGGCGCAATTGTCAACGTGCCGCAACCACAGGCCCCATACAACGCGGCAAAGGCAGCGGTCAGGCACCTCGCCGCCAGTTTGGCCGTGGAATGGGCACACGCTCATGTCCGGGTGAATTGTATCAGCCCTGGCTACATGTTGACGGCTTTGTACGTGCCCTGTTTCCTCTCTGTGATAGTCCGCCTGACGAATCTTCTAGGACCCGCAAAATCCTCGATGACAACCCAGAACTCAACAAAACTTGGACATCCTTGATCCCGGTCGGCAAGATGGGTTCTCCTGAGGACCTCCAAGGAGCTGTGGTATACCTGTTGAGCGATGCCAGTCGGTATGTCACGGGCGCAGATCTGCGAGTGGACGGAGGGTAAGTTCTTTTGCATCCCCTGTTTTGACGTCTGCCCTCTGGATCACCCATGTTATTGCTTCTTTTGGTGGTCTAGTTCGCTGACTTCGCAATCCGCAGATATACCTGCACCTAAAAGCGCTGATCTCCAATGTCAAGTGGAGATGGGCAAGGAAAAGGCCGCCATGGGAACATGTCGTTTGAGCCTAGTCTATACGAGCTAGTGAATGCCGTTTCAGGTGCCCAATGCAGGTGTGAAGAAGGGGCACAAATTGCAAACGCATTGTAGGTCATGTGCGAGCTCCTCTTGCTCCCTTAGAAATAGGATCGGGGACAATCCGACGCGCGGTGCCCGTTAGCCGACTGTAACCGCGATTCCTGGCAATTTGAAGTTGCGGTAGGAGTTGGAAAGCCTGGCGAATCCCCGGTGGTCAGGATAATGAACAGGCAGCTGAGCACAATATTCACCCCACGTTTCACGGCGTGGTTCGATAGCGTTCGCAATCCATTTATGGCACAGCCTAAGGCCTCAGCCTTTGACATGATCGACATTGGAGCCATAGTCACATGGAAGTGAGGCCCTACCAACCGGCATCGAACCGAAATTCCAGGAGGATTGGGCATCAAAAACACTCCGGAAATCATTGCGGTGAGTCTTAGGGGCGAGACCGCGTGAAAGCCAGGGTGATCCAGACCGCCGCTCTTGATCAAACGTCAAGCAACAAGGCGAGAAATGTCGCTACCGGGAATTTTTGTGCTACATCCACGGTATAGCAGCACCTTGGCGGCGAGGTCGGTAGCGATGGACTTGTGTAGAAGGCTGGCCGCAGCCAAGGCTGCCGCTAAAGTCTCCGAGGAAGCAAAATAGCATGTGGCGCATGCGAGATAGCCGTGATTGGTTCAGAACAGTCATATGTGATAATATTCCTGATAAGATAAATAAGGAAACAAGGAGCTGATCAGGAGTCCGCCAAAGGTAGGGCCGAGTGGAAGCGGCGTGGGGAAGGTTCATGGTATCAGGGGTCTGGTAAATAGGAGATCGGCGACCAACGAGGGACGCAGATGGGACTTTGTGTGCCATCGGTAGGATTAGTTAGAGAGGATTCTGTGCAGCTATGTGAGATACCACTGCCCTTGTACATGGTTGCACATCCGGCACGGAAGAAAGGGGGCGACCCAGCAACGTGGATTGTGGGTTGTGTGATAGCGCGTGGGAGTCGCTGCAGGACTAAGCCGGGGTTGAAGAATGATAGCAAAGTGGAGAGTCGAGATGGAAATGGCTTCCTTGGGTACTTTAGGGCATACAGCAGTAGCGTCGACCTGGGGCCAGGCTGAGGTGCTTTCGTCCGAGTAGTACACATGGTGTACCATGGTGGAATGCAGTTGGAGTGAGGAGCTTCAAATCGAGGCGAGAGGGGTGGAAGACTCGTACGCTACCAAAGTAACTAGTAAGTAGCTGGCTGGCCGGAAGGCAAAGGAGACGGTGGGCCGCCAGAGGGTGCAGGTACGTACCCATGGATGCAACGTTGGCGAGATAGGTACCTGGAGCTACCTATGTACCTAGCTAGGGAGAGACAACGACTTGAGTCGTGAAGCTGCGGTGTGAGGCAGGACGACGACGAAGATCAAGGCGGAGGGCCACAAAAGAGACCAATGACAATCCGCGGCCAGCCCCCATGATGCTTGCAAGATCTGGCCCAACTTCCCTTACCCAAGTCCTTTGTATTTCTCCGGCCCAGAGCCAGACCAGCACCGTCTCATCTCCCTCCTTTCATTTGAGCTTGACTTTACGTACAAACAAGTCCTTACCGAGGCCCGTCAAGTATAGTGATTGGCCCTTCCGTCCTCGTTGCCGTTTAACCGTCTGTTGTGCTTGGTGTGCGAGGTACCGAGTCCAGCCCATGTAACTCCCTCCATCCTGCTAGTACCGACGCTGATCAGCGCGTGTTCTCGATTTTTCTAGTGTCCCACCTGGTCCATGACAGTGGCTCCATTGTGGCCACCTCGGACCTTCGTGATCGACCTGCATTCGTGCCAGAGAGAGCGCTACTCATGTGTAGCTCGGCAGTGACTCGTGGGCAGTGCTCTGCAGGTATTTTAAGCCTCACTCTCTCGGTGCCAAACCCAGCAGGAGATTGATCCGGTTTCTGGCTTGGGCTCAAACCAATGGCGAGCAGGTGGAAGCGCAAATCCACCCATCTCAAAGCAGATGCCCTCTGTCTCTTGCTGCCGCCTCTGTCTCTCTCCGCTTTTCTCCTCCTTTCGCCCAGTCCTGTGGTGGTGGCTTTTTCTTCTTCTCGTTTCTCGGGGATGATGCTTGCTGACTACGACGGATGTGGTATTTCGTCCCGCCCACTTTTCATCGACCATCCGTCAAGTCACAAGTCACCCCCAACGTACCACAGACAAACCGCTGGCCATGAGGACGTCCTTGGATTCGGGACGCGGGATGCGTTGCCCATTGGCAGATTGCACCGGCCCATGGTGAACAGATGGAACAAATTGTGAGCCCACATTCACTCCAGCCCAATCGCGTCATCCCGTCACTTTCTGCTCGTCCCTCAATGCTCAATGCCGTTTTGCCCACCATGGAGCTTCGGAACTCAATCAGACATCTTTTCACTAGAACACAAATCCACCCCCTGTCTAGCAGTCTTGTTCCCATGATCACCATGGTTCCCTCCTCTGGACTGTTCCGTCTCCCGATTCCTGGATCCCACCCCAGGCCTCACCCCAGCCGATGTCTCTCATAACCCCTCTCCTTCCGCCCGTTCGTACATGAAGCTCATTCCCCTTGGTCCACACCCCCAACGGATATTTTGCCATCTGGGCCTGGTTCCTGCATCAACATCAGTCCCTCCTGTGAACCTGAAGCCGTGTTTCAGCTTTGGGCTTCTGGACCGGTGCTCGTTGGGGTTTGGGGTCGGCTGACTGCGGTTCTCGAGGGCCTGTCCCCCCTTGCTACCCACTCACCATCCATCAAAACGACATTCCAGCACCTGTCTCGACGTATCACTTCTCCTGTCCGCCTCTGCTGCTTTTCCATTGATCCCTCACCTCGTCTCCCAAGGCCAATTCATGCTGGCCGTCCACCGCCATTCCCGCGCTAGCTCCGTCACCTGCTCCCCTTGACCGCGGCCACCTGCTTGTCACGACCGTCACCCACGTTTGTACCGTCAATTCGCCTCCTCCCGGTTCCGGCCCAACTCAGGGCATTCAATCAACCGTCCCCGGGAGGGCCTTCAGCTGAACTGAGCCCATCTCGTGTTTAGTTGCTCAACTCAGTCACTCAGGGCTCCGGTTTTACCCAACGGATGCCTTCCGCGCCGCCTCACTACTGGCTGTCACTGGCTTCCCCCGTTATTTTAGGCTTTCGGCAGCGGGTCCCAGACTTTCGATTTCTCACCACCTACCCAAGGGTTCCCATGCCCAGGATCAGGACCTGACAGTTCTTCCCATTTTTACTGTACCACCCCCCAAAGTAGTGAGCCTCCTCGATCGACGTCGCCAGTGGCCTTTGCTGTTTCCAGCTCTAGCGGTGATCTAGCTCAACCTCCAGCCAACTTCCACCCGTCCTGAACAGCCGGGCTACTTACGGTTACACGCACATTGGACGTGCCGCGGGAAGGGTCTGAGCAAAAAGAAACACAAAGGCAAAAAAATCTGCTTTTCCCGGTTGTGCCTTCATCTATTCTTACACACCGATCTTTGGGCTCCTCCCCGCCACGAGACGCCCGGGTTGGTGGGCTCCTCCTGCCTTTGCCGCCTCCCAATTTCCCCTCCACCACGCCTACCGCTTCTTTTCCTCCTCTTCGAGTCTTCGGTCGCTCAGCTTTCATCGTGTACCACTTTGCTGGAACGAAAGGACATGGTTTGGTCAAATTGGGGCTTGATCGTCCGGCTTCGTCCAACTGCCACCGACGGAGACGTACCTTGACAGTCGCTTGTCATGACGGCCGTTCTACCCCAAGGACTGATTAATGCCAATCCCAATGTCCAACAGTATGCTCTCGATGATTCTCATGTCGACATCACAAACGCAGAAGTGCTCAGCAAGTTTTGGAAAGGTCTGTGTCCTCCAGGAGTTGGGAGACCAGCAAATGCTGATCGTTTGTTAGTCTACGCAATCCAAAGCGACGCCACCCAAGACAGCAACTCTACGAGGTTGCGAAACCTGTTCTGGAGAGTATGGAGCAGCCCGGTCCTCACCCAGTCCATGACATCTGCACGACTGATGCGTTTGTGGACTCAATGCACTCAAGATTTCGACTTGACCCCAATTGAAGACAGTGTGAGGCTGCCTCACCGACTTATCACGCAGGTACGCTTGATCCATTACATCATATGTAAACATTCCTGCTGACTGGAATGGCTCAGGATTTGTCTACTTCTAACCAGACCCCAACCACACCCTCTCCATTGTCGCCTACCTCTGAGTTCCGTCAGACATCGGATTCTCCACGAAGTAGGCCAAGCATTGCACCCACGCTGCAGGATTTCAGATTCCCTTCCGTGACGGCCGACCCAGCTGACAATCATCCCCATGGCTCCCTCGTGCAACCCGGTGGACATGGCCGAAAGCAGTCTGAAGATACTTCGGGGTCTACATCTCACGCCACTTCAGAGTCGTCTGCGCGACCGACTTTGAGCAGAACCACTAGCGGTGGACGACAGAGAATGCCTGTACTAGCCACCGCTGGAAAGTCAAGGACAAGGCCTCAAATCCCACGAAGAAAGTCCAGTTCGCAGAAATCTCCAGGCGGCCCCAATGCGCCAAAGTCTCCTAGGGCCCACCCAGGGCCTGCCGCGACTGATGTTGCAATGCAAGACGCCGGCGGACTTGTAGGTCGTCTCGCTGCCAGAGGGCCCCCTCCTGGCTTGCCAATTGCGCCTTGTAAGTATTTCTCTCAGCTTAAGGGGGTGCAAGCTGACGACTCGAGTGACAGCAACTACCAGCGGACCGGCTTTCGCTCTTCCGTCGGCCTCCTCGTGGCAGAGCGTGGACTCCACTCCTGACCCTCCTTTGGCAACCACTGCCCCTTTGCCTATTTCTTCGGGAGAGTTGGTCGATCCGGATTTCCGAGGCAGATTCGCCGAAACCCAAAAGAAGCTGGCCAGCTCGACAAATCTTGCGGGTCTAAATCGAATCAAAAAGACAGGTAGTGTTGTCCGATTTGCAGATGAGCTGCCCCAGGAATTGCGCAAAGGAAAGGAAAGGGAAAAGGAAGCCATGGCCCCGGTTCAAGATGAAAACCCTGGGTCTTCACGACTGCGGAGGAGCATGTCGAGTGAAGCTGTGTCCGATGATGCCGATGACGATGACTCGTCTTTGGAGAACATGCAACTTCCACGAACCAAGAGCCAGCTCAGCCTTCTGATTCAGACCAGAAGAGATGAAACAGGAAGCTCGGATATTGGCCCTGCCACAGAACCGCAGGATTCCAAAGGAAAAGAAAAGGAGAAGGAGAAGGCCCATTCCAAGGAAGAAGAACTGCTATCAATGGGTCGACGGGATGGCGTGACAAAGGCCGGTGGCATCCAGGTGCGCAAGCAGCACCGGATAAGCGAAATCGAAGATCCTGGCTCCTTGTCACCGTCAAGCCCAGAGCCTTTGTTTTGAGCCAGCCTTGTGGCGAGGACCCATCGAAGACGTCCTTCTTTTGAGGCAGACATGGGCGTCCTTGTACCACGACATGACGTTACGACGAGACGACCGAATAAAATGTGTATCAACAATACTATGGTTTGAGCAGCAAGACTATTTCCTAAGGGACCCCCTATACACGCGGCATTCACTTTGGGAGCTGCGGGCCTCCGCCCTACGTTTTCTGGAATAGATTGGCTTATGGCGTTGATGAAGCATTCGCTCGAGTTAACAGCACGAGAGCATTTTGAACTATACTGGCACCGAGTTGCCCAATGGGGAATGAAATCAATATTTAGCTTTTGCAGGTTTTGGATACTTCATGCAACTAAATGATGACCCGCAGGTACGCTTCGCCATCCCAATCCATCTGATTTCCAGCGGACGATCTTGCCCAAAGACTGCACGCAGCATGGCGACATTCCCTTTTGCCTTTTCAACGCATCTCCTGACTGCGCCGTCCGCGGGAGGTAAATGTTTCCGGCCCTTGCCTGTCCGCGCACCTTCGAGACTACCCACCATAATGGACCGAGAATCATTCCCTCTTGTGGCCTTTCCAAGTTGGACCAATCGCCTTTGGGTTCAATCACCTAGCTACCTAGCCTTGCCCGTCTACTCTTGAGGAAGTGGTCGGCATTCCCCTCTTTATGGCGACGCACTCAATCTCCTAATGCCTTGAAAGGTAGGCACAGAGTCTGCGCCTCGACTTTGTGAAATGCAGATGCTTGGAATCAAAGAGTAGGGACAGCCAGAGCCCGAATGAGGAGTGAATAGTGCAGCGTTGACCTCTTCAGAAGACTTGGGGGGAGTCTTGTGTAATACTCTGGACCGGCCGAAATATCAAAGGACAGAATTGCTGTCCGGTGTTTCCATGGCGATGTTGGCGGTATATTACCGGCGCGTAGGCGCGGAAGTCCAAGGTCCTATGCATCGCAACAAGGGGCGGAAGTAAACATCATATCGACTCAATTTTCACGAACCATTCCCATCGTTTACACTGTAGCCGAGAGGTCCTGGAGCCAACAGGTGACAAGGCCACGAACGTTCATTGCTGTGGTCTTTCGTAGAATGGACATCGTCCCCCAGGATGAGGTGATGGGTGAGCGGAGTCGAAGAGGCTCGATGGGTTTAAAATTCAGAGACCTGAAAGACGGTGCTCATATACCCAGCATATGGTCGAATTTCGGACGTAAATGGCAAATTGCGAAAAACGCGCTGTTGGCGGGGTCTTCAGCGACGCGTTGATTGGCTCAACCAGGGCCGTTTTTTCTCCGCGAACGGCACGTGATCGAAGTTGGAGAGCTCGGCTGGCCGCAAACTGCGGTTCAAAAGACTGGATCTCGCCGCACCCAAAATTTCAACCCTGGACCGCCGTTTGCCCCAGCATGAGAGGGGGCGCATAAATGACGGGGATGCCATTGCACGCATCTGGGATCTCGCACCTCAACCTAATCAGCCTCCCAAGATCCTCCATTGCCCATGCAGGGCTCGACGTTGGAGAAGCTGGCGTCGTCGTGCGATCGTTCGCAGTCAATTGGAGAAGCGACTTAGGAGGGGGAGGAGGGAACCCAAAAGGCCACAAAGCCCACTGGATGCGCATTACCCTGCGCGGCCCGCTTTTTGGTCCCTGGCCGGCCACTCAGATGGCTTTGCCGCCTCCAAGGGATCCGTTGGTCGGCCATTCGGTGCAAGCGAAGACAGCGCCAGGCCAAGGGTGTGCTCTGTGCTCTGTGCTCTGTGCTCTGTGCAGTCACCGCCGCAGTCTCGCCAGCACCAGAGCGAAGAGGGTCGCAGGAACTGCTTGCTGGTTCAACTTCTTACAGAGCACAACAACCCTCCCCTCGCCAGTTTCCTGCACAATTCCCACTCCCCCAACGATGTGAATATGCCGTTTCCCATGCTGGCACCCTGCTGCGGTTGTTGTCTGTCTCTGTGATCTCCTCTGGCTTTCGCAATACCCGCTTCTCCTCCTGTGAGAGACACGAGCGAATTTGTAACAACCCACCCACGGCGCGAACTCTGCCTTTCCACCACCACTCCTCTGCCTGCCCCCGTACGACATGTCCCACATCCTCTGACCCTGCAATGACACTTACACTGCTCGATAGAAACGTTGCCACGGCAAGGAACCCCCCAAAATGAGCCCTCGACGCTCATCCCGTGCTCGCTCGTCGCAGCAGCCCCCTCTCGGTCCCAACCACACAAACTCCACCACTTCAGTCAACTCCAAATCCGATCGAGATACTCGAGCCAACCATCGGGCAGCCTCTCCTCGAGGACCCTCCACTCAACGATCCGATTCTGCTGATGGCGCAGACTCCTCCTCGCGGGCCGAGCAAATCGCACCGCGTCGCAGTCGCCGAAATGGAGATGACAAAGAACAACTAGTCAAACAACAGGTTGATGATGAGGAAAATGACCTTGACCCTGCCGATGAGGAAATCACTCGCTGTATCTGTGGGCAAGCCGAGTATCCTGGTCCTTCGCCTGCGCTGCGGCAACAGCAGACAAACCCCGACGTCCTCACCGATGACACGGGTAATTTTTTCGTCCAGTGCGACAACTGCGGTGTCTGGCAACACGGTGGTTGCATGGGTCTGCTTGATGAGTCGATGCTCCCGGATGAATACTACTGTGAACTGTGCAAACCAGAATACCACAAGATCACAAAATCTGCAAATGGGTGAGCTCTATCAAACCCTTACGCTTTGAGCCCCTCGGAATGGCAGTTGCTGGAAGGAGTTTTTTCTCTCCTCAACTTTTCATTGTGGTGGCTATGTATTATCGCCTTGTTTGCCAATTCTGTCAAGGAACGAGACTGAGACAATGCATCCAACAGGCCAAAATCTTCCCGTTATCTCCCTGTTCCGGAGACCAACTCCAGTCGATCCTCTCCCTTATCCTCAAATCCTGAAATGGGCCGCAAGAAAGAGAACAAGAGCAAGCAGTCCGACAGCACCAAGAGAAGGGCCACTTTCAACAGTCGGGGTGCATACGACGAAGATGAGATGTTGAGGAGAGCCATTGAAGAGAGCAAAGAGATGGGCACCCTTGGGAAACGGCCAAGAGACGAATCAGAAGAGTAGGACGTCCTATGATCGGGAGCATTCCTTGTTGCTAACTCGGGACAGACACAAGGGTACTTCCAAGCGACAACGTACAGGATCCAACTCCTCAGGGACAGTCTCTAAGCGCAGCGAATCACCTGAAGCAGCGGTTGATGACCCATCCAGCAGATCAACCACCAACGGTCGAAATGCATCACAGAAACTGAGGGGAACTGCGGCTCGAAACAATCGCGAGAAGGAGCTTCGAGAAAAGGCAAAGGAACAACAGGCAGCCCAGCGGGCTGAGGCGGCGAGCAAACGTAATGCTCGGTCAGAACGAAGAAGGGCCGATGGTGAGTTACCCCCACCTCCACAATTGGAAGATATTGACCGGTGAGGCAGACTCACCCCCTCCCACCCCGAGCCTCTCTCCCTCCAAGGGAGGACAACCCAATGGCAAAACAAAAGCAGACACGCCCCCGTCTGGACGGTCGAATCATAACCATAATCGCAAGCCGGGCGGGCGACTGCCTGCGAGGCGAGGAAGACTTGGTAGAAATCAATATACGCGGGACCAGATGAATGGAGAAGACGGGGACCATACGCCTCTGCGGGACGGATCTCACGATATCAACGGCCACGACACCAGAAATGGAGGATCCCCATCTGGTGCCGATAGGAAGGGAAGTGCAGGGGGCACGGGTGGGGTACATTGCATCAACGGTGAGAGTGGACGCAGTTCAAAGGCCAAGACACACCCGGCGAGGACGAGTCTCAACGAGATGAAGAGGCGTGTAGCGGCGATTCTGGAATTTGTTGGCCGCATGCAGACGGAGCGAACGACGCAGGTTCAAGCGGCGATACAGGTGAGCGGCGGCAGCGGCGGGAGTTCCAAGGGCTCGATGACGCCGAACGGCATAAGCAAGAGCTCGAGCACTTCGAGCTCCGCCGGGAGCGCCCTGCCGACGGCGAGCCTGGTGCGGGCTGTCGAGGCCGGGCTCAAGGACGTGAAAGAGAAGGACGACGACAACGTGGTGTCAATGATGGACGAGAGAGAGTTTGCGACGATGGGCAGTGTGGATATGATGGAGACGTTGACGAGGGAGTTGGTCCAGTGGCAGAGTGTCTATGGGGTCTATTCGCGGTGACAATGGTAATGGTGCTCACAGGGAGAGCAAGGTACGAATGAGCCGGGACCAATTTAAGGGCGCCTATAAGCATGACGATGATGACAAGAGGGTATTTGTAACGTGTTTACCGGCTTGCACAATTGAGGGATTCCTGCATGGCGCGGGCATGAACATCATTCTTGAATCTGGGGTCTGGGACGGAGTCGCATACCAAACATGAGATTTGACGACCGGGGGGAAAAGTGCATAGTTTGGAGTTTTTTGGGCTGTGCTGGATCCTCAGACACCCATCTGACGCTTTGACGCTGTGACGTTTTAATGTCGAGAAGAGGAAGAGTGCTTTTTTTTTGTGCGAGCCGAAGCATTGCTTGCATTTTGCTAGAAGCACCGGCTTGGACCAAAAGAAGGATCGCAATGGCATGGAGCGTGGGCGTTGGCATGGGCATGCGGCATGGGGCATGGGGCATGGTATTGCCATAAAGGGCACCCAAAAATATCCCCGAAATGACGTCGTCTTTTTTTTGTTCTAGAGTCACCAGAGTTCAACCTTGTGAGAGCACAACCGAGGAGTGGAGTCTCTTTTCGTATTCTAATCCGAGCGTCCAATCACGCTTGTGGCTTGTGGCTTGTGGCTTGTGGCTTGTGGCTTTGCTTTCTCGGTGGTGTCGGTGAGGCAGATCACGTGTCAATGATCCAGGGTACAAGGACATCGGTCCTACTCCCGTCCTGGTCGCCAGGAGACCGCGGCTTCAACGGTTTATCAGCCTTGATTATTCAGCCACGGTGCCCCGCCCCGGCGTCGCAGGACGAGTTAACGAGCAGTAAGTGGTGGCAGCCTTGTGTCGACCTATTCCGCTGCCCCCCACTTCGCTCAGGCGTTGGCTTACGGGCTTTTTGTTGGCTTACACCCCGTAGCTACTGGGAGTGAACTGGGCTTCTTCGGCCGAAGGGGGAATCAGCCATTATAATTCAGGATTCGGTCCTTCCACAGGCGCCACCGTGCGCTGTATTCGGTACACCGTACACCGTGCACCCTACGAGGACACACACGCCTACAGGACCTCGCTCCGTGTACCTACCTAACCTACCTACTGTACGTACCTTGCCCTCCTGGTTGCCACCTTACCTAACCTCTTAGCTGCTAGGGCACACTAGGTGCCAACGACTGCATCGCACCGCCGAAGGGCAAATCAAAGCCGCCCAGGGAAACCGGAAGGAGTCCGTACCTTCCGCGTATGCGTACCAGGGAGGGCGTAGAACCTTTTTCCTCCTCCCCGTTCGGACTCCTTTCATTCCCTGACCTGCTCACTCCTTGCTCACCACTTGCTCACTCCGTCCATCTCATCTGCGAAGAAGACACGGCAAAAAAGAAGAGCGAGAGCGAGAGCCAGAGTAAGAGCCAGAGCCAGAGCCAGAGCCAGAGCAAGTAAGGAACCCCGTACGTTGTTGGCTCACTCTATCCATCATCCATCATCCGTCGCCCATCAGCCATTGATCGCTGCAACCTACTATCCATCCGTCCATCTGCACGGTCCTCGCCTCAGCCAGCGCTGGCCAATTTCACCCCGTCCGCTGGGAGAGGGGTCTCTGCCACCAACGAGCACAGCACGGCTGCCCCCCTCTAACTTGATCAGGGCTGGTTGAATTGGGGAGAGCGGAGGACGGGGAATCTAGAGCAGCGGACGAACAGCTTCTTGCCGGTACCAACGGGCTAAAAGCGAGCAGAGCAATCATGGTCGACCGCCACGACGACGATCGTGACCACCAGCGCCAGCGGCACCCTCTTCAACGCCCACACCACCCCCAGGTCCAAGAGGCAGACACCAATCACAGCCGCAACCATACCCAGAGCGACAAGACCCGTGGCCCGCGAAAACCGTACGTCCGACTGGTCACCGACAAGCGACGGGAGCAAAACCGGCGCGCACAAAAGGCTTATAGGGAGCGACTGAAGAAGAAACTCGAGGTCCTGGAGGAGCAGGCTGCTTCTACTTTGTCCCACCCCGGCCAACACCAACAGACCCCGCGAAGGCCCAGCCATGAGCTTATCGAGATCTCAGGCACAGAAACTCACATCCAAGACGATGAGGATGGACAGGGGACCGTCAATGTCGATCTTGTGTCTCCCGCATTGTCGTCTCCGGCCAAGATACCACACAGAGCCACCGGCCCAACTGGTTCGGGCCCGCGGGTGATAAATCTGGCAGAAGCATTTGTCGCTGCTGGGGACTTACCGTTTGGACAGGGTGCCCTCCCCGGCATCCAGCTTCAAGTAGGCCCCGATACACCGGCGACCGTAACCGACATCGACGAGATCATCGATCATACCCACGATGACTATGGCGACATTGACCTGCGGCAAATCTGGGCTATGCCACACGGACCGGCGCCTTCCCAACCGTCACACCAACATCATCCTGGCATCTCGCGCGGTTCGACGACTCTTATGACCTTGACCCCTCAGCGAAGCCCGAACGGCCTGCAGTTCTTCACCCCGAAGCTTACCGTGGCAGATCCATACATGAATCACCTGCACCTCGTCGGCGAAGGCAATGTCGAAGCCTCACTCGCTGTTGCCCTTTCAATCGGCATCAGCCGCAGCCAGTACTTGAACGACCACCCATCACATTTCCCCGGCTGCTACGTCGCGCTCAACAAACCTGACCCGAGCTCCCCAACAAACTCATCCTCCCCGGTGACAGTGAGCTACAAGTTCGCACACACCTTCATGAATGTCACGCCGGAGCTGCAAGAGCATCTCGAGTCAGTGAAGCCGCCCATGCGCCCAACGCCCGCTCAACTCTTAAATCCACACCCAAGTTACCTCGACTGCCTTGTATTCCCGTATTTCCGTGACCATGCAGTCCAGGCATCCGTGGATGGCATCCTGGACCACGCAGAGCTGTTCATGGACCTGATGCACGGTGGGCTGGTATGCTGGGGCGGCATGTCGGGGCTTACGAACAGGCACGGGAAGTCGGTCAAGAGCGGGAAGAGAGGCATGAGCGACAGCGTCGCCTGGAACACGAGAAGTTGGGAGGCTAAAAGATGGTTCCTGAAAAAATGGACTTGGCTGGTCGGCACAGAGGAGGAAGAGGAAGCGAGGGGTGATGTTGATGGCATCTGGAGAGGCAGTCGGTGGTGGTGGGCCATGCGCGGCGAGGACGACACCGATGAGGAAATGGAGGAAACGGACTTTGGAGGTGCCCGAGTGAGCGAAATTGACTCGGCCAGCCATTGTGTGTGAAGGTGGTGGCTTGCTGGAGGGAGGTTGCGACAGGTACCTGATACGCGTGCTTACCCAGGCGGGGCCCAACTGTACAGAGCCGATGGCATGGTCATCGACGTTCTCATCTCCACTGCGTGGCTTTCTCAGGTGGGCGTTGTGCATCTACCTTCGGTACTATCGAATAGCGCGCGAGTGGAGGGGCCGATCTGTCTCGAGGCTTGAGTTTGCAAGCCGAGAGGAACCCCATTCGACAAGTTTCTGGCTAAGAACATGGTGGAAGTCACCCGGACCATGTGGAGGAGTGTCCGAGATCAACCTCAGTCAGCCGTGGACGCCAACCCGTCGTGCCCAAATGCAGAACTTCTTCTGGCAATCGTCAAAGAAGGAATGATTGTTCAGCTTTGAAAGTCTCCGGGCCAATCGAGGTCGAATGTGGCCGGTTCCCTGTTGAAGCACGCTTGACATATTCCAATGTGAATGGAATTCGTATACCCAACCCAGAGATATGTGAAATGTGGAAGATGCAGTGCGTGCTGGCTCGACACACTCAGCGACAGGTGGACTCGCTTTCTAACATGTGGTGAGGCGGGGACTAGCTACTGCTCGATTTCCAACGGCGTCGTGACTGGCCTGGCTCCCTTTTCCGTGACGAATCGCGAGCCACAGCAACTCGTATCTACCTGAACACGGAGTTCTGAGGTACCACATTCGCAGCGAGACGTTGGTAGCCCCAGTGGCTCTCGCTCTCAGGTGCCATGCGAAGGAGGTATCTCCGCATATCACGCAGCCCACTCGGAAGACGGAGTGCTGGTGGAAAACAATGATAGAGTGCGAACAACGACCCTTGGCGGAGAAGTGGTAACGAATCAATCTAGACCCAGTGCAGCAAGATAGAAGGAAGCGCTAATGCAACCAAAGATTTGCCGTGCCTGAAACTGCGAGACGACTAGAGCCCGGCAGGTTTGTGCACAACCTTTTGGGCGAGGATTGGCAGAAGTGACTTTCTTCGACCATCTCGCTGAGGCAGCCGGTTGGTTGCTCGTGCAAAATCGTAAGTCATTAACCTGAAGAGCTGCAGGTGGCATTGGGCGGAACAGCGTTCATCGTCCACTTGCAACCCGTGTACGGATCTCCCTTGGGTATGATAGGCCGGAGAGTGGGAGTCATTAATCTCGAAACAACTCCATTGCACAATGCCGGTATGACGGATGCGATCTCAAAGTGAACTTGCTTCATGTTTACTTGAACGGGTAAAGTTCGAGAACATTCGTCTGAACAACGACGTTGATCGACAGTGGAGCTGGAAGATGGCAAGTCACTCGGGTCCCCTGAGGAACAATGCAGAGGACTTCGGACAGTTGTTCCTGCTGGACAAAGAACCCCATGAGGTGGGCGGGTATTTTCCACAGGGATGGGTTTCCATGGTTCGGGCGTCTGAGGCGCATGCAGGGCCTTGGATTTATCTGGAAAAGCGTCCCCCTGCCGATCTTGGTCTTCAAGCCTCATCCGTCATCACTCATGTCTCGTTCCAAGTAGCGATGATCGTAGCCGTACAAGGAAGGAGCGCGAGGAGACCACAGGGTGCATATCGACAGCGCCTTTGATGGCCCATGCAGGTAGTCACGAAGTCTGTTAGGGGTCGATTCAGCTTGAGCCCGAAAGCGCCCGCATAAGTGAGCAGAGGGAGGAGGCGGACAAAGGAGCATGGAGAGACCGAGACTGCTGATTCAGAGGGGCACGCGGCTGAAACCCTGATGAGAGGGAGGAGGATCTCGTGGAGTGGTGTGGGAGGAGAAGGCCGGGGGGATTGTGAGAGCAAGAGTCGTGCGTTGTGCGTCGTAATGCCCCAACACCCAAGAGTGCGGTGAGTGCCCCGAGGAAGGGGAAGAGGAAGAGGACGAGGAAGGCCTGCAGTGACCGCGGGTCGGCTATGCACAAACCAAGCGTTGGATGAACAAGGATCGTCGTCGTCTTTCAGATTGCCAGCTTGGATTCTGTGGGCTTTGGCTTTTTCGAGCCCGAGCTCTCGGCTGCGAGGACGCAATCGGGAAGTCATTGTCCTTCTCCTGACTTTCCTTCTAACCAGCTATTGATAAGATGGACCTCGAGCACCAGCTGCTATCATCCCGGCTTACCGGGATGATTCATGGTGCAGTTCCCCGGCCCCGTGAAGTCAGTCCAGCCACCCGGAACTCGTCCCTGGACCCAAACATCCAGTAGCCCAAGGCGCCTAAGAAACCCGACCTGCGTTCCGGAGTCAGGGATGCCCCTGGTGCCCTCGTGGCTGGGCAGTTCTGAGCCTGGGCGAGCCCGCTCAGGCACGGGCACAGGCACAGGCACAGGCACAGGCAGGGGCGCAGTCTGTGGGCGTGGTGTCCGGAAAGACGGTCAACTACCCATGACCCCAAAATTCGAGGATTCCACAGTGGTCCTCCATTGTGGGCAAGAGATCCCTATCCACATCCGATGTTCCAATTGTTCACTGAACAGGTCACACATTTGGTAGCCAGCCAGACAACCCTTTTTCGGTAGGCAACTGGCCAAAGCGAATGGGCCTGCAGCAAGAAGGGACAGTGCAGTGTTCCGACCCAGCAGTTGAGCTCCTGTCCGCCCCAGTCAGCATCGACTTTTTGCGATGCTGATCTTGACCTCGTTCTGCGGGACCAACACCCAGACTAAAAACTTCGAGACCCTCAGTTCTCATTGCAACAGCGGCAGAAACGACACCAGGCCAAAAGAACTACCTGGGCCCCCCTTCCCCCTTGTCCATGGGCGCGCGAACCGATTATGTAAATGGCGAGCGGTCCACTCCTCTGTGCGCGTTCGAACAAACAAAACCATCGTCACCTCCACGACATCCAACGAAACGTCATTGCCACCACTCTCACTACATCTACGTTGCTCCCTGGGTTCGGCCAGGCAGACCACTCCCCTCCCTCCATCACCCGTCCCTCCAGCGAACCAGACCCGAACGAGTCCGTCACTCGCCTATGATCCGAGCTAGTCGCCCACATTGAACGCCTCACTCACTTTCCCATCACCCTCACCACACGTTTCACTCGGGGTTTTGTTGCAGGCTGAAGGATTTGCACGAGGCAGCAAGTTAGGAGATCAACATCGGCAGGCAAGAACACGACTTTCCAGTAACAAACCCAGCCGGATCTGGAACTAGATCACGTAGCGAACCGCTTTCCCCCTTCAAGTACCTTGATCCCACACAAAACCCGTTAAAAACCACCCATAACCCGATTTTCCCTTTGCACGACTCACTCAGCTCGCCGACCTCCCATAAAACCGGCGTCGAGAAGTGGACTTTGAGCTTGCCCTACTGTTCTTGCCCCTTCGGTCGCTCACCATACCCTCCGAGCCCTTCTCTCCAGAGCGGTGTTGGAAGAGGACCGATTTATGGTTTGAAATGTAGTCGAAACACTTTCGAACCCAAAGGCAATTTTCAAAAGTCGGACTTGTCTGTGTCGCAACGACTGTGTGAGCGGTGGCAGGTCGCGGGGTGAGTAAGGATGAGTCTGCAGCCCAGGTAAGTTTTCAATTCGCCTACTACCACCACCACCTGGTCTCGAGTTTGAGTCCTGAGTGCCCCTCCCTTCCCGCCGGCAAGAGTCAATCGGCCTAACTGAATCTCCTCGATGGCTACAGGCGAGAATATCACATTGTTGTGCTTGGTGCTGGTATGTTCGATCTGTCCAATCTAGAAACCTTTTGCGAGCTCGCGGGGGTTTCCTCGAGTCGCCAAACTCTCAGACTAACGACCTGGTCTCGTGCCCAAAACAGGAGGAGTCGGTAAAAGTTGTCTCACGGCCCAATTCGTGCAAAATGTCTGGATTGAGAGCTATGACCCAACCATCGAGGACTCGTACCGAAAGCAAGTCAATGTCGATGGTCGACAGATCATGCTGGAAATGTAAGGATCTGGGATTCCTTCCTCGAACTTTCTCATTCCACTGCAACGAGGGCAATGGCGCCTCGCGAATGTGCCACAATCTCGTTTGCTGTCTCCATGATTCCCGTGCTAACCAGCTCTTTGAAACCCTCTCCAGCCTCGACACGGCCGGCACCGAACAATTCACAGCAATGCGCGAACTCTACATGAAACAAGGCCAGGGCTTCCTCCTCGTCTTCTCCATCTGCAACATGAACTCGTTCTACGAACTGGCCGAACTACGCGAACAGATCGTCCGCATCAAAGACGACGACGACATCCCTCTCGTCGTGGTGGGGAACAAGTCCGACATGGAAGACGACCGCGTCGTGCCCCGCGCACGGGCGTTCCAACTCGCGCAGTCGTGGGGTCAGAAGCCGTACTACGAGACGAGCGCCAGGCGGAGGACCAACGTCGACGAGGTGTTTCTGAATCTGTGCGCGCAGATCATCCAGAAGGAAGGGGCGCGGAATCTCATGGTCGAGCAGCAGGCCGCCGCGAGGAGGAGGGACAGACCGAACCGGCACGATCGCAGGGGCCGGCGGCAGAGGAATCGGGACAGGTGCGTCATCTTGTGAAAACATTCAGCCCAGTCGATCTTTCCAAAGGAGTCAGTACAACAGAAAGTATCCCATGGACATGCCTGGAAATGGGGATGTTGACACACGTATTTTCCTCGGGATACTATCACCGGCGTTTTTTTCGAGAAGCTAGACAAAAAGAATGGGCCTGGGCTAAAAAGCACGAGGGGAGGAGGAACGGGACAAGAGTTTGAGCTCTAGACTTACCCGACTCAGGTCGAATTGTTGTCGTCTGACGACCACTGTATTCTGTCTCGTTCTTGTCTTGCCATCAACAATTTGCTTGTTCTCGTTTAAAGCGCTGTAGAGTCGTCTAGGTGTTGCTCAATGTTCCCCTGAGCCCTGCATCCACGCGTGCCCTCCATGGCCGACCCAGTTGACTGGGCGGATCCCATTTCGCGCGGAGAGATGGACTGGGACCAACTCAAAACCGCCATCCATCTACATCCTAAAGACGCCAAATTTCGTCTGCTTGTCATCTGCCTTGCCGCCCAGCGCAGCCTTCAACCCCATCGCCAGCATGCTCCTGGTCTGCGCGGGATGGATGACGCCGTCATCCCACAGCCTCGCGCTGGAGAAGCACGCATCACTTTCCCGCTCAATGCGGTCCCTCAGACCCACGTCCACGCTCTTGCCCACCGTCTCCATGACGGCCGTCAACTGGTCGGGGCCCATGACCCCAATCTTCGCGTTGGGCCACATCCACAGGAACCGAGGCGAGTAGGCGCGCCCGCACATGCCGTAGTTCCCTGCGCCGGCGGACGAGCCCACGACAACGGTGAACTTTGGCACGTCGGCGCAGGCGACCGCGGTAACCAGCTTTGCCCCGTTCTTCGCGATGCCGCCCCGCTCGGCGTCCGCGCCTACCATGAACCCAGAAATGTTCTGCAGGAATACCAGCGGGATGTTCCGTTGACAGCACAGTTCGATGAAATGCGCGCCTTTCAAGCTCGACTCGGAGAACAAAATGCCGTTGTTGGCGATGATGCCCACCTGGTAGCCGTGGATCCTGGCGAACCCCGTCAGCAGAGTGGTCCCATAGTCCTTCTTGAACTCGGCGAACTCGCTGCCGTCGACGATGCGGGCGATGATTTCGCGCATGGGGATCTGTTTGCGCAGGTTCGTGCCTACGATCCCAGCGAGCTCAGACGGGTCATACAGAGGTTCGCGGATCTCATTGGGGTTTACCGGAGGTTGCTCTCTGGGGTAGTTGAGATTGGCGATGGAGCGGCGGGCAAGAACGATTGCGTGAGCGTCGTCCACGGCGAGATAGTCGGTGACGCCAGAGACGGAGCTGTGAAGTGAGCCGCCGCCCAGGTCTTCGGCCGAGACGACCTCGCCTGTGGCCGCTTTCACCAGCGGCGGACCTGCCAGGAAGATGGTGCCTTGTTTCTCCACGATGATGGATTCGTCGCACATGGCAGGTACGTATGCGCCGCCGGCTGTGCAAGGGCCCATTACCACCGCGATCTGAGGGATACCCATGCTGCTCATCCTAGCTTGGTTGAAGAATATACGTCCAAAGTGATCCCGATCCGGGAAGACGTTGGCTTGGTTCGGTAGATTCGCGCCACCAGAATCGACCAGGTATATGCACGGTAAATTGTTCTGCTGAGCAATTTCTTGCGCTCTCAGGTGTTTCTTCACGGTCAACGGATAGTATGTCCCGCCCTTGACCGTGGCATCGTTGGCAACGATCATGCATGTCACACCCTCGACGGTGCCAATCCCCGTGATAACGGCCGCGGCGGGGACTTCATCCTCGTAAACCTCGTGAGCGGCGAGGGGTGAGAGTTCCATGAACGGGCTACCAGGGTCGATGAGAGCTGTTATGCGATCTCTTGCGAGCATTTTGCCCCTTTGGATATGCTTTTGGCGCGCCTTCTCTGGTCCCCCTTGGGAGATCTTCTGGTGCAAGGTTGCATATTTATTCATGGCCTCACCCAGCTGCGCTGCATTGTCTTTGAAGTCTTGGCTGGACTTGTCCACTGCAGTTGGAAGGACGGAGATGGCTTGGGCATGCCGTCGGTGAGTGAATGTCGCTGCTGACCTTGTTGTTCTCGGTCTGAAGTGGGACGTGGAGGAGCACTTAGGTTGTTCTCGAAGAGCGTGGTTGAGACTCCTCAAGACCGAGTTCGTCGGAACATATTTGGGAGCCATGATAGATTCTCTGCAGCACCACAGAGAGAGAGAGCCTTGAGCAGTGAGGATTTTGAAGAAGAGGATACCTCGTGCCTGGGGAAGATGTCTTGTCAATGCGACTGCGGTTGGAGATCAGAGTCTCTTTCCCGCAGCCAGACCGTCAATAACCGAGATCTCGGTACGGGCAAGCATTTCTTCTCAAGACGTAGGTTTCGCAATTCCGTCAACAATGGCGGCGATGTGGAGGGACGACGATTCGCGGAATTCGAAAGCCGTCAAAATGATCTGTTTCTGCCAGATGCTGATACCTGAGACTCAAGGACATGGCCTGTACATAGCCTATCGAACATATACTCTGACGTCGCAACCCCCTGTCCAAACGAGTTTGCAAGGTAAGATTTAAGATTACTTTTTCGTCCAAGAGTAAGGCCATCTAGAGGTACCTCGCTCAATGCTCTCACGCCTTGGCATGCTCATACTGGTTTGAGCCGAATGATGCCGAATGGTTTTCGTACAGCCTAGGTAATGAGTGAGGGTGCCGCCATCTGAGGAGGAGTTAGAGTTGATGGCCGTCTCCAACAGACGAATGATACGGCACACCTCCTGCATCCATTTTCAACAGCCGCAATTCATCGTCGAGACTTCAAGACCCGCGGCCCGCCGGCGAAGACCTGATCTCCCAAGAACTCAGACTTCATCAAGCATATAACGCGAGAGAAACCGTCCTTGCTGTAAACCAACTCGTCCGCTGCGCTGTTCCCCGGCAATATGGCTCAGGCGACAGAAGTTGTCTTCTTACCCCTCAAAGAGGGGAACGATCCTCAGGGCCAGAAGTTGAAGGCTACAATTGAAACCATCCTCAAGCAAGGTGGACCATTGCGCATCTATTCTGGTCCACAGGTCGAACATCCTAATGTTCACAATTTGTTCATCGACTGGACTAGCATTGGCCATCATGAGAAGTTCATTGCGTGGGAGTAAGAGGGCTGGACTCAAATGATATAAGCCTCTACTGACGGCGCAACAGCGGATACAAAGCCTTCCTGGACGATGCTGTGACTCAGTGCGAGAAACCACCCAGTCTTTATCATGTCCATTTTGAACCGTTTCCGCCTTCTGCGGCTTTCTCTGAGGTGACTGAGTTTCTCATGGTTTACTTCCCTGCCGACTATTCGGCCGAGGACCAAAAGACGTTTCACGAAGGGATGAAGAAATTTGGGGCTACCGTCAATCGTGATTGGGAAGGATGCAGGGGAACAGCAGGCGGTTGGGTTGCAGAAGAGCTCGAAGACCCTAAGACCTCGGAGAAGGCCAAAGTCTATGTTTACCTCATTGGGTGGGAAAGTGTCGATTCGCACATGAAGTACAGGGATACCCAGTCCTTCAAAGACAATATCCATCTCCTGAGGGGCGGAAAGGATCTGAAGAATTTGGCCATGGTCCATGTTGCAGCCAAAGAGTTCAAGGCGTGAATAGACTTGAAGCCAATGTGGCTGCGGTGTCGCTGTCAGGCCACCTCGAGAGTCAAACAAGACATTGGTCAGTCTTTTATAGGGGTCGATAATACTCACTCACTACGATGGTGGCAGAATCTGAGATAGATATCATTGTGGAAGGGTTGATACAAGCGAGGCAGTCGAAAGGGCTTGGAGCCGAACAATCACGCCAAGCCGGATGCCCAATTTGGGAAATCCTGATGTTGATGCGCCATGAAACTTGAAGTTTTGCAGTTTTTTAAATCTTGAATTTCTGCGCTCCGAGCACCAATCCCCATCTTGTACATCAAGGATAAATTTATGACACAAAAAGCGACTAGCGCACAGATCGCGAGCTCTCGAGACCCAAGCATTCGAGCATGGCGACCGATGTGGTCCTCGAGACGACGATGGTAGGACTCCTGCCAGAATCCTTTGAATTCTTCAGGACTGACTGGACTGCAGGGCGCAATTACTGTTGAGCTCTACAACGATCACGCGCCCAGAACCTGTAAGAACTTCTCCACCTTAGCTCAACGAGGATACTACAACAACGTCATCTTCCATCGCATCATCCCCAACTTCATGATCCAAACAGGGGATCCTACCGGGACCGGCAGGGGTGGCTCAAGCATTTACGGTGACAAGTTTGCCGACGAGATAAGCCCTTCTTTGAAGCATACCGGTGCGGGTGTGCTCAGCATGGCCAACAGCGGGAAAGACACAAACGGGAGTCAATTTTTCATCACACTGGCGCCAACACCGTGGCTGGACGGCAAACATACAATTTTCGGAAGGGTCAAGAGCGGGATGAAGGTTGTGCAGCGGATGGGCCTCGTCAAGACCAATAGTGAAGATAGACCTCTGGAGGAGGTCAAGATCATCAGGGCAAGAGTGGTCGAAGGCACGGAAGTGGGATGACAGTCGACCGAGACACTCTTGCACCGCGCTATCAGATGGTGTTACCCGGATCCAATATCCACGGCCCAATGCGATTCAAACAACAAGATAACCGGAGCTGCTCAGAATGCACGGCTCGTTAAATCGACGGCAAGAAAGGGGTCAGTTGAATTTGTGACAACCTGTCCAGGCCCACAGCCCTTCTCCACGACCGCTGAAGGAACTGCAGGACATTGAGGTCGTTGTTCTATCTACGATCAACATCCTCGAGATGATATCTGGGACCAATCCTGGAATCCTGGACAAGCCACCAGCGCTTTGAGACCTAACTCATCTATAAGTTCTCTATGTGGTGCTTTACACGGCGGCCTGGAGATGTCCAGTGCCACAAAATCAATAGCATGGAGGATGGTTTCGTGGAGATCAGGTGCGTGGAGACCTATGCACCTCCCTGTCGTGCCCCTGAAGGTAGGCCAGGATCTAAGCAGTGGCTGTTGAGGAGCGCTTCGCATCGCACCTCGATTTGTCTCCTATTCAGAAACTGGCTCCTCTTTCCGGCGTCTGCAACTTGTATCGTTTCTCCAGACGCCCATGTGGTGGACCATGCGAACCTGGAGAATTGATCAAGTGAGGAGGGATTCTTGGAGAGCCGACTACTGCAAAGTCTAACGGGGATCCGAATCTTTTTTAAGCAACAACTGGGTTGGTTAGATGGGCGCTTAGACAAAGCTTTTCAGCTTTCGGCCCCAGATATTGCGGCATGCCAGCCTTGCGTTGAACGTTCGTATTGTACAAAGGGCCCCTTTCCAGCTTAGCTTCAGCGTCTATGATCTACAGCCTTGCACGGTCTGCGGTCGTGCTGAAAGACGTTCAATTTGGACCCCGGAATCAGACATCCGCAGCCTGGGATTTTCGGATACTCTATTAGCTAAGGCCGGCTTTCGGCCTCAGGATCCAAGGCCACTACTGATGCTTGTGCAATTCATTTTATGCTCAATGTCAACGTCGGCCTCGTCGACCAAGCTTCTCCATTCTCCAAGATTGCGTCATGTCCCTATGTGTGTATCTAGCGACTCCCAAGGCCATTTGAGAGAGCCTGGCAGGCCCCTTCCGAGGCTGAAAGACCGCTCTCACATATCAGCCCTTTTCGCTCTTACAGAGCGTATCGGAAGACACTTGAGCTGGATCTTCGCACTTGCTCAGAGTCTCCCACAAAGACCGCCGTCTGCGAATGGGCGACTCCAGGAGACGGATGCAACGTGGTACTATCAATCGTAAGCGTATAGACGAGCTCCACTGGCACTTTATTCCCCTTCCCTTCAAACTTTTCATGTGGCGGCTTATATTCCACCACACGAGCGAAGTAGGAGGCCTGAGGGTTAACATGTGAATACCCAGATAGCAACTTGGACTTGCCAGTGAGCGATAATGGCACACTGAATGGAGTAATGTCTCGTACACTGGTGAATTCGTAGAGCAAGGTGCAGCCGGAGGAGCACTCGGATCACCCTGGCATGAGGGAGCCCATCCTTCTCAGTTGAAAACATACAAGTACTTTTGCATGTTCGACTGCTGATAAGGCGGACCATGTTGGTAGAGTTGCAACGACAATTGCCGCTCTTGCCGCGACCGTTCAGGTGTCTGGTGGTCAGCTCGAAGTAACCATAAGCGCGATCTCATTTGCCGGAAGTCGACATCACGAAAGATCGACAAGCTGAGGTCCAGGGTCCGTCCTCCGGATGTGTCCTGTGTGCTACCTCGTAGCCCCCGGAGAGTTCGGAAAATATCATTCGCTTGGCGATGGCATTCCAATCTCTTTCAACGCAACGTGGACATCCAAGTCCAGTGCGGGCACTCTGGAGAAGAAAGGGTCCATGAACGTTCGCAGTCGCGCCGTGCCGATAATTCCGTATCACCGCAAGAGCACAATTGAGAGAGGCGTCTGGGTCGTTCTGGGGAGGGATAGATTTGTTTTCAAGTGTGGGTGAGTGGAGAGCGAAATCAGCTAATGTGGGCAATGAGTGATGGGAGTTGGATGCTGCGCTGTGGTTGGTGTCGAGGTCGCTGCAGCATCTCGGGCTAGCTGGGCGATTGGCGGGCTGCAAGCACTTCCCAGGGCGAGCTTCAGGCCGTCACACCTGGGCGGCAACAGTCTACGGGCCCCCATTCGCCGAGCTGGAACGGCCTAGGGACGCCCAGGAATGCCTAGGGCCGCCGAGACTGGCCTGGCAGCGCAGCCGGACCATCCAGCGCTGATCTTCCCTGCAGCCTCGAATCGGCGCCCATTTCATGCAATTGTTCCTGGCTTGTCACCCTTTTGCGCCAATCACTCTCTCGCCTGCGCTGCTTTTCGTCGTGCTTTTTTCCTCCATCTGCGCCTCTTATTCGCTTGCTGTGCTGTGTGACTGCTTGAGAGAGGGGTCTCGGTCCGCTCCAGATCTCCACTTGGTCTGCATCGAGTCCAGCATGTCTGCCACTTCTGGTCTCACCGCACAACCAATGCAAGCTCTCGTCGAAGCGCTGACTCTTGCTCCGTACCGCTGAGATGCACCACCGTCCACGAGATGGAAGACTCTCCGGGTCTCCAGAGCTCGATAGCTCTGCTCTTCCGGTGCAACTATTGCTGCTCTCAACCCGGTAGCTGCTGTTGTTCCTCTTTTGGGTCAATATCACTGTGAGGAGAGTGAGTAGCGGGGTGTGCAAATCGTCCTCGCACGCGCGGCCGTTGTATCTCGTCACCACCACCACCCTGCTCGGTCCTCACGCTGAACAATGTCTTCTTCCGCATGATCCCAAAGTTCTATATCGCAGCTTTCGCCCCTCCTCGCCCTCCCTCCCTCCCCAACGTCCAAGAGGCTTTGGGTTCCTCTGTCCTTCCATTCCTTCCATTCGCTCCCAGTCGTTCCCTTCGTCTTCTTGAGAGAGCAGGCTTTCTCTTCTTTCCAACCCTTTGCGCGAAAACTGCACATCTCAGAAGGCGGGTCCACTGAGCGGTCTCGAAATCCATGACCACTCTGCGAAAACGCACAGACACCAATAGATTCGACGGCCTGACCGCAGAGGCCTCTTTTCGCTCCGCCTCCGTCCAACACCTATCCCGACGAGTGTCTCTTGAAGAGACCGCTTCTCACCAACTTCCCGGTTCTCCTACACTGCTGGACCAGCCGCCAACTGGGGAAGAGGTACTGACACCAAAGCGAAGATGCCATCACTGCCGTCAGAAGCATTGGCGCATTTGGCAGGAAGAGGGGTTGAGCAGAGCGTGGAGGAACTGGTCAAGAGAGTCAACATCCCGATAAACAGCACAACTCCTCCTGCCCTCGTTGCAGCCATCCAGCATGACCCCTTCAACCAGGCAGGCAAGTACGGCCTCATTTTCGTTTACATCGGAATCATCCTGGTGGTGTCCACAACGATCAAGCGGCTCTACTACTACTGGGGAGACAAGATTCGAACGGCTCTGTACAAAGAAGAAGTCATCAACTCGGCCTCGACGATCAGCCCGCTGCGTGTTTCGCCGTATTCAGGGTATGTCGATTATGAACTGCCCAGCGCCATGAGTGCCCAGACAGAGGGTTCGACAAGGCATTTCTTCCCGTCCTCGGGACCGCTGGTAGCCGAAAAAGGGCCGCAACAAGCAGCTGTTTCGGCCATTGCACCACTCAACAACACAATCGCCTTGTTTCGATGGGTCTTCTACAGACCCATCCCGGCCATCAAGGTTGGCAGATGGACGTTCACGTTCCCGTCCTTGGGAGTTGTCGCGATCATAATCATATGCCTAGTGTCGTCCCTGCTCTACTGTTTCCTACCCACCCCACTCTTCTACGCATCCATGTCATATGGATCACCTCCGCTGGCTGTCCGAGCCGGGATGATGTCCGTCTCGCTGCTGCCATGGGTGGTGTTGTTGGCCAACAAGGCAAACCCTGTGGCTTTCATGACTGGGATCGGAGCGGAACGACTCATTGTGCTTCACCGCTGGACAGCTTATCTGTGTGTCATCTTTGCCATCATCCATGCTGTCCCCTACTGGTATCAATCGGTCACGGACCCAGCCGGGTTTGCAACGTTCAAACTCTATTTCAGCCAACAATACTGGGTCTACACGACAGGCATTGCAGCGATCGCTCCTCTCATCTTCCTCACCCTGCACTCCATTCCCATTCTTCGACACAAAGCATACGAGTTGTTCGTCTTCCTGCATATCCCGGTCGCTTGGGCTTTCATTGGCCTCATGTTCTGGCACTGCCACAATTACTTGACATCATGGGCGTATCTCTACTCGACCGTGGCTCTGATGATGGTATCGCTGCTCACCCGTCTGTTCTTCTTGAACTGGATGAACCCGTTCCGATCATCGTGGCTCATCGGAGAGGAGTCTGCCGTTACCATTCTGCCTGAGAATGCCATCAAGGTCACCATCCCGACGCAGAAGAGGTGGCGTCCGGGTCAATACGCATACTTGAGAATGCCCGGAATTGCCATCTTCGAGAATCACCCCTTTACCATCGCATCACTCTGCAGTGAGGACTTCCCCTCTGAATACGGCGAGCAATACCGAGACATGACCTTGGTCTTTCGACCCTTCTCGGGCTTCACCCGCAAGGTCCGGGATACGTCGATCAAGAAGGGTCCTTACAAGACTTATCGAGCTTTCATCGAAGGGCCCTATGGCGGCATGCAGCGGCAAATGGCCTCCTTTGACCAGGTCATCTTCTTTGCCGGCGGAAGCGGCATTACAGCCATTGCCAGCCAATTGCTCGACCTGATCAAACGCATGCGCGACGGAAAGGCCACCACCTCCAAAGTGCATGTCGTCTGGGCTATGAAGCGGCCTGACATCATGGAGTGGTTCAAGGAAGAGCTTCGGATATGCCGAGAATGTGCCCCACCGGGATCGGTGCAGTGCCACTTCTTCATTACTGCTGCAAAACGATACGAGCCCTTGCCGGACGTCAAGGAACACCGGCTCAGTGGGATCAGGGACAAGGTCGCCGACGTCCTCGACAAAGCCACAGGAGGATCCAAGCGCAACTCGGCCCTGGTGATGATGGAGCAAGAGCCGGACCTCAAGCGCGAATTTGAGGACACCATCACCGCACTCCCACAAGCCTATGTCGCTCCTTCTCGTCACCTTGCGCCACCAGGCAGTGAACAAGCACAACCATACTTCCCACCTCCCCCCGCCGACAAACACATCTCCACCATCTCACAGGCGCAGATCGAAGCTACACGGTCGTTCGACTTTGGATTCCCTCAGACACCGACCAAATTCCAGAAGAATCTCATGCGGTTCGCCTTTCTCCCTACCAACGTCACGTCTCAGAGACGAGATGGTTGGCGGACCGAGTACGGAAGACCCGATATTCCGTACATGCTCAAAGGGCTGAGCAAGGAGTTCGGGCGCAGGACATGTGTATATGTCTGTGGCCCGCCGGAGATGAGGACGGACGTGGCGAACACGGTGGCGCGGTTGCAAAGTGAAGTGTGGAAGGATCCGGGCAAGGACGAGATATTCTTGCACGCGGAGAACTATGCCATTTAATACCCAGGTGTGTCCGGCGAGGAGGGAGTCGACGACGTGCCATGATATTTTGATTTAATTTTGGAGGGCAAGGAGCTTGCCCGCATGCCCCATGCATGAAAGGAAAGCGGAGTATATACCATACACCACACCAGCGTGGCATGGGTTTTCTCAGACCCGGGATCTCACGACGTGAATGAGGAGAAGAACAAGATTCGTTCTCTCGACCGTGTCCTTTGCGACAGTTTCTGAAGTTGGGCTCTGATGGATTTCGGCAGCCGCTGGGGCGCTGGGGTTTCCGAGCTATGAGGCCGGAAGGAGTTACGATACCCCTCTTGTTGGCCCTGGCCGTCCGCATTTAGCTCCTTTGTACAAAATAGAGGCAGAAGCCATGATGACGAGATACCATGGCATGAATGAAAGACGAGTCAAATCTCCGACTCAAGACCGTTTCGATGACAGGCCAACGGGCGTATATTTCTTCTCCATGCCACTATGTGGGACTGGAGTCGTTTGCCTTGTGTTGCCATGGTGGTGAGAGCGCAGGTTGGTAACTATATGAGGTCCTGCGTGATGTCGCCCAATAAGTTCCAGGAGGGGGGTCCTCGGACAATGCTCAGGGCAGCCAAGGGGCAGACGCAAGGTAAAGAAAGGGTCACAGGGAAAAAAGAGCTTGGACGATGGAACCCTGTCCAGAAGGCTTTGGGAAGAAGAGTCTTGCAATTTTTCGGAAAGAGAGCGAAAGAAATCCCCTTTGATGCGTCTGCAATTTGATCGGTAGCTTTTTTATGCAACCAGGCAAGGGTTGGTGCCCCCCAGAGCATGCCCTGGATATTGTTCACTGCTTCCTACGACACAGGGATTTTTGACTTGCATAGAGTTGGTACTGGATGCAGTGAATCTCTGCCGTTATCACAGATACGTTCTTGACACGCTAGTAAATTGAATTCCGCGTTCTCTCCACCACCAGCCACTCCCAAGGCCTAAAAATGCAGTGCATAATAGAAATGAGTGCATCCCTCAGGATTCAAGTAAGATTCTGACGGGAAGAAGTCTGTTCGCATGGGCTAAAGGTGCAGTGAGCCGCGTTCTTGCAGTCCAATGGGGAATGTCAAACCAAGGCTGCCGTGGGCTGTGCGTGGCATCTGTCGGGCGCTCACACACAAAAAAGGACTAAAAGTGCCGTGCAGTCTGCGCTGTTAGGCAAGATGTCGCGGCGCTTTGTCGGTTCTTTGGTTTTAAGCCCAGCGACGACTGGAAAATGGCGTTGGCGTCGCTCGCTGATCTGGCCTTGAGGGGAATCATCGAGCGTGCTCCAGAATCACGTTCATCCATTCCAAAAGTTGCAGGGCAAGACAATTTCAATCCGACCTCCTCCTTGATTTGCGTGATGACTTGTACACACGTATGTACGAGATGGTTTGCCTCCGCCAACAAGGTGGATATCACGATCTCAGCGTTGCGCGTTTCTTAGGACAGCCTCTAAACAGCGAGTGCCCCGCGCATGCCTTCCAAGCTGATACTTGGCTCTGGCACAGCCTGGAACAAGTAAACTTCGCACTGCATTTTTAGTCTACTCGAGTGCATCGAGGAGAGGTCTTCAGCTGTTGACTACTGGTCCGAGTTGCCTTTGTCCCCGCGAGGCGGGGTCGCACTGCACTTTTATTTCTCTGGGGAGAGCAGTAGAGGCGGGCGTTCTAACCGAGGCACTGGTCAAAGGAGCAGCATGCAGCATGTCCCGTCGAGGAGTCGGCCAGACTAAAAATGCAGTGCAGCCCTTCTGCGGCTCAAGCCACATGATTCGTGCCCAAGTTACTCGTGCTCGTCCACCCCCCAACTACGAGGCACTAGTAGGCAGGCACCACCTGCAGACGGGCCAAGGCTGAAAGGGGTTGTCTGGAGTCTGGAGTCTGGACGTCATTGCTCAGAGGGACTAAAAGTGCAGTGCAAGTATGGGATTCCCTGATAGCCTCGTCTTTCTCTCTTATCTAGACTAAAAATGTAATTAGTGCGGCGGAGGACCTCGTTGCTCAGAGTGACTAAAAGTGCAGTGTCGTTGCAAGGTTAACAACCTTTGTCGCCGCAGCCTTGTTGTCTCTCATACTCGTAGAGACTAAAAGTGCAGTGTCGTCGAAACTCCACGAGTTTTGGGCGCCTAGCTTCGGCGCTCCTCGCTACAAACTGCTTGTTCTCTGCCCGTCGAGACCAAAAATGCAGTGCTGTCAACTCAGTCCTCCCGCCGTCTTCATGCGAGTATGCGCCCGAGGTCTCAGAGAGACTAAAAATGCAGTGTTGGGCCTCGGAGGCTTAGAGATTACAGTAAGGCTACGATATCACAGCTTCTGCTTTCTGTTGCCTTTTTCCCGTCTCTTCGCCGAGACTAAAAATGCAGTGTTGTCGCCTGCCAGACCTGCTACGGTTCTAGAGGGACTAAAATTGTAGTGTCACCTCACCCAGCCCTCAGGAGCATGTAATACGCCTTGCAAAACCAGTATTTGCGAGAGAGCACGAGGGGTTTGTCCTTCGCTCTCTCATTCGTCGCTCGCGGTCCCGCCCATCTTCTGGTAGGGACTAAAAATGCAGTGCATTATGCACTGCCACGGTGGCATCATGGCATCTGCCTTGCAGGTATGGCATAAACTACACACCAAAGCATGCCCACTCACAAACAAACCTCCCAAATGCCCAGCCGCCCAATACTCTCACCGGCGTTGCGCACAACACATAACCTCCTCTGCCTGTCCTTCTGCTTGTCGCTCACGCCGTCATACTGCACCGAGTCTTCTTGCCACCCCTCAATCACCCGCTGGCCCCAAATGCTGCCCACAGCCGTGCCCCGACCTTCAGCCAGATTGTACCCACCACTCGTGACAAACCCGAGAAGGTCGTGCGGGTCGGGGCAAGGCACGTGTTTGTCCCACTCTGTCGGTTCGCTGAATGGGTTGATCATGAGGGCAGCAAGGTCTTCCATCCCGCCAGAGGCCTGATCCAGAGGTTTGGGCAACGTCTCGCCGTTCTCTGCTTGAGCGACCGCCTTCTTCTCCTTTCCTCTCTCCTTCCCCCTTGCCTTGCCTTTGTTGTTCTGCTTTGGAGGTGGCGGCTGCTCCTTGGGGATCTCCCCATCCCCTCTCCCAAACGCACTGTCCGGTCCAAAATTCTTCACGATCTCTTCCGGGGCATTCTTGGGGAGCACATTGATCTTGGCGAGCGATTCACGTGGATAGCTGGCTTGGTGACGCGGGGCGGAGAATTTGTTGGTCTTGATCTTCGGGAGGCGTGAATGGCTGGTTTGTGTGGGAACGTCGAAATGGTGGTCGAGAGCAAGCCAGCGGGAGCGGAGGTCGCGCACAGTGGTAGTGGACGACGTTGACGTCCCCGTGAGACTGGTTGAGGGTGGACGTTGCCCAGGCGGCGGTCCATCAGAGTTCCAGCTTTGCGGCTGGGTCTGCTGAGACCTGTCTGTCCCGGATGCCACTGGTTCAGTAGGACAAGGCAGTGCTCCTGGTTTCGGTGACGACGGGAGGCGATAGATTCGTGCTGCTGGAGACGGGGTTCCTTTGTCGACCAAAGTGATGCGGACTGTGACCAGAACAGGAACTGACGGGAGAGTGATATTTGACGGCTGTTTCAACAAGGATATGCTCTGCCCCGGCAGCAGTTGGGTATATTTGACTTCTTTTACAAGTTCCGGTACGATTTCCGGCTCTCCTTCACTCTCAGGACTGGATGTATTGCGTCGACGGGCCGGATCTTTCTGCTCCGCTTCTCGGGCTGCTTGAGCTTTGGCTGCTTTTCGCTGTCGCTGTGTAAGCAGTGGGACCGCCTTCTTCTGCGTAGGGGTGGTTTTGTCCAAGTCTGGGTCGGGCGGTTCGATGAGAGCTGGATCTTTGGTGGTTTCGAACAAAACCTCCCAATCACAAGACCAGCCTCTCCCAATCTCCCCACGCCTTCCTAGCCCCAGATCCAAAGTGTCCCAGGCGATTCTGTGTTTGGGAGGTCGCCTGATCCATGAATCGAACCTCTTTTCGCTCTCAGTGCGCTCCCAGGCTTGTCCTGCCCCAGTCCCGGGAAAATCTCCCGGGAACCACGGTACTTTTTGCTCAAACGATAGCTGCTGTTTCTGGCGCAGACCCCCAAAACGCGGAGTACCACCGGATGACAAAGGATAGTACATCAATGAGCGCCACACGGGATCGACGCATGTCCATGGAAGGAGCACAGTCCAAGTCCCCTGGGCGTTTTTGGAAGCACTGTTCTCCGCTCTCGACGCAAAAAGGATCACCGGGATCTGGGGATCTTTGTCGGCGACTGGCGGTACATGGCCCGGTGCCGCGAGTGCTCTTCGTCGATTGATCGCTTTTTGTGATGGCAGGGTGTTGCTGATCCGCCAGCGTGCCTTGTGCGAGAGTAGCGCGGAGGAGGTCGGCCTTTTGTCGGGCGGCCAGGAGACGAGGATCTCATCCAGGAGACTCAGTTCGGAGGTGCTGGGAATCTTGGTCCGCTTGGGCGGGTGGTTGAGCCTCGGATCGACCGTTTCAAATGCAAGCAGAGCGTTCTGCGGCAGGATACTGGGGTTGTTGAGTCCAGCGAGGGACGTCCACAACGATGACATCGAATCGGCAGCTTCAACGGGCGTGGGAAAAGGACGGATCACGCCCAGTAAAGCTTCCGTCGAACCTGGACCTTGTACCTCGATACTTCCGATCTCAAACCGCAAATCCTCAATCAGAACCTGCGGTTTCTGCATCTTGGCAACTTTCAACAACTCCTGCCAGCACTGATAGAATGCAGATGGATGGACTTGGATCAGGATTTGGTGACTAAGCTTGGTCTTCCGTTTTGCTGTCGGCGTTTTGGTCTTCGAAGGTACAGACGGAGCTCTTTCGCCCTCCTCGCCCTCCATCTGGTCTTTGCCCGCAGGAATTCGAGACACGTCGCCCATGTCAACTTCCATCTTGTCTGCGTCCTGACCGTCCTGGCGATTCGCCGTCTCGTCCTGCGTGCGCTTGAACCAGACCACCATAACCGGTGCAATAGGACGCTTTTCGTTGTCCCGTTCAGAGACCCATCCACGGGCAAATCGGGTACCAGCCTTCCACTTCTTATGCATGGCCGGCGAGAGCCCTTGTGGGCTGAAAGAAAGGGCCTTCAGCAGGCTATCAAGCGCCGTCTCTGTCCCCAGGCAAGAAACCGTAGACATATAGCTGGTATCCCAGGCTATGCATCCCTGGTTCCCCGCTGCTCGGTGACTCGGTCTGTAACTCTTTTCCGTAGGGCTCAATGGGATGGACATCCTCCACAGGGGCTCCGTGGGTCGAGTCATGTGTGCGCGTTTCGTGTGCCAAAGGTGCGTCGGCAGCCACGTCTTGTTGACTTGCCTTCTCTTGTATTTCGTGGTCGCTTTCGCGGGCTCGGCCAGTTTGTTCTTCTTCAACCGTGGCACACGCGCAGTCAGGACATGGTTTTCAGGATCAGGTTGCTGAGCATTGGCCTTGGCCTCTTTCTTCCTCTGGCGCACCGTCTTGTGGTTCTGGTTGAACCTCTTGAGCGCTTTGGCTGTCTCCAGCCGCAGTCTCAGTTTCCGCGAAGGAGTTCGCGTCCGTTTCGTGACCGTAGGTGTGTTGTCGTCTTTCATCTATAGTCCTCCTGGTCAGCCACTGTCAGTACGCTAGCATCTCGTGCGCGAGTCAAATGGGGGACTGACCTCCCGCTCTGCCCTCCGCCGCAGCCTTCGCGGCACCTTTTTGGCATTATGACTGGCTGTTCTCCGTCTCATATGCCTCGGAACTTGTTGGAACGCTCGCGAGGACAATTGCTTCTTTGCCCTGCGCATGCTCTTCTCCAGAGCCCCGATCTCGAACTCTCGGGCCTTGATGAACGAAGCCACATTGAGTTCCCCGCCAGCAGAGACGACTGCCTCAGGGCGTTGGACGGGAATGGCTCGAGCATCATGATTTTTCTGTCGCTTGCGCGCAGCCGAGGAAAGGCCTGGCTGGTCAAAGGCGACCTTGCGCTTTTGCCCGGCTTTCTGTGCTGGCGGAGCCATTGGGCGTTGGACGGGAGGCTCACCAAGTCGCGGCGCGTTCTCAGGTTCGAAATTGGGGAAATCGAGGATTTTATTTTGCGGGCGATTAAAGCGGCAATACCGTATTGGTACTTAATTTTCCCCACACGCTCCCGAAGTACGAGGTACATATAGGTATATACAATTTACAGTGACTGAACCTCGGTCAGGTATGTATCTAATGTCAACATGGGTGGTAGAGTGACAACTGCGTCTTCCTCTGAAACCTCCTGTAGGTGTCCATCGTTCCCTCCTCGGTGGGGTGAGTTGACAGGATAGGGTTTCTTATTTGCTGATGCGCCCGTCGAGTCTATCACGGGCCGCACCGAAGTCCTGATTGATTCTCTTTGATATTTGTCCAAGGCCTGTTGCCAGCTGCTTCTTAACCCCTCTTCAAGAGGCTCGTACCAGAAGAAGTAGCGCATTGTCGACTCCACAGCGTCCCAGGATCTTGCTTCTGGGAACTGTTCAAAGAAGCTTCGGCCAAGCGGGATTGCTTGATCAGCAAGTGGAAGCTCCAAGCCCCAAGATCTTATGACAATCATCATAATCCAAACCAAGCAGGCTCTCTCTTCCGGACCCTCCGCCTGCGTGAAGGGGAGTGACCGAGTTAACTCTTGCCTCGAGCCTCGGTAGGCCGCAACCCGGGAAATCGAGCCGTTTGGATTATGCATGTCGAAGCCGAACATAATCACCGCCAGTATCAAGTTCTTCTCCAAGCTATGCTCGGTGCAAGCAGACGATTGGAGACAGGCACATACTTCGAAAAGGTCCGGATAATCCTGGCCGTCTGAAACTGGGTCTTCCTCCATTGGACGTGGAAGCTTGGCGATCTTGGATTGAAGAAATGTGCTTACTCTGGAGAGAATCCGGATAGTGTCCAGGCCGAAGCTGCCCTGCCGAGCGATTGCCGCGAACCCCTGGGGCAGTGTAGCGAGCATTGAAAGAAGATCCTCTTTGAATGGAGGATGAGGATATGTTCTCCGATTCTTGCGTTTTGTGAAAGGGAAGATGGTCCTGGCACCGGTCTCGAGCATCCAGAAGTAGTCAAACTGAACGAGAAAGGCTTTGACCAGTCCACGTAGCCCTAAGTTGTCAAGTCCCCCCTTCAATGCAACGATAAGTGCCAGTCCTTTACGATTGGCGATTCTGTCTTCCCTGTACAAAACATCGAGGCACGCCAAAGCCAGCACAGTCATGAGGACGCCATCGTCTGGAGGGCCGCGGAGATCGGCAAGTTGATCACACAAAACTGACACAGCCTTTCTCCGATGAAATGTGACTTCCGCGGATGCTTTGCCTGTGGGTGCCCGAGACTTTTCCAGATAGGCCTGGGACAATGCCACGGCGCAATGGTAAGCACTTTCATGTGACAGGATTAAAGGGTACATCCACACCATCAATGGATTGGCCATCTTGACTGTCAAAAACAATGGCTGCATGAGGGGCGAGATTGCCTGAGTGTAATAGTCGAGGGCCTGAGTGACGCAAGGTGTTTCTTGGCCTGGCAAGGATCTGAATGGGTCCGCCCGTGTACCGCTGAAGCTGACTTCTAATGGAGAGGGTGCTCGAGACCATCGGCAAATCGGCGATGCGTCAGATTCGAGGGAGGTTTGTGTCCTCTTGCGCCTGGAATTGGGTTGTGAGTCCTGCTCCTCCCCGTTCTTGGCTTGATGTGGTAATGCATAGCGAGGCTGAGCCTGTTGGCGGATGGCGGCGCGGTATTTGCTGGAGATATGCGACTTGACCAACCTTCGGTGCGAGGCGCTGTGGTCTGGATTGTCGTAATTGAGGAAGGTGAATGCATTGGCAACCTTATGTCTGGCAGCAGGCATAATGAAGCATCGCGTATCATGCTGGTGAATGTGAAGGTATCGACCGCGGTCATCGATTTACAGACTAATACTGTAAGATATCGGCGGTGGGGGTTGGGGAGCCACCATTCATGGACGTCCTTTTGCGAGGCCGAATACCGCTTGCCCGAAGGCTGTGACAGTTTTCGCTGAAGAGTTGACGGGATGCCGATGCCACGGATCAATTGGCATCGCGCAGAGGACGTCTGGGTTCCGATCGCCAGCTATTCTCTCACCTCACACCGATTGCTGCTTGACTAAGCAACGCTATTTTTGCTGTGGTTCGTTTAATGTTCTGCATACAGGTATTCGTGGTGCCTCGGATGGTACAAGATCCAATGTGCTGTGGCGGCCAAGGGGCTCGCAAGGTGATACTCCTTATCGAACTGGGCCGCGAAGATATTGAGGGGCGGGGGATGGCGGTACAGGAAGGATCTCAGTATACTGGGTCCAGCTGAAGGGGGATAGGGGAGTTACAGATCAATCGGAGCAAATGGCCTGGGTGAGAAGACACTTCAGCACGTCTGATGGAGTTTCACGAGCCAAGAAGATTTGACCTCGTGATAGCCTTTTGGGGCTTAGCGCAGACCAAGCTCACTAAGACCTTAGAAAGTGGAGCTCGTGGGCACTGGGAAGCCACTAAAACGGAAGGAGCGTGGGGGCATCTCGTTCAACGACCGACATTGGGACTCGAGTGCTATTACAAAATGATTCCCGGATCTCGATACTGAAGGATCATGCCCTGTACTGGCTACAAGTACGTGCGAATCTGCCCACGAATGCGAGCATACTCCTCGAGAGGGTACGGAAAAAGGGGGTTCCAAGCTCTGGCCTCCCTACCCAAGTATCTACCCCCCAAACTATTCGACACATGCGCACTTTGCGAAGGGGCTGGTCCGCATCTGAATGGCCTCCGCCGCCTGTGGCAAATGGCAATAGACCCAGCGTCGCGGCCAGAGGATGAATTTCCACGTGGACGTCGTCCAGAGGGTTGCATTTACTGATAGATGATCAAGCAACCAAATCCCCAGCAGCAATGTCTACAGGGCCTCTCTCAACCTCCCTGGTTATTAATGGCCTTCCTCTTTCGGCTATGACATCAACCGGCCTTCCTCTCTATAGTCATTTTCTGGCGGTGAATGCCTCTCGCCAGTATGAAGCTGTACCGATAGCTACTCGGTCCATTGCGTGTAGTCTTGGTCACTATATCTTGGGGCCAGAAAGGGGGGTTGTGCACCGTACCTGGATCTCCTCTTCTTTGTACAAACTCCTTCGGAGGGATCCTCAAACCATTTAACGAGCGTGTGAGCGACGAACATTTGTCGGATACCCGTGATAGCAGCTGACCAACAGAGTGGCCGTACGTGCTCGTACAAGGATACATGGTCCCGCTTCTAGGGCATGGGGCCAGTTTCGAGGAGGAATATTAAACTCGTCGGATTCCACAGGGGGATCTTTCGCGGGGGCTTAATAACGCCCGTTGGGTCTTTCTGGCTTGAATCCTTCGTCGAGGCTCCCTCCCTTGAACCCCCTGAGCCTTGCAAGCCTCCGGTGATCCTTCCAATCCCGATCCCCGGGTCCAAAACCGCGTGCACAGTCATTCTGTTATACCAACGGAAAATGACCGTCGGCGTAGGCCACGCACCGGTGCCTGTGTCCTCGTCCTTGGGTGCTTGAAGGGGTGGGAATCCTGCGGCGTCCCAATCACACGCGCAGGGGCGTCTTTGTCATTGTCGGCATCCCCGCCTTTGGGCATGCCAAGCTTCTTACAAAGAAAGCCCGTGCAGGTTGTTAGTTCAGCCGTTGATGCGCCCTTGGAATCGGCAAAACAGCCTGAATCGCCCAGAAGAATGGAAAGGGTGCCTGGACTCCTTTCCCTCGCGCGATATAGAGAATACCCCCCCTCCCGCCGGCGCAGCAATCCCAGCTACCCAAAGCGCCTTTGTCTTTTCACACTTTCTCTACGGTTGAGTGAAGGAGAAACTTTGCGCACGGCCGTTGCCCTTTTCAGCAGCGCACGCAGACTCAGCGATTGGCCAACCACCGCGATCAAGGCCGCAGGGAAACGCAACCACCAGACGAAAGAGACGGGGAATACGGCACAGTTACGGAGGAACTCAAAAGCCATTTCCACCCTCCATATCCAATCCGCCCCTCGGCATCAGACACCAATCAGACTCTTGACTCAGCTTTATGTAAACCCAAGAGAGCTCCCAGACCTTCCCGGATTGGCTTATCTGACCGCCCTTGCGTTTATCTGCCTGCAGTCGGCAATCCAGACCACAGGCACCCATAGCGTACACTAATAATCGGAACTGCTGCGGTGGCATTTGCAACATAAAGGTGGAGGTCGACCCTCACCTCCTCTGCGACTGCATCAGCCCGACCAAAAATAATCAAGGACCCCCAGAGAAGTACCATCATTGAACGCAACGGACAGCTTTCGACGACAATGGACTACTTCGCCGTCGCGGCAGCTCACCGTGGCTCGTACTTCGACTCGCTCGTGGATGCGGATTCATCCAACTCGAGCTCTCCAGACGTAGGTCTCGCAAAAACTCCTTTCGCGGCCCCTCCTTTGAGCCATCTGCGACGCGGAGGGGAGATGTTGACCAATATTTGTTGAACATGCAGAATACCATGGGCGACATGTTTCGATACGGCAGCATCGGGTCCGGGATGTTTCCCACCAGCCACGGCTGGGGACCACCGGCTGATCTCGACACGCTCGACGCCTTCACCGACTTTAAGCCGCAGACCGCCCGACACGACAGCGCCCAGCCGTCCACGGACTCCGAGCAGACGGTGGTCCCGCCCTCGAAAATGGTGAGGGAGTTCCTCGCCGATGAGGCCCGCGTGAGGGTGGTCGCTAACGAGCAGGGCCAGCGTCGACGGGCGCAGAACCGCGCCTCGCAGCGGGCCTTCCGCGAGCGCAAGGAGAAGCACGTCAAGGGCCTGGAGTACCAGCTCGAGACCCTCAACGAGAAGCACCAGGACCTGCTGTGCTCGTACAACAAGCAGAGCGACAGCATCGTCCGGCTGAACCGCAAGATCGCCCAGCTGCAGGCCGACCTCGAAGCGCTCCGGTTCCCCGCTTCGATGGCGGAACCGCCCACCTCCCACCCGCATCCCCAGCACCAGCACCAGCACCATCATCACCGTCACAAATGGAACAACGGCGGCCCAAAGGCGATGCCGGACAAATTCGATGCTTTCCCAAACGCCGCCAGTCTTGGACCCGTTCTCTACGACGGCTACGAGCTAGGGCCGGACGGAACAATTGTCAACGCCGTCGAATCCCACAACGCAGCGGTCAAGACAAAGCGAAGGTTACCAGACTTTGAGGACCTGCTGCGCATGCCATGATTGTTTTGGATGCCTGGCATCCTTTCTGCCAGTTTCTGTTTTCAGCGAAAATTGAGGGATCGACTTCACCAAACCCCAGGGATGAACCAAAGCAGCGAAAGGCGTCAGATACCAAACCATGGCGGGCAACAGTGACTTGTATCTATATCTATCTTGATCTACTTCATTCTGACGCGCAGTCTAGTGCACACGTTAAAGTAGATTTGAGTAGATCCCCTGACTTCTCCTTTTTTGTTCTGGATTGCATAAATACGAGTTCGGGACAGAGCTCTTCCCGATCCTATATCTAGATATGCATCGGACCGTCGGTCATGCATCCAGTGCGTCGATAGGTCCAGGCACTTTATCTGCAGGGCGATGTCATAGTTTAGCGAGCACAGCTGCGGCTCCCGAGACCTAGAAGGTGGATGCCCGTGTTAGCTCAGAGGACTGTCCAAGCGATAAAGAACATGCTCGCCACTCCTCGCCGAGGCCGTGAGTGTAAGGACGTAAGGCTAGTGAAGCTGAGCCGCCGGAGAGTTACCGGCTTCTCGCATCGGGGGAGAAGAGTTCTGAAAATGGGCCAATCGCGAACTGCAGTCTGGATACGAGTAAAGGATTGGGAAGCTTACCGTTACGTCCCGGCCAGGTTCCTTCTCTGCGTAAACGACCTTGCCGTGGTCGATGATCATGGCATACCGCGCGCATCGCTCGCCGAGATTCCAGCCGATGGATTTCGAGAATTTGGTTTCCGGGTCGGAAAGGAACAGCTTGCACGCAGGAATGGTTAGCGATGGGTATCTCTGGACATGAAACGAAGTCATCACGTCCAATATCGGTTTCGAGCACGGACTGGAGTCCCGCCTTATCCGACAAGAACTCCCATGCGAGCATATCGAATGGAGACAGAACTCACAATCTCATCTTTAATTCCATTCGCCTTTCCCCAGGCGCTCATAACCCAAGCATCGTTAAAGGCCAAAACAGCCACTATATCCACCTTCTTCCCCTTGATATCCTGTAGCGCGTCAATGTAACCGGGGAGGTGCCTCACGCTGCACCCGGGAGTAAAAGCGCCGGGCACGGCGAAGAGGACAACCTTTTTATCCGCCCATTCTTTCGACGCATTGTAGTTTTGTGGGATGCCACAACTGGTGATGGCCGCGCTTTCGGGGGTGTAGGGAACGTAGCTGCGGATAACGACAAAAGCGTCAGGATGCAACGTGATAGAGCTTCCCGGAGGAAATGGGAGGAGCACAGCGCGGCGACTCACGAGAAGACAACATCTGGAGGAAATTGGTCCCCTTCTTTGAGCCCGGCCATTGTGGATCGTGTTTTGAGGTTCCAATGTCTCGAATGAGTACAGCCTGATACCAAGAGCCTAGAAAAAGTCGATTCAACGTCGAAAGAGAGCTGATTTGTGTACTTGGGGATCGTTATGGCGGAAGGGTGCAGTAATTGCTGACTGCGAGCAGCCCCTCATTGACAAAACCACTTTGGAAGACCGCGGCAAAACCGACGTCGCTGCCCCGCGCGATGGTGCGATGGTCGCAGCCAGGAGTCGCAATTTTCGGTGAAACTAATTTCCGAACATCCGCTCGTCGGAAGGAAACCACCACAGAATTTTCCCCTTGTGCTACCCGAGAGTCAGATTCTTCATTATTATCCCCCAATCTCAAATCCGTGGATGGCGTCAGCAAGGGCATGGGGAAGATCTCGCCGCTGCATTCTTTTCCTCCTGCTGCTTTTCCCCAACCCCAGAGCTCAAGGGCAGCAAGCAAGGATGCATGGCACTGAGACGCAAGGGCTTGCGTAGCCTACAGGAGGCTAGACCTGGTCCGGATTTCCAGTCTCGCTGTTTCTCTCGGGTCGCGCCGCTTAATGGATCTGACTGGCTTTTTCGGGAAAACATACTCGTTCGTTGGCCGTCGGTTTAAGGCTCATGTATTCCGCAAGGGTCTGGAGGGTTGCAGATGAACAGCCCTTGCTGCTCTTGGAAGGTCTCAATGTCTCAATCGCCTCCTCCAGCACGGGTGGGACGAATGGCGCTGCAGCCTTTGTCATGCTGCTATTGGGTCCCTGACAGATCCCGTCGAGTCCGGTCGGCCGTGTGCGTTCCTGGTTGGGTGGCCTTGACAAGGCTGAGGGCAAAGGAGGACGACTACCTGGAACTTTGACTTACTAAGAGGTGGGTTGAATGAATAGGCTCGGGGGCCAGAGTGGGACTCAATGTTTGAGCGGAAGCTGTCCTCCATTGTCCTCTGCGAGAGGAGTCTATAGGTATATTAGGGCTTTCCTTCGTCGAGTCTTGCTCTCAGAATCCGGGCTCTTTTCCAGCGTCTCACACAGACACCCATCCAAAAGCAAGGCTGCCTCGACTTCGTGCTACTCTCTTCGCTGAACGCATCATTCTCTCAAGTTCAACTCCTCCAGATCCGACAAGACACATCCCTCTTAGGCAAAATGGCCGCCCTCCGCCCTCCGTACACATTGAAGACCGCACACGAAAAGGTCAAATTCGCTCAGAATATGTGGAACTCTTGCAACCCGGCCCAAGTCTCCAACGGGTATACGAGTGACTGCATTTGGCGGAACCGCGCGTCCTTCATCCGCGGCACTGCCCAGATCGTCGACCTGCTCACCAAGAAGTGGGACAAGGAAAAGTCCTACCGCCTCCGCAAGGAATTGTTCGCCTTCACGGACGACAAGATTGCCGTGCAGTTCTGGTACGAGTATCAGGATAAATACGATGGTATGAAGTGGAAGAGGTGCTACGGACTGGAGGATTGGACCTTCGACCGTGAAAGCGGAAAGATGAGGAAGAGACAGATGAGTGGCAATGATATCCTGCTGGGAAAGGATGGTGATGGCGTTGCGGTGCCAGAAGAGGGTATTCAAGGGAGATGGTTCGTCGACGGCGTAGACGTGGACGATGATAGTGTCACGGCCAAGATTACGGAGGCTCACTGGTGAGCAGATCTCAAACGTGACGAGGCAAGACGACCGTAATGAGACTGGAAGGGCAGACTTTGGCTGGTTAGATTGTGTCAATCTCCTGTGATTCCATACCCGTAGTATGATATGAACTCAAATAATAATCGTCAGTCATCAAGAATAATAGCCCAACAGCCGTCAGGTTGAACGAAACCAATCTCACCTAAAACCTATACATTTATATTTTTGCATACTTCCGATGAGACTTCTCTCCCTTCAGCATGCAACAGCCTATGCCGTTACAATTCAGGGTCTTCCTCAACCCACTCGGCTTCTTCCGGCTCTACAAAAGGGGCCAGCCTTGCCTTGAACTCATCTAGATCCATGTCATCTTCGGCAACCGCGATTCCACCGGGAGTCTTGGGGGGTATGAGGACGTTGGGCACAACATGAATGACGCCATCAGCAGCAATGCCATCTAGTACGGCAACTCGAGTAAACCCATTAATCTTCATCGTGATGAGGCGACCGAACCGAGCAATGTCAATGCTCAAGCTCTTGCCTTCGAGGCCCGTAGGAAGATCCACATGGATGAGCCCCTTGGGCACCTTGTGATGAGGTGGTGGGCGGGCATCCGCATCGAGTTTGTAGATGGCGTCCGAGTAGAGTGTGATGTTGTCGCCAGCATGGTACAGGATCAGAGCCTTGAGATATTTCAGGCCGAACCTACTGAACAGAAAGGCATTGATTCGTGGGCCAAGACGTTTGAAGGCAAAGTTTGATGGTGCGAATAGTGTGCCTCCGTTGTGGCTTGATGTGTCGTTGAAGGCGGGATATAGGCCAGTCTTCTCCAGAGCGAGGTCAAGGGTGCTGAATTCACCAGGGAGGGCTGAAATGATATCAACGGCCTTTGGCGGAGGAAGGAGAATGCTGTCGATGCCATGGATGACTCCGTTTGTTGCAAAGATATCGATGGCGACGACGCGGGAGTAGAAGTTGACAGTCAACCCCTTCAAAGAGACTTGAGTGGAAAGGCGCTGTGGCACCTTTCCAATAAACTTGGCTTCGAGAGCGGTCGGGATGGTCCGGCTGACCAGGATACGGGGAGCAGGGTAGAATTCAGGCGAGATATGGTACGTTAGGAGCTTCTCCAGGAACTCTTTTGGAGGCTTTGGAGCGTGCTTGGGGATCTTCGCGAATGCTCGATCTGTCGGAGCAAAGATAGTGTGGTTCGCCTTGGTGCTGTTCAGCAACTCGACGAGATCCGGGAACTCCTTGACGACAGCGGCCAATTTGGTTGTATATTTGCTCTTCGAAATCAGTTCCCAGATGGTCTGATTCGGACGATGGTGAGGTGGATGGTGCGGGCGACGAGGCTTCTTGCCTGGAGGGCCATGGTGCGGTGGGTGATGCGGTGGGCCGTGATGAGGAGGTTCTTCAAATAGGTCCAAATCGTATTCAGCAGTGTCTAGCCAGGCCTCCCCAGCAAAGGCGTCCTGGAATTCTTCGCCATAGCTGACGGCGGTCTCGTGTGCCGAATCAACGATCTCTGCAAAGGCATGTTTGGCGCAATTAGCAGCCTTTGTAAACGTCTCTTCAAGATCTTCCCAGAAGCTTTCGGCCTGGTGCTCGTGGCTCCAAAAAGGATGCTCGGAGGGGTATTCGATCTCCTGATCCTCAATGGACAGAGACTCGAAAATAGTCTGATCCGGGACCACGAAGGCAGAGGCGACAGCTGCCGCCGAAAGGAGAGAGACACACCTCATGGTGGACTCAGGTAGGGACTGTGAGCTGTGTTGATTCCAAAGCGTGGAACAGAGGCAATCGAGAGAGGAGGTGAAAGCAGGTGAATACTTGTAAGGTCGAGATCATTCAAACAGGCAGAAGCGAAAAGACGTTGGACCAACCACCCTTCCCAAAGTCTATGACATGCAGGACACAAATTCGTGTTGCGCAGCGGGAGGGGAGCATCTGAGGAGGGCGACGTAAGATGCATGCGCCGTGAAAGCTTATGCTCGATATCACTGGCTGGGATTCGATCTCTGGGCCTAGTGAGCCGTTTCCGGGCCTGACTAGGGGCTCCCTAGGCTGTCAGGGTGAGCTCCCTGAGTACCGACTGGTGCTTCCCCCTCCTGAACAGCTACCCGCAGCTTCGGGCCCGAGCGAGCTTCACCCGGCAGCTTCTCATCACCCCACCATCGGTGACACTACGCATTGGCATGGGGTGATGACGGTGGAGGCGCGCCACGTACTCGTCAGCTTGTGGTCGGTGAAATTGCCAGCTCCGTTCCGAAGTAGGGAGACACAAACAATTCCTAAACCGCGATAGGGTTCAATAGACACTTTGCTGTGTACACGGTACCCCGTTCCTTGAGTTCCATCGTGGTCCTGCGCGAGTATATGATCAGCCATCAACAACCGACGAGATCATCACAACAATGCTCATTATGCGCAAAACACAGCAGCGGAGAGCATGGCCAGCTGCAACAAGGTTTGATAAACTGCCGCCGCAAAGCTGAATGGTGGAAAGCAGTCACTCACCGACGCGCTGTCGAGGAACCTTGTACCAAGTGGTCCCTGCCGATTGCCATGTCAAATGCCCATGCCCATACATGCCACGGGTTGCTCTTGGTATCAAGTTGAAAAAGGAATGTCGAGCTGGACATCGGCAGAGGTCAATCAAAGATGTCATTGGCAGCTGCTATCGAAAGGAATGCGATGCACCTCCCCATGCACCACCGTTGCCGACTTCTGCTGCAGAGTGCTTGCTTTTGTTTTCTGTAGCGAGCCCGAGCAATTCTAACGTCCCTCGAGACTCTGTTGGCTCCTCAAGTCGTTCTTTTTTGGATGCTTCCTCTCCCATTTTGGCTCTTGGTTCTTGGTTCTTGGTTCTCTTTTTGGACTCACCTAGAACATTTCTCATTGTCCAATGCGCACGCTGCGCCAACATTCCTCAGCCTGACCCAATCATATCTCAGACCTGACATCAACAGTCTCCGGCTCTGGCCAAAACAAAACATACTGTACATCGAGTGGCGTGGGAAGACAAGGACAGTCGCGGACGTGAAGAGAACGGAACAAGGAGGAATTGTGGTTGAGGCTGTGCGAAGTTTGCAGTCGACCAGGACGCGGCGTTCACATCAGAGGACTGGCAGAATTCGGCTTATGTCCAAATCCAGCGTCACAGTTTGTTGACATCGAGACCTTGCATGTGATCTCGCGGCGCTTTATCAATCACATCAGGCTTACTCCCTCTGTCTTCGCGACATCCACGCGGTCAGATACGTACGTTCGTTCATCATCTGAAGTGCCTCCTGCTTGCGGCTAATTTCTTCTTAGGCGCGGTGGATGGACACACCATTTTTACAGGCTTGAGGTTGCTAATCAAAAGGGCGTGCTCATGATGTCGTCCTCTCTCAAGATTTCAGCGCGACCCGGCGGACCCGCCACCCTTCAGTCCAAGACAGATAGACCGCATGCGAAGAGAAATGCTCTAGCAGAAATCCAACCCAGAGCCCCGCCTGCGCCTGTCTCCCCTTACAGTCGCGCTCAAGGCCCCGCGAGCTCGTCACCACGACTGCCACACCATGAGTCGCTCAAACCTGAAGGGAATTTATCCATTCGTGAGAAGACGGCCGGTAAACGCCCCGCCATCGCCATCGAAAACAAGCGGCTCTCCACTGTAGCAGATGACATCGCCGCAGAAAGCAAGAGGGACTCGCAAGTTTCCACAACCTCGGCAATATCTGTTACTACAAAGGGGAAAAGAAAAACCCATGTTGGGCCATGGCAGCTAGGGAAGACCTTGGGAAAGGGTGCTACTGGGCGAGTCCGTCTGGCAAAGCATGCAGGGACTGGTCAAACCGCAGCGGTTAAGATCGTTTCCAAAAAGTCAGCCGCGCTTGTCCAAAGTGCGAGTATGGCTCGTATGGATGACGAAGAGACGCTCGCCATGATTGCTGCAGGCCCTCGAACAATGCCATTTGGGATTGAGCGCGAAGTTGTGATCATGAAGTTGATCGAACATCCGAATATCATCAACCTCTATGACATCTGGGAGAACCGCGGCGAGCTCTACTTGGTCCTTGAATATGTCGCAGGTGGTGAGCTGTTCGACTACGTTTCGGGCAACGGAGCTCTACCTGAAGATGAAGCGGTCCGCCTTTACCGTCAGATCATCGCCGGCCTTTCATATTGTCATCGTTTCAACATCTGTCACCGCGATCTCAAGCCGGAGAACATTCTTCTCGATTCCAACCGAAACATCAAGTTGGCTGACTTTGGCATGGCAGCTCTGCAACCCGATGGTACATGGCTGAATACCTCATGCGGGAGTCCGCATTATGCAGCCCCCGAGATCATCCAAGGCAACCAATATCGTGGCGATAAGGCTGATATCTGGAGCACAGGGATCATTTTGTATGCGATGCTCAACGGCTTTCTACCTTTTGATGGTGGGTCACTGGCCAACACTTTACGCCTGGTCAAGAAAGGAGAGTACTTCATACCTCCAAATTTGAGCGTTGAAGCCTCGGATCTCATACAACGCATCTTACAGAAGAGACCAGAGAGGAGAATTACAATGGACGAGATCTGGGCCCATCCACTTCTCAAGAAATATGAAAAGTATCATGCAAGCTTGGTGGCGCCTCAACCGCTCATCGGCGCAGCGCCACCTCTGAGTATCGAAACGCAAGGCCGACGTGTTATCAAACGGTCCGATGTTGATGCAGAAATTCTCAGAAATCTGTCGACGCTATGGCATGGCAAAAAGCCAGACGAATTGATCAAACAACTCATGAGCGAGGAACCAAACCACGAAAAACTCTTCTATTGGGCACTGGTCAAATTTCGCGATGATCAGCTCGAGAACTACCCGGGCGACCCCCTTCATTACTCTGCCAGTGACTATCACCATGTCAGCAAACCGGTACCGAAACCAAAGCGTGGCCCAAATGGTCGCGGTCACAATCGACGAGGTTCCCAGTTCTCGATTGTCAGTGACGACAACAATAGGCGCGACGGGTACTACAAGAATCCTGGTACTGCGGCAAGCAAGGCAACTCAGAGCAGCTATGACCCTTATCGAGCATCGAGGACGCCACTAGCTGGAGATGCTCACGAGCCGCCCACCGTCGTTGTTCGTCATCGGCCAACGACTCCGGGAGGGCGATCTGTGAGCTCTGCTAGCAGCGTGAGGCATAAGGCTGTGGATAGATTGAGGCCTGATGTTCCCGCTCTCCCAAGCTTCACGTCCGAAGAGCTTGAAAACCTGATTCAGAAGAAGCGTGCCTCGTATTCCACAGCAACGTCCAAGAGTTCCCTGTCTAGCACACGACGTGTTCCTGGTATCCGAAAGTCGATGAGCTACAAGCGGCAAGTCAGTTTCCAACACCGTCGACAGAATTCTTCTGGTACCACACACCCTCGTGCCCGAACATTATTCTCCGACAATCACCCTGCAGAGCGTCCTGGTACTCGTGGTACTACGAATGGAAGGTCTGAGACACAGAGCAATCCGAGTCTACCAACTCCTTCCCCCGCCTATCGTCCGCGCAAATCCAGCTCCGAGATCGACGTGAAGAAGCCACGTGTGGCCAGCTATTACTGGAAAGACGAAACACGTAAGGTCAGTGCCGAGCTCGGCAAGATTTGTGAAGAAGCATTCAATCGATCATCAGTGTCTACGGTCAGCGAAGTCAGCCCGGCTCCTCCGTTGGACTCATCGGCAACATCCATGGCAGTGCATGCTTACAGAGTACCGGAGAGCATCCGTGATCGACCCCTTCCTGCAACGCCAATCCTTCAAGAATTAACCGAACGTCGACAGAAGATCATCGAGACTTGGGGCGATGCCGACCCAAATGTTCTCGCTGACATGTTGGCTGCTGTTGACAAGCGCATTGATGCCGAGTTGGGCCAGGAAAGAAGATGTGATAAGCGGGCGGCTTCTGATCCAACCAATGGAGCCGGACCGAGCAGGTATCGCCGTGCTATCTCGCCGGTCGATACTATGGAAGACCTGAAGCGCAACCGCGAGGATAGCTCTAGAGCAGCATCGGATCCCGTCAAGTTGAAGACCCCTCAGGCGCAAAAGGACACCACAATCCGCCTCGTAACTCCGGATCCAACTTCACCCTTCGCCCGAATTGAGCCCCTTCGAGTGAAAAAGAACAAAGCAGCGCCGATTAACTCACTTAGAGGCGGTCCGATCGAATCCTACGAGCGTGTTGGGTACGACCCGCGGCTATATGCCAAACGAGAACTTGACACAATCGACGAGAATCCCGGGTCACCAAGGAAGAAGATGTTCCCAACATCGTCTAATGCTGCACGGAAATGGTCCTGGCTTGGTAAACGTGGGTCTGGTCCTCAGGATCCCCTAGATTCTAACAAGTCTTCGGAAGAGATAGTACAAGATACTGTTTCCAATTCGTCCCAGATCGTCCAGCCAAGTGAATCCGGCAACTCTTCCACACTTTCGACGGCAAAAGCGAGTGAGCCACAATCAGGTGATATCGAGTTGCATATGGAGAAGAAGAGAAAATGGTTTCAGAAGATGTTCGGAAGACCGTCCAAGCCGAAGGATGGCGTCTCAGCAATCCCGATTGGACATCACATTGTGCGAGACCTGTCGGACGGCACAGACTCCAACGAACCCAATCAAGAGGTCAATCCAGATGAGCGAGTCCGAGCCCGAAAGGCTTATCCTCCAGCGACCAGTGTCGAAGCCGCCATGGCAGCAGCTGCAGTTGGCCCGATCGAGATCAATCAGAATTGGTTCGCCAAGTTCTTTCATATCAAACCCGCGACTCGTGTGCTTTGCCTTCAAATCAGCAAGGGCAAAGCGAAGAAAGAGCTTGTCAAGATTTTAAAGGAGTGGCGCAAGTACGGGCTGAGGGATGTGATGTCGGAACGACGAGGGGGTAGTGATGTTGTCCGAGGGCGCGTCGACGCATCAAACTGTAAGTCATCCGCTTGGGTTTTGGGTAACACACCCGCTGACTTGTTTGTGAACAGATCTGCAACTCAAACCCGTTCATTTCCATGCCTATCTGTATTCGGTCCTTGAACACGGTCGAAAGGCCAATTTGAGCATTATGAAGTTTACACAGGAGAAGGGAGCAGCGAGCAGTTTTTACAAAGTTGTTGATACTCTTGAAGCCGTCTTGAAGGAGCGGAACTTGTTAGTGCCTGATGCGCCGCGCAAGAAGGCCATTGAGCAAAGTCTCAAGGACGCGGGGTTGTGAAAAATAAAAAGAGAACAAAACTTACTTGGGTCAGTAGCGATTTTGACATCCAAGCATTGTTGGGGCCTTGGAAAGCAATGCCCGTTTGCTTTCAGCCTTGTGTACATTCCTTTGCAAAGACAGTTGGATTGTTGGAAGGCAACGGAATGGTCTCTGCTGGTTAGGATACATATGGTTGTTTGGGGCCGATACAAAAGGCACAGGCATTGTATTCTTGAGCTTCTGCAGGGAAACTCTAGTGCTAATGAAACGCCGAACTACAGAGGAAAGGCAGTTGAGCAATCCTAATGTCTGATAGCTACGACTCCCGAGAATCTGAATGTTTCTCGAACCTGACGTACCACGCTCCTGTTCCGGAGCCGAAATATGGCGCAAGTTTGTTGATCTCTTCGAAAAACAATGGGGTGTTGCTGTACTCTTGGTGATGCTGTTGTATGTACCCCATCAGCCATCATTTCCCTCCGTTGAGAAGTCGTGCAATGCACGAGCGAGTGAGTGAGTGAGTGACAAGTGAGAGAACTGACCTCGACGGTATCCCAGCCCAGGTAGTAACAGGCCAGCCTGCGCTCGTCCTCGGGCACCTCCTCCCTCCGACCCGCACTCGCGGCGTCATCATCATCGCCAACGCCACCTTTGAGACCGTTGCGCCCGTCGACACCCACGCCGGCCGTGTCGTTTGTGTTGGCCGCGTACGCCCAGTTCCCGCCCGCGAAGCCCGCGAAGTGGTAGCAGTCCGTGTACGTCTTGTGCATGGACGCGACGAACGAGGGGTCTGCTCTGGGAGGGTTTGGGGTGAGGTTGATGATTGCCTTTTTCGTATGTAGTGTTAGCGGTTCCGTTCGCCTCCCACTCATGTTTTTGCTTTGTGTGGATGTGTGGTCTTGGGCACGTTTTGGTAATGATTATGGGTTCTTGCTTCTGGGGTTCATACAACTCTTCTTTTATTTATATTGTGTAGCGAGGAAAAATCGAGATAGGTGGATTGAGTTTCCGGCGGGAGAATGAATGGCTTGACCCCTCCCCGCTTTCTGGTGGGAAATGGAAATGGATTGGACTTACGAATTCGCACACAGGGGCTTCGAGCGCCTTCTTCAACTCGCCGACCTGGGAGTCGTCGAACGGGAAGAGCAGGGATGTGGCTTCTCCTGCTTGCCCACTTGTAGCCGCCGTCGTGAGTTCTTTCAGTTGTGCTCTCAGCTCCGCATTCTGAGCGAGGCTCGAGCCTTGTGGCCAGTCTGGGGAGATTGCCCAACCGGATCAGCGACCTCCTCACACGCGGTGGACTGTCCATGCAAGGGGTGAATCGAGAACGTGGTGGGAAAACAAGTCATCGACAGAACTTACGGATGACCCAGCACATTTCGTTCTCTTTGACCCGCAAGTGCGAGGACTTGACCGGGATGACGTAGCCGAAGTATTGGTCGTGAATGTTGCAGGATTGCGAGACCTGTTGCCGCAGCTTGAGAAACGCCGACAGTCGCGCCTTGGTGGGCGGGAGGACGAAGCGGACGATCTCTGACAGGATTGCCATTGTCGGAGAGGCAGTGTGGTGGTATATTATGGATTGTTTCTTGTTTCGAGGACGATTCTGCTGTCAATCTCGCGTGGGATGGAGTGCGGCTTGGTTCATTGACCAAGAGAGATATATATATATACATCTATGTTCCGTATGAGGGAGTATATTCTTTCCTTTGCTTGTGATTGGTCCGCAGCGGAATGGCTTGATGTGCTCAGCCCACACAAGGAAGCGGAGCAGCTCGGCCGAAGATTGACGGCTGCCGTGACTGGCTTACCACAGACACAACCAGGCTAGTGTTGGATGACTTCATGGGCCTGAATAATCGCTATTCACACAGAGAGTCGGGTTGACACACACACACACACACACACACACGGTCATGATCCAAAACATTGGCAACAGAAAATATGCGCAGGACGTGTGTTCATGTTCTTTGGGACACCGAACCTTTCTAGAAGCACGGATTTGTCAGTGTCAGACAGGATAGGAAACTCACCGGCAGCGTGCTCATCATAGAACATGGGCGTCTCTGTTTGTAACGGCCTGCCCAAGTTGTCATAGTCGTCTCGCTCTTAATCAGTTCATGTCGAGCCAACCACTTTTTTCAGAAAGCTCGCAGACGCAAAGATAGGAGGTGTCGCCGGAGCGAGACGAATCGTTCGATTCTTTTGTCAGCACATTGGCGGCAGCCACGACATCGTTGTCGTGTGTGAACAATGGCCGATCTCTGTCATTCTAGAGCTGAGCAACTGTTGTCGGCGGATTGGAACTGTTCTTGAAGACCATGAACTGGGTGCGCCATTCGGTTCTGCCGTTAAAGGCCTTGCGCTCGCCCTCAAGCAATTTCTGGGCGAGGCTCTACGCTCTTCCCTACCAAACTGTTTCGAAGAGATATTGGGCAATATATCAACCACAATCTAGTATTTTGCCACACATAGAGTGCCCACGTTCACAATGTCTGGATGTTTTGTATGCCAGCTGAATGATCGGCCCAGGATGATGCAAACCAGGATGAGCCTGAGACCTTGTTCCACAGCATCCATAGCTTGCTGTGGATGCTGTGAACAGGCATGATGACCTTTGAGACAGCTGACTAGGCCTTGGAAATTCTTTTTTTTGTAGTTGATGTGACCTTGGACGGGCGTTTATTCTGTACAAGTGTAAAAGGTCGTGTGATTTCGAGTTGCAGCGTGGGTTGAAGTCTCGGCGTCGCTATTCATGGTCTAAAGACTTCTTTGTACCTCACCCTGTGAATCTTTTGGACGCGGTGTTAGAATTAGGAGCATGCATATGTATCTGGTAAATTCCTGTCCGTGACACAGCCCAGTGCTGTCAGCGCTCTATCATGGCACAAAATCTGTGTCGTAAACAAAGGTCTGATCAATAGTAGAGTTGGTATGTCTTGTGATGCTCTGTGGGAGAGAATATCTAGATTCCTCCCTCAAGACGACACTTGTCGACGACAAGTTGTCGTCACTGTACAATGCAGCGGAGGCACCTCTGGAGAGACTACCACTAAAGAAGGAGAATTCGTTTGAGCACAACCAGCTGTAGTATATGTCCCTGAGGCATTCAGCCTGCAGAAAATCCACATCTGGGATATTTCTGAGCTATAGAAATGCCCCGTATAGTGAGTAGGTGATGAAGAGGACGGCACCAGGACCTCTTTCAGTGTCGCTATTACGGCGAAGTATTACGACCAGGAGACTATACTCGACCGTATTTATACCCAAAGAGTTACCACCCCTAGCAGAGCATACGGAGTGCGTCTATGCCCAGAAAGGGTAGGCCAATCAAACATCATTGAAAGGGGATCATGATTGTTACCTATGTACCCAGCAGCCTGTTGTGCGCCAATTGCAGAATTATAGTTGTTTCACCAAATATCGCCATCATAAGGGCTACCTCAGCAACGATATGCCTTGGCTCAATAGTGTCATTAGCTACCCCCCATTGCCTTCGCGAGCCCTCTGCTAGGGCAGCTTGTTGTAGCTGTTGCTTCTCCGGGATCTCGAGATGCCCAATTTGTTCAGGAGACGGCCAATGGTGCTATAGTAAAGCCAATAGCAGAAACTCAGTGGCCCGAAGATTGACATGGGTAGAGCGTTGAGCAATATATGTCCTAAAGTCACCGTTCCGTCAGCGGCGTTGTGGAACAATTGAGATCACAACGGCGAGCGAAGCGCCTGAAAGCGGCGCCCTGTGATGGTTAAATCTTGGAGAGAACTCACCCCAGACAAATGGTCGCCTCTTGACCAATTCGTACAACTCTCCCCTCATGACTCCTTCGGCCCCTTCCCATCGCCACGGGCCAATCATTCGGAATTTAGTGTTCATGTTCGCACCAAACGCCCACGCAACGAAGACTTTCCATCCACGCCTCAGCACTTGGGCAGCGGATGGCGCCGAGCCCATATCGAGAGCTATCTGGTACGCGTAGGATTCATGATCTACTCCATGGTGTATACGTGCTTCAGGCTTTGTCTTCAACCGGTACCACTCTTCCGCATCGGGATTCAGTTCTGGAGACAGTGATCGTAGGTTTGCCTCAGGAAGAAGGTTGAGGATTCGAAGGACCCAGAGCTGGGCTTGGAACTCGGCTAGAGGTGGAATTGCACCTAAGGATTATTTAGGGTTAGGATCCAAGAGAGACACGAAAAGACCTCCTCTGTAGGCACAGACAGAAGGTCGACAGATGGGATTCATGAGAGTAATATGGGCCTTACCGATCTGTGGCCGAACGAAACCTATGAAGCCAACAGTCTCGTCACCGTCCTTCCAGATCGCTCGAACATCGGCATCGTTGGAGTGAGGATATCCGCCGCTGAGGAATGGGAATGTCAGGTGACGGTAGCCAGTTGCGTAGATGACAACGTCTGGCTTGATCCTCAAAGTCTCAATGTACTTCGACTCCTGCGTATCATTCTTCTGGAAATGGATGACTCCTTCGTCGTCGACATACTCCGGGAATGGGGCAAAATCGACGGTATGACCCTTGGTGTCGACCCGCGGCAGGTCAATGATACGTTCCATAAACCGCCTCAATCTGCTGTCTTTGATGTAGCGCCTGTCAAAGTATGGCTGGACTTTGGTGGATTTGACAAAGAGAACTAATGGGATAAATGTTATGTTGAAACCAGCTGTGCAGAAGAAAGAAACTCACTCTCAGACATGTGATAGCCCTTGATGATTCCCGCATGCTGACCATACCCGTATCGAGTATTGTTCAGGAGTATCCAAGCTCCCTTGGTCCACCAGTCATAGAACACCCACTGCCATCGGGAGTTCCTCAGCTTCGGGTGTGCATAGGCAGTGTCAAACAGGCAGTTCCAATTGGTGTCAATCGGGGACGGGTTGTATTCATCTTCCCGCTTGCCCATGACGACGAAGCGCTCCACATGCTGGAAGTGCCAGACGTTACCACAGAGAGATCTACAGCATGCAAGACATCTCTTACCTTAGGTGCCAGGACGAATCCATTTCGGTGGCAAAGCGTCACCGAGTTGGTGGGAGAAGTCACGGCAAAATATGCCATGTCCATTGCCGTTTCTCCTACACCAAGGATCACGACATTGCTGCCTTCGGTAAATATGTGCCGGCCTTTGTATTGAGAGGAGTGAAGGACAGTCGGCACTTTCTCGATGCCGGGAATGTCGGGCACAACGGCATCCACGTGCAACCCAGAGCAAACTGCAACTGCATCGCAGGCCCATTCCTCACTGGTTCCATCCGGGGATGAATAGGTCACGATATGGCCTTTGCCATCCTTTGCCCGGCGTACATTCGTTATTGTGGTGTTGAGCTCGATATGTGGTCGCAATTTGAAATGATCGCAGTAGTCTTCAAGGTACTGGACGTATTGAGCGAGACCGAGAAAGTCTCCGCAATCAGTGCGTTCTGGTGGTATCCTGAAATCTGAAAAGATCGTCAAGAACTTGGAAGACACCATCTACTTCGAATCAGCCCTGTCACTGTTTGAGGGTGGAACAAAAGTCCAGTCTTTACCTCGCCCTCTGGATAGGTGCGATAGCGGAAAGTGCCTCCAATGCCATCCTTAGTTTCGAAGAGTCTGGCCTCAATGGGCTCGACATTGAAGTCCTGATTAGCCTGGAGGAGGTACTTCAGCGTGACCAGGCCTCCTGGCCCTGCTCCAATGATGGCAACACGCATGTTCGATTCTGTTCGCAGGAAACCATATACTTGGAGGTCGAGGACTGGCAAGGTTACACAGCAGGGGGAGGTCTTCAAGACCCCGAAGATTGGGAGAACTCCGCTTCTCTTGCATGGTGTCCCCCACTTGCACGTTGAGATGTACCGAGCAACGACTGCTTCTGGGTGTGTGCATCAAGCTGACGAGAGAGAGCTGTCCACGTATCAAGAGTGGAACTGCTAGCTTGGGCACTCCTCGGGTGTATCTCATTTCGGCCTTTGCCGTTGACGATTCCAACAGGTCTTGACTAGACCCCGACGGCCCGTTGATAGCTGGATCGTGAGTGGGACATCCTAAATGGCAGGCGAACGGGATCGCGATATGACGGGGACGCAGAGAGCGAGTGGTCGGGGACCAACCTGTTGGAACTGGAGTCGATTAGTGCTTAAAGCGGCAGTTGTGATACGGGAACCCGCAAGGAGCTCAGCCAAAGTTTTTGGCGATGATGGAGCCGCCAAGAGTTTTATTTCCGCAGCCGGCGCAGTTGTTGGAGCTCCGAGTTGTCGTTGGGGAGCGACAGCAAGGTCCAGTCAGTCACGGCCGCTACCCTGTGAACAGATTCTAGTGAATCCGGGGTATGTCACGATAATTTCATACCAGAGCTACCTACCCAGCTGTTGAACCCCCCCAGAACAGCCGCAACAATGGGCGCAGGTCAATCCAAAACCGACGAGTCCACCAAGCATGTTTTCGCCAGTGATACACCAATTCAATTTTCTCAAGAGTATGTTCTGGAGGCTACGATTGCGCGGTTCCCGTGTCTTACCATATGAAGCTCGACTGACACGATCTACAGGCTGATAGACTCCCTCCAAGCATCTTCGGAAGTCCGTCTAACTTCCCACTATGGTTCCATGGACGGTTTTTGCTAGTACAGAGGAGGTTTTGCTCACAACTCGTTCTTGATCTAGACAAACTCGACACGCGCAAAAACACTAGAGCTGCACATCGCACAACGCGTCGCCACGGAGCTAGAAAAGATCCGCAATCACGAAGCTTCAGTCCTCGAGGAGGCACGGAAGAAGATTGCCGCCAGCGGAGAGACGGCCTCAGACTCGACATCGTCAGACTCGTCGCTCCTTCAACTCTCGCCGATATCTCCGAAAGACCTTCTTCCGGGCTCTGACAGTGACGCGGAAAAGAGAGCCCCAACAAGCCAGAAAGTGCAACAAGAAATCGAGAAATTGAAGCAGACGCTGGGACAGCGAAAATCATTAAGAGAGGTGCCGAAAGAGGTGGAGAATGCGTAAGTTGGACTTTCTTTGAATACCGTGATCAAGCTAATGGTTGGCAACTAGGAGACAAGATGTCATCTCCTGCCTACGGATAAACGACCGGAAACCGCTCGACTGCTGGAAGGAGGTAGAGATCTTCAAGCGGGAAGTACGGAAGATGGAGGAGAACTACGTCTCATCTGTACTGTAAAGCTATGTCTCCGTTCCGGGAAGCTTGTATTCCGCTCGAGGCTTCAACCCAGTGTATATAGTTAAAACAGGGTACGGGTACCACATGCGAATGGAATAAAAATGATTGCAATGAACCCTAGGGTTCCGTCCAAATGTCCCCCGGTGTCCTTGCTTGTACAGCAAGTATCGAACCGACTTCCTTCACGATGCTTCAGAGCGCTTCGGAGGTCGTCACCAGAAGTTGAAGACAACTATCTCAAGAGTTGATTCACCAGGTGCCGCATGGAAGCAAGATGTTCGATCTTCTTACTGCATCGCATGCCGTTTCATCTTCGAAGAGTTCGTTCCCAACTTGACCCCTTGACAAGCTGCTGGACCGTTGCATGCTTCACGTGGTTATTTGTGGGTTGATTGTGGCACATGCCGCAATATTGTTGGGCACCACACCACCTCCACAAGCCGACGATGCCTCTTGTGCTGTCTTTCAAGTCAGAATTATCAGAAATCGTAGTCGATGACTTTATTTGCCGAATCTTAACCATATATGCCCCTTGAGGCCGGGATATAATGAGATCTTTCCGCCCACGCTTAGCAGATGTGGTGCTCCCGCATTCAGGAATACCTCCGGGCGCGGGCAGCGGACGAAGCGAGCATAGCGCCATTATTTGCTGGCAGTGTGAGCGGACACAACTTGGTCGCAGTCGCCTGGATCGAACAGTAAAGAACCCGGTGCATGAGAGTGAAAGGACCTTTTCCATCAAGTGCAGAAGTCAGGTACCCTCCAACTCTTTCCTAACAATCCAAGCACCGCTGGGTCGCAGCTTTCTGTAATAGTGATCAACAAGCATGACGCGCTTGAAGCCACGTTTGGCGTACCACTCCAGGGCGTCCTCGTTCTTCTCCCAGACATGTGCATATATGCACACTGTGTCAGCAGCTTGGGCACTAGCCGAGCATAAGATAGTGTCCAGCAGTAATGTTGCGAGGCCGAGGCCACGATATGGCGAGAGGAGAGCTAGAGCTTGGATATAGATCTTAGAAGGTGGCGAGGGAGTGATGAGAGAACTATTCGGCGAGCATGGCTCCAAGCGGCAGCGGATCCAGCCAACAGGTTGTGACGCATATAGGACGACGCGAGACAGTTTGTTGACAATCGGATCTGTCAATGTCGTAGTAAAGAAGGCATCGCTGTACCGAATAGGAAGGGTTGTCGCTGTAAGACGCTGAATAGCAGGAAGGTGTGGTGCTGTAACTGGTGCAACAAGAGCTTTTGGGAGATGGGGAATAGAAACAGCGTCAAATTGCTGTAGGCGGTCACTTGAGGGATCCTTGGCTTCCACGATCACCTGCTTTGACTCTTGGGAGACATCCTCAGACCTCCGGCTTTCGACTTCGTCTTCCTCGGCTTTCAAAGTGTAGACAATTGGATTGGTCGGTCTCTGAGAGGCTTGTTTTCGTGCCGCTTCGATGATACCTAGTCCAGGGCTGTTGGGGACACGCACACACGCGTCGTGATCGGGGGTGATATTGTCGTCTTCTCTAGTAGTTGGCGGGATAGAGAGCGCTGAAGTCACCGATTTCGAGAAATACGAAAAAAGACTAGCTTGAGGCATGTTGACCTTGCATTCTTCGTTGCAACACCATTCCGCACTGAAGCTGGAACCCTGCCCCGAGGAGCGTGGCCACGAGAAATAGCGCGATGTGCAGGCAGTTGAACCAGAAGTTGCCGGCGCAGGGGACGATCAGGGGCGGCCGGTCCCGGCGCTAAAAAGAAGGTTATCGATGCTTATTGAGTAATATTGGCGAGCCCTAGAACCCGGCCTTTTTCATTTCTGCGTCCTGCATCATCGGTGCTTGCACTGGCAGCCGCTGCAAGCCCTCACACGACCTCTTGTGTCTTGCTGACATAGCTATACCCGGTTGCTGTTGGAGCACTCCTCGAGCGTGTCTTAACCATCGAGTTCCCAGACTTCCGGACACCAAGCTGTCCCTGTTCCACGAGCACGAGCCTCCTCGAGTGTGCCCGAGATCCTTCCCCGGAGTGCGTGCGCTCCCTATACTTCCTCCATCAACCTCCCAAGAGCAAAACAATACAAATTAAGTGGCACAATAGAAAGGTTCATGGGTGCTGTTGAATGAATAGAAGGTTGTTGGGTGCGGCAGGGTGTGAAGGTGTTTGAATAGGCGGAGTGTACAGGCGCAGAAGTCTTCCACTCAGACCACAATACCAGTAAGTGAATACACTGCCGGACAATAGCGTGCGGCACTGGGAAGGATGTTTTTTTTTTGCTATTGTGTGGTTGTCAATGGGGCATATGGCTTCTGTTGCGATGCCTCTTCTCTTAAATGTCGACTGCTCCTCTGCCCTCGGAGTCGTACACGACGAAGACAAACGCACCGTTCCCTCCATATCCCTGTCTCTTCATATTGAAAAACGCTGCTGGTCGGCTTTGCATCTTTACCTGTGTTTGTTTGCCCAATATGGCTCCCAGAAGAGCATATGTCTCTTTGTTCCCTAACAGCATTATCGACGTCGACTTGTGGAAGCGCTTCATGGAAGATGAGGAAATCACAGCTGACTGTACGCCTCCAGTCAAGGACGTCCCTGACATGGCTTCCACCAAACTATCCAGTTCGAAGTCCTCCAATGTCAGCTTGACTGCATCTGATCAAGAACAGGCGGTTAGTTGGCCACGAAAAGTTACTTCCTGCTCCTTCCACTGACTAGTTCCAGATCACGTATCTCTTGGAACATTCAATCGAAAGCATCCTCCATGATCTTCTCCTCGAAATTCACCAAGATGAAAAGATTGCTCGGATGCAGACTGCCGTCCTTGAAGTCGAACAGAGAGCTGAGAAACTGGCCAACAAGACCTCTCAAGATGCCGAAAGCACCGAGAACACCGAAAACGAAGCTGTCGAGACTGACGCCGCCGTGTTCAAGTCCGGCCAGGTCCAGCTCAAAGGAAATCCAATGAAGACAGTCAAACACATCAGATGCCCGAATTGTCGTCTCCGTCGCTTGCTCTATCCTCGTGTCGGCTACAATGCTCGTCCTGTCCCGGATGCCAATGAACAGTACTGCAAGACCGAACCGGTGATTGTTCTCGACAAGCATGATGTCCACGGCCAGCGCAAGAAAGGTGTCAAAGTCAAGGGCCAAGCCAAAGGCAAGAACAAGAAGAAGAAGGATGACCCAGGCTCACCAGCCGCATCTGAGAACTCTGATCCACTGACTCCATCTTCGTCCATGCCCACCGAATCGTTCGAGTTCAAGGAGATCGACTTCCCAGCTGCCAAATGTCCAAATCGCGACTCTCACCTTGGTGACCACTGGAAATCCGTCAATGTCTTCGCCACGCATCTCAACGGAAGCTGCTATCTCAAGAAGGATCGTGCGGCCGGCCGCGAGGCAAATGCAAAGATAGGCGGGACTCCACGTGACAGCAGAGCCAATTCACCCAAGCCAACCGCCAATGGCGGTGTCAAGAGAAAGGCAGAGGACGATGAGAAGGCCATTGGTCCTGGCACCAAGAACAAGAAGCAGAGGACCGGTGGAGACGGAAAGAGGGGGGACAGGAAGGCTCCTCCGAGCAAGTTGAAGGAAGTCAACAATGTTGACGATGGCAAGCCGGGCGAGAGCCCGTTGAAAGAGATCATAGGCGACACAATCCATGTGACGCCAACCAAGGCGGCAAGAGACGCGAGCTCTGAGCCGCAAATCAAGCTCAAGCTCAAGGCGGGCGTCGGCGCTGGCGCTGGAGAGGGGCCGGCTCGCAAGAGGCCGAGCAAGGCCAGCAAGAAGGAGAGATAAAGTGTAAAACTAATTTCAGTGGCATAGCGAGGGCGGGTTTTGTGTGCTTGTTCTTCTCGGCGTTGGAGAGGGAGTGCTGCCCAGGCAGCACCCCACCTGTAGTGGAAACAGGTGGTAGACAATGTCATGAATCTTGTAAACTTGGTTCTACGTGAGAAGTCCGTCTCGCATCTATTCATGTCCTCGTAATCGTCGTCTGAAGCGAGACGTCTTGGTCAACCGCAAGACGTTTAGTTGGAGCGGGAGCATGTGCTTCCTTCAAGGCCAGCGATGTCATCGTATCATACCCGTCTGATACTCCTGTCGTCCGCTGCTCACGGTCAATTCACATCTAATGGATCTTGACGCCCAGTGGTCGCCGATTCCAGGTTTGCTTTAAGCTCATGGGCTCGGAGGTCCTTGGATTGCACGGTCCAATCACCAGGACATCCTCCACAGACACATTCATTACACCTTCACCTAGGAGGTCGCCGCGGGCAACATGGCCTCGACGATGTTCCCCGTCGCGCCGCCCTCCCAACTGTGCCAGATCTTGACCATCTTCAGCCCGGCAGCCTCGAGGACCTTGTTGAACCCGTCGGCGGTCCTCTCCTTGCCGCCCATGACCATCACAGTGTTGTCCATGGCGGCGGCGGGTAGGTCGGCCTCGCCCACGCGTTTTGGCATGACCATGTCGGCGATGAGGACCTTGCTGTCCGGGCTCATGGCGTCGCGCAGGCGGGAGAGGATCTTGACGCAGTTGTCGTCCGAGTAGTCGTGCATGACGCGGCGGAGGAAGTAGGCCTTGGCGCCCGTGACGGGCTGCGCCGTCCAGAAGTCGTGCACCATGGCGGTGACGCCCTCGGGGAGGAGCTTGGAGTCCCTGCCCTGAGCGATGGGTTCGGGCAGGTCTTGGAGAACCATGCGGTCGGGGCGGAGAGTCGGGAAGGCCTTGAGGATCTGGATGATGGATTGGCCTTGGCCGCCGCCCACGTCGACCAGGGTGGCCCTGTCGCCGTCGTGGTCCGGGTTGTAGAGTGCAGAGAAGTCGTAGAAGCCGATGATCGGGACCGAATCCTCTTGAGACATGAAGCCCAGTTGGAACGCGCGCAGCCGGTCGGGAAACTGTGCCATGATCTCCCATACAGGATGTCCATCCATGCCATGGCGGTGGGTATATGGGTTGCGAAGAGGGTCATCGGGCTCCTGCACGGGCTTGCCGTCCTGTGCCGCTCGTTCTTTCACGTAGCTGTGGAAATGGACCATTGTGGCCAGGCATTCATCGTTGATGAACTGGAAGAAGTTTCCCGGGCCCGGGACCTGGATGTATGCGCGGGAGAACTTTGTGTGCACGTATTCATAGTTGGGGGTTTGCTCGAGGAACTTGGTACCGACGAGTAATCGAAGTTGTCTTTCTTTTGTTTGACGGGAGACACAATGATCAGCCACATGCTTCGAGAAATGACTGCGCAGCCAATACCTAGCAGTGAGTCCTGGACGCCTGTGACCCTGGACAGCTCGGCCAGAGAGATGGAGCCGTCGACAGGGATCTTTTCGAACACGCCCAGCCCCATCAAGGTTCGAATACAGACAATCTCCAGCATCTGCCGTTGGTTAGCAATCTGTCAGTTCTCGGAGGCCAGGCAAAAGGCGCCACGGACATTGACCGAGTGGTGCATTGACATATCCGACGGTGCCATCACGAGCCGGACAATGTCCTTGGCTATAGCAGCGACATTGGTCCTGGAAATGTAGCCTTTGCTGCCCGGCGAGTAGTCGCAGGCTTTGGCGGCTTCGGTGAGTTGCTGTATCAGCTCCTGCAACTGGGCGGCTTGGTCTTGATCTGCGGAGGACGACATCATCATCTCCCGTGTAACCTGCAACACATGGACAGAGGAAGGTTCTCTAGGCAAATCAAAAGGACACTTTCTCAAGGGTTGGGAGGAACGGGAGGGAGGGTGGATGGATGGATGGACGGATGGATCGACAGGGACAGATGTCCGCAGTTGCACAGCCGTAACCAGTCGCAGAGGTCTGGCCTGGGATAAGAGGGGGCATTTGTGGGCCAGACGGCGGACTCATGATTTCCTGTTACAATGGCTGATGAGGCCAAGTTGCAAGCAGCTAGAGCGTCGCTTGGACTGTCCCAGATTCTCGTTTACATTGGTGGCAGATGGTGGCTCGACTGCGGAGGAATGCCAACTGCTGCTTATCTTGGAGCTTTTAGGCGAACCCCATGCACGCAATCCTGGTCGGCTACCAACACGTGGAAAAGGCCTCGTTGTGGGCTCACTAGCTACAACCCTGCGCCCCATGTTCGCAGTCTCGCCTGGTCTCCTGTTCGAGCAGCTGGACCAGTCAGCGGGCAGCGGGAAGAGGAAAAGACTTCCACATCGATCAGCCATGAAGCTTACTCTTGCATCCCAGGTATCCATCGCGGTATTTCAGAACAAGCCCACCGCCCCGTCCTTCGTCCTCGATCACCATGAGCTCTCCCCGCTTCGACTGCTTTTCATTCTTCGTCTACTCCCTCCTGGCACGCGAGCATTCTACTTTGACCCCAGTCCCTCATGGAGCCTGACGAGAATGCCGATTTTGTTGACGAAGGCTATGCCAGCACTTCGGCAAACACCAGCTACGTGACAAGGTGAGAATCTACTTCTACACTTGGGGTCTCAGGCTTCTGACTACGAGAGCAGTATAGCAACCGAGATCCGTGAAGGGATTGAAGAGTACGGCCGACGGTGGGCATCTTATGGGAGACACTTTTACGGTCTTCCCATCGACGACGAGGAACAGAATCGCAATGACCTCCAACATTACAAGTTCTTCCTCCTCTATGAGGGCCGCCTGCATCTCGCTCCCATCGATCCCGACCCTCAGAACATCCTGGACCTGGGTACTGGAAGTGGGATCTGGGCCATTGAGACTGCTGACCTGTATCCCACGGCACGAGTCATTGGCGTTGATATTGCGGCTGTCCAGTCAGACTGGGTGCCGCCAAACTGCCACTTCGAGATTCTCGATGTCGAGACGGACTGGGATTTCCCGAAGAACACGTTCGACTTGATCCATGCCAGGGAGTTTCTTTTCGCCATCAGAGACTGGCCGACCCTCATATCGCAAGCATATGAACATCTCAGGCCGGGCGGGTATTTCGAGCTCGCGGTCACGGTCCCCGAGGTCGGCTGTGATGACGGCAGTTGTCCACCCGATTCGACCTACACTGAGATGGGCAAACTCTTCTTCAGGATCGCACAAGCAATGGGCATCGACGGTAATGCCTGTAAGTTATGGAGGCAACAGTTGCTAGACTGTGGCTTCGAGGATGTCCAGCAGACCGTCTTCAAAATCCCGACGAATCGATGGCCGAAAGACCGAAGGTTGAAAACAATCGGGGCGCTCGAGGTCGGGAACTTCTTCCAGTATGCGCAGGCTGGGTTTGAGAGAGGTGCTGTTGCTCTGCTTGGAATGGATCCCGCGGAGCTTCAGGTCATGCTCGCCCGAACGAGGAAGGAGATCCTGGATCGAAACATCCACACTTATGTGCATTTGTAAGTCTTGGTCCTGGAGGTCTGAGAAACTCGTGTGGCTGACAAGACTGAACCCAGCTACAACGTGTATGGCCGGAAGCCGGGGCCACCGGGATAGACTGTACATCCTTGGTGACCAACAAGACATTGTCGGTGCCTGGATGCATAGACTGAGGATGCCTCAGGGTGAAGAACGAAAAGATCAAATCTGTCCAGCGTTTCTCTCAGCTCAGGTGTATCTGCTCAACGCACCAAGTCTGCGAGGTGTGCAATCCAAGGCGGAAATGGTCTTTATCGAGCGCTTTCAATCACCCAAGTTCGTGAGGTGCTGCACCCTCGCGCTTACAATCAGAGAGAGCATATACGGCCACGAGGCAATTCCAGACCAGCCTTTCATCACCTTGCAGACTGACGTGTGAATTTCTGCTTGCTTCTCAAGCGCGACAAGTTTGGCGCACGCCTGGCCAACAGATCAGACCACTGCGGCTCCCCAGAGTTCACAGAATCGTCACTAAGCCTGCCGTGCGAGACTTGGACTCTTCAAAGTGCGCTGCCACGAAAGAGCTCCGATCTTAAGGACACAGCTGCGTTACAATGGACTGTCTTTAGCGTTCTGCTCCCCGTGTAGTACGCGCGTCCTTCTGGTTTGATTGGCGGTACAACCGAATGCGCAAGGCTGTCGGTTCAATGCCTAAACATCGGCACAAGTGAAGCCAGTGAAGAGCGGCTGATCTGCGCCTGATCCACCCGTCGAGCCGTCCAAAGGAATTGAAATTGCAATGAGGCTGTGTCGCTCCCTGACTCGAGTTCGAGTCCCAACACCCCTTCCAACATATCACATCTCTCTCTTGGTGGGCGCTCGTGCCTCTGGCTTGTAATGAACTGCACTGGGCGATACTATCAACACGGGGATGCCGAGTGTCCGAAGGCTTGCTAGCTTCAGTTTAGATTAAACCGAGACAACTCCTACCTCGATCGAAGCAATTGACCCTTGCTTCGTCTGATGGCTCAGCAACCACGCACCCATCTAACGTCCTAGAGGCTGTGGTATACGAGAGCCCTGAGGTCGAAGATTTGAAGGCCCTTTTCCAAGTTATTGTTTGCCGTGTATGGACGAAGCATGTTCCAAGATGACTTCCATCGCCACAGCGAAGATATCCAAAGGGTTATTCTGCAGAGTGGCGGTAGCCTTGGTGCTCTTGATTCTTCTACTAGGGACCCTAGCAGGATGGTATGTCCCACTGAAAGTCGACCTGAAATACCGAATCATGAGATCTGACATGTTAGACAGGATGATTCCAACCAAAGTCCCGTCCGTCGTTGGACGCCTTTCGTATGGCAGAGAGCTTCTCGCCAGATATCCGTGAGTACCAACCAAAGGCCGCTGTCCCTTTGGCGTCAGTGTCTTCGGTTATGGCGAAGATAGGTCAGGCTGCAGGCCTCGGATACATCCATCTGACACGAGGAATAGGACGCAGAACTTCACGATGCCCGTTGACCATTTTCACAACATATCCCGCTACGAACCCCATACGAATGCCACTTTCCAACAGCATTACTGGCTCGATATCAGTAATTACGTTCCTGGAGGCCCAGTGATCATCCATGCCATGGGTGAAGACAATCCCAACTATGACCTCGAATGGCTCCAGAAGGGAATCCTCCATGATATAGCCAACGCCACCGGTGGTGTCGCCGTTCTCTGGGGCCAAAGGTATATGACGTTCCTCCTAGAAAGCAAGACAGACCACTTGATTCTGAGTCTATATGCAGATACTATCCTGGCGGCTATGACATCGTCCCGGACCACCGATGGACCAGAGACAACCTTCGCTTCCACAGCACTGAACAGGCCCTAGCAGATCTCGCGTACTTCGCTCAGCGAGCTACGTTCCCGGGCTTAGAAGATAGAGATCTTACGGCGCCAGGCACTCCTTGGATCATCCTCGGTGGCTCGTACGGCGGCGTGATTTCCGCATTTACTCGAATCCAGTATCCGGGCCTCTTCTGGGGTGGACTGTCGTCCTCTGGAGTCACGACCGGGATACTCGACCACTGGCGGTTTTTCGACATTATACGACGTCACGCTCCGCCGGAATGCGTCCAAGCTCAACAACAGGTGACCAACCTGATGGACAATGTCTACGAAAGCGGTAACGAGACAGCCCTGTCCCGACTCAAGGCTGCCTTCAACGTCTCGCAGTCCTCGACATATCCTGACCTCGCATTTCTTCTGACCAGTCCGTTTTCGGCCTGGAATCAGGCGTGGCATCGAGAGCCATTTCCTTTCACCGGTAAGTAACCCCGTCGGAAATTGTACATGTAGCGTTCAATCACAAACAGACCCAAGCTAACCTGTCCCCCCTTCGCGTCCCGCTTTCTCGACAGGTCCGGGCTCTTACTGTGACCTGCTCACGTCCGAAACCTCGCAATACCCCACAACCGAGACCCTCCGAACAACCGCGCGCGCGCTTCTCACTTATGCCAACAAGACCGCCACTCCCGACCCCACGACGCTGTACTACCCGTTGCTGAACCTCTTCTCGCACGCGCGACACAGCTTCACCTTCTGCGCCGGGCGCGCCGTGCACGAGTGTCTCTCGCTGGCCCGCCCCGCGCCCTTTGGCTGGCTCGGCTGCACCGAAGGCGGCGGCTTCGCGACCGGCTACACGTCCGGCACCGCGGGCCATCCGCACGCCCTGCCCCTGGTCTCCCACACGCTGTCGCCGGCGTACTTCCTCGACCGGTGCCGCCGGACGTACAACACCACCGAAGACGAGCCGCGGCTGGACCGGCTGAACCGCTACGGCGGGGTCAACCTGTCGTACCCGCGCCTGGCCCTCTCGACGGGCGAGCTGGACTTCTACCGCGGCCTGGGCCCGCTGGCGGAGTTTTTGGAGAACGGAGACCCGAACCCCAGGCTGCTCGTCGGGGGTAGTGACAAGCAAAGTCACGACGACAACAACGACAACAGCGATGATGGTTCGTCCTCGTCCTTGTCCGGCGACGCAGCGCCAGAGATCGTCATCGAGGGAGGCTTCCACGAGTGGGATTTCCCCGGCCTGTTCCCCAACGAGACGGACATTGCGATGCCCCAAGCGGTGAAACGGGCCAAGGCCAGGGAAGTCGAGGCCGTCATGGCGTGGTTGAGAGAGTGGAATGCCACGCGTGGAATGTAGATTTGGGTGTGGGTCGACGGGTTCGTTGCGCTCGATTTTTTTGGTATTTCCACATAGGAATTTTGGCCAGCTGCTAGGGAAAAAAGAAACACTGGAAGCTGTGTATATATGGCTTATATATGGTGGCATGAGAACATACAGTACGTCTCTCGGCCTCGACATATCATATCATGGAGATCGACCTTTACTCTATCCATGATCCAGACGGAGAATGTACCTAGGTATTCAACGAATTGCCAATTTGTATATGTATGTCCAGAGACTATGGATACTACGTATGTACACGTTCTTGTTCTGCGCACCATCTAATTACTCTGCTCGTTACGCGTTATAGCTCGCCCTCTCCGGCAATGCAACCCTTAGAACTGACCCATGATGTTTCAATGTCTAGGGACTCTAAGCGGCCTCAGTCGGGACGGGGGCTCCAACTAGGCCGTCCATCCGGAGGGGGAGAGTTCAATAATGTCCTGGCCCCTTCAGGCCCATGCAGTTGGCGTAGTAGGTGACGGTGGCGGACCAGTCGGAGAACATGGCCTTGACGCCGATCTGGCGGGCCAGGACGTCGAGGGCTTCGTACTCCTGGCCGTCGTAGGAGATGATATCGGCGATCGAGGACCAGTAGTAGTCGGCGTCGGCGCGGACCTGGTCGAGCGGGCCGGAGCGCTCGAACGACCAGGCGATGATGTCGAGCCCGGCGGCCATGGCGGTGGTCGCGTAGATGGAGGGGACGATAGTGTTATTGTCGGGGCCGCCTCGATCCAACAAATAGTTATATGGCGGGGAAATTATGTTCACGCCGCTGGCCTTGAGGGCAGGCAGGCGGGCCACAGCGGTGGAAAAGTTGGACGCCACGTCGCCGTCCTCGTCGAGGAACACGGCCTGCGCCCCCCACGCAGGGTACTCGTTCAGCCACAGGTAGATGTCGGCCGGGTTGAACGACTGCGGCCACACGCGCTCATGCGAGATGCCCTTGCGGATGAACGTGTCGAGCATGTCGCGTGCGTACTGCGCCTGCGTGTACCCGTGGAACGGCATGGGGACCTGGGACGGCGGCGTCTTTAGCTCCGGCGTGAAGTTGCGGTACCCCGGCAGCGACTCCACCAAGTCGATGTAGCTCTCGAGCGTCATCACCTGCGCGCACGTGTTGTAAAGGTCCGTCCGGAACGACGGCGTGCCGTGCTGGTAGTCCTCGGGCGTGGTCGCCGAGGCGTTGAACCCGTCCATCTTGCTGCACAGCGTCGTGTACTCGGCCTCGGTGATGTCGCTGGTGCAACACAGCGCGTTGGCGTCGGCCGTCTCGTTCGCCGGCGTGAAGGGCACCGTGCACTTCGCCGCCAGCTCCGGCCGGAGCAGGATGTCGGTCGTCGTGTGCAGGTCGCACAGCGAGTGTCTGCACACCAGGCCCAGGTCCGACGTGAAGGACACGTCGCACTCGAGGATCCCGGCGCCCATTCGCGCCCCGGCCATGGTGGATTCGACCGACTCTTCGGGAAACTGAAGCGTGCCGCCGCCTCGATGGCCGATGCTCCAGGTCGTGACCTCGAAGGGCCCGTTGTAGCAGGACTCGAGCTTCTGCTTGAGCGGGCCGTCGGTCATGTTCTGGATGAGGTAGTAAGGGCGCGGCCCGAGGGAGATGTAGTAGTCGTCCTGCGCCGGGTGTTGCCATCGAGGCTTGTGGACAGGGACCGCCCCAGCAATATCCGCAGCTAAGGCCATCATGGCCAGAGAACCCGTCGTCGCGCGCATTTTTCTAGGAGAAGTCGAGGCTGTAACCGGAAGTTCTGAGATCTGGCCTGCCCTGCCTGGGAAGGAAAAGAGAGTCGGAGGAGACGTGCAACATCCGGCGGACACAAACCCTTTTGTACCCTCACACCGAGCTTGGGGAGCTATCCAGCAAGCTCATAGCTTTCTGCTCCATCAGCTGCGAGTTTTGTCTGCGTGCGTCATGACCGCACGTGGTAAATCCGAGGGACAGCAGGTCCTCCGATCTGGGAATTTTGGTGAGCTTCCTCCTTAGCTTGGTGAAGCTTAGCAGAGTAATCCGCCACTCTGTACGAGTCGCACCACCTCCATTGCGGTGCCTGTGGTATCGAGCAAATAACAATCCTCACGAAGCAACGTGGACTGTTGTACCTGCATTTTGCGGTCTGGGTCTCGACGGAATGCTCGGCTGGTCTTCGTGACCTGAAGCTGTTTGCTAGGCTGAAAAGCGATATTGGGAAGTAATCTGCACCCCGCTGATGGACGTGGTTCGATCAACGGTCCTGGTCATGGATGAAGCCTTGGCTGCATATGTGCTACCGCCTTCGCAGCACTGCCTTCCAATGGCAGAGCATCTCGTCCTCAAGCGAATGCCACAGCATCGCCGTAGCTCCTTGGCATGTCGGGGCGGAATGCCACCCCGCCCAGGAAGGAATCTCATGAGAGGGTTAGAGTTGCCCCTCCGGAGCTGGGCTGTAAGCCTGTTCCTGCGCCTAGCAGCTGTGCTCGCAGCTGTCCAATGGATCTTGAACTTGCTATCATGCCTCTGAGGTTGTGATCGTCATTGGACATACCGGAAGATTCCCATCAGTCGGCTGGCAGACTGCACGGCGCTGAGGCAGTCGTGGGAAGAATCGAGGCACAGCAACGAGATCAGTACCACTTTGCAAAGCAAGCTTGGGTAGGAAGCTTAGGTCCAAATGTGTTGGGTTGTTAACCGGTGTCGTCCGAGCTTGAGTCAGCCTTGCAAGCTGGACTATGTTATCCCGCACTGCTCTGCGTTTGCAATGCTAGACCTTGGGAATACCATGTTGTAGACAGACGCTGGTTTATACGAAGAATTCTTTGGAAAGAAGTAGAGAAATCCACGGTTTGGACAGTGTGGGGTGCTCAGGAATTGTGAGTACTGCCACGATTTGATCTGGGAGAGTACTACTGTGCGGGCGGTGTACGAGCTAGGCATCGAGAAGGCCTCTTCTATAAGCGCAACGTTACTTGAATGTGTCCGGCGAGCTCCCAAAGGAGATGAATGGGTCAATGTCGCCAGCAGATCTGGAGCGCTCCAGCCACAATGGTGGAACAGCTGGTGGTGTAGAGATCATCGTGGCGACTCCATGCTCGGGTTCTATTGGAACATTTGCCGGCATTGAGGGACGCTTGTCTCCGTTCATCACGGTCAGCATCTCCTTGTTCTGTTTCTTGGACGACAGATACCAGGCGAGAAAGACCACAAAGGTGCACCCTCCGGTCAAGGCGAAGTAAAGCCCTATCCACTTCGAGACGACTTGATCGGACTGCCCAGGGAGAAAGTTGAAGAAGCCAGAGCTGAAGAGGGTTGCCATCTTGCAGTCGAGTAGTCAGTGGTTGGGTCGAACACAGACTCAATATCTTGCTACGCTGGCTACGGCGTAAAGGATGGGTAGACGGTAAGAAGTTGAAAGGGACAATGACTTACAAAAGTGCCTGGAAGAAACAGAAGCGTGACCACTGCAATGATGCGCATGTCGGTGCTGTCCTTGCGGGTGAGTATGGCAACATTCCTCGAGTCTTCGGCCATATCCTTCATGGCGTTGCTGTGAAATAGACCTATTTCCGCGATCCTCTGGGAAGTCGCTGCTGTCTCGATGTTGAGCTTATTGTCCTTCTGACCGATCATGCTGTAGACCTATGCAGGTAGTCAGCAAGCCGACAACCACGGGAGATATTGAAGTCTCATACTGTCTGAACTTGAGCCCGAGTCCGAGCTGACAGCACCTCTCCATGAACTTGCGCACCAACTATCAATTCTCGCAGATATAGAATCCTCGTGTCGAGGCTGTCCTGTATGTTGAAGCCAACGACCCCCAGACACCCTTTCGGATGGCTGTTGAGGTGCTTACGGATTGCGCAGACGATGTCCAAAGCTCTAAGGCTGGAGGCAAATGTCATGTCGCAAAAGGACAAAGTTCCAGTGACGCCTGTGAGCTGCGGGTTTCTGTCAGCCTGTGTGGACGTTGACAATCAAACATTACCTTCTGGGTGATCTCGTCGAAGTTGAGCTCTTTCAGGAGCTTCTCTCTTTCTCTATCCCTTGCTGCGTTGCAGTTCGGATTTTTAGAAAAGCCATGTCTCATGCCCGTTCTATATTCAATGTCCTCGATACCCTGCGCCCTTTTTTCGAGCAGCACAGCGAAATAGTGGACTTTGAGCTCCAGCAGGAAGACTGGCAGCAGCATCGGATCCTGCAGATAGGCTGTGGACTCTCTCAGGCATCGGAGCATCAAGGCGGTCTCATCAGCTTGCATGCCGTTGACGATCCCCGCGATGACTTTTGTTTCCTCGTTGTAGACGAGTCCAAGGCAGAAATTCCAGTCCCTCGATCGCGCACTCCGGACCATCAGGCCCGTTATCGCTTGTCCTGCAGAATTCCTGGATCTGAATTCGGTGGCTATAGGGAGGGTGCTCAGCATCATGCGCAGCAGCTCTGTGGGCATGTTCCAAGTGGTTCTGATGGTCTCGAAGGTGTCTCGAGCTATTGGCAGGGCCAGGATCTGTGCATCGCTTTTGTGTTGCTCCGGACTCCCGACCAGAAGCTGGAGTCGAAGACGACCTCGGGAGAGACTGTCGTCCAGCGTCGTGTCGGGTGGAGAAGAAGCATCGCCTCGGATCAGATCTGGGATCTCAAACTCGGCAATCTCGCGATCAAACAACACCAGCTCGCCGCCAGGCTGTCACAAAGTCAATTGATGTGCCGATGGAAACCTTGAAGCAGTTACTCACATTAAGCTCCCGCACCTCGACCCATCTGTTGCCCGCCCGAGGCTCAAATTTGGTTGGGTCGTTCAGGAGTCTGGTGTAGTAAAAGTCATACATTGCGGCGCACCGAGCTCATCCCACAAAGATTCGGGCGCAAATGTCTGCCGTCAATCAATCAGTCAGTCAGCCTGCCAAACGCACCAAGAACGCTCAATCGCACCGTAAAGGCGGTGAGGGGACATGGTACGGAGGTTGGCTCATAATGTCGGGCTCATACGCCTTTATGAGGCTGAGCGTGCCAACCGAAGTTCGCCTTGTGCTGCAAGGCAACCCGCCGGGCCATTTCTGGGGCCGCCTCTTCCACGACAAAAGTGCCGCGACTGTACGCTCGATGCAGCCCATAGAGCTTCTTGCATCCTGCAGCGACATCAACTTCTGATGAATAACACGATACGCATCACATTGGTGAAGAAAAACAGAATGGCCAACGCAGGAAGATTGGAAGCACCAAGTGCCAACTGCGGCGCCGGAAGGAGCCCGTTCGCGTTGACAGTTCGCTCTCGTGGTCAGACATCAGCCACTCAATCTCCAAACCCTGCTTCACGACAAGCCTTGTCACACGGAGGTACGTGGCGAAAAGGCATCAACGCGGTACCATTTTCACATGAGTGAAACAAGTGATCTTGCCCGCAGCTAAAGGGGCCGCTCCCAAAGTTCTATCTCAGACCACCATCCTTAAGTGACCCAAGCCAATTCCGTCCTGCCTGGAAATGAAGCCTACAGCAAGAGAGAAAGAGAGAGGGTGAGATGTCGGCTGGTTCGGACAACAGATGCATTATATTTGGACATGAATCCCTCCTGCTAGCAGTGTCCAGCACGCCTCACAGTGGCCAACTCCAGGGAACATAACAACTCCGTCAACTCCTCTAGAGCTCTCGATTCCAGCCGACTCAGGCCATTCGATTGGTGACGTTCTGCTTGGTCTGGTACTGGACGTGTTGTGACTTTGGCGGGAGTGTTGTCTGAGAAACGTCTAGGGACCCTATACCACCCACGTCCACACTGATTCTGCCTCTCTTCATCGACTTGCTCGGTCTCTCGAGAGGGGTGAGCAACACCACGAATCTCTCCCATCTCCCACATGGCCCCCCCAAGAAGAGGCTCGAGACTCCCGACGATCCGATGCTTGACTCATCATTCCCACCTCCCCAGGACTTTCTTCCTTCGCACCCTCCGAGATCTTCGATCTGCCACTCGGTTCCTCTCCCGCGCACCGCCCTCGTCCAAATTCTCCACCTCCTAGCCCCCCAGGAACGCGCGTGGTTGCGTGCTTTGCTTGCTTTTGCCAGGAAGAAAGAGGGGCGATCTGGGAATCTACAGTACCCGTCTGCGCGTCTGCATACATTTCCTATCCGACACTTCCGTGGACCGTCGCAGAGCTGGCCGCATATCCGTGCCTAGTCAGGGTATCCCATGTACGATTGCGTAGTAAGCTTTCTCGCAAGCTTTTCGCAAGCTTTGCCGAGCGCACGGGTTTGGCGGACATGATATCCGAGGCTTCTTTTTTTTTTTTTCTTTTTCCTTGATGGAGGCTCGTCGGATCCAACCAGAAGAGACAGACCAGTTTTGCAATCGGACATTGAAGCTACTAATCATCCCGTCGGCAATCACCAACGTGCTATTTGCCCCATGATCCCTGCAAAATCAGCGGGATGGGGGGAGATGATCGACAAAACCTGCACGAAATATCATAGCTGCAGGTTGGGTCTTCTCTCGCGTGTGTGCCACATCCTAAATGAACGTCAGTAAACATCCATTCTAGGTAGGACGTCGAGTGCTCAGAGAAAAAGGATGGAAGCGTCGAAAGAAGTAGCCGAAAGTATAGATCAAGTTCATACTATTGTATTAATCTACACAGACCCCACTACTCATTCATGGTGGCTGCCACTAGAAACGGAAGTTTTGTGTGTGTATCGAGACAACGACGGGAGAAACCTTCTAGAAAAGAAACTCGTTCAAGCGGCCTTGTCACCCTCAATAACACCCTCGGCGGCGGGCTGGGCAACATATGAATCCTTGCGATGGCCAGCGCTTTCAGGGTCGTAGTTCTTGGTGCCTGGCACTTCACCAGCGAGCTCTTCGAGCGTCTTGCGCTTGGTCTCGGGGATGAGGAGAGTGGTGAAGCAGCCGCAAAGCATGAAGAGGGCGAAGATTTCCATGACATGGTCAAGCCAAGGCGACGGGTTGGACTTTGTAGGATGTCCCTTGGTCCGGAGAGGGCCAAAGACAGTCTGGGCGACAATGGCCCCAACTTTGCCCGAGGCAGCCGAGATACCGTGCGAGGTAGATCGGTAGCGGGTTGGGAAGCATTCACCAGGAACAATAAAGGTGGTGGCGTTGGGTCCGAAGTTGAAGAAGAACTGGGCGAGGACGTAGAGAGCCAGAAGACCGCCTTCGTGAAGGTGATCGTATGCGAAACCGATGACGATAAAGATGATAGTGAGGATGATGAAGCCCATCAGCTGAATGGTCTTGCGACCGATGGTGTCTACTGTTGCAACCGTCACCCAGTAACCCGGAATGGCACCTGCGCAGACAATGATAAGATTGCCCACAGCGGTGTTGTAGAAAATCTCGTAGACGTTGTCACCCTTGGCATAGCCAATTGCTTGGAGGATAATCGAGTTGTTGAGGCCCAGGCCGTAGAAAGCGACATCAAGGAAGAACCATGAACCCGCAGTTCCGAGAAGGACCTTGCCATGCCTCCACTGGCTGTAGTGTCGCCAAAAGTCGTGCCAGCTGGCCTTGGGAGTTTCGAGGCGCTGGCGGGAGTCTTGCAAGACAGCGGCGCGGCTGACTTCATCAGGCTTGCCCTCGTGTTGTCCGGATTGGTAGGCTTTGACGTCTTCGACGGCTTTCTCCGAGTCACGGGCAACATCGAAAGTATAACGAGGAGTTTCAGGGATGGTGAGACGGAAGTACAACGCAATGCAGCCTGGAACTGCACCGAATCCAATGATCACACGCCACATCTTGTCAACCGCAAGCTGGCAAACCCCATCGCAGAGGTCGACGGTGGCGGCAGTCTTGAGAGACTGATGGAAGCCGGTGACGACAATCAAAGCAATGATGGCAGCGGTGAATTGGCCGATACCTTGCATAGCAAAGACGGCACCCATCATGGCACCTCTCCATTTGGTGGTGGCGAACCTGGGAATAATCAGCTTTGGCCCTCAAAATATACAAGGCCAAGCAGGTAAACTCACTCAGAAGTGATGATGGAGGAGAGAGGATAATCACCTCCGATACCGATGCCCATCATGACTCGCCAGAAGATAATGATACCAACAATGGAGATGGCAGGAGAGTCAGAGGAAAGCGCCTGAGCAAGAGTTGCGAAGATGATCAGGATCAGCTCGAGACCATACATCCGCTTGCGGCCAACGATATCGGCGAGCCAACCAAAGCCGACTTGACCGATGACAGTGCCACCAGAGGTTGCAACCTTGATGGCGGTATCCGAGTTGGTTGGGATCTTTCCTGCATTCTTTGGATTGGGGGCGTCCTGCCAGTAGACGACACCCAACATGGCCGTGACCAAGTTGATGGCGAAGATATCGTAGGCATCGGTGAAGAAACCAATACCGGCAACCACAATGGCGCGGACATGGTACCAGCCAAAGGGAGCCTTATCGATCTCGGCGAGGGCAAGTCGTCGCCGCTCGTTGGGGTCCTGGATATGTGCAAAGTCGTTGTGGAAATTGTGAAAGGCGGCGTTTCCGCCAGCTGTCTTCGTCGCCATGGCGGCTAAGGTCTTTCAATAGATAGTCGACTGTCTTCCAAGAGTCTAGGAGGAAGTCAAGACTAGACAAGCAGTGGAGGAAGGCTTGCTCGAGACAAGACAAGAACCGAGGGCTCAGGTCCAAGCCGGCAGGAGCTGTGCTACATATACCCTTCGAAAGATAGGTCACATCGCGTCCATACCAAGGCTCTGGGCACAGCAAGGCCGCAGGCGAACTGAATCTGAAAAGTTCGACAGGGTGGAGTGCCAGTGGGCCGACAAGGCGAACTGCAAGCGTCAAAACTATACGATGACACATTCCCCACTTGGACAGTCCCCCTTTGACAGCGACCAAGAGGGCGTCGTGGGAGCCAATAGATGAAGGCCACTAGGACACACCATGAGCAGAAAGAAATAGGATTGTCAGTGAGTAGGCGCATCGAGATGAATCTGTCGAGGACCCCGGGATCAGCAGAAGCAACAAGGGAGGGATATGCGAGGCAGAGCGGGTGGTCACAAGTGTGCACCCTGGCTTTCTCCGCTACCATTGGCTTCGCCGCCAATAAGATCTGTGGGCCAGAATCGGGCTGCCCTAGCTTTTCGTGAGGTGCACCCTCCTACCGTCTTCCAGTGTCTCTGAGGTCCGCGTCGATCCATTGGATATCAGAGGCATCACTATTTGTCTCGCTTCGGATAGCCGCTTTGTTCGAGAAGCCTTGAAAGTCTCTTCTGGGCGCCAAGTAAACCGGTGGAATAGTCTCCCTCGGAAAGGGCCCCAACCCTACACTGAAAGAACAAACCACAGGCTGCGCGCTTGGAACGTGCACGCGGTGTTGCCAGAGTTTGATATCATGAAAGCTTGGCTGTGATTTCGACGTCTTCTATCGAGATCCAACGGACCTAGGAACTGGTGGTGAGTTGAGCGACCAGCAATCTCCCTTGACAAACTTCAGACGATGCATTCTGGCGACTCCCCGCTCGTGCTTGGTCGAAGAGATGTGTACCCGATCAAGACCCGTCCAGAACCATTGAGAGAGGCAGACTATACCAACGGGGCCATGGGCATTCTCATTGGCAACGCTCGATCAGACCATGATATTGTGCCTTGGTGCGTCCTTTGTCGCGTCGCTCTACCAGGCACGTTGTTATTTCCGCCTTACCGTTTCAGCTTAGCACAGCCAAACTGCAGGGCCGGGATAATGGCTGGTTCGAGAGCTTGCAGGGATTTTAGCGTGGCCCATATGCAGGCAACACCAGGGGAGGGGAATGTCATGGTGCACGGCGAGTGGCTGGAGGAAACGAGCCTGCAAAGGGTCTGGAGCTAGCGAGGAGGCGGAGGCTCGGCCTCACCAGGGGACATCTGGCAAGCCGGCGTGGGTGGCGGTGATAGTCTAGGCGCAGTCTTCAGAAAATTTCATCTGCAAGGTCCAAAGGGTTGAGAATGGAGTGGGAGTGAGAGTGGGAGTGGGATGGGCAGGATGGGCAGGATGGGCGGGGCGGGGAGCTTCCCTGAAAAAGGCCCTCCGAAGCGGTCTCAGCGGCTGCCAAGCCACACGTGCCAGCTAGTCACGGTGCTTGAATCGACCACGTTTCTTGTTGATTGGTGAACACACAACCTCCTCCCAACTGCCCGCCAAGGCTCCGTCGTTATTGATCTCGACACGGCGAGGCTTGAGTGACAATGAAGCCTCCGAGTTGTTTGCGCCCTTCTTCCTGACACGGGCATCGCCCGCATTCCACTTCATCACCCAACGCTGCCACTCTGAAATTCCCATGCAGCCAAGAACGCCAGAGGCGATATACGGGCTGCACCCAGAGTCGTCACGGCAATGCGAGTAGTTGTGTCTGACTCCTCCACGAGCAAACTCAAACTAAGGGGTCGAAGCGAAGAAAAAGAAAGGAAAAAAGATCTCCATACAAGCATCCAGCGTATCGGACTACGCATTGTATTGCTCACCTTCCAGTTTCGGTGAACAACACGCTGCTCATTTGTCACCTTGTTCCTAAACAGAGTCCGAGTCGGCAACTAAGCACCATGCTGAGATTATCGAGATCTAACAAGAAGTCATACTATTATCATATGATGACACTCTTCCTTTCGATCAGCGATTTCGCGCCAGCACGGAGATAGTGATGAATACGACAGATCCAAACACGGAGACAACAACCCAGGGGATCTCCACACAAGATGAAAAGATTTGCACAAGGAAAAGTCTCCCCTCCACCATATCTCGATCTGGCTTCTGGGCTGTCGATATCATGCTTAAAGTGTCAGCTCCTTCGACAACGCCGTCAGCTCCAGGGCTGAATGAAGCAATTCGATCATCTCTGGGGATACCTCAGAGCCGTCCCGAGGTGGGATGGGAGCGATATTACCCTGTGTCAGCTCCAAGTGGCGCTCGTCAATTTGTACAAGTATGCTACGTGTGGCCTGTACGACTATTGCGTACTCGGTACAGATCCTTCGCCTGACACTTCCCTTTGGAGTTGCATTTTAGGCTTGACTGGCTCAGTACAATATCTCTCAACTCGGTCACCGTGGCCAAGCACGCCCCTCGTGTGAAGCCATCCGAGTAATTCTGCAAGCGCTGTAAAGAGAGATAAACCAACACTATCTCGTGTGAGACATTCATATGCATGGAACTCCACGCGATGGTAACCTCGCTATGGTCTGAACGATGCTCTCGCCCCCTAGCCCATGACCCTTGTCCTAGTCGCATCCTGCTGCCGTTTTCACCCCCTGCTAGCGTCTGCATGAGAAGCAGGAGAGAACATTCCACGGCCTTTCCTGAATTAGAACAGAGACCGATGGGTCTCGGCCTCGACTCATTTCACCTTTTGGTCACAAGGGATCCCTTCCGTCCTTAGTAGTCTGAATTTTCTTTTTCCACAAGTGATGCTTCTATCCGAAGTCAGCAGACTGGGCGACGGGGCCGTTGTCGTGGAGGCGCAATATTCGAGAGTGTGGAATCTTGTCCCGGGCGCAAACGGTCGTGTGAGAACGGCAAGCTGCTGGGGACCGCGGCAAGGCAGATCGCCGTACCTCGCTCTCCATCCCTGAGCTCTAGCAGAGACGCATAGCCATTACCACGACTGACTGGAAACCGAACGAGCTTCACCACCCTGAGGCCGTGCATCCTATGACTCAGGTATCTCTGGGTATGTCCTGTTGATCACTCGAATCGCTCTATCCCCCCTGACGATGCGATGAGCCATAGCGTAGCCTCCTAGAGTACAAGTCCTAGGGCTTGCACAGCGAGGCTCGACCATCCAAGGTGGAACACAATGTCGTTCTACATGCATGCGAGGTTGACTCGAGGCTGCCTAACAGGCTGAAGATCCATCCAAACGTTGACATGCAAGGATGCACGGGCAACGAGGCTTACTACGAAGTGCCATATGCTTGAAGAGGCGTGGTGCCGAGTTACAGGACAAACCTCCCCAAAGCTCTGCCTTGATCGCGCGAAGAAAGGTCTACTGCGCTTTTCCTGTGCTGTCCTTCAAAAGTCTTTGGCAGAAACAGACACGCACTGCTGAACATCTGCCATCTGTGCTCGGTTTCAGCGTCAACATACAACCACGTCGCCAACTCACTTCGTCAAAACCAACCAGTCCTGCATTTTTTTTTGCCTATTTTCCAAACTGTTCCGAGACAAACATTCCTGCAAATCTTCTACGACTCGGCCAGCTTGCACATCCTGTGACCTCGGACTGTTCGCTAAGGCGAGTAGAGTAACAGTGCCAATCAAGGTGCATTGAGCTTCTCACTAGGCAAGACTGACGGATAAAAACCCTAAGAGAAACAGAAGGCTGGCGACGGAGTTGAAGAGCAGGATGGGTAGACAAGACAATACCAAGGATTCCCAGCACCGGTCATGCTTCCCCCTCTACTGCCTGTGGCGGTGGCCGGGGATGCGTCTTGGAGGGAGGACAGAGAAGACTGACACCCTTTCCTTTAGATCCGTCACCTTATCACCACTCAAAAGGTCTGTAAAGTGGAGGGCCATGCGTCTCCCTTGCGCTGCGCCGTGACACCGTCCCTCTGTCCTACCGATGACCTCGCCCCCGACACAAGAGTATGCGAGCATCAAACACGACAGATAACAAGCCTCAGCTGCAGCGGACTGGGGAAGGTACCGGCAGCGGAACGGAATAGTGGCAAGGACGATAACGTCTCGATCTGGTGTTGTTGAACTCTGGGCTGTCAAGAGTACCACTAATACCCAGAGGGACGTGCCCTGCTCGTCCACCAAGCTTAGCAGAGGCCGGACCGCCCGAGCCAACACGTCAAGAGTGCTCTCTGTCCCATGAGATCCTCTCTGCTCGCAATAGCCGCGAGGACGTTTGTTCCTGGATCGAGTTCTTCCCGTTCTATTTTACCCAATGGTCCGGTGTCCCGGTTTTGGGAAAGTGTTGCCAAAATATCAGACAGTGAGCCATAGATTGGGTGTCTTGGGACGGGAAAAAGCCTGTATGATATAGCTACGAGCAGCTATGTACAACCATATTAACTCTGCTCTGCTCTGCATGCACAGATCAATCTCGACCTGAGCAGATCGTTCGGTAACGTCTAAATCTATTCATCACGCCACGTGGCTCCTTCAACCCTTGCAACTTTGGCCTCCAGCCCGTAACCTTCGATTCTGGCATAGAAGTCAGAAAGCCTGCATTTCATATCTGTCACTACTTCCAGAGGACTTTCCCACGTCGTCGTCCAGGGCTCGCCACTTCAAAAGACTCACTTCTTCGGCCTAACGAAGATACGTTGGGTCGCAATGCGGCATCGCTCAGCGCCAACATTCACCATCATCTGCTTGACCCTCCGCTTTGCCAGCTCAGCGCAATGCATGCCCATTCATTGCTTCCCCGTTCACCTTCTTGACACTACTGCCGGCTTTGAGGTGTTCTTTCCCGGCCTGCAGCGCTCCTTGAAGTCCAAACTGTTGCTTCACACCCTCAATGCGATGTGTCGAATTGATGTTCTTGACCAAGACAATTTGGAAACAAGTCGCGGAACCTTGCCGGGCGACAATGGTACTGTAGGCCAAGAAAAATTCCCAGATTCTGTACCATCTCACACCGTATTTCGCCTTGACCTTTTCAGCGTTGCCGAGCCAGTTCCGATACCACCTCCAGAGCGTTGCACTGTAGTGCACGCCGATTGTGTCCACAGATTTGACTTCAAAGCCAGCACCTTCGAGTTTATCAATCACGAATCCCAACGGAGTCGATGCGTCAGCGCCGGGAAAGATGTACTTGTTCATAAAAAGCCCCCAGATGAGGTCTTCGTATTGCCAGTACTTCCTCAACCCGGCAATTTGCAAGAAGAAAACACCATCGTCGTCCAAAAGATCGTTGACCTGGCGGAGGAAGCTCGAGAAGTGTCGAACGCCCACGTGCTCTGCCATTTCGAGACAGGTGATTTTTTTGTATTTCTCGCTTGATCTGTTGGGAGGGGAGTGGGGAATATCACGGTAATCCATGCAGAGGATTCGAGACTGGGAATCTGGGATGTTCAACTTCCGCAGACCGTCGTTGCCCCATTTTGTCTGATTACGACCGAGTGTGATGCCCGTTGCGTGTGCGCCATAATTAACGCTAGCATATTTCGCCAGGGTGCCCCAGCCACAGCCGATATCAAGCAGCGTCTCGCCCTCCTGGAGTCCGATCTTCTCACACACTACAGCGAGTTTGTTATCTTGGAGTTCCTCCAAAGATTCCTCGCGGTTGATGTCCGAGATGATTCCCGAAGTGTAGATCATCCGTGGGCCAAGGAACCATGCGTAGAAGTCATCACCACGGTCGTAGTGATCGCGGACTTGTTCTTCATCCTGGGAGCGGGTGTGCATGATAACTTCGGGAATCATACCGGTGAAAAAGAATCGGAACAACGAGAGTGTGAAACGGAAACTTGCCCAGTCGTGGCGGTATTCCATTGCTTCGAGGCAGTCGCCCTTGAACGAGACCTTTTGGTCAAAGTACATCTCGTGGAATGTTTCCATAGGGATTTTGTTTTTTCCATGGTATTTTGCTCTGTCTTCCTCACTGTGGAAGTCGAGGTAGTGTTCGACCGAGCGACCGGGGTATGTAGCCTTCTCATTCAGCCGAGGAGAGATGGTCGAGGCGACGGACCAGAAGAGCATGAGGATGGGAATGCTGGTAAAGACGGCTATGAAGAGGGTGGTGTAGATGCCGCCATGCAGTTGGCGGGCAATGTACCATGGCACAGCGATGAGGAGGCCAATGAGCAGCAGGTTGTTGAAAGAGTCACCTCCTGCAGCGTCGGCAGGGAGAGGGCCATTCTTGATTGAGGGGTACTAAAGGAGGCAGCCATAAGTCAGGAGAACATACAGAGCTTCCATTGAGCTACACAACATACAGAAGTCAAGCGGACACCGCAGTCTGAAGGAGGTTGCTCGGGAGGTGCAGGAGGTGTCTGGATGAATTCAAAGTCCTCTGGGGACTCTGGATGCTTGCTGGTCATAGCGGCTGCTGTTGGTACGTGGGTAAGGTGAAGAAGGGGAGAAGTTCAATGCGGTGAACATTTCGGGGTGCGGAAGAGCATGTGCGGGTCGGGGTTCGGTGTACCTGCATATCCCAAAGGTGGAGATGCGCCAATCTTTTTGATATCACCAGCTACAGCCAGGTAACACTGCAATGCAATTCATACGGAGGAATGCTCCTGTCAATCTTCGTCTATCTTCCCTGCGAACTCTCCAAGGAGTAAATCGTCTGTTGCAGGGCCTCGGTTGTTTCTCACCCACTCCGTCTCAACCCTGAAGAAGATCCACATCCATCTCCTCAACACTTCCAACAGCTCCATGAGAAAGATCCCACCCTCCAGGTCGTTAAAGTGATCCAAGTGCGGCGAAAGCTTGAAACTCCAGGTACACCGCAGTAAAAAATCTATAACAATCGCACTATAATACACCTCTTTTGAATGGAAGTACCGGTGACGGCGCAAACCCCAAGGATATTCTGGGTTGTTCCTCTGGCGGGGGGAGGAGAACAGAGAAAGGTCCCAATCTTTAGCCACATCCCAGTAAAAAGAATAGAATGAGTTGACAAAAACGAAAAACATCCTGCGAACCGTTAGAGAACTGCAGCGTGCAAGCATTCGGTTGTCCTCACCATAGTCTGAACAGCCCTGCCTCGCTCAGATAGAATTTGGTAGGGTCATAACCTCGTTGTAAAGCACTCAAGATGATGACTGGAAATGCGCTCGCATATTTCAAAGCATTGGCCAGGTGTTGGCCACCCCAACCCGAAGAAGTCGATCGATTCCTCCGAACCCGAAGATACTCAATCAGACACTGCCTCAATCGAATCATGCTCGGGATGCTGATGATCAGAGGCACCAAGTATACACCCCCACATCCGCGATTCGGCTTCGCCGTACTGGTGGTCTTTGCATCAAGAAGCATGCATGTCGAAACGAATAAATCTCCCAGGACTTTTGCGTAACTCGTCAGAACATCAGCCAGTAGGATATCCCCAAACTTTCCATCCTGGACTTCTGCCAGTCCTCCCAAGCTGACTCGTTTTAAGGATTTCAGAAAATGTAGGCGACCAGACCGTGACATGCGCTTGAGTGGGAGGAGAAAGCATACGGCGAGAAGCAAGAGGTAGGATTGCGGGAGGATCTGCCATCGTAGGGCTGCGCGCTGGTCGCCTCGGGTAACTGCCCAGAAGAGAAGCAGGGAAGTAATCAATGGAACGGTAAGGAAAGAGGCCAAGCGATATGTCGAGTAGTGATGGTGTTGCGCTTGTCGAGGAGGATACCGAATGAGTGCTGGCACATCCTGCGCTGATCAGCTGGGGGTCGATGAGCATATTCCGAGCAACGAACGTACAATCTTGATGAGATGTAAATAGTGTAAATTGAGACCCCATGCCCAAATGCCTAGGAGCCGCATTAGATCATGTACTAAAAGGAGCCTATCCGGCCGGCATACCAAGAACAATAATAATTGCGACTCTGTAAGGGAGCGGCAGAACAAGACTGAACGAGTCGACCTCAGGCTCCACGGCGACGTCTCCGTCCATATTGGATAGGAGATATCATGCTTCGGATGGCTATGAAGAGTCAGGGAACCAAGAATAGAGAGAGAAAGGAACAATATCAAAACGAGAGGGTGTGGTCCAAGTCGCGCAGTCAACTCGAAAAAGTTGGGGAGCGGGCTTTGCGAATTGATATTTACCTGGCCTTGTTGGAAACTTGGGGTGGAGCCTAATTGGGCAGACTGCCGCTGCCGCTTTAATATCTTGACCTGTGGACTTCCATTTTCGCAACAGGTCTGAGCTTCTTTCGATATTCCTGCGGACCTAGATACAAATTCATTGAATTTACCGACGTTATCACTAATGTTCCCGAATCGAGAACAGCCAAAATCAACAGTAGCGACTGTCCATCCCATCGAAAGATTCAAGAGGTCTTGGTATACTCGGGTTTGAACGCGGTCGTCCGCACCTCCTCGATCAAGCTCTCGCCAAACTCCCCCTCGTATCCGTGATCTGCAAGGAATTCTCTGAATTTGGCGTCCTCACTCTCAAGTTCTCGATCTCGGTCGGGAATGAATACCCACGAGATAATCCCCCCAGCGGCGGCAAAACCAGCACCAATGAGGAAGACGGCCTGAGTTCCCTTTTGCGTATCGCTGAAGGAGTTCTGGATAGGTGTGAAAACTTGGGTTCCAATCGCAGCACCAGCCTTGCCCACCGCAGCAGCAAACCCCATGAAGTGGCCGCGCAGTGGAGTAGGGAAACTCTCGGCTGCCGTCAAGAAAGTGCAAACTCCAGGTCCCATCTCTCCCAAGCTGTTGAAGATCCCATAGAGAACAACAAAGAGAGGGAAGACGGATTGAATAGGGCCCAAGGCGCCTCCCAGGATAAATCCTAAGACGGCCCAACATCCAAAACCGAAGGTCATAGTTTGCTTACGGCCGATTCTATCCATTAGGAGCCCGCCAACGATCGTACCTGGAAGATAAAAGCTGTTAACTAGGGTGCCGTATCCGATGTTCTGGATCAAGGTGTTCTTGGGATTGAGTTGGCCGATGATGGTGGAGCTGAAAATCCCAAATGGGTAGGTGACACTTCGAAAGCGTAAGCAAAACCGCCGGAGAAAAGAATGGGATCCAACTTACAAGTCGTACATGAACCACGCCAGTGAAGTTCCAACCATGGGCTTCCAATATCGCTTGATGATCAACCAATAGGGTACGTTTCTCTTGATAGCATGTTTGCGATACTGAGTGGACTCAACCATGCGAATTCGGAAGAAGAAAAGCGCCACAGGGAGGACGAAGCCCAACCCAAAGCAGATACGCCAGATTCCGCTTGAGATTCTCTCATTGTAGCATTCGATGACAATCAGCGCGACGACACCGGCGATCACGAATCCCAAGTCAATGCTAAAGTCGGTGGCCACAGCGACTAGGAAGCCCCGTCTGCGGCGGACATATTCACTCTCATCTGAAGCTTCAGCACTACCAGTTCCACAAGTTGGGTATTCGCCTGAATCCAGCTATCAGCACATCGACTAGCGGCTGGCGTTTCGAGTTGTACTCACCTCCTGCACCGAATCCAGCAACACCACGAGCAACGATCATCATCCAGAACATGCCCAGCTGAGTGGTGCCATGAGCTGCCGTAGCCAAGACGATACCAAGGACAAGGAAGAAAGTAGCGAAGACAATGCCGGTACGTCGCCCTATCTTATCGATGAGAATGCCGAAGAAGAGCATGCCGAAGATCTCTCCAATGAGGTATGCATTGGACAACCGGGTCTTGATGATGCTCGACATGCCATCTTTGTACAGGTCTGTGAACAGGGGCTCCATATATCTACAAGAGAATTGTGTAAGCATTTCGTTCCAATGCAGCAGTGACATGGCATGTACCCAATGATTTGCGCATTGTATCCATCAGAGAACAAGGCGAGACCCGCAACCAGAACGGTGATAATCGACGAGACCTTGGTGATCCTGGCGACATCTAGGTGACTGAGCCTTCTATCTCCAGCCTCCACGTCCTGTCCATGGGGTTGACTCCCAGAGGACTCATGACCCGTAATTTCGTATGAAGGCTGGTACTTCTCGGTTGCCATTGCGCCTAATGGGAAGGTGTCTGGAGGCCTGCAGTGAAAGGCTTAGACTTTGGTCAAGTGAACAGGCGTGGGCGTCCATATATACATCATTCAAATAGGTCGGGAGGAAATTCTGTCTATCGCCTCAAACTTCTCGCGCTGCCGGGACCCCTTCGACCTGTACGCGCCATCTCGCCGTGACGCCGCCAACCAGTGGCCAACTCCGTCACCTTCGGCTTCAAAAATAAAATGAGGGAAACGAGGTTGAAAACCCTGAATGGTAACTGCTTGCCAGTTGTGTGAGAACGTGGCATATGCGTGCCCGCCCAATACTGCTAGAGATGCGCGGCGAGGGCCGTTCAGCCTTCTCCTCAAGAAGCTCCTTTTCGAGGCAAGCTTGCCTGAGCTTAACCCACGTGCCAAGGTCAAACAAGATGATTCGGATCGACACGACGGGGAAGATGGCGATCGTCATGCACCCGAGAGCCGTTGGAAGTTCATCAACGTCGTATCTCCTGCAGCCACTCGGTTCGAAGTGCGATGTTGCAGTGTCTGACCAGGAGAAATCCTTCTCTACGAGTGGCATTCTTGAGCATATACAGGGCTTGAATCCTCTGCCGTCTGACAGGTGGAGCTAGGATCGCATTGTCGGCACATGCTCGTTTCGATTCCAGAGAAGATATTCCACTGGAAGCCCTTTCAATTGGCTACTGGGTGAGAGAAAGCAAAGCAAGCATATAAGTGGTCGAGGATCAGGCCTGTACTAGTGTGGCCGGGATACAGAGTCAGTTCTTTGGACATTGAACCCAAAAATCTTCAGACGCTGCAAATTCGTCAGGCGCGAGCCAGAGGCGAGATGTCGTTGTCCGAAGAGCAGGTCCGGTTCTTTCGCGAGAATGGCTATCTGATTCTTCGTGATGTTCTCTCTGAAGAAGAGACCAAGGACCTCCAAAGATGGGCGCAGGAAGTCCATGACTGGCCTACCGATGCGAACAGTCCATGGATGCCGTACGAGGTACATGCTTTGCTGATGGACGCGAAATGAAACGCTGAGGACCAGGCAGGAGATCAACGCTCAAGGGAAAACGGTGCTGTGCCGGACAGAAAACTATGCAAATTCCCATGCGGGCTTGAACGGTCTTCTTCGTGGACGGAAGTTGTTGGATCTGCTCAAACAAATGTCGGGCGAGGATATGCTGCTGTTCAAGGAGAAGATCAATTACAAGCTGGCAGGGAGCGGTATGATCTCTTCACGCGAAGCGGATGTCGACCTCGAGCTCACCAAAGCATAGGCGGATTTGCACCCCATGTTGATTCGACAGCATACACTCACATCAAAAACATTAAACACCTTGCTGTCCTTCTGGCTGTCGATCCATCGGATATGACCAATGGTGGCCTGGAGGTGAGGCAGCTCGAGGTATGGACAGAACTTGTTGTTACCGCCGGTTTTCGTTCTGATCCGTTTGCTGACTCCATCCTCGGCAGTTTGAAGAAGAAGAATGGGAGTCTAAACCCAGAGCAGCGAAGGTTGCGTCCCGCATTATCGACATGCTCAGCCTGTACGGGAAGAGCGACTATATCGGCGAACCGATATCACAAATCGAACATTCATTACAGTGCGCGCACCTTGCCGCTCAGAGTATGGCAGACCCTCAGACAGTTGCTGCCGCTTTGCTTCATGACATTGGGCAGTTCATACCGGAGAGAGATGCTGAACATATCCTGGGTGGAGCTCAGGTACAAAATATGCGGCAAAATAGTACGATCGGCCCGGATTCGAGAAGCTCGGACAGCGTGGGCAGGGTTTCTCATGAGACACTGGGCGCCCAGTATCTGCTAGCATTGGGGTTTCCAGCAAAGGTGGCTGCACTCGTTGAGGCTCATGTACCTGCAAAGCGTTATCTTTGTGCCACAGAAGATGGATACTATAACACTCTAAGCGATGCTAGCAAGGAAAGTTTGCGATTCCAGGGAGGCCCCATGAGCCCAGACGAGGTGCAGCAATGGCAGGAGAGCAATTGGGCAGACGAGAAAGCAAATTTGAGGAGATGGGATGACGGAGCCAAGGTGGTTGGCTTGACCGTCCCTGGTTTAGAAACATATCGACCAGTTTTGGAGCAGGTCTTGAGTTCATAACGAATGGAGAGCAAGGAGGGATAGTCTGAGGAAGACCGACTGTGCGGCCAAAGTCGAAATAATAGTAGAGTATAATTGCCAATGGCGTGTATCGTGTTCTTGAGAGGAAGAAGTCGAACAGCATCATTGTCGAAGCTCTAGAGTTGCAGTTGCAGATGCCAGAATCAGAAGTGGAAGGTTTGCCGGGCTACGTACTGCCTCCCATCCTTCATCACATTTCAGTTCGAGGCTGCTCAATGTGAAAAAACAGACCATTGCCTTCCCCTACACAAGACCCGGTGAGCAGGATGAGGTGGTATGGAGTAGCCTCCATATTGTCGACTCTGTTCTGGCCGGCTTGTGCCATCTTTGCCGACGATGCCTTCCACATAGACTTCCACCATGCTCTTCTCGGAAGCCCGCAGCCTCATACTACCTTTTTCCATAAACCGCATTCGAATACCAACGCCTCTCTTCTCTACACCGTCTCCGACAAAGCTGTCCTAGGCGCCGTTAACCCCAAGGATGGGTCAGCGCTATGGCGTCAGCCTCTAGCGGGACAACCCGTTGACAATGCGTCGAGTGCGTATCTGATTGCGGGGGAAAGAGACGGCCAGTTGGTGAGCGGATATGATAGGACTGTGGCATGTTGGGATGCTCTCGATGGGAGACTCATTTGGGACTACACTCTGCCACAGGGAACTGAAATAGGCGGACTGCAGGCCATCCCCCTTCAAGGCTCTGCCACCGACGGGGTTATGCAAGACTTTGTGGTTCTGGCTGTCCCGACGGACTCTCAAACGCATATTTCAATCAGTCGAATTGCTGGCGACGGCAGCGGACAAAAATGGCAGCATGTGGATTCAAGCACTGCACATGGTTCCTCTGCATCAATAGCAACCGCGTCTAAGCACATTTATTATGTCACAACATCTCACGGTTTGCTCACGAGCAACAAGGCGAAAGTCGTCACCTTTGATAGCGCAAGAGGCCATGAAATCAGCCAAACGAGCGTCGCCGTCGATTCAGAGCCGTTGGCAGCCGGCGGTCGACACGCAGCCGTTGCCTGCTCCAACTTTCCGTTCTTGATCTCTGCTGAGAGACCGTTCAAGTCGGTCAAGTTCAGCCTCCTCAACAACCCGAAAGTATCATCTCTGCACTTGGACGAAAAGGGTGAAGATATCGAGGCTGTCACTGTCCATGCCGTTTGTGATCAAGCTGCAGCGACCCATTTTCTCCTGCATATTAAAGGGAAGACACGACAGTGGGCCGAAGTCTTTCATGTAAACACCAAATCAGGAGATGCTACGAAGGCCTATTCACTGCCCGCTACGGAAGAACAGAGCGTCTTTACTGCAAGTAGCTACGAGGGGACTGCCTTTTTCATTCGTTCCACCGAGTCGGAAGTAATCCTGTACTCTTCGGAATCTCACGGACAGCTAGGGAGGTGGAAAAAGACAAACTTCAAAACTTCCCCTGGGAGCTTCTACTCACACGCGACCGCCGAGGTTGTCAGCAGAGGGAAGGCCAGCTATGCTGTTCGGGTAGCTGAATTCTCCACGAGTGGAGATTGGTCTCTTGTTCGCAATGGAGAATTACAATGGAGCAGGCCTGAGATGCTGGCCTATGCGAATCTCGCTGCATGGGACGAAAACGGTGCTCCAGATGCTCTGGCCGAGGAGCTCGATCTTGAGTCTTCAGTTAACCCATGGACGGCTTACATCCATCGTCTCAAGCGGCATCTCCATGATCTCGCATCACTTCCCGAGTACCTGCGCAGCCTTCCCGACACTGTTTTGAAATCCACTCCTGATGCTGATATGATAACCCGCCAAAATCTCGTGGGAACAAAAGTTGTGATTGTTGCCACTACTCGAAAGGAAGTCATCGCGCTTGATGCCACCACTCCAGGCGTTCTCAGGTGGCAGTCAGATCTTTCCAGCTATGTCAGGGAAGATGCCGAAATGAAGTCTGTTACAGTTAGTGGCGGAAGAGTCTCAGTCTATCTTTCCAATGGGTCGTTAATCGTTTTGGACGCGAATAATGGAAGCCTTATCGAAAACAAACCTGGCACCATCCCCATTTCACATCTCATTCATATCCCGGGCAGTCCTGCACCTGCAGTCATCAAAGTTGGATCCGACGGCGTACCTCTCCTTGCCGAAGATTTCCCCCCTGAGACTGCCCTTGAAGGCAACGTTGTGGTAACAATAAGTCCAGAAGGAAAGGCTATAGGATGGACCGTCGGTCGCAACGTCGAGAAAACGTGGACCTTGAAACCACAAGATGGGATGAAGATTGTGCGTGCTGTCGCGCGAGCAGAACACGATCCAGTTGCATCGATTGGCCGTGTACTAGGGGACAGATCTGTGCTGTACAAGTATATTTCGCCAAACATTGCCCTCCTGTTGGCTACTTCGCAGTCTGGAGCGTTGACGGTCTATTTAATCGATGCGATAACAGGGGCTACTCTACACACCGCTACCCACTCCGGCGTTCTCAAGTCAGACATCCCCGCCGTGATATCCGAAAACTGGTATGCCTACACATTCACCACCCGCGACCCATTGACCTCTGGACTTTCCACCCAACTTGTCGTCTCCGAACTCTACGAATCCTCAATGCCGAACGATCGGGGCTTGTTGTCAGCACGAACGAATTATTCCGTGTTCTCCGTTGACGGTGCCGCGGCCACACCCTATGTGATATCTCAGTCATACACTGTGGCTGAACCGATTTCTCATTTGGCAGTTTCACAAACCGCGCAGGGGATAACTTCGCGCCAACTACTCGCGACATTGCCCAACAGTAATGCAATAGTCGGGATTCCCCGTGAGATACTCGATCCGCGGCGGCCAGTCGAGCGGGATCCCAATGCCACCGAACGAGAGGAAGGACTCACTCGATACATGCCTAACCTGGAGTTTGATCCAAAATACTACCTCACGCACTCGCGCGAAGTGTTGGGCGTCAAGGAGGTCCTCTCTTCGCCTTCTCTCCTGGAATCCACGTCCCTAGTCTTTGCTTTCGGACACGATGTATTTGGCACGACAATCACTCCCAGCATGGCATTCGATGTGCTGGGAAAGGGGTTCAATAGGGTGCAATTGGTCCTCACGGTCGTGGCCTTATTTGCCGGGGTATGGGCGCTGAGACCACTGGTGAGAAAGAAGACGGTCGAGGGCCGGTGGAAGTAGGGATCCCATTTGAACAATGTCGAGTGGATCTCACGCGGAAGAGATTGTTTTGTTGACTTCTCCGCCGTCACAATGAAATACGGTAGCATCAATGAAAGTGATCGGAAAGAACAAGTCAATCAGATTACCTGGCTATGGCGATGGACCTGTGCAGCATGCAGTGGAATATCGAAGCGCGAGCAAGAGAACTGTTGGCTCTGTGATAGAAAATATCCTAGGAATGAAGCCGAGAAAAGCAAGGAGTCTGTGTGGACTCGAGATCTTTGAATAGTGTCTTCTGTGCTCATAGAAGGTACGTCGTTGTATAGTAAGAACGTCGGTTGGTTACCAGATTCTTGTCTCTCTTGCTTTGCATTTGCCAGCGTCTTCTGCAGCACTCGAGTGTCACATTGCTTCCACTAGTCGGGGCCCTAGGGCGCCCATACCTCGTACAATGTTTGGCGCCAGCCAGTATTCCTGGATACATGCTTGCAGGGGTCGTCGAAGCCTTGGCGCACATGAATGTTCCAGTGTGTCCTCACATGGTTCTTCCCTGCCTACATAGGTTCTCGCCCAGGGGAGTGAGTCCGCACGCCTCCGAGCCCAAGCCAAAAGAACATAGCTATACCTCAGCCATTGCAAAGTCCTGGCTGTCTCTTTGCCGCACCGCCCTCCCTGCCGTTGACTGAACCAGGTAGAACCCCAATGTCCTTAATGCGCCGGGCTTCCTGGAGGATTGGGTCCAGCGTGCTTCACAGGAGCTAGCGGGGACTAGCGGCTGCAGAGACCTTCAACCTGATCCGGAAACGGGCGGTCGAATATATAGCCCCCTCTTCCAAGACTTTGGTGTTTTCCTGCTTCGCTGGATGACGGTGTCGGCTTGTGAGAAATGGGGGCAGGGAATTCCGAAATCTGCGGCCAGAAATCCGGAAACTGAGAGCGTGTTTTCGGATATGTTCCATCACTGGGGGGACATCCCAAGCAGACGCCGTTGTAATTATCTCCCGGTGGGTAGGAAACGGGTTGCCTTATTGTGATTCCCATATCTAGTAAATGTCCGTTCTCGAAATCTCTCAACCGGGCACGAGCCGGTTCCACATCCGAGGGAGATCCGCCAAATGGCTGATAAAGCTGGGAAGTCACTCTTGCGTCAGAAATATGTACCAGGGGTTTCACAGCCCGCTCGAAGCATCCCACTGAGACTGATGGGAGTCGCGAAATTGCCGCGGCCTGTTATTTCAGAATTCGATGAGTTTCCTCAAACTGGCATCTTGCAGCCGGGGATAGTAGAGATAGTTCTCCCTCAGGAATGTTGTGACGTCTTCAAAGCTGCCAAATTCCAGGTTTGCTGCAACCAAGTAGCTGAACCGGGTGCTAAAAAACCGTCTCTGCGATGGCACCGGATCTTCCTTTCTCTCGAGCTCTGGACGCATGAAGACATCTTCGACGTACGCACCAACGGAATAGATCCACAGCACGTCGCGAGTGCGTACACTGGGGCCAAGAGAAAAGTCTTCTGCCGCCGGCCGTAAAGCTTCCATGACAGCTGTCATTTCCGTGTGGTAGCGCTTGCTCTCACGAAAGACGCCACCCGGTTGATAATGCTCCTCAAAGATGCACCGATCAAAACAGCGCATGGCAAGGCATAGGGCAACCTCGAAAGTAAACGCGACCGGCGATGGCAGGGTGCCTGGCGCATAGATCGTGGTCATATCCTTACCATCCTTCTTAGCTGCTTCAATCAGATCGCACCAGTAATGGAGAGAACGAGCTCGGACTGCGATTTTGCGAGCATGAGACCAACGGAAAATCTCCGTCGCGCTCGAGGATTTCGAGGTCGCATATTTGAATTTCAACTCTTCAATTGCTAAAAGCTCCCTTATGTCGGCAAATATCGCCTTTAGGGTTGGGGAAACGGCGGTCGGACTGGCCGAGGCAGAGGGAACGGTCTCGGGGAACGCAATTTTCAGGTCCGCGTGCAAAGCGGGCGAATCTTCCACGTCGGTGGTCCAGATGTGTGAACTCCATGGTCCGGGGTCGAAGTCGCCAATATCCATTACAGGGCGAGAGCGTAGGGCTGCAGCAAGATTGACCACTGCACCAAGCAGAATTTCCTTCTCCATGCGCCCGATAACTGACCAGCCACCTAAGGAATCGACGATCTTCTTTGACGCAGACAAATGAACAATTGCGGCATGGATGTTGCCGCTGAGCATCTCGGCTGCTCCAAGCCAGCAGCAAGATGAAAAAATCTTCCACAGCTTCGCGGTGTCCCCAGTCTGCTGCTGCGACTCAAGAGACTCCTGGAGTGATCTGAGTGCCTGGAATTTGTGTTTCTCTGCACGTACCAATGTCTGCTCATATGGCTGGCCTCGGTTTCTCTGCCTGCTGCCACTGCTGTAATAGGCGTGGGAGATGATTGCATGACTAGAAGCTTTGTCTGTGATGAAAGCTGGCATCTTCTTCAAAGACTCGGCCGTGAGTACACCATGATTGTGACGCAAGGCTATTTCGGATGGCCACGTGTTCAACATGGATTGTGCTCGAGCCTGTTGAAGTAAAAGGTGCTCGAGTGCACTGACTGGTATGACCGTAGCATTGAACGGATCAGTGTTGCCCTTGAAGATGGGAATGGTACTCCGCACAGCCACCTGTGATTGCTTTTCGTCTTGCTTGACTTGAACCTCCCTTCTCTTACGTCCAACATTGGCATCTCTGCTGGAATTTGCGCTGGAACCGTGAGTAAGAAGGCGATACTTGTGAAAGGGTTGGTTGTGCTGGTTGGATTTTCGCCGGGATTTAGCACTTTCTTGAGAGGATTCCTGAGTAGGTAGAGCGTCAATGGGACGTATCGGTGGGAGTTTTGCTTCTTCACTTGAAGATCGCTCCGAACGAGAAGCGAGAGTTGCAATATTGGATTCCTTGTCTGGATTCTCAGCAGCCTGTTTTCTGTATTTTGGGTGCGATACAGTTGCAGCATGAGAACGTGCTTCGGCACGGATAAGTTCTTGTTCTCGCTTGCTGGATGGGAAAGGATGCGAGTCGACGAAGCGGACCGCAGGTGCCTTCTTGGGCGCCATCCAATCCCACTGTCATCGATGCGCCGTGGTTGATGAGTGAGCAGGCATGCTGAGAAGGAAACTTAACGCTTCTGAAGCCCAAGATCGATATCCTATCCGGCTACACACGGATGGAATTGCTGACTCGAAATCTGGCCCGATCCAGGATCGTTGGGAAGCTACACCAGAGCATCAGCGTAACCAAAGGATACCAACATGTGGGTTCGTTAGAATCACAACGTAGGATGCGTGAATGGCGCAAAACCCGCAAGTCTCAATAGACAGGTCGAATGACCTTATAACGGGATCGGGCAAAGGGCAGATATTGGACTTTCAGCCATTGGGTTGTCGGTCATAGACAGGCAACAGGGGGTGACAATCATAAGTGAACAGGGTTCGCGGCCTGGAACAATATCTACCGAGGTGTGTTTCTCTAGCAGTAGAACTTCCTGCATCAGAAAATGGTCGTCCGTTTCGGGAAGGTCAGCGATTGGTGAGTAAGAAATTCAGAGCGAGCAAAACTTCGAATCGGCGACATGGAGTCGTCCCAAGTGGTCGAGGAGGAGTGCGCTGAACCTGTCTGGAGAAGCGTGGCATCAAGCAAGATTCCTTTCCACGATTCAGATCCACCTGTTGCTTCTTGCTTCACCGCAAAGACCCATGGGTACTGTCTGCAACGGCCGGGATGTGAGGATGCAGTAAGACTCAATGCAGCAGATCCAAAGAAGGTGTGCTATCTCCATTGGCGAGGAGCGCTGCCCATATCCAGGCTAGTCTGGTCCCCCTTTTTCCCACCCTCTCTGCATTCGTAAAGCCCGTCGGGGAGGTTCTGGTGCCCGAAACTCTGGGCATCACTAGGGCGTCCCGGGATTCAACGACTCGCAAACCCTTGCATGAGCTGAAGAGCATCAAACTCGCATAGGAGATGGTGATTACTTAGCTTTGCGGATGAGCTAGAAGACCAGAGGCACGACTCCTTCTCTTGTGGAACTGGATGAATACCTTGTAACACATAGGACTGACCTTCGCTGCCAGTTCAGGAAGGTTCAAAACTCCCAATCAAGGCTAGTTTTTGTGGGGGGACGCTTGAGGCCGTGTCATAGTTGTGCGAGTACTCAATGGCCACGCCATCTCTTTCCCAGTGTATAGCTGCGCGATGAGCGGTCTCAAAGGTGGCGGTGGCAACTTGGGAAATTGGGAACACTATGACTGCCGCAACGAGTGAGAATAAAGTCGCAGACACCTGTAGTGACAGGTGAATGATGAACATTGCGGAGGTGCGATACAGGCCACACGTCCTGGAGCGTAAAAGGACGCGATCTTTCTCGCCACCTGCTGGAACGAGCGCAACATGGCATTGTGACACCACACACAAAGAGGAATATCGAGGCACGATCGCGACAGCGTGCGTATCGAGGAAGAAGGAATGTAAGCGGTCCTTGCAAAATGTGGAATTGATCGTCGGAAGTTGTTGACTAGAGGCCTGAACATGAGTGCAAAGTCACTCTGACAGGACATGGACAGTCGTTGTAGACATGGGAAGCGCCTTAGCGAGACAGACTTGTGCTTTGGGGTCGAACGATCAAATGAGTACAAGTAGTGACAAAGTCTCTTAGGGAGTGTCGTCGCCATTTATGAGAAGTATTTTCCTGCTTAGTCGTAGATTACACAGACAAGGCTGCGGCCCTGCGGGCTTGGTTGTACCTACAGCCTCCACAGCCCTGGTTAAGGGGCTGCTTCCACGTTTGGGCGTCGAGGCCCCTTCACAGACCACCTAGTGGGTCTGTTAGGGGTGATCCTTCAGCCTTGTGCGGAGGGGCTGTTTGGCTGTCCCTTCAGCCTCGTAGCCTCGCAATAGAAGCTTCTCGCACCTTCTGTGGTTGGATCCACGCACCGCCCTCTGCGTCATTCGTCCAGCATCACCGTTTCCAGCTGCGTCGTTGTCAGGTCTTTCTTTTCTCTTCCGCAGGACCTTCCAGGTTGTTCAGACCACGGAAAGATTGCTCTGGGATCAGCCCATATCTCAATACCCTAATCTCCCCTCGACCACATGCTCGTCTGCTTGTACTGAAAAAGTCCTGCACTCCATTCTATTGGGTTCTGCTCGATCATTCCATTGACTCCACAGGCACGAGCCCAAAATCCCGCAAACCGGAAACTGTTTGCCCTGCCAGCCTCGTCATTCTCTCCCTTTCGATTTTATTTCTTTCCTCTCACCTGTCCTCCCTCTTGTCCTTCAAGCAGAAAACAACATTCAACATACACACCCTCTAATATTCGACCAATCACACCCCTTACATCATCATGGTAGCAGAGACAAAGCTCTACGATGCCCTCTCAATCTCCCCCTCGGCGTCCCAAGATGAGATCAAGAAAGCATATCGAAAAGCAGCCCTGAAATGGCATCCCGACAAGAACAAGGACAACCCGAATGCCGCTGAAAAGTTCAAAGAGGTCTCTCAAGCATATGAGATTCTGTCGGACCCAGAGAAGAGAAAGGTCTACGATCAATATGGCTTGGAGTTCCTTTTGAGAGGCGGTCAGGCCCCTCCACCGGGCGCTGAGATGCCTGATGGCATGCCTGGAGGTGGTTTCGGTGGTATGCCAGGCGGTTTCAGTTTTGGAGGCATGCCTGGTGGTGGTGGTGGCGGTACCCGTACATTCCACTTCTCAACCGGAGGTGGTCCAGGAGGCTTCAGCTTCTCGGATCCCAACGACATATTCGCCCAGTTTGCCCGAAGTGGTGCTGGCGGCGCTGGCGGCGGCGGTGGTGCTGGTGGTGGTGAAGACGCCGAAGATATCTTCAACCTCTTTAGCGGTTTGGGCGGCGGTGCCAGAGGGGCCGGAAGTAGACGGGGCACAGGTAATTTCGCCCGCCATGCCAGACCACAGACTCCTGAAGTCACCGTCATTGAGCGGCCCTTGCCTGTCACACTGGAGGAGCTGTATAAGGGAGCGCATAAGAAGATGAAGATCAAGAGAAAGACATTCAACCCCCAAGGGCAGCGGGTGACCGAGGATAAAATTTTGGAGATGGACATCAAGCCAGGTCTGAAGGCCGGTTCCAAGATCAAATTCTCCGGGGTTGGGGATCAAGAAGAGGGCGGTACCCAAGACATGCACTTCATCGTCACCGAAAAGCCCCATGGCACACTTACCCGCGATGGCGACAACCTGATAACGACGATCGAGCTGGATTTGAAAGAAGCACTCACAGGTTGGAAGCGTACTGTCACCACGATTGATGGGAAGCAACTAAACGTTTCGGGCGCGGGTCCAACCCAACCTGGCCACGAAGAGAGATTTCCGAATCTGGGCATGCCCATCAGCAAGAAACCTGGCGAGAGAGGCGACTTCATTGTCAGGGTCAAGGTCAACTTCCCCCGGTCGTTAACTGCTGCACAGAAAGCCAAGATCAAGGAGGCTCTTCCGTAAGTGCCCATCGACAAACGGCATCTAGGCACGGCTCATTGAGATGTTCTCGCTCACCATTGACGGCCGAGTACAAGAGAGTTTGAGCAGCGAGAAAGAAGATGAGTGGTACAGTGCTCGTTGGTATTAGGGTCCAAATGGACAACAGAAAAGCACGGAGGTTATGCAGGTCCACGCCTCCGAGGGAGATGAAGGATCTGGCGACAACGATTGTCCGCCGCATCGGTGGGAGGCAAAGGAGCTGTTGCATGTGTCGCAATATGACAGGCCAGTCGCAAGAGAAGGCGTTTTATGCCACACGCAGAGGTCAAGTCGGATTTACGGCCAGCCTTCCAGAGACGCGGCAGCAGAAATGAATGAAAGGTGCGCTCCTGAGTGAGAGGCGCATTATGAGAGACGAAAGGGATCCACTCACGAATTGCATACAAACGGCGTGTCTTGCATTGCATCGGAGACCTGTTTATCTTCCTGGGATAGGACAGACTGATGATCCATCAAAGGCGGCGAAGGTCAGTGATCACGGCGTTAGAATGAGCGACACGGATTCTTTGTCCCTCCGCCTTTTCTTGGTAGATAGTTACAATTCTTGTGTTGTTTCAATAAACCGGACTTGTAGTCCATTTCTTCCTTTGAGCCATCTTTCATTCAGTTCGTCTGCCACTTTCGGCATTACTGGGTCATCTATCTTGCTTTTTTCTTTTCTCATACTCTATCCTCATCGCAGCGCAGACCTCCTGTTGCCCTAGCATGTTATCTCACAGTAGCTCTCACTTCCCATCCACTCAGTCCGCTCCAACGAAGCCAATTTGCAAATCCACCCATGGTCACAACTTTTCCACTGGCGCATCCACGTCCACCTCCGCAACCTGGTCAATCCCTTGATAGTGCGGCACATCGAGACCGTACTTGGCCGCGACGTCCTTGCTCAAGAAGCGGCCGCCTATAAAATGCTTCTTCCCCTTGAAAAACTTGACGCTCGGTTTCGCGGCCGTCAGACTTATCAGGTAGTCGGGCATAAAGTCGTGTCCGATCTGTCCTTGTTCCGGCGGCCCGGACGCCACGTCCCACGACGAGGGTATGTCGACGCTGAAGACGGGTTTCTTGGACTCGATCATGGCCTGCAGGACAGTGTCGAAGGGAGCACGGACTGGGGGCTTGAATGAGAACCCGAACAGGGCGTCGATAATGAGGTCGGCCTTTTCTAGCGACGATTGGTACTCCTCGGTCGTGGTGAGGAACGGGATGTGCAAGTTGCGGAGTTGCTTCTGAAGGCCCGTGAAGATGGGCGCTTTGGTTGGTTTTGGATAGTAGATTTCCGGATTGTAGCCGTAGTGGTGCAAGTGGCGGGCGCAGACGAGGCCGTCTCCTCCTACAAGACGATAGAAAGTCGGTTAGTACTGGAGAGCTTGCGGGGTACTAGGTGAGAGCAGAGATGGGAGAGGGATTAAGGACGTACCGTTGTTGCCGGGCCCACAGGCCACCAGGACATTCTTTCCTTTAGAAGGCGGATGGACTTTGTACACTTTGACCAAGAGGTAAAGATTAGCGTCGGCATCACGTCCGGTGACAGTTACCTGGACTCCAACATCACTCGTTGCCCGCTTGTGGCTTACCAGCCTGTGATACGCTCAACCCGGCGAGTTCCATCAATTGATCAATGCTGAAGCCGCCGTCCTCGCTCATGAGCTCTTTATCCAGTTCTGCCGCTTTATCTGGTGCTAGAGTCTACCCACAGCGATGGTCAGCGGTCTCCGTCCCAACAGTCGAGGTGACCATATCAAATTATCCAAAAGAGAATGCATATGACGCTGGACATATCGAGACTCACTTTGAGCGTCATCTTGGAGAACCTCCTTGCAGTGAAGATTGGCCGAAGTACCCTTCTGGGAAGACAGGTTCGGAGCATAAGACGTATATCACGGAAGACGAATGCTACAAGAATGATATTATCTGATAAATAGCATTTGGACACACCGAGGTGTTCAATGGGGTGAGGATCATACAACGTCGATCTAGCATCTCGTCATAGTTCGGCGTAGCCCCCTCATTCCGCCAATCAGAAGCTCAGCCAGATTCCGCACGAGGCTACAAGGCTGAACTGCGCATCTCCCTAAAACTTCCTCAATTGAATTTCTTCTCGGAAGTTGGACCTCCCCATTCCCACCAGCGCACATCCACACCAACCATTTCCGTGTACCGCAGCTGTAGCACCTCCTGCAGGCCGCCCTGTAAACAGCATTTTAATCCTGTTATAGGACCGGCGAGAGGTAACCGGCAACTATGGTCCTCCGAATCCGCCTCGCCCGCTTCGGCACGAAACGAAAACCAATCTACAACATCGTCCTCGCGCAGGCAAAGTCTGGACGCGATAACAAGCCCATGGAGGTACTGGGGACGTACAATCCGATCCCACAAGCGCCGCTGGCAACGCCGGATACACCAGAATTCCTGGAGAGTGGAGAGAAATATGTGCCGAAGAGGATGAAGGATATACAACTAGATACGGCGAGGACGAGGTATTGGCTTGGTGTTGGGGCACAGCCGACGGAGCCGGTTGGCAAGTTGCTGAGATTGGTGAGTCTTGATCTGTTGTTGATTCCTTTGGGAAGCACAGCTGTTGTAGATGGAACACCGCGACATGGTTTGCTATGAAGGAAAGGGAGAATAAGAGACGGCGCAAGCTTTCAACAACAAGCAAGAATCTCGGTGAAGGGAGCTCCAGACAGACGCTCTAGCTGCTTACGCATTGCCCTTTTTCTCTATGCGCACAACTTTCCTCAATCCTTACAGCATCCCAGACTAACATCTCATCTTTTCCACCACATAGATTGGCATGCTCGAAGAGAAACCCTCTAGGGTCAAGAGATTCCCGACACAACCATACAAACCAGAAGCAAAGCCACCTCCAGACACCGAGCCCGAAAAGCAAGAAAGTTGATTACACCGCTGAAGATGGATAATTTAACGGTGCTTTTGTACGATGATTCGGCCTGGAGACAGGGGATAGGTGTCCGATCTGCGTATAGTAGGCAGGAGCATAGCTATCGGCGTTACGATTGAGGGATTTCAGAATCCCAGAAAGCATGCGGCGCATGGGGGGATACAACATCTACCCGACTTCAACGGAAACATACGGATATTCTCAGTCAAAGAAGGGTTCTGTACAGTATATTAACCTTGTCGCAATATTCTACCTTGTGGAAGAGAGAGCTCAGTCCATCTGCCGTGAAAAGTATACCGGCGAACATTTGACCTCTACCTCTATCCGATATACCGGAGAGAAAAAAAAGGTCCTGGGTTACCACACCACATGGCTGCTCTCTTCGTGCAGCAAACCTCAAACTACAGCAGGGCCTCGATTACGAGAGTACTGAAATGTCATCTGCTTCAAACTCGGCGCGGTCTCGGGTTCTACAAGGCCAGAGCATGCGACTCTTCACGATCCACTTCTTTGTGGTCTTTTTCTCGCGCCGCGGCACAGCACATGACGGTGTAGGGGGTGCAGCTTTTGGTAGGAAGCCTGCGTCTTACGAGCCCTCTGCTCCCGGACCGAACGCGCAATTTCGTCTTTGCCCAACCCACCAACCCTTCGACGACAATGGTAGAGGCATCTATGGGATCGCCTCTTGGCTGGTGTGAGCTGAGATCCGAAAGGCCAGCACACAGCCGTCTCCAGGAAAATCTCAGGGACTCACTCTACGACCACTGTCCAGTCTCCCATACATGATCGTTCGTTTCCCGTCCGTGCTATGTCCTTGCCATGCATTATATTTTGGGGGTACGATAAGCATCCCTTCAGCCAGCTCTCCATCCAACTCTCTTTTTCAACCCATCTTGAATGTTGGAAATCCGACCCGTACGCTCGTCAGATACATTTCCTCCCTTTCCCTCCCCAGCGCTCGTAGTATCCGTGTCGGCACACCCCTCCTTTTATAACTCCTCCCTCCTCAACTCGCCGTTGCGCGAACCGACAGCGACGATCCTCGACTTCCCCTCCGGCCCATCCAAGAGTCGCAAGGGCCCTTCAACCCACTTGGTGAACAAGCTGCTGCTGAACGCTTCGGCGTCCGGGCTGAGGTTGGGGAACCCGCCGAACTCCCAGTCGAGCTCCCCGCCGAGGCGCTTGGGCACGTTCTCGGCGCCCAGGTCGCGGCGCAAGACATCGGCGCTCTCGTGGTGGCCGAGGACGAAGATCTTCCGCGTCGTCTCCTTTTCGAACCACATGGTGATGAACTTCCAGATCTGGGGGAAGAACGCTGGCGCCCCGACGACCTGTCACAATGCAGAGGAGCCTTGTCAGCGGATGGCCCAAGAAGATTTGACCTCACGTCCGGGGAAACCATGTCTTTTGGGGGGGACGACGCCTCTGCAAGGGACAGACTTACGTATATCCTCTTCACCGTCTCGGGGTAGTGTGCTGTCGCCATGGTGCTGGCGGCATTGAGGAGCTTCCTCAACCTCCAAAACGTCGGGATCCCGACATGGGATAGATCGATGATATTGCTAACCGGGCGGGAAGTGTCAATAGGTGCGCATTCAGACGGGTTAAAGGGCCTCCTTCTTCCCATCCCAACTCGAGGAGGATAAACTCACATTGACTTGGTCGTTCGCCGATGCTGCAGTTTCCCACACAAGGGCTGCACAAACTGCGTCACATACTCGGCCGCGAGGAAGACGCTCGACAATGCCGGGTCCATCTTGTGCAATGCGAGGATGTCCTCGGGCTTCACCTGGGAGACGACGTAGACCATGATGGGAACGCCCGTGTCATCTCGCCGGCCCGTCCATTGGGGTTGCTAGAGATAGCAGTCAGGGGAACAGGTAGATAGATCGAGGGTCTGAGAGCACTGCTTACCAGTCTCCTGATGGTCTCGAACTGCGTGATATCGACGTCGTCATACGTCTTCTCCAACTGGATCTCATCGCGCCACTTCGCCGACGCCGCGTACTGCTTGAATGCGGCGGGAACATCGTATTTCCGCGCTCGCAAGTATCGCCTGCGCCAGACGCCTCCGTTAGTTGATACCTCGAAATGCAATTCCTAATCCACCCACTGAAGGAATCAGGTCCGCAGCTGGCGAACTTACAGGAGATTGGAATCGTCGTTCCCGTCGTCGTCCGAGGAATCGCCGGCCACCACCAATTCGCTCTTGGGCCAGGACACGTTGTTCTTGCGGCACAGTTCCTTGAGCTCCGCGAGCGCCTTGTGCTCGCGCTCGACGACCGACTCGGTGCGGGTGATCGATCGCTCTGACAGGCTGGTCCGCCGGCGGCTCAAGGACGCGTGGGTGATTGTCTTCCACATGTTCTGTTCTGTTAAATCGCGATGTTGTGTGGGAGAAAAACAAACAACGCTCAACAAAGTATATCCGACCCTCACGAACTTGTCGACACCAGGGATTATCTCTCGCCAAAAGGATGGGTTTTGGCTATCGTCATGGAGGTAAGAGCACACAGCACGTCAGATGATAGAGAGGTGGGTTGCAAAGTTCGCCAACGAGGGATATATCCAGAACAAGCAGCGCAAGGACCCCCAAAATACGAGACCCAGCCTTATCATATCAGATGGATCGCGAGCAAGGGCTCGACGTCTAAGCCTTGGCCACTCGAGATGATCTTGGCGGGCTTCATTCCAACGTAGAAAAGAAAAGTCTAGGAAGGGAGAAAAGCCTGAAGTCCTTTCTCAACTCACCGGATCCTTTGTCGTCTGAAACCAGGCATTGAAAACGACTCAACCCCTGTCTGCGTCTGGTAGGGGACGGTAGGTAGCCGGGCCGGATGAAGCTGGGCGCGATGGGGAGGGAAGAATTGCAAATATAGCTCAACCATCCACCTGCACGGCCTGTCCTCATCCTGGGACTTACTAGTCTCGATCGACTTCGCGGCTCTGTGTTCGGCGGGAGGACTCCGCGGAGAATGCTACGGCACCACTACACATACAGATTAATCCATCAGAATTCACCGCCAGGCGGCTAGGGCCCTTTGGACATTGAACTAAGTCCTGCGACGACAATCAGAGGCGAGCGATGGACTTGTTCGCAAAGGTTGGGGTTTTGAGGAAGTTGGGGATGAGAGAAGATTCATTGTCACACGAGCACACTGCCCTCCCAGATTGGGCTTTCTCCTACACGCTCTTCTTGGGGAAGGTACAAGCTGCCAACTTACGGGTGAATAGGTATGTAATGAGCATGATCTGGATAACCGCACAACTGTCTGCCTCCACGGTACCTTGGTGTTGTGTCTTCAAGTTCACGGGAAAGCAACATCCAACAGATCACCAGGGGAAAAGAGACAAGACATTAATCCATTCATGATTTGCATTCATTTCATTGCGGGTGTCGTTGGTCCCATAAGGGCCCATCTAGCATTCGTTCTTGGATCGTACTTTTTCTTGCCCAATCGCTATGCCATGCTACCAAATCAATGACATCTGTACCGAGTCACCGCATATCATCTCAAAACGCTCTCAATTTCTCCAACCACAGACTTGAATCTCGGCTCGTCCAGGTATTTGCCCTCCTTCAACTTCCTCAACGCCACAGGGACATCAAAAATCTCCTTCGCGGCAGACTTCACCTCTGCCCGGGGGATGCCGACTAGAATGGTCCCCAAAGCCACGAGGGAGCGATATGCCGGTTCCGTCGATTGTGAAGCAGGATTACTGGAGAAGGCAGAGTGATTTACCGCGGGGAAGGAAGAGAGGAGTTTGGAAAGTTCCCCCAATAGGTCGAGAGCATGGTTTGCATTGTTGTCGGCGTCGCCAGGAGTGGTGGGAGTGGTGATGAGCACCGCAATGTTGAGATATAGGGTTGTAAGGGCTATGGCCACCGAGACATCGGAAGAGGCGAACTGTGTGAGTGGTTTAAGACTCTCAATGATGTTGTCGACATTCTCCTTTACAAGTCCCCTTCCAGCAGGTGATCCATACAGCAGATTCGAAAAGAAACGCATGGCAATCATGCCCAACTTGTTGTTCGTGCGTACAAAGGAGTCATCGAAGATCCCGCTTCCGAGGATTCCTGCCACCGCGTCAAAGCCATCGACCTCCTCAGCCGGAAATTCCTTCGCCGCAGCAGCAATGAAGCGGAGAAGATCCAGACCAGCAAGCCGGTTAGCTGGCGGTTGCCACTGTGTCGCTATCTTCAGTAGAGCCGGAATGGAGGATTGAAGGGAGGGAGAGCTGGGCAGTGACGGAGGATTTGAGAAGTTGTATTTTTCGAGCTGCAGGGCGACATCAGTTAGTGCTTGGAATTCACCAGGTTGAAGGCTCATATCGCTGCCGGCGTATTCGGTATTTTTCTTGGTGATCTGCCCCATAGCCGCGGAGGGCTTTCCGATCACGACAGGAAGGTACTCCTTCTGAGGGAGAGTTCTTCGAACAGGCGCAGATTGTGGTGGTGGTGGTTGATATGAAGAGGAGGCGTCGCCAGGTCTGTATCGGTTCTCTGTGCCCCATGGATCTGCTCCCACCGGTGCCGATTGTCCGAGCGTAGCACCTTGGGTGTTCTTGATGATAAAATTTGCCGTTTCTTCGAGATAGGACATGGGAAGTTCGTGGTCTTGGAGAAATTTTGTTGCTGCATCATAAGGATTCTGTGTGACATTGTATGGCAGCTTGAGCGGAGGTTTGCCATCCTCAATGTCAATGTCAAACACGTAGTCGTATTCTTTGCCATTGTACGCTGTCTTCCCACTCGAGGCGGCAGAATCCACAACCTGGCCGATCTTGATCCATTGCTGCTGGGACATGGACCATTGATACAGGCAAGCACTTCCATCCTCTTCCTTGATGATTTGATTCTGACCTTCTTTGCTGCCGACCTTTCGTTTGAGAAAGTCAGGCCCAGGGAGATCTGTCATGTTGATTTGCCCCACAGTCTGCTGGGGAATGCTGGACGCTTGAACGGACTCTTCGAAAGCTGCAAGCGTCTCGGCATCGGCCACTCTGTCTTGGTCGCGAGTGAATATCCGGGCCATCTTGTCACTTGAACCGACAATAATGTCGCCATTTGAAGAAGTCGACACCGACCAGATGGAGATGGCGGGTAATGTGATAACCTGGACGCAGTTCTGCCCCTCCCAGATGCGGACGGATCGATCTTCTCCAGCACTGACAATTTGGCCCGAGGGCAGTACAGCCAGGGAATATATGAAAGATTCATGGCCAATTAACGAGGCAATCAGCTCGCCCTTCAGGGTCCAAAGTCGGACGATGCCATCATTTGTTGCAGCAGCAATTTCAGCACCGGTATCGTGGCCTTTGGGCAGCTTCGCTAGAGCACGGACAATGTCCTGACCATCCCATGAATTCAACATCTTTCCACGTAGATCAAAGACTCGGATTGCACGGTCCGCACAGCCAGTGACGATGGTGTCTCTGCTGAAAGCGAGCACCGCCCAAACTGTGGCTGTGTGACCTGGCAGGTCAAAAGCAACCTCCCATTTGCCAATCTCCCAGACTTTTGCAGTAGCATCCCAGCTGCCACTCACAAAGTAATTTGCTGTGGCGCACACATCTATCGAGCAGACTTGGTTGCTGTGCCCCACCATGAAAGCGTCCGCATTCATGCCTGTTGTTGATGATGGTTGCCGAGCTTCGATGAGCGCATCTTGACCAGATGAAAGAACCAGTCCATCCTCATACTGTTTTGACGGAGGGATATAAGCAAGACAGGTTTTGAACTGTGCGCCGTGGGATGACTCCGTGTCTTCGTAGGACGGTGGGGAAGTGGATGTTCGTTTCCAGACTCTGGTTGAACCATCGCGGGATGCTGTTACTGCAAAAGACGGGTCAGGAAGGAGGACGGCACGGACCTGTACTCTCATGTCAGTCTGTGCGGCGGTGGACTTGCTCGGAGATGCGTACATCACTCTTGTGACCACGCAGGACCGCGCTCAGCTTGAAATTCGTCGCGCCACTCATTTTGGTCATTGACTGGACAAAGTTGTCATCTGGAAGTGAGCAACAGACCGAAATAAATAGGCACGGCGCTGTGGTGACAAGTGAGTGAAGTGTGCGCGCAATCACATGTTCATCCGACTTCTCAGTCGCTAAATTCAACGATCCAATTCTCGCAGCCTTGCGTGGGTGACATATGACGTAGTGGTCAGCCTCGTCAGGCGTGCCAGAGATCATCGCCCATCTGGCGGGTATATCTGGGCTGACGAAAGTATGAGACCCTTTTGATACCCTTTTGATATAACTATAACTTTTCAGATCGATATAAATCTGTGAAGGCTCTTGCTGTCTAGCAATCCACTCACAGCCTCAGGTTACATGCAAGACTATATACGAGGTGTGAAACCAGAAGCATTCTTCTAGGACAATGCCAGCTGTATCCCGAACCGGGAGGAAGAAGCGCTGGCATCATAAAGACTTCAACGGCTGCATAAAGTGCAAACAGCGGCGGGTCAAGTGTGGGTCAGAGAAGCCTGCCTGTCTACGATGCCAGAAATTGGGAGTTGTTTGTCCTGGATACCAGCCACCAAAAGCCCGGATTTTTGAGCTCAGACGCCAGCGCGATTTCCACTCCGACGAGGACAGGACCAATTACGACTTCTTTCTGAGATCCGGATCAAAGATTGTGGCTCTCTCTCAAGCAACATCTGAACCCTTCTGGTCAAGGCTTGTCCTCCAACTGGCCGAGAGTAATGGAATCATCAAGCACGGACTGATCGCTTTGGGTGCTCTGTTGCGCCCTCTACATGCAAACCCTTCATCTCAGAAGTATGGGGCTCTTTGCACACCGCATGCTACTACGAAGCACTCCGCAGCCGCAATGCATAAGATGAAGTCGGCGGCCCTGGGAGCTGTGTCGCCAGAAGTGGCTGTAGCATGCTGCCTTGTTTCCGCCGAGCTTGACAGGTGGCTGGAGAAAGAGACATCTCCTGTCCTTCAGATCCTGTCGGCATACCGCCTCCTGCAAGAGAGACGAAGGTCAAACACAGCAGGGTCAAACACCACTCAAGACGAATGTCAACAACTGTTCGAGCCTATGGTCGATGAGTTAATCGTCGATACGTGCAGTTGCGCAGACAATTTTCCAACCCTGACTTCTGGGCTCATGTCCAACTATCAGCTGGCCAGCGGCCTCGACCGAGCCAAGTCCATCACCACTTACATGGATGCCCTCCATGGTGTTGCGTCGCTGCTGAAAGCGGTTTTCCGCTCGACCTGCCCATATATCGTTGCCACCACTGCTGAGATGGACGACATCTCCTTTGCACTGGACACAGTCGGTCACAAACTGCAGCATTTCCACGGTGACGGTGAGCTGCCGGTGGAGTACCAACTCCTCCAGGTCCACCACCGAGTTGCCCGCATCATGTTCTACACGTTGGGCCGGAACAATGAATTCATGTACGACGCTTTCCATTACGACTTTTGCTTTATCGTTGAACAGCTGGAGCAAATCATCACTGCTTCGGAACGCGCAGGAGAACCAACGACGACGGGACAATCCGTCATCACACCAACGTTGGGCCTGATCCCGCCTCTATTTTTGGTGGCGACCAAGTGTCGCGACACCCCAATCCGGCAACAAGCATCGCAACTGCTCCATGGCATGTTGCGGAGCGAGAGGGGCTGGACGAGCTGCATGGCGGCCACAATCAGCCAATTTGTGATTCAAGAAGAGCTCCGGCCCGGCACGACACCCCTGAACCCTGACGGTCTCTGTGAAAGACCACTTCCAAGGCAACCTCGACGGCGCATCAAACTTGACGAAGTGGAATTCTCCAGTCGGGAGGACAAGATATACCTGGCGTACACCGCTTACTCCAAGGTCGACGACTCCCCGGGGTCCAAACGCATCGCGAGCATCCCGTATTGCTCTCATCCGTCAGTCGAGAAGAACAACACGACGTGTCAGATGTCAAGAAAAGTCCTGCGCCACTGCGGATACACGGGCGTGATTCTGTTCTCGCCCCAGATTGAGTGTCATTGCGTCCGAGGCGATACCGTCAGTGCCAAACAGATTGGAAATAAGTTTCCAAAGGTCGGCATCTCTGCCTAAAACCGTTTGGGACGGGACTCTGATGGCCTCGAGGGTGGATAGAGTGCTCTCTGCTAGCACAATGCAGTGTGCTGTCTTTGCTCCGTCGAGACGTGGGTGGAGTCGTGGTGCACCCGGGCAAAGCAGACTCTATCCACAGTACATCGGTATATGAGACGGAAGTTGTTTGGAAGCCTAAACAAGCTAAGCGGAATTTGCTGCTTGATTCAGTGCCAGGGATTGATAACATTTCTGGAATGAGTTTTTGGGGTATTAAATTGTCATAAGTAGCTAATGTCCCGAGTTGGCTATCAAGTCTGCCATCCAATTTGCGTTGTAGCGGAGCGATTTAAATAGCAGCCAGACATGCAACGTTAAGCCCCAAGCATTACGGAGTACACGATCATGGTCGCCTTCGACCGCAGGTACATAACAATGGTCCAGTCTAGCAAATGTTCAATCTCGCGACACTTGGATCATGATCCGACTTTTGATCCGCGTACGTGACCCATGTATTCACATGCACGTGTTTGAAATCCGGCCTGGCTCCGGGCGTGCCTGCGATCTTGGGACTCACAAACATGTGGTCCAACTCCTCACAGCTCATGTCAAAGATATACGTGTACCGCTCGGTGGGCGCAATGCCCGCGGCGTCGTCCATGTTCACGAGCCCCGAGACCGCGGCGAATGTTTCCAGCGGCTCCACGAACGAGTATTCATTGAAGTCTCCTGCGACGATGACGGCGGCGTGGGGATCCTCGGCGAGGATTTGGGAGACGAATGACCCCGTCACATTTGCTTGGGCGTTGCGCTGATCCACGCCGAGGTTGACGGGCGGGCGCGGGTCGCCTTCGATCGAGGAGCTGCCGTCCTTGGAGGTGAAGTGGACGACCACCGTGAAAAGAGTAGATTTGTCCTTGACCGTTTCCCACTCTGCGGCCAGTGGTTTGCGGCTGTCCTGCCAGGCTGGATTTGTGGGGTCAATGCGGCCGGGGTTGTACTTCAGTGACGGGCCTGGGAGCACTTCGTTGGCTTCGAGGGAGGAGCCTGGGTTGGGGTTCTTGAGGTTTAGGACCGCCGGATTGTAGAGGTAGGCGATGCGGATGTTACCGCCGGGTTCGCCGCCGTCTTCGTCGTTGATCGGGTCAATGTCGAGGTAGCTGTACGACACACCACCGGCGGTTTCGATCGCCGCCACAAGCGTCTCCAACGTGACATTCGCGCTGACCACGCCGTCGTCGGTAGGACCACTGTTGTCTTGAATTTCTTGCAAGAATACCAGGTCCGGAGAGTTGAGGTAATAGGCAATATCATAGGCGATGCCCGGTAGGGTGGTGGAGTTTGAAGCCAGATTGTCAACGTTATACTGCCCGACCGTGATTTTCTTGCAGCTCCCTTTCGAGTTCCAGTTGATCGGATCTGGCAATGCCGGCTGCTTCGAGTCGATGACCGAGAGCGCTGTCAATGGAAGAATGTAGTAAGCACCAAATTCTTGGTACACGACACCGGTAATGTCCTCGAGATCATCCCCAAGCTTGATGTCATCTGGGTTGATGGTACCGTCAAGGGGTGCACCAACAACAATGGCTTCCGGATTCCCATCTCCTGGAGTCAGAGTCAAGCCTCCTCTGTTGTTTTTGCCAGTCTTTCTCCAGTTCCCAACCACCCAGGTCTCATTGTATGAGTTAGGCTTGGCGACAGCGTTGGGGCTTTTGACGGTGACTAGTTCACCCAACAGACTCTCCCAGAAGTCAAGGCCGTAGGACCATGGTTGGAGCACGGGATTCACCGCAGAAACCAGGCTGACATTGTTCGGTACACCAAAGACATCGCCGTTGTCGAGGGAGGTGAACTGCTCTGTGGGTGGACTGGTGTCTTGTTTCCCAAGGACCACCGGTTTCACCTCGTTTCCTCGGGATAGGACCTTGACGTTGGTAGGTCGAGAGATCTCTGTCATATAAAGATACGCCGAGTTGGAGCGGTACTCGGAAACAATACCATCGAGCACAATGATGTCTCCTGTGGTCAATGTAACATTGGTGGTGATACGGCCGAAGACATAGACGGACTCTGAGGTGCGAATATCCGAGTCCGGTGTGGTAGAGCGAATCCACAGCCCACCTGAGCCGACGGCAGTGACTAGCCCTGTGACATTGTAGACATTCTGGTTGCGGTAGGGAGAGATGAAGCGGTTTCCATTGATCTGGGCAATTGTTTGCGCCGACACAGCAGAGAACGAAAGAGCGGCAGCACCGAGGTGCAAAAGAGCAGCAATGAACTTCATGATGGACGAATCGAAGGGTGAAAACGAGAGGACGGATTAGAGCCAAGATGTTCAGCGAAGGTCTGGTCACACAACATGCTGTCTGCTAGGGGGAGCAGCGTTTCTATTTGAGAGTCGGGGATCAGCAGGGCTCTCGAACAACATCTGGGGGAGGCAGCGAAATCCAATGTCGCATCACCGTTCCTTTTGCACGAACCAGCTGTGCCTTCTGCAGGTGTCCAGATTGGTGAGAGGACCGAAGTGAAGCTGAAGTCACAAGAGTCGAAAGAACATGATGGCGATGATTGGTGGCGCAGACGAGATTCTGGTAGTTGGTGCGAGATTGCGGCTGCGGCTGCGCCGGGCGGGGGGCGGCGTCCAATTTCGCAGCTGCACATCAATGCATAAGGAGCAACTCATCTCCTTGCGCGCAACACTTACACGTGGGGTAGATCCAGTCAATGGATGGCTTATATCCTGGTCTTGTGGATTGCTTTTGCACAATGGACTTTTGCGCCGGTGTCTCGTAAATCCCATGGGGAAAAGAGCGCATTTACCGCTTCACGGACAGTCGACCTGTACAGCGGATTGATGAAGAGTCTTGTTATTGGTAGACCTCGAGCTATGCCTGCATTGTTATTGAAACATCAAAAAGAACAACCACGGCGTCAGAATGATCTTCTGCTTGTTGCCATTGTGGCTATATAGGTGCTTTTCTTTAGCTGCTGCGGGGCCATGTGTGGCTGGCTCTTTCTTCCCTCTAATACTTCCACCAACCCTTCCCCTGTTGGAGCACCTTCAAACCTGTCACTCGTACGTTGTATGTGTGAATCTGCGCTCCTGGGCTGGGGCTGTACTCTGCTTGTGGTCCTATCATCCTGGGACGACAGTGGCGCTGGCATTTTCTGCGGCTCTCCGTACAATGAGCATTTCCAGTCGTTCCTCTATACAGGAGCATACCACCAGCAAGTCTGATCGGTGAATGTCATGATGGCTCAGTCTTCTGTATTGGCCTCACGTGTGCTCTTCGCAGGGGAAAAAATGCAGATGGACAATCAGGAACCATCTGGCATGTTTTATCTTGCAATGTGGACCATCCGCCACGATCTCCACGAATCACGAAAAGGTATCGCCGCTTGCACGAGCAGCTCACGGCTCGCCATGAACCGAATGAAATATTCAGAGTATCGCGGTCTCAATAAATCATAAAACTTGTCAATGAGTTGCCGTGGTATTGCTGATAATTCAATAGGCGTCGAATACATCCGACAGACTCGCCAGCATGCTTTCTTTGCAGTATAGCCTTTTCCTCACGGTGCTCGCCATCGTCGCCTGGATCTGGCCAGTGAGTTTAATTCCATCTGCCCTTGTCTTATCGGCCACGCTGCTGACGAGAATATAGAAATGGCAGCGAGGGATGCAAGGTCCATTGAGAAAGGTTCCCGGTCCACGGCTGAACCGATTCTCATATTTGCCTCTAAAATACCATGCCATGCGTGGGCGTAAGCTGCACTATGTCGATTCGCTCCACGCTCAGTATGGTAATGTACCCTTTATTAGGGCCGTCTGGAGCCCCTCAAACTACAAAATGGATCACTAATTTTGCACAGGAGAGGTTGTGAGGATTAGCCCTACGGAAGTCATTACATGCAACCTCGAGGCTGCCAGGGAGATCCATAAGATCGGTACCAACTTCTACAAAGCACGCTGGTATCGCGATATGACAATGGCTGAAGAGCCTACATTTTTCTCAATCACCGATCCCAAAGATCACGCTGCTCGTCGGCGGCTCTTCTCGCGCGCCTTTTCCCAGAACAGTCTTAATGACTGGGAGCCACTTCTTCAAGCCAAAACAGACTTGGCCATTACAAAGATTCAACAGCAGGCGATGGGTGGCACTGCCAACATCTTGCAATGGTTCTCTTTCCTAGCGACCGATTTGATTGCTGAGCTGAGCTTTGGGGAGTCGTTGGGCTCCTTAGAGCTGGGTCGGGTAAGCCTTCGACTCACTTCTCTTAGTGTGCGGGCTCAGTGTGCTGACAATCAATGTTGTAGAAAACCGAATTCTCACAAGACCTGGCGAGCGCTTTGAAAAACGCTGGCCTCAGATATGAAGTGGCACCGGTAGCAATGTTACTGAAGATCCTTCCTCTCCCCTCTGTGCAGTACTGGCAACAGTCCCGAGAGCGAATTCAGAGCTTTGGCAAAGCAGTCATTCAGAGGACCAAGGATCGTATGGCGCGCGGAGAGACCAGAGGCACATTCTTTTCCAAGATGCTCGCCGAGGCCGAGGCGGGCGAAACTCTTACAGAGAAGCAGGTGCAATGGGAGGCCAGCAACCTGATCGTCGCAGGAAGTGACACTACCGCCATCACTTTGACATATTTGGTCTGGATAGTGCTGAAAAGACCTGATGTGAAGGCCAAAATCCTGAAGGAGATCGAGAGCTTGCCGGACGCCTTCACAAACGAAGACGTCCAGAGGCTTCCCTATCTAGATACTGTTGTCCGCGAGAGCTTGCGTCTCTACGGCGCCGCACCCGCATCCTTGCCCAGGACTGTCCCGGATGGAGGAGCTCACCTGGCCGGATATTATCTTCCAGGGGGCATTACAGTGAGCACGCAGGCATTTACATTGCATCGCAACCCCGACATATTCACAGATCCCTACGAATTTCTGCCGGATCGGTGGAACAATCCAACACCAAGGATGAAGGAAGCGTTCATGCCATATAGCATTGGCTCACGCGGTGAGTGCTCGATCTCTCGAACTCCGTTGCTGTATATCTCACTAACTCGGCCACCAATCCAGCATGCTTAGGAATGCATCTTGCTAGAATGGAGCTCAATTTGGCCACAGCCAAGTTCTTTCGACGTTGTCCAACTGCCACCTTAGCACCTTCTATGACCGACGGGGATATGGAGTTTGAAAACTTCTTTCTGATTGCGCCGAAAAACCACAAGTGTGACATCACAATCCCTCTCTAAGATGAGACTCCAGATACGGATGACATTTATTTGACAATGATATGCTCCACTGCAGTCGATCAAGTCGATGCTACTTTGTAATCATTCTTAGTATTTGACGTACCGGCGTCCAGCGGCGTGGCTCAACGGTAGTCCAACCTTGAAGAACAAATGTCAATGGGATGTAAACTAGTGGACGCATGAGCGAGACACTTGAACCACGACTTCATAATGAGTGAACCAAAACTGTGGCGCCGTAATCGTCGTGTTTCTACTAGGGATCATACAACAGATACAGCAAGCTTCTTCATATCTCTGGCGTTTCAAGAATTGTCATACAAGCAATTATTGACACCCTATTGCGGCAGCGAGGCTCAGCCTCTCCGTGAGACCATGAGGATACTCCAACCGTTAGAAACCATCTGCTCACAGATATCTCCCACATCAATAGAAAGGCAAGAGCATCGAGGCTACTCTTTAGAAATCAATCCGCCTCGAGTCTTGTGCCTTTCCCATCCTTGGCATTCGACCGAGGCCGTCTGGATCAACATGCTGAAGTGGTTTACAACCAGCCATCCCTCGCGGCCTCGCCCACCTCTACGTCCAGGTATACTCAGATCTAGACCATCCCATTCCAGTCTCTTATCATGTCCAATTTGCCTCGCTCGCCTCACGTCGCGGACTTGGCCAGCGGCAAGAATTGGGGGTCGTGCGTTGCGATACGGGCACGGCGGAAATGGACGGTGATTGGTGGCCTTGGACCCAAGTGGATCCCAAAGTCCCTATCTGTCCTGGCGGCGGCACATATTCTCCCTCGCTGAAATTGTTCGACTATAGGCTGATAGGGGGATCGAATTCTGTGCACGCTGAGAGTTACGGGGTACGGGCAAGGCAGCATCAATCTGGCCATGTTTGTGCCATGTCCTCTCTCTCTTGAATCGCACACCACGCTTCCCCGCCCCTTCGCCAGGGCAGACAAACTTTCAGGAACATCTTCCTTATCATCACGGCCTCGTTTGGGCATGGTAGGAACCAAGAGACGGGTCCAAAAGGGATGCCAGATATCAGTGCAAAAGCTGGTGTTGTGTAGTATAAAAAGACATCCAGGACATCGACAACACCATTCCTCTGTGGCGAGAGGAAGGACTTCGTTCCCTGCAACCTCTCAACCTTTTGCGACCTCTCTTTCACAAAAATCATGCCAGTCCTCAAAAAGATCCTTGACTGGGTCATCCTCAAGGATGAACGGGGAGAACCGGTGGATATCTGGTACAATGAAGATGTTCGTTGCCCAACGGCCTCAAGAGGGCATCCCGTGTGGCAGAAAGTCGACTGTGCAGATACTAAAACATTCTCTCCTCTCTAGATCCGTCCTCTCCCACCATCCCGCCGCACTTGGACCCGATCGACCTTCTTCACCTATCAGGCCAGCATTGGAATCATCATCGCGGTGTGGTCAAATGGCTCCGGTCTCCTGAATTTCGGTTTGGTCGGTCTCCCTCCGCCGGGGTTGAGAAGGCAAAGACTGACACTGTGACCTTCCACCCAGAACGCATGGCAAGTCATCCTGGCCATAGTGATCGGGACCTTCTGTATCGGAATCGTTACCATGCTCGGCTCTCAACCGTAAGTCCGTGCGTGTCCACGGGGGCTTCTGCAAAACCGCTGACCCAGGTCGGCTATCACCAGGGGTGGAAAGTGGCACGTTGGCTTCCCCGTCACCAGCAGGTTAGCTTGGGGTCTATGGGGTGGTCCGTTCCCGGTGTTGAACCGCACCATCTGTGACTGCACTTGGTTGTCCATCGAGTCATGGTTTGGCGGCATGTGCAAGTCTCATGGCCTGAGGCGAACCCTCGATGGTGAAGTGATCCAACACAAACTGACCCTTCATGATCATAGGCGTCAAAGTGATGCTGGGGGCCATCTGGCCGTCATTCTACACCATGAAAAACACCTTGCCGGCGTCGGTGCCCATGGAAACCAACGACTTCGTGGCCTGGCTCCTCTTCATGGCCGCCGACCTGGCATTCATCTGGGTCCGCCCCGAGAAGTTCCACTGGTTTGGCGTGTCCGTGTCCGCCGCCGCACTCGTTTCCAGCCTCTGCATCCTGGGGTGGTTTGTGCACCAGGCCGGCGGCGCGGGCGTCTTGTTCCACTCGACCGAGGCCCTGACCGACATCACTCCCGCCAGCGGCTCGGTGTTCAGCTGGAACTTCATGCGCGCCATCTCGACAGTCATCTCGGGCCAGGCCACCACCATTCTCGGATTCGCCGACTGGGGCCGGTACTCGAAGAGGCCAAACGACCAGCTTTTGCCCCAAAGTCTCGGGATCGCCCTGTCCATGTTGGTGACGGTCAGTACCATGTTTTTCCCTGTTTCCCAATCTGTCCCACAGTTTCTGTCTACGGCCGGGGGCACGACCAAACAATGGATCTAACCTCAAGTTTTCCTCTCAGGCAACCATCGGCCTCATCTGCGCCTCCTGCTCGGCGACAATCTGGCCCGACCAGGGGCTCCTGTGGACGCCGACCCTCCTCCTCACGCAGATCCAGGAGCACCACGGTTCCGCAGCGCGAGCAGCCGTGTTTTTCGGCGTCCTGCCGTTCCTCGGGTCCCAGTTCATGATCACTGGTTCTGCGGCCGGGGTTCAGGGCGGTAGTATGTTCCTCTCTCCTGCACCCAGAGGCCACCACTGCGAAGGTCTTTGTTTCTCTAACACGGATGAAAACTCTAGTGGACCTGGCGGGCATCTTCCCTAAGTTCATCAACATCCGCCGTGGGGCGTATATCGTGTCCGTCATTGGGATCTGTAAGTTGTCGCTCTTCCCCACGCGTCATGCAAATTACGGGACACTGACGGTGGGATGACAGTGATGCAGCCGTGGCGCCTGTAGGTCATCACACCCCTTCTTATCTTCCATGATGCATTTGGCAGCAGATTTCTAACAGAACGCTCAAAGGGCCAACACGAGCACCAAATTCGTGACCATCATGGGCGCCTACTCGGTCTTTCTTTCACCGTTGAGTACGTTCGTCTATCGGTTCACACAGACTAGATGGCAGACCTTGTGGGCAAATGAACAGCATGGCTAACACTTTACTAGCGGCCATCTTCCACTGCGACTACTGGCTTGTCCGCAGACAGAGGATCTGCCTGAGCGATCTCTACAAGCCGAGCAAGGAATCCGTCTACTGGTACTGGTACGGGGTCAACTGGTGAGTTTGTGAGAGATCGACCTGCAGGACCTGAGGCCTGGTGGGCCCAAATTCCACAAGTTTGCTGTTTCTAACCCACGACGTATTATTTGCGTAGGCGCGCCATTGTTGCCTTCGCCCTTGGCGTCTGGTCCTTTATCCCGGGGTTTGTCCACGCCGTCACGCCGTCGAACAAGGTCTCCGAGGGATGGTCCCACCTGTACTACATTGTAAGTTGCCGAGCGGGAGACCATATACTCCGTACACCTCATCAACTCTTTCAACCTCAGTTGAGTCCGTGTCTTGGCTGATTCAATGTTACGAGCAGGGCTACATCTGCCAGTACGTCCTCACCGCCACCATCTACTACGGGCTCAACCTCGCCTTCCCGCCGCCCGGGACCGACAAGGTCGACGAAGACGATGTGTACAACACCTTCGCCCCCGGCGAGAAGGTCCCCTTTGGCGTTATCGCGGGCGTCGGACCGGACGACGAAGAGGGCCGCGCCGCGGTGGCCGACGGCGACCCGTTGTCCAAGGGCGAGGTAGTCACCACCAGCACCGCCGTGGTGGAGCCGAAGTAACTCCCAGAAGCAGTGAAACTGTGATCCGAGGGACGGTGTCTTAAGAGCGCCGTGGCAAACTTGGATGTCAGCGGACGAAAGCCGTGTAGGGGTTCAACAGTGTGAAGTTTGTGGAAGGGGAAGGGTCTGCGAGAGTGTGCTTGTTGCAATCTGTTGATGATTCTATGTGTCTGTGTGCCCTGCCGTGCTGTTTGTGGTGGACTGTGGTGTGCTATGACAGGCAGGTCGATTGTCGAAGCTGGATACTGAACGGAATTCGATGAATACTGCTTTAAAAGCAAATTGTCTCGTTTCTAGCTGAGGCTGTCATTCCAGAATGTGACACTACGAGTATTTTATCCTCTGTCTCTCTCTCGCGCGCAAAATATGCTACGTGTATTGTGAAAGTGCTAATTATGTTTCCCCCTTTGATGCTGGTGCTTGTTCACGGTGCTATTCAACCGAGTCACTTCTTTTAGGTGCCTCTGAGTTCGGATTCAGATTCTCTACTTACACATCTTAAACGGCAAACGTACAGTCTCGGCTTAATTACCTATATCAAACAGTTGATTGCTCAGATTGCGATTTCGATCCGTGGACAAGCGGGCCTCGCGGCACAGATCAACACAGAGCCGTCCGATTGCATGCCTCCAGTGGTGACGCCACACACCAGGCGCGAACTACACGCGCCACACACTCCGGCCCGACAGCCCGAGTCAGGCTGGAGCCCGACGGACTCGGCCAGGTCCAGAAGCGTCATGGGCTGGGCTCTGCGCCAGACGGCCTCGATGTTGGACGCGGTGAACCGCACCACGGCCTCCTCGAGATCTGTCGCCTGGGCGGCGTCTGCCCCGGCGGTGAAGCTCTCAGCGTGGATCATGTTCAGAGGCACATCCAAAGCGGCCAGGGCTTCGTGCATGGACTCGTCAAACGCCGACGAGCCGCAGATGTAGAACGACGACAGGCGGCCCTCGACGGGCAGGGATGTGCCGGCGGCGTACCTTTTGTGGTAATCTGGAGCGACCACGCGGCGGAGAAGGTCCGTGTCCGGGCGGCCGTGGACCTCGTAGTCCCTCCCGACCTTCTCGTGCTCGCGCGGAGCCGTAAAGCACCAGATCCGCCGGAGGTTCTTGGGCAGCTGCGCCATCTCCTCGCGGAAGGGGATTTCAGCGCCGTTGCGCGCGACGTGGATCCAAATGGCGTCGATGGTCGGGAACGCGCCGTGCGCGGCGTGGGCCTTCAGCATGGAGAAGATGGGGGTGATGCCCACCCCGGCCGACAGATAGACCTGCCGGGGAAGATACAGGGGTGTCCAATCCAGCGCAAACCGGCCTTGGGGGCTGCGGACCTCGAGGACCGTGTCGAGATTGCATTCGTCTGTCATCCACACCGACGCTTTGCGTGATCGCTTGATGGAGAGGCGATAGTACGAGGGCGCTCCAGGGTCCCTGGGCCAGTCCGAGAGCGACCATGAGCGCACGTCTCCGGTGGGCAGGCGCACGGTGAGGAACTGTCCCGGGCGAAACGTGGCCAGTGGATTCTCGTCCAACGGCTTGAGATAGAACGACTTGATCCCGCCGCCTTCGTCGACGATCTTGAACGGACTAAATTTCCGCCACCCTTTCCAGCCATGGACGCCCTCCCGGGCCTGGTCGTCTAGGAGCAATACCCTGCGGCCGAAGGAGGCTCGGAGCATATTCACCAGAAGCTCCTCATTAGCCAGCAGATTCATGGTGTCCCGCGTCTTGAGGGAGGCATTGAATGCAAGTTTCGAAATTGTCGCACAGTCGATCGTGTCGAGGCGTCTCTCGATCAGGCTCGCTCGGTCTCCCACTCGAATCATCCCAGTCTCGAGGACCCGGAAGTACACCCCCGAGTATCCAGAGTCCGCCAGCGGCTTGAGCCACGAGTCCTTCTGCCCACAGCGCCAGGACAGCTTGAAACAGGGGATGCGTGCACCGCAGACCTCCAGACGGACGGTCTTCCCGACGGCCCAGATGTCGCCCAGTCGAAACTCTCGCTCGGTCAGCTTCTTGTCGTCGCAGTCAAAGGTGATGTTTTCGCCCCAATGGCACCACTTCCATTTGGTGCGGTCATAGCTTAATTCTTTGCACCAGTAGTCGTAGTGGTGGGCAAAGAAGGCATAGACTGGGCCATCATGCATTGCAGGTTGATTGCCCTTCACGCCTTTGGCCGTGATCTGGATTTCTCCACCAGGCAAAGGCTCTCGCACAATTGAGGTCATTGTCCTTTTGCCGTTGATGTCCTCCCATCGTGGCATTGCAGCGCTCACTGCCAGTACTTCCATTGTGTTCGCATTGGAATGTCACCCACGAAGAACTGATGACGGCCTGCCCTAAATGGAAGGAGGTGCATGAACCTGCCATCAAGGACTCTGGTATCCTGTGCTATATCCCGCAGTGCTGCTCCAGCACCTGAGTCGGGATACTCCCTCGCTTTGCTGTGAGCATCTCCACACAGTCGAATGCATGTGTCGATAACGAATGAGAATGCTGCACAATCCCATCATTGCCAAGGTGTTGTATTTTGCATACTCCTAGGCAGATAAGATGCCTCAGGGTCGGTGGCAGACTATTTCGTGACTTTTCTCTCTCTGCAAATTTCCACCAATTATGTCTCGCTATCCCCGGGTCGTCTGGAAGCGCGGGAGAACGGTGATGGAGTGACTCGCAATTCCTATCGGGTCCCGTCAGTGATAACGCTTGTCTAGGCCCATCCGTCAAACTTTCAATGGTCCGATCTAGGCGTCGCTCTGGGCGGCGGTCCAGAGAGGCACAGATGGTATCCATCACTGACAATCACTGCTGGGACCAACTTTCGACTCCATGCTTGGACTCACAATCACGGCCATGGCAAAGCTTCCGGAGTCTTCATTCATGACTCGTGCCTGGTCTGTGGAGTCTTTCCCTTTCAGATATTCATCTGAAAATCTTCCTCGCACAATGGTCCGTACAACAAATCCCATTGATCCCACTGCCAAAAGTCGTACGAGACGTCTAGAGCCAGACTCCCCGGGAACGGTGACAACCGGGATACATTGTCCAGTTGCCCGACCTGATCGCTTTCAACAGGTTGTATTTCGATCTGCGGTCTAGACAGCTCTTCGGAGGCCTGTATTTGAGCTGAGATGGTCCTGCTATAGTTTGGAGCTTGTCCTCGAGTGTCAGACACTGCTTCCAGCTCATGTTGGTCGTCGGAAGTGGTCTCAAGGTCACGACTTCGACCTAGGTAGGACTGCGAGGATGCTTCACCTCCAAATACGGCATAGATCCCAGGCACTATGCTTGTCCGGTTGACTTGGCCCGCGAGATCCGTCGAGCCATACAGCTCGAGGATGTTTCGAAGCACTCGGATACCGTCGAACTGTGCCGCCGAACCCTCAGAGGGGTAGTCGAGATATTCAAGGTCAGACATCACCATATCAATGTCTCTTCGAATCTTTCCCTGAGGATCTGATCGCTCCATCAGAAGAAAGAGAGACAGAAAGGTGGCGACGGAGAAGATCTGATAGTTTTGCCCACTGAGCTTTGCCGATTTTCGAAACAGGTCAAGATTGCGGCGTCTCAATGCACGGTAGACATCAAGGGCCCTTTCAGCTGCCTTGAGACACTTGTCCCATGCTTGCGGGACTTGCGGGTGCAGGAAAGGACGGTACATCCGTAGCACCTGTAGACAACGACACGTGTGCATGGTATGGTGCTCCCAGGGCACTGATTCTAGCGGTGAAGACAAGGGAAATTTATCGGCATGTTGTGCATCGTAGAACCAAGGCAGCTCCCTCTCAATTTGCTCCACTTCGGCGTTGATCTGCTCTACAAACTCGTACGACTGTAGATGGTCGCCGTTTTCCTTGTAGAGCTTATTGTAGAGCTTGAACATCTTGTATTTGACAATGTTCATGCTGAGGTCGGTTGCTTCTGTGAGCGGACGAGCTTTTACCGCAGTCTCCGTGATGTCGACGTTGTTGCAATGAACTGGAAATGGAACTTTTGACAGGTAGGCCTGGATGAGAGGCATCCGGCCTAGACACATGGACTGGAACCTGTAACGACCGTCAGCACGGAGAAGAACTCGTTGTCGGGCACAATTTTGATCGTGGTCACTTACGTATCTGCATGGCAAACTTCCCACCACAGCCGGTGTCGCATTTCTCTCTCAAGGACGATGCTACTGGAGCTAGGCTTGTCCAATCCCAACGCTTGAGCGTTCCTCACTGCTCGACCCAAATCCCTGCAAGACGGTGGATCAGTGGTTGGTATCACAAACAAAGGGAGAGGGCAACTTGCGAGTTCAAAATCTCCACCGAGCCGGTTGACAGGCAGTACAGCTGTGAGATGACAAACGTCTGGATCTGCACAATTGAGGGACTGGACTCGAATCCTCCAGCCTGAAGTGCTTGTCGGGATGCGCGAAACCAGCGATGGGCGAGTTTGCGGACCTGCGAAGATTCCATCCCAAGACAGCTGCATGTATGACGAGGCATTCGCAGGGCGGAGACCGAGATGATGATCAACAGCAGGGAGAGCCAGATCAAGTCGATATCGCGGACTGGCATCGTCCAGAACCGAACGTACTGAAGTCGGAACGAAGGCACATGGATCGCTCGATGGACCCAGTCGGCGTGTTCGAGGAAATAAGACACGAACAAGTCGCACTGGGTTTGCGGTGGGAGGAGGCGGGTCAATTGAATTTTTGTTGCATCTGCAGCAGCGCCTTTCCCTGCTTCGTAGGCGGCTTCCTGCGTGCTGGAACCCACATCACCCATGAATGACAATGGAGCCATTGATTCTTCTGGGGGACGAAAGGCACCGGGCTGCCGGCGGAAGAGGCTTGAGATCTCGTTGAGCTTCTGCAACCCGACCACCGTCTCATCCAGCGGATCAGGTCCGGTGGGGAGACCATTCATCGACGTTTCGAAAGCAGCAGTCTCACGTCCATGGCCCTCCCACCCCACGCCCAACATACGATGATCCGTGGCCTTGTTTATAGGGACTACATTGGACACAGCCTCAACATGCATCTGTTGATCCACGGAAACCGATGCATCGTGGTTGCGGGGGTTTCGCGCCCTCAGAAAAGCAGGGCCTGGTCTTGGAAAGGTCCCAGCTTGAGAGATTCCCATGGCGACGGGGGATGGATTCTTGCGGCAAGCGTCCTCGCGGTCGGCGCGCGTGCAGGCTGAGCATGGCACAGCCCGGTTGCACTGCACCTTGTGCTGTCGACACGGAAGGCAACTTCGGCCGCGAGGTTTGAAGGAGCGAGGCATTCTGGGCGCCTTTGGGCTTTCGCCAGGCATGGTGGAAAGAGATCAGGGTGTTGAGGACTTGGTATGCGAGGCCGTGTGCAGGAAGCTTGGAGATGGAGATGCATTTTCTGGACTACGCCATCTTGCTTCTAGAGTCGACAGCGAACCGTAAGAGGAGAGGAGGGGTCCGTTTGAAGGGTCCCGAGGCAGTTCTTAAAGCGAGGCTAGCGGGATAGAGATAGAGCAGGTATCCACTCCGCCTTCGCCACTTATGGTTTCCTACTGTCAGCGGACGAAGATAAGAGCATCCAGCTACGATTGTACTGGCTGACGGCAGGGTGATGTGGTTTGGCATTTCGAAGCGGCATCGAAACAGTCTACCGTCTACCTAAGAGGTGTTATGGAAAGGTCACTCAATCGTCCTGGCCATTAGTTGAGGCAGAATCTTGGAGACACATCATAAATCAGACTACAAGTCTAACAAACTGATCTGAACAAGAGCTCCTCGAATAGAAAGCTACCTGAACGCCGATATCCCATTCGCCTTCTTCAATGCATTGTGCATGTACCATGCTTTGCCGAGTCTCCTCCCAGCCGTGCCCATCTTCTTTGTTCGTCGCTTCATCGAGCATACTCTTCAATGACCGACCTTGGTCTCGTCCATTGCGTTGGCAGAGGCGTGTACTTGGTGTCAATCCTGCGGGAGTGGTCAATAATAACATCGAACGGGTGTTCCATGGAGCGGCTGCAACTACTAGCCAGGCAAACTTACCCAAATGCCGCGGGGCAGGCAGCCTTGATTCCCTCGGGAGTCTTCCAGAGCTCGTGACATGGGTAGGCAACCACAGCGACACGAAGGCCAAACCGGAGTTCATTGGTCGCGAGCGGGACGCCGCTGGGTCGTTCCAAGACGGTGATCATGTCGGGCGAAGAGCAGACGGTTTCAGGTCTCTGCGACGCTGAAGCGGACACCAGGGCGGCGTGGAGATACTCGTTCTGGAACTCGAGGAGCATGGGCCGATGACTCCGGTGCAGCGCTTCTTGTGCATACTCGTCGTCGTCGTCATCGTCGTGATCTGGGTTGAGAATCGTCGTTCCAAACGACCAGCCCCCTCGCGTCGAATTGGTGACGTTCCCAACCTTGCCATGGTATAGTAAAACGGCACCGGGAAGGACGTCAAGCTAGGTGAATTCCGTCAAACAGGCACTTGCCAGAAGAGGGGGGGGGGAGGGTGGATGGAAACTCACCACCGCACCGATGACACTCTCCTTCCTCTGGCGCGCAATGTGGATGGCTCGACCGATGTACCAGGTCTGGGAGATGGTGTTGTGAGGACAGTATTTTCTCGTCACTTCGCCCCCGATCGAGCGACTGAAGCCAGTCATATTGCCGAACTCGATGCAGATCGCCCGCGCCAGGTTTTCCAGCCTCCTCTGGTTATCGGCCGATGCGATGACCTGGATGTTCCCTCGCGCGTCCGCCATCACCGCTGGATATGGTTTGGTTGCACCGAAGACGGCGGGAAGCTCGAGATCTATCCGCGGAAACGCTCTGGCCATGGTATCGGCATCGATGACTGGAATATCCAATTGCGCCGCCGCCGCAAACGCCCTCATGCCATTGGATCCGCCAATTTCGCCTGGAATGATGCCGCGAAGCTTGGGGACACCCAAGTGAGCTGCCAACCCTGACACGGCGTTGTACAGATCACTGTCGCCGCAAAGGCGTTCATTGAACACTGTCGGGGCACTATTCCAGCACAGTCAGTCGCATGTCACGCAACGATGTGTCTGGTGAGAGGTAGCTCTACCCAATATATGCAACCGTCGCCTGTGCGCGAGTTAGAGTCTTCATTTGCAGAGGTCACGCAAGGAGAATCAATCATACCACCGGATCTTCGTCCCTCACCGAAGCGGCCTCAATGACACGCATTCTGTTCGCTGGGGACGTTCGCACGGCTTGTTTCGAATGCATAAGACCTGAATACGTTGGGCCGCCTCCACCTGGTTCCCTCGGTCAACTGCTCGTACCTTAACTGAAATGTTATTCTCCTCACCTGTCCCGAGCACACCACAGCCATCAGCAATGAATTCGAGATCGGTCTCTGACAGGTACCATTCCCCTTTCTCCTTTGATACTGCAGGGACGTAGCTGGACACGTCAATGTCGGTGCCACTGCTTATGGCGGGTTGTTCAGGATGGGTCTGATCTTTCTGACTCTGTACTATTCCGTTGACCTCAACCTGAGACAAGTCTGGGGATAAGATGGAATGTTCTTGAGAGGGCCTGGAAGTCCCAAGTTCGCCAATCTGTGGACAAAATCAGCCGAGACTTGATCAAAGCAGAATTTGGGTGTGGTACCGCTTTGATGATCACTCTCACGGCCTCATTTTTCATATACTGCAGTGGGATAAACTCCACGTCAACGATCTTGACGGTGCCAGGCTGTGCCCCATTCTGTACCGCCAGCTCAATTGCTTTCCCAGAGAGCTCTCTCTGGATTTCCTGATGTGTTCGGCCGTTAGGGATTTGGACGGTGTCCAATTCGCCGGATACCTGTTCCAAAGTAACAGATCAACAAGACATCTCGAGACGCCAGGTGCAAATTTCTTCAGCCTCACCTTCGCAATCGCTGCACCGACTGCATTTGCTACATCGTAATAGGCCGGGCGCAGGCATTTCGAAACCCCCTCCAGGTCGTCCATCTGGATGATCGAGCCGCCTCCGACGAGGAGAAGAACCACGTCAAGATCGGAAGTCTTCATCGCATCGACGCCCCGTTGCAGGAGCTTCTTGATCCGGCGAGACGCCCTTTCAACGACACGTCGATCAGGAGGGGTGCCGTTCCACTTGGGGACAATCGAGCCGACTTGATTTCTTGCAACGGCAATGTCGGTGGCAGTCAAGACGTCTCCTCCAAAGCAGCGGCTCTCCGTGGCCAGTTTGTATCCCACCGATATAGGGCCTACCGACACCTCGCCGTCGACTTCCTGCACACGGGATCCACCTCCCAGGCCCATACTGTAGACCTGCGGCATGCGAAAGGCGGTTCGAACGCCTCCGATTTCGACAATCGAAGGCGCCTCCCTGGGAAAGCCCGTGGGGGACAGTGCCGCGAAGTCCGAGGTCGTACCCCCAACATCCACCTTTTGACGGATTAGCCACCAGCAAGTTGAAAGGACAATGACTAGATCAATCCTTACCAGTATCACCTGGGAGCTCTTCAAATCGATCATTGAGTCCGGGTTCTGGATCCCTGTCAAGAAGATACCTCCGATGAGGGAGTTCTGCAGTGCGTGGTCAGGAAGAAGCCCCTAAAGATCGCCTGTGATTCTGCACATACGGTGGCACCAGAGGAGAATGTCCTGATGGGCGACAGCCGCGCGGCGCTCGCACTCATCACCGTCCCATCGTTTTGAGTCAAGTACAGTCTGCAGTCAAGCTTCGATCGGATCATGGCTCGTTCGAACCCGGTGATGGTCTTCTGGCTCAGATCGAGGATTGCCGCATTCAAGATTGAGGCATTTTCCCTCTCCACAAGCCCAACAGCTCCAATGTCACGCGAGCAGACGACGTGGCAGCCCGGATATTGCTTCAGGATGAGGTCCCTGACTCTTTGTTCCTGAGTCACCGGAGCGGTGTCGACGGGAGAAAAGACGCCCACGACAGCGACCGAGACGATGCCGGCGTCCTTGATGGTTTGGGTGTGCCGAAGAACCTCTTCTTCATCAACCTCCGTGATGATCCGTCCGTCGACTGTAAACAGGAATTAGACCAGAACAACGTCTTTGTAAGGGGTTGGGTCTCTTGCTCTCCAATCCTCCGTTGAGGTATGCCCAATACCCGCAGACCGCGTCCTTCAACCTCGGTGGGAAACCAGCAAATGGCTCGACTTCACGGCAGAACGGGCCGCATAACCGCAAGACAGCCACGCGGTTGATTTTCGTCCTGTCCGCTTGGACGATGGCGTTGATGAAGTGGGTGGTCCCGATATTCACGGACAAGATCCTCGAGCGAGACACACTTGTCTTGTCGAACACCGCTTCCAGCGCCTCGCAGATGCCGGTCGTGATGTCCGCCGATGTTTCCGCCTTGGATTTTGCTACCACGTAAGGCTTGATGCCCTCGTTCCTGGCCGCGTCTGCTGGGAACCCTACCAACGCCGCGTCCGTGTTTGTGCCTCCTGGGATCACAGTTCAGTACCATCCCCCAACAATGGCGGAGCAAATGGACATGAAGAGACTCACCAACATCAATACCTACGCGAAAATACTCCGTGTGAGCCTCGTCTGCATTAAGAGCCATAACGCCACCGACAGCAGTCGCGTCCGCTCCGATCATGATGTTTGTATAATCCGATGCGAATGGTAAGAAAGAGATAAAAAAAAAAGGACGAGCAGGTCGGATCTGTTGTTTCAGTATTCCCACTTGTTTTTGTCCCAGATCTGCCTCTGCGCCAATGCGGATCCTACTACGGCTGTAAAGAGTACTTTGCAAAGGCTCCTCTACGGTCTTGATTGATGGAGCTGTGGGCGGGAGTATTGGTCCCTGGGGGAATCGGGGGTGTCTCCAGGCCGACTTATCTTCTGATGGTAGCATTTACAGGTCTAGATCCATGAGAAACGCCTCAAAGGACCTTGAATTGGAACCCTCCAGGCCAAATGTGCCATATGTCAGGGCCTGAGTCTCTGAGTTCGCGGAGATACTTGTAGCTGATTGGTGGATTTTTTTCACTCCCACAGTGGCACAGCCTCGCCATAGCACCGGGACCGGTTTGGGTAGCGAACGAGAGAACCGTAATGACGGACCTTATCTTAACAAGAATCAGCTATTATGAGAATCTAATAGTCGATATTATTGAAGCACATGAGAGAGGGTGGCAGTCAAGTATGCGGCTCAGCAGAAGATCTCGATACTCGTCCCCGACCGATCTCAAAGTGATGGGCGCGACTTCGAATGTGCTTGGGCTTTGGGTCTCGACGTAAAACCTCGTCAGCACTGGAAACAGCATGACAGGACTGACTGCAGCCTCAGGGCTATCAGAGATTGTTTCCACCGTGATTCCAGACCTTGCTCCATACGAGGAGCTGTACAAAGATCTTCACCGTCACCCAGGCCTCTCACTACAGGAGTCGTATGCAGCGTCAATCGCCACACAGCACCTGCGAACTCACGGATACGAAGTGACGACCTCGATTGGCGGACACGGCCTGATCGGGGCTTTGCACAATTGCAGGTCTTCGTCGTGTAGCGAGACGCCAGCATCATGCTCGGGAAAGACCCTTCTCATCCGGGCCGAATTGGACGCCTTGCCGGTGCTGGAGCAGACCGGTTTGGCATACGCCAGCACGGTTCGCCAGATTGACGTCCGAGATGGTGTGGAAAAGCCGGTGATGCACGCCTGCGGCCACGACATGCACATCGCCTGTGGGTTGGCGGCGGCCGAAGCCCTGAGCAAGCACCGACACGTCTGGAAAGGCACCGCGATCTTCCTCTTTCAACCCAACGAGGAGGGCGGTGGTGGTGCACAGGCCATGGTGGAGGACGGGCTCTACGACCCCCAGCGCCACGGGTGCAAGGTGCCAGACGTCGTCCCGGCGCAGCACGTCGGCGGGCTGCCTGTGGGGACGATCCAGACCAGACGTGGCGCCATGGCCTCGGCGGCGGATTCGATCAAGATCACAATGTACGGCAGTGGGGGACACGCGGCGATGCCTCATCGCACCATTGATCCGGTGCTGCTCGCTTCGCACGTGGTGGTGAGGCTTCAGGGCATCGTGGCTCGCGAGGTCGAGCCCAGAACCACGGCGGTGGTCACAGTGGCGTCCATCCAGGCCGGTCAGGCGGAGAATGTGATCCCCAGCGAAGCGACCATAAAGATCAACGTCCGCACCTGGGACCCTGAGACCCGCGAGAAGGTCCTATCCGCCATCCGTCGCATCGTCCAAGCCGAGTGCGACGCAAGCGGTTGTGTGCGAGCCCCGATCTTCGAGACCATCAGCCAGTTCCCGCCGATGAGCAACGACGTCGAGGTGACGAAGAAACTGGAGGAAGGGTTCGCAGCTCACTTCGGCCCTCAGAGATACTGCAGCGACGGGGAAGCAATGAATGCGAGCGACGACTTTGCGTATCTCGCCACCACGGTGGACAAGCCGTACTGCTATTGGCGGTTTGGAGGCATTGACCCGGCGGCCAAACCGATCCATGTCAACCACAGCCCCTTTTTTGCTCCAATTCTTGATACGGCCCTGAAAACAGGCGTCGAGGCCATGATTGTGGCTGCTTTGAGCATTCTGGGACGAGATGGAGAGTATAAATAGGAAGGTACATGGGGATAATAGGACCCTTATTATCCTCGGAACAGAATTTTAGAGAATCTTATGAGCGTTCGTCTGCGATAGAGGCATCCATCTCTTTTGACTCGTCGAGACCAAAGCAATGACAGTATAGTTCTCCCGCTTGCCCCTGCGGAGTGATGCCAGATCCGTAGGAGGCAAAAGCAATGGGCGCAACAGTTTTGGTTCTCCATCTAAATCTTACCAGCCAGCAGACAACCCACCATCTTCTGCGCCGTCAACCACACCGTATTGGCAAACGTGGGAAAATCCAAGGTGGAGAACATGGTGTCGGCCAGCCCGAACGGAAGCATGGGCGGGATCCAACCCTCCGCAAGTTCCAGGGCAAAACATCCGCGATGCATTTTGTACTGCTTGACGTTGCCCCTGCGGAGGTGGTGCATGCTCCCCTTCGGGTAGCGCTCGAGAGCCAACGAGTGCGCCGGGTACGCCCACTGCTCGCCCTCGAGGATGAAAAAGTAGTCGTCGGCCGTGTGGCGGCCGGTGTGCCCTTCGGTGCCCAGAGCGGTGCCGAAGATGATCAGGTACTCGGTGATGCTGGCGTGGATAATGTACATGCTCCCCATTGCCCCGCCGGCATTGTTGAAAACCCATTGCGAGGGATAGGGCGACAGGGGTGAGATCTCGGAGCTGTTCTGGACAACATGGGGAAAGGGATCCTCGCTGATGAGGGCTGGTCCATGTTGTTCTCGAAGGGTTGTAACAATGCTGTGGACCACTCCCGCTGTCGAATTAGGATAACGTGACAGGCTGTCGTCGACCAGCTTCTGCAGTGCCGCGGGGTCAAACATGTACCATTTGGACTGGAGGTGATGAGATCAGTATCTGCGATGGCATGATGGACAGTCTACCTCCGGGCGTACCTTGACTGAATCTGCCCACGTATACAGGCTTGTCAAGAGGGCGACGATAAGCAGCCCAGCCGACAATCTCCATGGGAAGGTGGACTTTTCTTGCCTCCCGGTGCCCATTTCTGCACTTTCTCGGTCTCTTGCAGGCGTTGACTTTCGTCGTAATAAAATGCCCAGCTAATATAGCCACGGTATCGAGTAGCCGAAGGATTGGGTCGAATTGAGTCGATTGATAAAGTGGCTGCACGCCATGATTGGCGGCGTGATCCGGAAAGTCGCGTTCCGTGGCAGAAAGACACGATTGTCCCGAAGTTTAGCGACAGCGACCAAATCAGGGACGCTCGCAATTAGAGGGCTGCACTTATGCTGCTGCCTGAATGTTCTTGTAGCCATTGGCGTGCGCGACTAGATATTACGTCGTGATGTTGACCAAGGGATCCAATTAAGCAAAATGGTGGTCGCGACGCTCAGAGGCACAAGGCTTCCCTTAAACTACAAGCACCCAGCAGCTGCAAAGCACAGTGCGGCAACTCATTGCTCTCGCCACCGCGTCCGATCAGAACGTTAAACATTGTTGTACTGTCAGGATCACTCTATTGCCGCTACTGCTGAGCATATGGTTTTGGGTAAGATGGTAGCGGTGTCTAACGTCTATGATATAAGCGGACAGCATCCTATCTGCCCAAGGCTTTGACGCCTCCAGATTGTGCCGAGTCCGCTATTCGCTATTCGCTCAACGCGCAAATGAGCCCAAATGCCTGGGTCTCGATCTCGCTTGCGAATCGCTTCAGCTGATGGACGATGCTGTGAGTCAAGACCGGATGTTTGGCGAACGGGGCCGCGATGGATTCGGCCAACTCGACCAGGATGACCCATCTCTCCGGACTGGCGCCCGTCGCCGCAGACTGGAAGCTGACCTTCTCGTACGACTTGGTCGAGCTTCCCGACTGCGAAGCATAACTGTCGTATCGCAGAAGGTGGATTGCCAGTAGACTCTGGTGGCTGGCGAGACTCGGCCATATGGTGTCTGCGATCCACCCGCCGAGCTCGTCCCTCAGGTCCTGCGACGATGGAGGCTGAAAGGTGATGAGTACCAACGTGGCCCCTGTGCCCGACGCGGAGTATTCGCCAAACTCGGGCCGCGAACAGGACTGCACCACGCGACATACCAGACGATTCATCGACGCCATCAAGGGCATGTATGTCTGGGTCCCAGCCGTGGGGTTGTTCAGGGCGTGCATGTACGCGGGCGAGGTGAAGATGTCCAGAGAGGAGACCTCGTAGCAGACCAGGTACTGCGATTTGGCATTCTCCGTCGAGTAGTAGCGACGAGCTCGTCGGAATCCCGGTATCGCGATGCGCTCCGGGAGGTGCTCATAAGTCCACCATTCGTTGAGATCCTCTTCGTTGAGTGACTTGTCTTGAATCTCTCCCCATATCACCATCATTCCTCTCTCCCGTGGAAAGGTTGCAGCCGGCATGGTACGAGGCCTTCCAGAGAATGCTCGAAGCACGAGGCACCAGATACGGCAGAAGGCTGAATGTCGGTCGCGTGATTTGTTTTTATTGATGGAATCCTTGATCGGAGGAGCTCGAAACAAGTGATGTTCAGAACGAATGTTCAGTTCCCGCGTCGTCCCGACGAAGAGGTCTAGTCCGCTGAGGCCCTCGGCCTCGGATTATATGGCAGGGCGAGAAGGGAGACGAAGCGGTCGGTGAGAAGAATCCGGGTTACGCAGCTGACTCTTATGCCGAGAATTGGAGAAAGGGGAAATGGACGAACGCACGACTTGGAGGGGAGGCTCTAATTGCCCTAGTCAGGCGACTAAGAGATTCTGATAACAAGAGGAGCAAGCCTCGCTCGCTATGGGTTGGAGTATGGCGTCGGTAGTCGGTAGTGGTGATGGGACGGCATACATTGCCACATCCTCCAGAAGCGCGAAAGACGAGCTGATATCTTTTTGAGGGGTGTTGATCTGTTCAAAGGTCCTGTGTATGGAGTACCGAGGTCCTCTGTATCTCCTCAAGACACCCACCCTGTACTCGTTATGTTGCCCTAACCAGGTTATGAAGGTTAGCAGGCTTTGTTCACTTCGGCACTGTTTACTGCCGGCTCTCGTTCCCCCATAAAAGTACTCCGTAGTGAGATTCAACCAATCAAGATAGATCCATCAACAAGCTGGCCCCACACCAGACGGTACATCCAACCACGCCATTCATCGAGAAGGCCTTTATCATGTCTCTCCCGACTACCGACTGCCGCCGGCTCTTCTCTACCCACAGGAGGTGATGAATAGATTGCGGTGTGTCCTCCACTCCCCCGCGTCTCCAGACTTTGACGAGCATTGTCAGACTACTTCCAGTCCCACTTCCGGGGCAGTCAATTGCAGTATTTATAGCTGCTATTCCTCCTACCCATGGTGTGGCAGCCATAAGGGTGATACTTCACGCCCATCTACCTACAACCCTGCCGAGTTTTTCCATCCTCCCTCTCGCAGGATCCCGTCAATTCTGGGCCATCAACATGGCGTCTGCGATCAAGGAAAATTCCATCCACATGGAGGAGAGCGTGGGCACGGGCGACCTCAAGGCCGCCATCGCCATCGACAACGTCCACAACGACGAGGCGATGACGGTGCTGGCGAGTTACGCGGGCCCGCAGACGTGGGACGACAAGGAAGAACAGCAGGTCCGGAGGAAGATCGACCGCCGCCTCCTCCCGATCCTCGTCATCTGCTACGGCCTGCAGTACTACGACAAGGCCATGCTCTCGCAGGCCGCGCTGTTCGGCCTCCGCACCGACCTCGACCTCACTGTGGGCAACCGGTTCTCGTTCGCGTCGTCCATCTTCTACCTGGGCTTCATTGTCGGGGCCTACCCGGCCATCATCATGGCCCAGCGCTTCCCCATCGAGCGAGTGGCCGCCGGCATCATCCTGGCCTGGGGCGTCTGTCTTATCTGCACGCCGGCATGCCACAACTGGCAAGGACTCTACGCGCAGCGGTTCTTCCTCGGCTTCATCGAGTCGGGGGTCAGCCCGATGTTCATGTTGGTCGTGGGCCAGTTCTACAAAAAGAACGAGCAGGCCCTGCGGATGGGGTGAGTGGATTTCACGTTTTTCTTTTCAACCGTCTATTCTGGGCGCGGGATTGAAACAAGACTGACTCGAGAATAGTGTCTGGTACTGTGCGTGCGGCTACGTGTCGATCTTCTCGCCCCTGATCAACTACGGCTTCGGGCATATCCAGGGCGCCCTGTCCCCGTGGCGCTACATGTACCTCTTCGCCGGCTCCATCACCATCCTCTGGTCCGCGGTGGTCTACTTCTACCTCCCCCCGGACCCGATCCGCGCGAAAGGGTTCACCGAGCGCGAGCACTTCATCGCCGTGAGCCGGCTGCAGTCGAACAACTCGGGCGTGCGCAACACCCACTTCAAGAAGGAACAAATGATGGAGCTGATGTTCGACCTCAAATTCTGGGTCATGTTCTTGATGACCCTGTTGGCCATGTTTGCCAACGCCCCGGTCTCGACGTTCACGCCCCTGATCATCTCCGGGTTCGGGTTCAACACGCTGAACTCGCTGCTCCTGGTGGTCCCCGTTGGGTTCTTCACGTAAGTTGAGCCCTGTGACCCCCTCGATGATTCTTCACGCTCACCTTTTGTCTCAAGCGGTACTGCCGAATTGATCATTCCCTACCTGGCCTACAAGTATCCGAATATAAGGACATACCTCGTGGCAGTGTCAGAACTGATTACCATCCTCGCCGCGGTCCTGCTCTGGGCTCTCCCGCGACACGCCATTGGGGGGCTGATGTTTGGCGTGGTCGTCCTTCCCTGCTTTGCGGCCGGATATGTGATTCAGTTGGGCCTCCAGATCGCCAACACGGCGGGCTACACGAAGCGCTCTTTGGCGTCGTCGGGGATCTTCGTCGCCTACTGCATCGGTAAGAATGCCTTTCCGGGACAAAGAGATTTGTGGACGCATTGCACCGGTCCGGACGCTGACTGGGACTTTTGGCAGGTAACTTTGTTGCGCCCCTGACGTTCAGGACTCAGGACGCCCCGATTTACGCCCCGGGGCTGGCGACGGTGGTGGGCACGTCGATCGCCGTGGTGATCCTGTCCATGTTCTACCGTTACCTCTGCATCAGGGACAACCGGAAGCGGGACGAGACCGGCACGCTCGAGGCCTTTGACCACGCTTACGAGGACGACTTGACCGACAAAACCGTAAGTGTCCTCTCTGCTCCAATAGTCTGAGCACGTCGCGGTATGAACGATACTGACCAGCCTTGTCGCACAGAACCCGCAGTTCCGGTATACTTTGTAAGCACCGGGAAAGGATGGTCTAGCTGGATGGCTTGCGCTCGATTCGTTGCAGGGGAGGAGAGGGTGAATGGCTGCAATTCATAGTCCTAGGGTTTTTATGTACAAAAGGGATGGATGGTGTGTCTTTCGCCAACTCCCCGGCTTTCTCCCGTGTAATATCCAGCAACGACCTCGATCAGCAGAATGATAGTAGCGAATATGTATGGCAGGCTCGCTGTTGCGCACGACTACGATAGTTCTCGATAGCCGCCGATTACCCTTACTTAGACAGATGTCGAGGCCCTGAGAATGTGGTTTCGGTTTCCAAGGTAGCAGTGCGTGGCCAGTACACAGTCTATCGGACTCAATCCCTGACCCTCTCTCCGCGCCCGCGTGGAAACCCTCCTCACCAGCCTCAGGGATTCTCCAAACTTTAGCTGGATCTTGGCCGGGGTCGGACAAAGGATTACGCTGGAAACAACGAATGTCGAGTGGCGGTGATTGCTCCGGCGCAGCAGAAGCGAGTGTCGCTTGGTGTGGCGGTCAACCTTCCACGGCTGTCGGCACTCGGTTCTCAAGCGCGCAGCTGGCGAGCGAGGTACTGCACGGAGTACTCGGTACGCAGGTCTGCTCCAGGTAGGTGAAGGCGGCTTCGAATAGGGGCCGAGAGGATGCCCGGCCCCCTTATTTCCTTATTCTCATCATTGCGTGCGAGAATCGATTCCAGGAAAGGTGGGACCTAACACAGGTATTTCAGTTCCTCCAAGGTAGGTAGGTACCAGCTGAATGGCGAAACTCCCCGCAGACCAGACGAGAGATCAAAGGAAGCTCTTGACGAAATGGGCCGGCTCAGTGGAAAGGTCATCGTCGTGACGGGGGGCGGTGCTGGATTTGGTCGCGCAGTAGGTGGCCCAGAACAGGTTCCCCACGAGGACTGGTGACGACATTGACTGACCAGGCCGGCCGTCGAACATAGATTGTGCTGAAGCTCGCCCGAGAAGGCGCCCGCGTCCTGGCGGTGGACTTGAATGGAGGAGAAGCCGAACAGACGGTCAAATTGTGTGACGAAGTATGTCCGCCCAGCTCCTGCCACGCCTGCACGGCAGACGTTACCCTTGAGTCGTCGTGGCGCCGGATCCTGTCCACGGCGCGCCGCCTCTTCGACGACCGGTTGGACGTCGTGGTGAACTGCGCCGGGGTGATCCACGCCGCGGCGCCTTCGCACGAGGTCCCTGAGGAGCAGTTCGACCGCGTCTTCCAGGTCAACGTGAAGCCGCTGTACCTCAGCACCAAGGTCATCGTGCCGTGGTGGCAGGAGAGCAAGCGCCCCGGCCTGTTCATCAACCTGAGCAGCACCAGCGACCCGCGACCCCGGCCGCACTTTGTATGGTACGGGGCCAGCAAAGGTGCCGTGACCACGGTGAGTGCGAAGTGACCTTGAAACCGTTCCACCTTCTTTCATCCCCATGGCTGACCGAGCTCCCCTTCTCCGCCAGACGACCAAAGGTCTAGCGGCAGAGTACGCCGCCGACAACATTCGGTATAACTGCATTCGGCCCTCGATAGGGGAGACAGCCATGTAAGAAAAGAAAAAGAGACCCTCTGCCACAAATTGGGCCGGTTTCGTTTCCCAGTGCTCCAGGTCTTCTAACGAGAAAGGTCAGGCTGTCGACCGTGCTTGGAGACCCCGACGGCTCAGACTCGGACCGTCACGACAAGATCTTGGGCTCGATACCGCTCGGTCGGGTCTGTAAACCAGAGGATGTGGCGAACATGGCCTGTTTCCTAGCCTCTGACGAAGCAACCTACATCACGGGCGCAGCGTTCGACGTCGATGGCGGGAGAGGAGTGAGTTGATCCCATCCCGTGAGGAGGAGAGTGAAAAGGATGGATGAGTGATGGCGTCTGTGTTGCTGATTGTCCTCCCATCCATCGTCGATGGTCATGGTGGCGGCTCAACAGCAGCCAAGTTCACATATCTGTCGAGCTAGAATCCAATTACGTTCCGGCGAGGTATCTTCAGAAATACACAGCACAGTCTAGCATGGGATAGAATACCACCCTAAAATGTAGCGACTATTATTCTTGATCTCGGCTCGCCGGATAAATCTACGCCTCACAACTAGAAACGACAAGAGTCTTGTATACGGGTCTATCTAGTTCTAACAGGCCTTCCCTTATGCGGCACATTCAGCGACCTGCACCACATGTTATCAATGCACTCTGCAGATGAGTTTGCCCATGGTCTGGTTTGACTCCAAGACCTCATGCGCCTTCTGGATCTCGTCCATCTCAAAGACCTGCTCGATGAAGATTTTGAACCGCCCGTCCACCAGCCGGGGCAAGGCGTGCTCGACCAGCAAGTCGCGCAATTTCTTCTGGTATTCCTCGTCGCGACTCCGCAGACTGCTCCCCTCGAACCTCAGTCTCTTGCTGAGAAAGGGGCTGATGTCGATGTCGCCCTTGACCACCGTTCCGCTCAGCCAGCCCAAGTTGACAATGTGGGCGTCTCTCGCCGCCGCCTTCAGGTTCTGCTTGAAATAGTCCGCCCCGACAAAATCCACGATCAGGTCTACTCCTTTCCCACCTGTGTGGTCGAGCAACGCCTCCGCCCAGTCGCCCGCTTTGTAATTAAACCCCTCCGTTGCGCCAATAGACTTGCAGAATTGAATCTTGGCTTGCGTACTCGCGGTGACATAGACTGCGGATGCTCCGGCAGCCTTGGACAGCTGAATCCCGGCAATGCTAACGCCACTTGCCCCAGCATGCCAGAGGACGCTCTGGCCTGTTTGATAGTCGCCGACCAGGTAGAGTGCTTGGCTGGCAGTAATCCAGGTCTCAGGAATCCCGGCAGCCTGCTCCCAGCTGAGTTCTTTGGGTTTATGGATGAGCATAGACGTGCTAACGGCGATATACTCGGCGTATGCACCGCCATAAGCGAGACCAAAGACCTCGTCTCCGACGCGGAAGCCTGGAGTGGAAGAGGGAGACCCGAACGACTCGATGATGCCTGAGAACTCGACGCCCATAGTCTTAGGAGCTTGAGGCGGTACCGGATACTTGCCCTCACGCTGGAGGAGGTCCATGCGGTTGAGGCCAAATGCTTTGATTTTCACTAGTGCCTGATTGTGCGTGGGCTTGGGCATGGGGGTTTGGTCATTGATGAACAAGGCCGAGATGGGTCCTGTCTCGCCTCTGATGTCGACTGCACGCATGGTGGCCATGGCTGATGATTGCTTCGAGGAGTCAAGTTGGTCGATGACTTGATTAGATCTGAGGTAATGAGTGATGTATGGTGTGGCGGCCAAAATTTCAACAAACCGACATGTTTGACGGTTCGGTCATCTTTTGATGGTCCATATGACGACTGTAGCCGACGGTCAGAGATGAACACGCGCATAACCAGGGTGCTGTGGGTCGGGATCCATGTTTGAAATTACAGAGTAGGCGGCTCGGTAGAGCCACGCGCTGAGGTCTCTGCAGGGGAGTCTTTTCATCCCCACGCCTAACGGGAATAGAAACATCGTCAGGTGTTAGCGGGTCTGGGTGAGTCCGCAGTGTTGTCGAATTGAGGCGGCTACCGGCTAACGGTACTCGGTAGGCATCCAACAAGGTGGTTGAGAGAGCCAAGCGATCGACCTTTCGAGCTCAGTCTTAACCAGTGAAGTCGAACCACACATGACACAGGCGAGACCTGTCGCATCGTCAATTTCAACCAGAAAATCATTGGTACTGAAATATTTGGTCAACGAAAACGTCGCCAAAGTCAAAATTCACGTTGCCATCTGCAATGAGGCCAGAGGGCCAAAAGAGGGAACTGCTGTCCATCCCTTCACCGAGACCACCCAGAATGTTCGAAGGATTGCGACGACCATCGGGGCCTGCGAGAGATTCGGTGGCAATGTTATCTTCGTTGTTCGCGTCAGAATTGGCCAACCCATCGGCTGACGGGTTGGCGGAATGGGCAGAATGTTGCCCAGGCAGAGTTCCGCCAGAAAGCTCCGCGCGTTTGAGGTTGCCGAGGACCAAGGCAGAGCTTGGGACGGTGGCGGACAGCTCCTGCAAAACCGCCCTGACAATTTCGAGATTGTCATCAAACCCACCTCCTTGGCCCGAAAAGGTGGCTTGGGCGCGAATTTGGACCACGCCGGCAAGGTAACAAAACCAAGCGTTGATCGGGGCCAGATACAACACGTCGTTTCTGCACTGGATCTCGTCGAAAACACGGATCATGTGTGACGCCGTCTGGACGCACTCTTCGAACGTAGCCCTGGCCGAGCTTGAGACCGGTTCCACTTTCATCAGGGATAGTTGGTAGATCAACAAGCAGGCGTAGTATAAAATGTGCAACTCGGACACTACTCGACGATAGGGTTTTGAGTCTGTGTATTGTAGAGTCAATTCGGCAGGCAACTCGCAGACCCAGGTTTCAAAGGCTTGACCAATAGGCGCAATATCTCCGTAGCTCAAGTTGGGATTATATCGTCCGTCGGCGAGTTGACCAAAAATCATGCAAAGTTTGGTCCTCTCGATGAAGATGTTATTGTCAGGATGCTCTTGGGGGAAGTCGCTTTGCGACAGCGGTTGCACGTCGGTATCATGCATGTGGATCATCTGCGGCCGTCCATAACAGAAGGAGACCAGCTTGTCTTGATTCTGGGAGAAGTGTCAGCGCCGAGGCGGACAGATAGACAGGAGGAGGTATTGCCAGGGCCGATGCTTACGAATAGATGCCACCACATCCTTCGACGGGTTCCAGCATCTTGGTTGCCGCTGTAGGTTGCTTCTTTGTGAAGACCCATGTGGATTGCATAGCGGGATGCTGCCCCCAGCCAATGCCAGAGGCTGTCTAGGCAAATCACAGTCGGCTCGGTCATGCTCCGACAGGTCATGAGACAAAGTGCCTTGAGAACCACCAGTTTATTTCGTTCATGCTCGGTAGCCAGGAGCAATTTTGCCTTCAGGTAGTGCTTCTTGGCCGCACTCAGCTGGCTTATTCCTTTTCGTCGGTGGCCATAGGCGCTTGCGAGCATGCAGATACTGTGCACTAGCAGAGGCGACTGAAACCGCTCAAAGTCTGTGCGGTCGACTAGGGGCTGGTGGAGATGAATGTGTTCAAAGTAGGCGTCGGTCAGTGCGGCGACCAGCATGTGCGAGGGCAAGGTGACTGCGCCAGTGGACAGCAGCGCCTTTGCGTAGAACTCGGCCGTCTCTGCCTCGGTCTCATCGTCGACCTGGAGCGTACTGGGGTTCTGAAGCATCATGCTCTCCTCTCCTAGATAGCCCGCAGATCCCGGCGACGCAGACGCTGGCAGTTCGGAGCGCTCTGCCGACTGGATGCTCGTGGCACTGGCCCGGTGGAACCGCATGTTGCGTTGCCGGACTCCCACGCGAGGCCTATTGATTGTTCCATCTGCTCAGAACGGCCGCGCTCATTTCGTGCGCATAGAATCCAACCTACCTGCAGACGAGGTTGGCCCTTTGACAATTCTGACATGTCCCATCAGTGCGGTCTTGCAAGTCACATTTGACCTGACCCAGTCGAGTCAGTCATCCATATCCATCGACCTGAGGAAAAGAGCTCTTACTTTGCGCGCATGACATTGCACGCATACCTTGGTATTGCGAGTTCGAAGGCCTTCCATGGGTAGTCGTGGAACCAACTGATCCTAGCAGCGACCGACAATACCTACCTAGTAGACATCTAGCAGGCGTCGTTGAAATGGCGAATTAAATAGTTTGCCGAGATTTAGACGAATTGGAAGGCAGAAGACTGAGATTGAGATCATGGGTATCGAGACGTTGGTAACTTGTCGATAGGTTCAAGGCAGACTTGCTCCTGAAGGGGGCTTTAGCCTAATGGCCCTAGCGCGGTAATACCCAACAGTCTGAAGGTTCAGGCAGGTTTTCCGGCCACTCTACGGGGACCTAGTTATGCATGACGAGCGACAGGTGTTTCATTCGATACTACTACCACTACTAGATACCTACCCAATCCCTACTATACCTACTAGTTGGTCATTAGCACGCTCGGTGAACCTAATATGGAGGCGGCGACCGTTGTGTAGAAATGTCGCTAAGGTATATCCAGAACAGAGCACCACTATCACCACCGGCAGACCAAACACCTGTTGTACAGGAAGGCTACCGTGCCAATAATGTTCAACCTGGCTCCGTTTCTCATAAGCGTTGAGGTTGTCCATCTCAACTACTACACCTCCTCACCACACAAAAGATCTGGACCTCGGCTTCTATCATAGACGCCGAGCATCCATTCAGCCGAAAGGGACTGTTCTTCCAAGATGATTCCCACTTGACTCGAACATTGGATTCTACAGACAAATACTGATACAAGCCCTGCATATGTTCCCCAAATACACACCCTCTACCCCATCGTTTGATGAATGATCGTCCACAGAGCAACACAACTCTTGTGCTTATACCATGCTGATGCCACTTCCATCCTCATAGCCTCCACACTTCTTCGTCCTAGGTCTCTCATCAGGCAGACGGTCCCATTTTCAGTCGAGTGCACCCTCGAATGTCACTTTATCCTCAGCTGAGGAGCCAGTCGACCTTCCCTACCATAGATCCCTTCCCATTTCTCCCAATCTTCTTTGTCCGGCTGTGTCATATCCTCCCACTTGCTGGTATTCCCATTGAACCATTTTTCTCTGATCTGACGCTCGAGATCCTTGACATCGTTAGACCTGAGGCCGCTCTTCTCATAAGAGTCTTCACCCGTCCCGCACATAATCTTCTTCTGGTGGAGAAATAGCAAAGCAACCAGGTACAAGACGGGGTTGTCGGCCTTGCGCAGCATGGCCTCGTCGATCACGTTCTCGGCAACCACAATATCCTTCCAGGATTGCTCTTTTCCAGGGCCATACAATGCCTCCAGGCTTGAACGGCGAAAGAGAGAGATCCCATAGTCCTTGGTTCCCACCTGTCTCCGCAATTCGACCAGCTCTGCATCCCCTTTGCGCTGCTTGACAAGACTCTCGATACGTAGACGGATTGGGTTGAGAAGTCTTGCTGCCGTCGGATACTCAGAAAGATCGGCGTATTCTCCGAAGACGTCGCCGATGCGGCCGTTGCGGATCAGTGTCAAGGCCTGACTAAGGTACGCTTGACTAGTTTCGTCCTGGAACTGGGGAATCATCGACTTCATATGCTTTGCCACCGCCGGCCCTTGAGCTCTGTTTGTGGCCCGGTTCTTCGAAGCAAGACAGTGGACCATCCTCTCGGAACCCACAGAGTCATTGAAAACGTCGAATGCAATTTCAACAGGGTTGAGAGCTGGGTTCCGAGCCAGCCTGGTAGAGCGCAGGCCGCCTTCTTCCGAGGTCTGGAAATCTTCGACAAGTTGTTCAAAGACTGCAAAGCATCGTCGCTCCATAGAGAAAAAGTCAAACATTAGCGCTGGCATCTCGGCCGAGAAACCTTCAGATAGCCTGCCCAGAATGCGAACCATCTTAGTCTGCAGTGTTGCAAGCGACTTGTGAGGGTACGTTTGCGCTGGAGAGGAAATTGTCACGTAGAGATTACGCTCAAGGTCCTCGCGATATCTGCGACCAAAAAGAAGCTCCTGGAGTCGGTATGCAGCTTCGTCGATCTTCCGCGTCTCTTGACCCATCCAACGATCAAAGAGGTTTCTGGCAATCGAAGACTGTTCATACTCTCGCATCCCGGGGTTGTCTTTTCTGAACCGAATCTTTCGGGAATCTTTGCCCAGGCTTGCAGCGGAGGCGCCGATGCTGAGCAAAAATCTGTTTCGAGCTTGAACAAGCGTCCCAGGGCGGCCACCCATGAAGATTTTCCCAGGGTTCTGGTTGCGAATCAGAAGCTCCATGTCCGGCCAGACAGGCGACTGAGGGTCCACGATACGCAGAGCATTGTAAAGGTGACAGAGCATCGGGACATGAGCTGTTTTGTTGACAAGCTTCAGGCCCAAAGTATGCCATTCCAGCTGAAGATCTGTTTTCATCATCCCACAGGTGACCGGGAAGTATTCTAGCAGTGGAACCCTTCCACTGGCTCTGACAGCGTCTGTCATATTGAATCCTGCGTCGACCCGTTGCAGTACCTCTTTGCCGTCAGACTTGCCGCAATTCTTGCCTTTGATCCATTCCCCAAACTGATCAACCAATATGCGAATCTGGCTGTGCCATGATTTGTCCCATATCTCAACCCCGAGTGATTCATGCCATTTCTGGTATTCCTCGGCTCGAAATTTAATCACTTCGTAGGCTTCCTTCAAGTCCCGAAAAGCGCGGAGACTTTTGGTCTCGCTCAGTCTCTGAATATCAAGCTGGATTTGCAGCGCTAGGCTGACCCAAATTGGGACGTTGTGGTTCTCGAGGATATGCCTGGCCGCGTGCAGAATCTCATCCTCAATGAACTTGCCCCGGAGCATCAGTGAAAGCATGGAGAAGTGCGGTAAGATTTCGGACAGCTCTGCCTGCGCTTTTTGACTTGGATTCTGGGCGTGGTAGAATTCCGAGCCACGAATGGTGCTGTCTGGAAACCCCGGTACCTGGACGCGAAAATCATTGTTTGAGCTCGGAAATGTTGGTGGTTCGTCTTTGAGTATGTGGATGTATGACTTGGCCATGGCCCATGGCACGTAGAGGAGGAAATCACAGATCGCGCAACCACAAATGATAATCATCATTGGCAAGTCGGTGTCGACAGGTGCTATGCACTGATCTGCGGGGGGGAGATGAAGTTTGAAAATGAGAGAGGGTAGAGAGCCTGTCGGGTATTTCGCGCTGGGGTATGCTGGCGGGCGTTGTAGGCTGGCCTCAAAGTCGGCCTCAGCTCTGCGAACCAGATCGACTGCAAGGTTGGTGACACTGGCAGCCTGCATCAATTCGAGGTTCCCACTAGCATACAGTTGCCAAGTCGAGGAAACATAGATCCGTACGGCGAAGACTTCCCGCATGAACGACCAGATGGCGAACAGGAACTCGGACTCAGCTTCCTTGTCATCGAAATCAATCTGAGCACGAGGAGCCTCGGGCTTGGCTTCGGGATAGACGACAGCTGTTGTGCCTTCTTGGTCCAGCTCTTCTTCGGAAAGGACATCCTCGACCTCGAGATGCTGGAAGATGTTGGTGACAGGGTGCAGGGGTGTTGCTTGATTGGCATCTTTCTTTTGCAGGGCTGGTCTTGACTCCTTCACCGGTTCGTAGCAGGGCTTAAGCGTTTCGAGTGCAAGTTCGAGAACGGAAGCAAAATGAGAGTGTTTTTCGTCGACGACAACGCTGGTGGCAGCTTTGCTCCTAAACCATCGAGAAAATTCCCGCCTGGCTCGAATAGTGCGTCCCCAGGTTGTCTGCAGAGTTCGACTGAGGACGACCTTTGGCTTGGCTTTGACGATGCATTTGGCCATCTCGACCAACTCGGCAGTCTTGACAGTGGAGATAGGCTTGGGAGCTTTTGGCCGTCGAGGCTTTTCAGTATTGCCTCGAGTGATTCTCTGAGATTTTGCAGCAACCTTGGGTCCTTTGTCACGTGAAGCAGAGACGGTGTCTGATTTGTAGCCCGCCGCAGCGGAGTTCTTCGCCAGCCATCCTGCCACGGTCTCGGTATCTTGCTTGTACTGCTTGTAGGCGAGGACCATGTCTGGAGGCAGAGATGGCCCTGCCATTTTGAAGGGCGTTTGGGAAGGATTCAGGTAGGTGTTCTGTGTGAGGAGAGGGGAAAGTGACAGGACGCAAAGTGAGAATGATTCCTGTCCAGTCAGAAGAGGGAAAGACGTTGAGGATGCAGTAGATCGGGCTATGGCCACATCCCACAGAGTGTGCCTAGGTGGCTGAAGGTTGAGAGAGATCGATGAGTCGGTTCGAGGTGGGTAGTTGTGAAGTTGTGTGAGAGGAGATGAACGGGAGTGGACGACGTGAATGGCTCCTGCCTTCACTTTACAGCCGCGTCTTTCACTCTTTCGCTGCTGCGCCCAAGACTGACCGCAGTGAGTCCTGGCCGCTGCACTCTAGCGACACCCTTCACTGCCTTGTACCTAGCTAGATTCATGGTCTTTCGCTTCACCAGCTTTGTCGGAGCCGGTCTCTTCCTACTCCAACAATATGCTGTATAGAGATCTTGAGGGTCTCCCCGTTGATTCTGATGTGTAACCTTGTATCCTCACCGTACCTCTCGTGACTTATCCCATACCTACCCCCTTAGAAACGTTGTAGCGGCTGTCTGCTATACCGTTATCTTGGAGTGCTCCCATTGTTCCTCTCAATGCGGTCGATATTGAACGAGAGTATGTATGAATTGGGTGACGCATACAGTGCAATAACGAAGCAGAGAAAGAGGAATGTGGTGTCCAGGAACCAACCGCTCGCTATTTGTCGAACCAACATCGCTCGACGAAGAAGGTTCATCTTCGGGTCTTGAAGAACCAGGTGTATCGACTGGCCAGGGACAACTTCTTTTGGCGAGATGCGTGATTGTACCTTTTGAGAAGGGCATCAAACCAGATGACCCCGTCGGGTTCGACGATGTCAGTGTAAAAGAACTGTTCAGCCACGAGGCGCATATGTGGCCAAGTCATGACGCCCATCAAGTGAGCCTGGAACGCCAGGAGCGGGCTAAACCAGAATTCATCAAGCAAGTCTACCATCAGAATGTTGTCTCTCCTTCTGTGCTCACAGAGTGCTCCCACATACAGGATCCAGAGGTAGGCGGGTGCGAAGTCCAGGCGGTCGTTGACAGTGCTGGATTGATATGCTTTCGTAAATGTCAACCTCAGCTGGCCCATCAAGATAGCCGAGCAATCGCGAATATTGACGCCACCAAACGTCAGGTCACCAAACATCTCTCGCGTGAGATAGTTGAGTGCAACGGACAGCGCTGCCTGAGCGTATCGTTCGGATCTGCTGGCTCCAGCCATCCAGACCGCTTCGACGAGATCATGGAACATGTCGTTGAGCCGAATCAGGTTGATAAGGGCCGAAACCGTCACGTATATGTACGCGGACCTTTTGTTCTGGACGGACTCGGCAGGGGTCGGACTCTCGTTTGGTGAGATTTGCATGCTGGCGTCTCCCAGGTACCAGCAGCGTGCGAACAGGTCGTGCAGCTCAGGTAGGGTGACGCTTGCATGGAGAATGCGGCTCCTGGGTACTCCAAGGGGATGTGGTGGAATCTGGTCTTTCAGGAAGGCTTCCGACCTTTCGCTTATCCACTTGCCAACCGAGGGCACAGTCCGCTGTCCACTGGTAGCTGCCGAATGGCATATGATATACAACAAGCGTTGCGCCATCGGTGCGTCGAAGGTGTTGCTTTCGTTTATCAGCTTCTGCAAGGTCACACCATGGACAATTGCCGCCTGCGTGTTTCCACAAAAGCATTCGGCATCAAAAAGCGAGAATATGTGGCGCTTCAGGTTGTTCTTCTCCTCAACAGAGGATGAATCAGTGTGCCTCTCCAGCTTCTCACGCAACAGCTGAAGGCTGCGCTTCCGCATCTGAAGGACCAGCATCCTCATTTCCTTGGGATTCGGCACGCAGTGGCTCAAGTATTGACTGTACGTCGTCAAGCGAGCAAGCGCAGTGCCTTCATCCCGCAAGCTCGCGGCGATATCGGCCCATCCACCCAGGATGTAAGGCTGCTCGAAGTTGCCAGCCATCCCACTCGACATCCTCCTCACGGCGAGAGGTGAGTAGTGGGCACGCAAGGCCACGTCTCTGGTGAAAGTGAGGATGCGGTTCAGCTCGGGTGTTATTTCAATCGCAAAGCATCGGAATGGGTCCGAGTTGCCTTCCAGAGTTGCAACTCTCAAGAAGTATTCATCGTCACTGTCTTCGCTCTTGGAATCGACTTCTGGACTCTGCGACGGTGATTGCTGGCGGCTGTCACTGCGTCTCCAGTCATGAGAGACACGTGCGGCATGGGCCCTTGCGCGCGCGGAATTGAGCTGTTTCTGGTGTGGTTCTTGGGTAGGATCGTGCTGGATGAAGGTGATTGCCACCATAGCTCCAGGGGGTCAAAGGGTGCTTTTCCAGAGGAGGCACAGCATCTCGATGCGCCCGATAGCCCCAGAGCGGACGCCGTATGTTATTTGGCTTATGCAGACCTCTTCACGATGGATCCCGTCAGCCTCAACGTTCAGCATCGTCGACATGCATCAACGCACCATGGGAGTATCGCCCTATCCTCTCACTCTTGCCGTGCGATATCATTTTCAGCGATTGCGTCACGGCCGCTGATGGGGTGTGTCGGAGAATATGTAGGTCTGGTTAGAGGCCAGGTACATCAGGCCGACCTTATCTGCAAGGAGCCGGATAGAATCATGATCATTCAAAACAAGGGTTAGCATGAGTCAGCTGCTATCTTGCCATCCTTCGGACTATCGCAAAGCGAGCCAATGCACGAGTTTCCACCTCTTGAGGTCTTGCCGGACGCGGTAACAGATCATTGTCGCCTTCGTACATGAGTCAGCACATTTGTCGAGAGACACCCCACGGTAGCGAGTTCGTGCGCCAGATGTACGAGGCCGAATATAGCTGCTGCCTGTAGCTAAAGGGGGACCATGTCCAAGAGTGTCGATAAGCAGATGACCGGCAGATGCAAGTGTGTTGATGGTGGAATGTATAGTGATCCGGAGACGTGCTTATGACTGGCTGTGAGAACAGACTAGGATTGATCGGAGACGATTCCGATTGAGGGGAAGAACACGAATCAGCTTCAGAAATAAAGAGCGTTCGTAGCTATTCGAATTGTTGGCGCTAAGATAATGTTCATTTCCAAGCGTGTTGAGTCTAACCTGGGCACGGTGCTATCCCTATCTTGATTAACAACAATAGCTAACGAGGCTGAACCACACCACCCAAGACTAGTCCTCATGTACCAATTGCGCCCATCTGCTGTGCATAAAGGCTCGTGCCAGGGCAATAACCCTCGTTCCTTCTCTCGCCGACGTTATCACAAGTTCGACAGCCGTTCCTACAGAAGCGCTTCCAAGCATCTTCTCCCCGCTCACGCCGTGACACGCTTGGGTACTACCGGCACGGTCTTCTCCAGGACGGTCGCCTTGTCCTCCACCTCACCTTTCGCCTTCAGACTGGCCTCCACCTTTTCGTTCCACTCGATCATGTGCAAGCACACACCCTCCAGCGTATCGTGGCCCGGGTTGTATCCCAGCTCTCTCCTAGCGCGGGAGTCGTCGTAGATGATGACGAGGGTGGAGTAATTGAACACGGCGCGCTGCAGCATTGAGAGGTCAAAGTTGGTGATCTCGGGTAAGAAGCGGATGTAGCGGTGTCGGAGGAGCATGTATCCTTCAATAAGATAGGACGCGAAGATGACCGGGAGAGGCGGGACTTTGGGCCATTTCATGGGCGTGCTCGGGTGTGCGAGTGTCGTGGCCAGTTGGTACAGGTCACCGTAGCGGAACGGCGGACCTGGGTCGCATACCGCGTAGGCGTTGCCGCCGATGTCGTGGCCTGAGACAAGGCGTGCTTCGTAGAGCAGGTGGGCGAGGGAGACGTTCTGTGCAGAGACGAATTGCAGGACGAAAGGGGTCAGCCATCTGTTGTGAGAATCCAAACTGTCAGCCTTCTTGACACTCTTGGGAGCAGGGGAAGCGATGGAAGAAGAGTACTAACGTCTGCAGTCCTCCACGGCGAAGATAGTCCCAGACAATACTATTCTGGTTGCTGTCCCCATGGCCGTAGATGGCATGCCCGGGTCTGATGGCGCCGGTTCTGAACGAGTCTTTCTTGCTGTCGGCGTCCCTCACCAGTTTCTCTGCCAACGCCTTTGTGTATGCATAGCAACCGGCAAAGTTCTCCGATTTCAGCGGTGGCGGTTCACCATTGTCCGACAACTGCACAAAGTTCCTCGGATGCTTCTCCCAAGGGAAAATGAAGAAATCGACGGGCTTAATAGCCACGCTGCAAGAGGAGGTTGCGATAAAGACGTCACAACCTGCCGCCTTCGCTGCCTCGAGGACGTTCTGCGTGCCATCGACGTTGACCATCATATACTTGCCAAGGAAGTCTGCCTTGCGGTAGCCGGCATGGATGTAAGCTACGGTGTGGAAGACCGTTAGGGGCAACTGGGCACATTCCGCCGGCCAGGAAGTGGTGAAGACCTTGGACACAGAGGCCGGATCTGTGACATCGGCCTTGAAGTATGGCACGTGTTGCTTGACTGCTTGTTCCCGTCGAGGGGCTTGGAGGTCTGCGATGCGTATTGCTGAAGGGCTTTCTCCTCGCATGAGCAGGTGCTCGACGATCCAGCCGCCAACAAGACCTTTGTGTAGTCAGAAGCGTGGACTCAGGGCTGGAGTGATCAGCCATGCGCTGAAGGTACCTGATCCGCCAAACACGACATATCTTCTGTTTTGCTTTGGTGGAAGATACTTCAGGAAATCCGGCCTGTCTCTGCGGCACTTCTCGTACGCGGCTTGAGCCACTTCTTCCGTCCATGGTCTGCCGGCCAGCTTCTCGGCTTCTTCTGGAAGAGTTGATATTGCTCGGTTCACATGATAGAGATAGGCGAACAGCAACAGCACAAGGGCAGAGAGTAACAGCGACCACGGAAGCTCCATGGCTCCGGGAGCAAGGGGCGAGCAGAACTACTGTGGTTAGGAAGGCGAGGCGCGAGAACGAAAGGAAGTCGGTCCAGTCTCACGCCTTTTGTACTCGCGATGTGGAATCATTGGAGTTGGGCGCCTGAACCGTCAGAATACGCGACCTTGTGTAACACTGCTTCAGGATAAGTTTACGAGCATTTGCTCGGCACCGTGACTTTCGATATACATCTTCCGAGGCCAATCATCGGTCCGAGAGTTGCGGATATCCACGGTGTCCCATGAGAGACTGCCACCCTGGATGTTCTCTCCCCCATCAACCGCCATGGACAGATCTCATTTCAGCACCGCCGACAGCATCACCTATCTTTGGAAGGCCATAGGTCTTCCGGCCGAGGCCCTCACAGCCATCCGCCTCCCAGACGTGGACGCCATCGGGCTCCCGTCGTCTTTCAAGATCGGGCACTTGGCTCAAGCATCCATCACACTGACGGCCCTCCTGGCTGCACTGATTTACTCGAGGCGCAATGGACGCGAGGGGATCCCAACCGTCACCGTGCCCCTTCAGCATGCCGTGATTGAGTTCAAATCCGAGCGGTTCTACACCGTCGGAGGCCAAAAACTGCCGTCACCCTGGGGACCTATAGGGGGCCTCCACCGGACCTCGGACGGCTATGTGCGCGTGCACGACTCGCTCCCGAATCACCGCGTCGGGGCGATCAAGCTGCTGGGGTGTTCCGAGGACGCGGATCGAAGTGCCGTCGCCGCGAAGATTGCAAAGTGGAGGAGCGTGGATCTGGAGAATGCGGCGGTCGACGCGGGCGCGGTGATTGCTGCGCTGAGGAGTTACGAGCAATGGGACGTCCTTCCTCACGCGACAGCGATCAAGGACTTCCCTATTCAGATAAGGAAGATCGCCGACGGCGATGAGGGTCCTGCTGGATGGCCGGAAGGAATGTCCCAGGGCACCAATGGCGCGGGCAAATCCCTCCATGGCCTCCGAGTGCTGGAGATGAGTCGCGTCACCGCGGCCCCCGTCGCCGGAAGGACACTCGCAGCGCACGGCGCCGACGTGCTCTGGGTCACCAGCCCGAGCCTCCCAGACCAGCCGAGCCTCGACCGCGACACGGCGCGCGGGAAACGGACGGCGCGTCTCGACCTCGGCCGCGCGCAGGATGCGGAGACCCTGCTCTCGCTCCTGGACGACGCCGACGTCTTCCTCCAGAGCTACCGGCCGGGCAGTCTCGCGTCGCGGGGCCTCTCGTGCGAGACGCTCGCCGCACGACGCCGGCAGAGGGGGATCAAGAGAGGGATCATCTGCGCCAGTCTCTCCGCCTACGGACCCGACGGACCCTGGCGCGCCAGACGCGGGTTCGACTCGCTCGTGCAGACCTGTTCGGGCATGAACGTGTCCGAGGCCGAACACTTTGCCAGTAGCAGCGGTCAGACCGAGTCGCCGGCGAAACCCACCCCGTGTCAAGCCCTCGACCACGCGTCCGGCTACTTCCTCGCCGCGGGGATCATGGCCGCGCTGTACCAACAAGCCCGCGAAGAAGGCGGCTCGTACGAGGTCAGCGTCAGCCTCGCAGGCACAATGAAATACCTCCGCAGTCTGGGCCAGTATGAAGGATCGTCCGGGTTCCAGTGCAAGGACTACGCAACGCTGGAGGACATCCCTGCGGAGTACCTTGAGGAGCACATGTCCGGGTTCGGCCTGCTCAGGGCCGTCAGGCATTCCGCCTCCATCGACGGTGTCCCGGTGGGATGGGACATTATGCCGAAACCGCTGGGGTCGGATAAGCCTCGATGGCTGTGACTTTGGGACGAAAATCCGCCGACTCTACCGACACGGTGATGTGAGGTGGTGAGCGGGAAGTACTACAGAGCCAGTAGGATGTACGGTACAGCACGGTGGCCAGGCGGCCGCTTGTTCTAACGAGCCGTAGCCGAGTGGTTAGAGAGGGGTTATACCTGCGTTCAAACGAGATAGTCCTTAAGTGGAAGTGAACGGCCCCCTCGATCCTATCAGGCAATAGCCAATGGATAAAATGATGTGGGAACAGTTACAAGCGTGATTCAATCTCATATCATTTCAGGGGGTCATTACCACTGCCAACATCGCGCATCGTCATCACTCAAATCTCTACTCCATCACATGGCACCAACATTCGCGACCACTTTTCAATGCTCAGCCTTGGCCTTGGGCAAGGGAGGCAGCGTCCCATCGTAATGAACCTTGAACGTGCATGGGAAAACAAAGTAGGAGCCATGGTCTTCTCGCATGTAGACGTAGAAACCTCCCTCGCGTGGGATCTGGAGTCGTGGTTAGTTAGCATCCATTGTTAAATAACACACAGGGGGTTGTTGTATCTCTGGATGTTTTTTCCCCCAAGTAAGAACTTAACTCACCTTCTTCAACTGCCCTTGCGGTCCGGGCGCACGCCGCAGGTTCTCCAGCTTGCCGACCGTCCTCAACATGGCGGTCAGGGCCACCATGCTGGCGTCCTTGCCGAGACACGCGTGCTCCCCGATGCCGTAGTGGATGTAGGAATCCAGCGGCCGGTCGAGGCGCACCTCGTTCGGGTTCGGGAAGATGGCGGGATCTCGGGCAGCCTTGACGAAGCCGCAGAAGACCTTGTCGCCCGGCTTGACGCTGACCTGCTTCCCGTCGTCGTGGAAGGTGTGGGTGACCTGGCTGCGGCGGTAGCTGCCAAAGGTGCCGTTCAAGCGGATGCCCTCGTTGACGTAGTGCAGGAGCTGGTTGTCGGATTCCTTAGTGTCGATCCGGGCCAGGCGCTGGATGTCCGGGAGGTGCTTGACGCCTTCGTCGCTCAGGTAGTAGTCGATGATCTGCGTGAAGACTTGGGACTGGTTCGGCACCTGCGCGCACGCGGTCGGCAGCATCTGGCTGAAGGCCATGTCGTAGGTGCTCATTCCCGTCTCGCTCAGACGGCGAACCAAATTTACTCCATAGTCCGCCAAGGCGTTTTGATTCTCGCGCCAGCCGTCGAAGAACTTTGCTGCGAACGACGTCGCGGTCACGGACTTGATGTTGGCCTCGATGAGCTTGCCGAGTAAGGTAGACAGCTTCCGCGCCACCAGCCGCAGCGGGAACGACTTGGTGGGCTCGAAGTCGAAGAATATGGCCGTGAAGATGACGCTCATAGCCATCCACAGCTCCTGCTCCGAGAAGATGCCCCGCGGGTTCTCCGCCGTCTTGAGCGGCAGCGCGAACATGTTGGCCGCAAAATGTACGTGCGCGAGGTTGCCCACGTCGCGTGTGATGTCGACCTGGTTGATGCCGGCGATTTTGCAGCTTTTCTCGTGAAGGAGACGCAGCGTGATGTACTCGTAGAAGTGCTTGATGTGCTCGTGCCACTTGTCGCGGTAGATGAGTTGGTGCATCGTCTGGCGCTGCTTGCGGTGGAAGACCGTGTCTCCTCCGAGGCAGAACCGCTCGCCTCCCTTGCCCATGCAGAACCCGAGCCCGTCGTTCCACATGACCTTGAAGTCCTGGGGGCGTTCCAGGAGATACTTGGCACTCTGGTAGGATGTCAAATTAACGCGAGTGGGAATATACTCTGGAATACTCCAGTCGTAGTCCTCAAAACGGCCGAGATTCTTCATGATTTTGGCGTTCTCGCTCGGAATCGTCATTGGATCTAGTCGAGGTTAGAAGTAGACTCTCAAGGGGTTTGGAGCATGCGGCTCTACTCACAGTGAGCATAAATGCTGTTGGGCTTGAAATGGTTTGGCAGTGCTCTTAGGAGCAGCTTGTAAAAGACACAGCCTTGATTAATGCTGGGATCAGAAGCAGCCTCGTTGAACCCCCAGTTGGTGAGGTTCTTGGGGGTATAGTCGATGGTGTAGAATCGGTCGCCACGAACCAAAGCAACAGCATCGGACAACACTACTCGTGAAATGGTATGTGTCGGGCAGATACCTACACCTGGCACCATCGGCTCCTTGTACTCTTCAACAGCGAGTCCCGGGTAAAGCTCGATGTAGTCGGGATGTTCGTAAAGATTTTTCAGCTGCTCAGCCACATAGGGATCTCGGTTGACTTCCTCGAATGTGTCGTACGTCTTCAGGCCGAAGAATTGTCGGTATTCATTGAGGGTGCAGAGGTTCCAAGACCGAGACTGCAGAATACCAAGGATCGTGATGGCTCGAAGCGACTTGGGAATGTTACGGGCGCCAAATGCACCGGCCACCTCCTCGACGCCAGCTTGAAAGATTTTGGCAAGCTCCCCGTCATCAAATTTGCCATTTGCGTCTCGCTTGAGGTGGGCGAATGGTCGTTGGAGTGGATCTTTGGGTAGCTCGCGGTCGTATTTTCCCAAACCAACCATCAACTCCCGGAGCGACACATCGTCTGGCTTCTTGCCGAAGAGCTCATAGTAGACTTTCTCTGTCCATGCTTCATCCATTTGTCCAATACAAGAGTGCCAGCGGTACGATAGACTGAACTCGGCGCTCACTTGGTTGCCAACTCCTCGCGGGGTGCCGTCTTGCCCAAAGTTTTTTGGATCCAGGCGGGGATCCAAACTCCATGTGCTGTTTGTTCTGTTCATATTGACAATATTTCGAAGATAGTCTCCTAGAACAACACTGATATAGAGTCCACAAGTAATGAGCCGGCCTGTCTGGAAGAGATCATTGTCGTATTTCTTCCAAGCCGCCTTTGCTACGTCCCCGTCTGGCTTGGCAGAGGGCTTCGTGAACCGGCCATTCTCGTTGATCAAAGCCAACTGTTCGACAACATAATTGTGAAAGCGGTTCAGCATGATGAGCATCACACCGCAAGATGGTGGGAATGCCAGGAGTCTTTCTTCAGCAAAGCAGTCTGGCTTGATCTTGCCATTCTCGAATGTCCTCATCATATCTTGATCTTCCTGGGTGTCCCCGTACAAGATTGACAGGTCCAGATAGCTAGAAGTCTTGCTGTTGGTATAATCACGGTGGTCGGTTTGAAAAAGATCTAGAACAAGTCAGACATGTGCGAGTGAAAACATTGC